TCTTTGAACGCTTGCTGGGTGTCATAGACTGTTTCCTAGGACATTCAAACGAGCGGTGTCCTAATTGATGGCACGCATAACATATAATTCTAGCTTTCGACTTCTCACATTCAAATTTTGTGTGTCCAGTTTGGTGGCAATACCTGCACCAAGTGGGCATGTTGTTCCAGGTTGCGTGAAATATTTGGCTTTCGCTTTCGCACCAACGAATGTTATGCTCCAAAGGCTGATACTTGAGGTTGTCTGTTGAGTCTGAGGGACCAGAAGGAATACCAATGACGGCATATCCTGCGCCCATAAACCATCCGGTGGTGGTTTCTGTATTGATTCCTACATCAATTACCTTTCCAAATGGAGCTAAACTCTGTTGCACGCCCTCAAGAACTATCCTTTTGGGACGTAAAGGTAATTGGGACAATTTCACAGTAACAAATCGGAGTGTGGCATCTGCGGCCTTGCAAGGGAAAATTCGCAATTTTGACTTTTTAAAGACAACACCATGCTCCATAAGATCATTGTCATCATCATCTTTTTCGATATACAATTCCAAGTACTGAGTTGGGCCATCCCTCAAGATGGAACAAGCGTAGATCTTTGGGTGTTGAGCGCTGATTTCCTGCATACACTGGAGATCAGTGTATTCTTTCTTAACTGGAGTAATGTCGAGTAAGAAAGCATCCTCATGGCTAGCTACTCGATAAATTCTCGACTGAAATTCTCGCAAAGGTGAGTCTGCATCTTTGTCAGGTTCAACGATGCCTTGGTGCATGAGTGATACTCGAGTTCTAGCTGCTACACTAGCATATGATCTTAGTTGTTGGGTGGCTTTTAGGTTTGGAGATTTTTCAATCCCCGCAACCGACTGAAAGTGTTGAGAGTTGGGAAGAGCCATGGATGGTCTTATCATGGAAAGAAAAAAAAGGAAACTGGGAATGATTACAATTCAAAGTCCTCTATCAAGAAATACATTCCGCATTGATTTATATGATAAGTAAACTTCCCTTATCTTCAAGGGCAAAGAATAATGAATTACTCAATAGAAACACAGAGGATGAGCACATAGCAAAAGAGAAAGAAAATAAGCAAAAGGGGATGCTTTTCTGTTTATAGAACTGACAAGTAGGGTGTTCATCGCATGTTTTATGCAAGTAAATAAGTTTATATGTAACACAAGATTGGGCGTTCTCTCTATGAGATGATCTCTATCAAAAGAAAACAAAAAACCAAGGAAAGGAAGGGCAAGGAAAGGAAAAGAAAAAAATTACTTATGAAAAGGCACGCAGCACTCTTTTTATTTCTTTATCTTTTCTTTCTGTTTCTTTACTTTCTCTACTCTGGTCTCTTATGGTCTCTCTCTCTTTTTGGTTCGTGCCTTATCTATTTCAAGAACGCGTCTACTTTCTCTAAGGGTTTCTCTTTACTTGGTTGGTTCTATCTGCTTGGTTCTATCTGCTTGGTTCTCTCTCTTTGTCTCTCTACTTTGGTTACAAGTAGCTATGTGTTGAGGATATACTAGTTATCTGTAGTCTAACAATGCTACGCAATAGGTGCGGTTGTGGTAGTTGCTGCACTGGTGAAGGCTAGTGTAGTTGTTTCTTGTTCTCTCTTTCTGTGGTTCGTTTTCTGGTAAGTACCTTATTTATTTCAAGAACGCGTTTACTGACATCTCTGTCTTTTCTAGGATTTTCTCTTTGGTTGGTTTTTTGAGTCTTTCTATTTTCATTTTGAGCGTCTGCGTGTTATCTGTAGTCTAACAATGTGATGGGATGAGATGGAATTGGCGTAGTTTTTTCGTGTTCTCTCTTTTTGTAGATCGTTTTTTGGTAAGTACTCCATCTATTTCAAAAACGCGCTTGCTGACATCTCTGCTTTCTCTAGGCTTTTCTCTCTATTTGGTTGGTTCTGTCTACTGGTGTCTCTCTCTCCGTGGCTTTCAGTGTTCGATCCTGATCGTTGTTGGCCTGTTATAGCCGATGATTTACTTTCTTATCTTACTGCCCCGAGAGTAAGGTACGGGGTATATAGGCGTTGGTCTGCAGCGGGAAGAAGGGTAGTTGCTGGGTGTTGCTGGGATCCTTCTTTAATGATCTGACATTCCCCAGTGTATCGCGGGCCTGGGAAGGTGTCAGTGAAGGAAGTGAGGGAGTACGAGTCAGTTGCCTTCTCGTGGCTACTCCTGTGAGTAACTTCTCTATGAAGTGAAACTAAAGACTGACATTATTTAATAAAGATTTGCTTTTAACAATGAATAATGACGTATACTTTTTTTTTATTGTAATGATGTTTTCTTGAAGACTAGCTGCTTTTACTTTTGTCTTTAGAAGTTTAAGGGCTTGCTTAAAGCAACGATTTACTTTTGTTTCTTTTTTACATTCTTTTTCAAGGTAAGTTCATGTTGCTTATTTGATTTCTATATATCTTTCAATAGTGTAGTTGTGTTTGTTTAGTGTTGTTCAGACATAAAGCCACACTGAAACTTGTGTCATCAAAAGCAACGCGCAATAACTTATGTTTATTGACTAGTCTACTCAAACTGGTTTTTTAGTTATCTAAAAGGTCGTCTAACAAGATGTACTGCTGATTCAAGACTATTTCTCTCCCTGGTTCTACTCTGATTTAGTCGGTAAGCTCTATGATAAACAAGGTGTGCTCTACTCAGGCTGGTTTCTCAAGTGTCTGTAAGGCGTTTGATCAAGTGGTATAGGGCTTTCAAACCCTTTTCTTCAGATTCTGGCTCTCTTTAGGGTTTGGAAGATATACATTCAAGGCTTAGTAAGTTTTCGTAGTGTAAGTCTACTTTTTTGAGTCTTCTTGTGTCTGTTTAAGAGTCTGATCAACTCTTGTTCAGACAAAAAGAGGATCTGAAAAGGCTTGATTATCCTGATCAAACCCATCATGTGTTTGTGTTGTGTATATCCTTTCTCTTTATTGTCGTATATGTGTAGTAAGAGCTATGCGTATATTCCACTTACATCAACGGCTTTGTCCACTCAAGTACGTTGCTTTGTTGTCTTTCGTCTTTAGTATGAGATGATCAGGACTCATTTCACTTGCGAAACTACAGTGATGTTGTCTTCCGTATGCCATAACACTACGCTCTGATTTTGTCTAACTGGTGTTTAGTCTTCCTCTTAACTCGATCGAAACACAGTTGCGATTTGTGAGTGTCAGTAAAAAGAAAAAAAAAGGTCTTCAAGCAGAGTGCAAGAGACCAATATTTGAAATACCGAACCTCCCACTTGCATGATATGCATCATTTACTCTTTTTGACCTCAGAAATGTCATGAATAATAGCAAATCTTACTCTCAAACGCTCTGTAAATCGAATGTTATATAAACTAGTACCTACTTATTAGTCAAAATTTATTGAAAAGGGACTTCTTTTGTACTGATTACAGTGTGCAATTAACTTTGAATGCAGATCTGAGGGGAATGCTCAAATTGATTCGCCTTTATCATCTTAGTAAAATCGTTTTTTTATCAGAAGTACCTAGACAGAACTCACCTCATTTCTGTTGGATCAGACCTACATTGGGTCATTCCAAAAATTCTTGTTTTTTTTCCATCTTCACGGACCTCTGTGGATCCTCCACCGGTCAAAAAAAAATGAATTTCACCTAGAAGCCAACTCAATGGTACCACTCAATTCCTGAGCTCGAAAGAATATGTTTTAAATGAAAAAAAGAGACCATTTTAGTAGCCTGTTTGTCGAGTAATGGTCCATCAAAGAATGTCATGCTCAACTTGTGTTTTGGGCAGTTTTACTCTAGATGTCATATAAAATGCGTTAAGAAAGGGCTCATAAAGAGTCATATGCTACTTGGGTTGCTAGAGAGTATATAAGAATAGGAACATAGGCATTTTATAGAGTGAATGAGGAACAATTGAACGAGGGATGTATATAAAGGCTTGTATCGAAGAATGAACTATATGCCATGCGGTTCTTCTTCCCACCGCTTCTAAAATGGCGCTTTTGCTGAGAGCAGCAGAAAGGCACAGATATTGGGCTTTGGTATAGTGACAAAAGCTGTAGGTGTTTGCTTTCTGAGCCTGTTGGTACAAAGAGCACAACAAATAGGCTGCTAAAATACTGAGTAAATAGACAAAAATGTTTATGGGGGTTTTCACTCATATCTCATCATTGTCATAGTACATTTTGCAAGCAAATACATTTATCAAAAACTAAAGCTTTTGACGCACATTTTGAATATTTAAGTTTGTCGATAGCTCTTTTTTTTTGTTCTGTAGCGTCAAAAAGAAGATCAAGAGTTGGCAAAATGAGCTTTTTCCATGACTGATACCCTTTGGTCGAATGGCCATTTTGGTCATTTTGGCCATTTTTCCGTGTCGCTTTTTTTGGTTCAAATCAACTCTAAAAGCATTATGGATGTTAGCAAACATGGTTTGTAGATATTCAAAACATTTATGCGTGCAGAAACAAGTTATACAATACCTTCATTCCCCGAAGAGGAAGTGTATATATTATTGTCTGTTTTTACTGTTGAAGCGTTTGTTTGCCTGGAGTCTTGGCTACATGAGTCAACAATGTGGTGACAAACTGTTTATCTACATAAAGATGTTCTATTAAAAAGACGCTTGATTTGTTGAGTCTGATGAGTGTCATGAACTGAATTTAAGTCGAGTTAACTTGCTTTTTACGACAACTAGCTGCTCGATACGCACTCGATTAAGATCTATGGTCTAGGCGTGCATTGCGCTCTTCTCTGTTAATAATTTTTCCTTGCTCATCCTCATAAAAACAAATGCAAATTAGAATTTCTTTTTGAAAGAGAAACGCATATTCTTTGCCTCTTATTGGACTATAAATATCCGCCCTCTGAAAATTTTTCGGTTCGCCTTTTCAGGAAAAAAGGAAAGAAATCTTGCATTGACTGTAGACAACTCCCATTCTTTTTATGGTACATGCATGATTTCTGAAACGGCGGCTTTAAATTGCGCAATGTCCGCTGGAATTCTCCCTTTTTCTTCTTTTTCCTTTATTGGTTCTATATTTTTCAGAACTTCCTTTTATCATGGGAAACTGCGTAAGTTTTCGTATTCTGACTCGATTCAGTAAAAACCCAGAGGAAGCTAAGACAAACAAAATCATTGAGAGACAAATAAAAACAGACCAAAAACGAATGAGAAAAGAAGTGAAGCTATTATTGTTAGGTACATTCTTTGATTATAAAAAAATTCACTAACGATTTAGGTGCTGGAGAGTCTGGCAAATCTACTATATTAAAACAAATGAAGCTAATACATGCTCGTGGGTTTGATAAGTCAGAAAGAGAAAGCTTTCGTATCATTGTATTTGCCAATATCATGCTTGAAATGCAAATTGTTTTTGAAATTGTTGAGCAATTTAAAATACCCTTGGAACGCACATCCAATCTCGTAAATTTATTGGTATTTTATCACCAGAATGATGTTGACCATCTTGTAGGAATATGCTTCTCTGTTTAAAAACGTAGATCCTTTAAAGAAAGGTGAACCGTACCCAGAAATGTATTTAGAGCCACTCAAGAAACTATGGACTGATAATGGCATAAAATCTGCTCAGCATAAAGGCAATATGTTTGCATTGCATGACAATGCATCCTAGTAAGTGATTAGAGTATAAAAGAAAAACTTGTTGACAGATTATAGTTTCTTCGAACATTTAGATAGAATATGGAAGCCAGATTATATACCTACAGACCAGGATATACTTCGCTGTAGAGCAAAGACGACAGGCATAGTTGAGACAGAATTTCATATAGGCGCATTGACCTATCGTATGTTTGATGTGGGCGGACAAAGAAGTGAACGAAAGAAATGGATTCATTGCTTCGAAAATGTTACTGCAGTTTTGTTTGTAGTTGCCATTAGTGGCTATGATCAATGTTTGATTGAGGATAGAGATTCAGTAAGTTTATAAATGATCACGTCATATATTTATATATATTTCTATATTAGAACCAGGCAAGTTAATGCAATAAGTTGCTCGATATGATCTAATAGGATTACTAGATGCATGAAGGACTCATGTTGTTTGATACAATCTGTAATTCTTCGTGGTTTACACACACTTCCATGATTCTCTTTTTAAACAAAATTGATATATTCAAACAAAAAATCTTGGTCTCTCCGTTGTCAAAATGGTTTCCTGATTTTGAAGGTATTTATAGACCTATATGGCTAATTGTTAAACACAATGCATAGGTGACGATAAAAGCTTTGAACAGACAAGTGAATATTTCAAAAACAGATTTCAAAGCTTGAACCAAAATCCAAGCAAACGTGTCTATGCTCATTTTACAGATGCTACAGATACATCACTTCTTGATAATGTTATGTATGCGGTATCTGATACCATTTTGAACGAAAACTTGAACACACTCATGCTGTAAACTTTCTTAAACTTTTATGTATATATTGTGATTATGAGTAAAGTAATATGATTAAAAACTGCTTCATTTTAAGATTCTTGAACAAAAAATGTCTTAAATAAGTCAACATTATTAGTTTGTCTTTGTAACTTTGAGAAGCAGAAAAAAACTTTATTATACTAGTTCTTATAGGACTAATTACCTTCGCTCAATTGTTAGGTTGGTTTTTATATGTTGCTAGCATTATAGAATAGAAGTATGCTCATTTAAATTATTGATTTAGCAGAGACTCTTGTTTTGAATCAAACAGTTCTACTGGAATCTGAAGGTTGAACGACTATCTTTAAAATGTTTCTTGATAACTTTAAAAGTGATGTCTGAAAGATAATTATCAAAAATATACTCTAACGACTGCCCTGAATATTTATTCATATGATGGTGCTGCTTTTTTTTTTTTTTTTTTTTTTTTAGAAGCAAGGGGCTTCATACTTGACAATTTCCTACATAAAGCTATTCTATACATAAGATCCAGTTTGATTCATCCAGTTTTTTATGGGATTTCCCTTTGTTTTACGCGGCTTTCTTGTATAATTGTCTTATTACTTTACGCTTTTTTTAAATCAAAAAAAATCTCATTTGTTTAGCTCCACCTTTTTCTTTCTCTTACTCTCTCTTTGGTCTAGACACGATAACGAGAGACAAGAAAGAAATAGAATAACGAACGCAAAGTGCTTTGTTATTTAAAATAAATTTTCTCATTGTTCTTTTACAAAGACATTAATAATTGTGCAACTTTATAAAGAATGCGATTAGAGAAAAAGAAATCAACGCATGTCAACCTTGTGTTGTAAAAAGTAAATATGAAAAGAGACAAGTGCAATTCTTCCTTGTCCAAGTTGTGGTTATTGCCTTTTTATTCATAAAAAAAAAGTATTTAAAACTATTTATTACAGCAAAAAAAAAGTATGCATAATAAAGTCAAATAATATTTTCATTTTCTTAGTTGTTATCATCATCTCCAGTTACCCGGAAAGGGATATGTTGGCCCTTTGTCTACACCAACGACTGCGAACAGTCTCCACCATCCCTACCCTCCCCTTTCTAGGCAAAAGGATCAGATCCGAGCTTACATTCACATCTAACTAGTATAATGTCAATGGGCCCGGAAGAAGTTAATTTGAATTATTTTTCAGAAACAACCCCTTTTTATAGTTTTTTGAATGGGACTGTTTTTATCATATGAAAGTACTCTATACACTTCTTTATGGAATGACTGTTTTTATTTTGCATGAATAGTTTTTTGGACTGTTTTTTTATATGACATCGACCTATTTACATTACTCTCTCATAAGACTTAGATATCTTCCTACTTATGTTACGGTTCCCAGGTTCAATCTTTGGCTTACATAGATATTATTTTTCTTTCCAGTTGAGAGATTTTGGAAATAAACTTTGCGATACTAAAGAAGATGCTGTTTTTGTTCGTTTTATCCTTTACTTTGTAAAACCAATTTTAGGTTTACGCGGATCAATTGTTATAATTTTGGCAAGCTCTTTTAAAACGTCTCAGCGAATGCATCGCATTAATGTGTAGTGGTACACAAGTAACAATGTGGTTTTAATGTCTTGTATTCACATCAAGTGCCTTTTTATATATACTCAGCCAGTTAACCAGTATTGATCTTGTTGAGAAATATACTAGAACAAATGATATATATTTTGTACGACCATTTGAGTCATTCATATTATTTGATGTGAAAACACCCAAAGAAGATTCTCACATTCACACACAAGAGGTGAGATCAATTTTTTTTTTATCACAAGTACAGTTCTTTATGTCTATTTCGCCTGTATCAAATCAAGCTAGATATATTTATTAATGAGAAATGATCAAAGTAAAAAAAAAAAAAAAAAAAAAAAAAAAACGGTAAGGAGAAACGTTGTAATACATAAGCAAAAAAAAACAAAAAAGTAATTGATCCTATTGTAGCCACCTCCCTCTCTTTCTTTCTTTCTTTCTTTCTTTTTATCTTATTCTTTATCATGGAAATACCACAGGAGAAACTAGACGATCTCAACTCTTGGCATGGCGATGAAGATCTAGAGAATCCGTCTGTTATGTTCAGAACATATAAAATTCGTTTTTATGGTTTAGCAGTCATTGGTCTATCCAACATTGCTTCCTCTTTAAATTGGCTAGCAGTTGCACCAGTGCCAGAATATGCAAATAGTTTTTTTAATCAAATTGGATTGTCTGCTATCAATTGGTTTTCAAATGTATTTATGCTGACTTATCTCTTGGCTGGACCAGCTTCAAGTTGGGTATATGATCATTGGTCTTTAAGAACTGGTGTATGTTTTTTATCTCTACAAACAAATAGTTTAATTATAAATTCAGATTATCATAGGCAGTGTATTGCAAACATTAGGTGCTTGGCTTCGATATGCTTCTGCTTTTGTTAATGATCCTATGAGTAAAATAGCTTTAGCTATGATAGGCCAAGTAAGTACGTCTTGTGATGTCATGAGCAATTGTTATCTAAACAAAAGCTTGTAGATAGTTTGTGCCGTTGGTCAGCCCTTTATTCTGAATGCTTGTACACCAGTAAGTTATCAGACAAATTAGGAAAAATTATGCTTACAAAAAAAAAAAGTATGCTGCATTATGGTTTAGTGCAGATGGTAGAGGCACAGCTACTATGGTGGGCGGCGTGAGTAAGTTCAGTAACTTTTTAAACCATGACTAATTTCTTACAGCTAATGCCATTGGTATGGCTATTGCTTCCTTAATTCTTCCTGCTCTTGTTCCTAATGCAAATTCTCTTGGTGTCGGTGTAAGTAAATAACTTATGTTATTATGTAATTAAGTCATATTAGTTCCTTGCAATTGCATGTATCACTACAGGATGTACAATTCCCGTGTTCTTCATACCCAAGAAACCCAAGACACCACCTTCTTACAGTGCTTCATCTAAATCCAAATATACTATGAGTTTTAGCCAATCTTTACGTGAACTGTTTTGCAACTACAACTATTTGATTATCATGTTTGCTTTTGGTGTTTTATGCGGTTTATTTTCCTCATTTACTTCTCTTCTGACTCAAATAGTGACGCCTTATGGTATCTCTGTAGATGAAGCAGGCTATCTCGGTGCTGCATTCATTGTTGCTGGACTTGTGGGTGCTGTAATTACAGGCATTTTTATTGACAAAACAGGTCGACATAAATGGGTTATTAAAGCCTATGTGCCTATCATTGGCGTCATGTACCTTGCATTTTACTTTGTCGGTAAGCAATCATGATTGAATTATGAAGTTTTAACGGATACATTCTAGTTAAATCTGCAAGTTATAGTGCCATGATGGCCATTTGTGTCTTGCTTGGCTTCTTTACTTTTTCACTGTTACCTGTTGCCTTAGAATTATCCATTGAATGTAAGACACTTTCTTTCTGCTTATTAGTAATTCTCACTTTTTCTTTCATGACAGCTTCTTTCCCTATTAGTGAAGCTATTTCAAGCCCTTTGTTATGGATGAGTTCACAAGTCCTTGGTCTTATTATTTTGCTTGTCATGGATGCTCTTCGAAATACGGATGGTACTATGCTCCGTAGCCTTATTTTTGCTACTTGTATCTCTATTCCTCTCTCTATCCTTTCCACCATTTACAATAGTCCTAATAAGCGTTTAGAGTTTGAAGACAGAAACAGGGCTGCAAGCTGTTAATAAAAGTGTTTGTGTAATCTATGTCTGTGAGAAAACAGCAAAAGAAATGCTGAGATTGAATGCACTCTATTTTTTTTTATGTTTAGTCATCCACTTAAAGAGTTTTTGCTTTTTTTTTTCCTTCTCGTTTACTTTTTCTTACAATGTCTTTTAAAAATATGATGAGTGGTGATGATTCTTGTGGTGGTTCTAACCCTATGGCACAAATGATGAAACAATTTGGACAAGACAGGTCTTTACAAAGAGTAAGTGCGCTTTCATATAAGCATGAAAAAAAAGAGACTTAGCTTTTATGTATAGGATCAATTCGCTGGACCTTCTCAAGCCGGTGTCGGTCCTTCCACGGTAAATTTTGAAATCAACATGAACATATGCTGATAAACAATTAGATGCGTACACAACGACAACAAGGTCCTGGGTTCTCTCAAGGAGCTGATATGGTGAATGAGTTTTTTGGACAGGAACCACAACAACAGCAAAGAATGGGCATGGGCAACAATTTTGAATTCTCTGCCTTACAAAGAGAACTGGATGCTGTGCGTCAATTGCCTACAAATGGCTGGGCAAATGAATTCCAACGAAGCGGGCCTAAGCTTTGGGAATTGACACCTGGAGAAGAAGCTGCTATGGAAAAGGCATTTATGGAAAGCAAAGCAGCTGCGGGACAAAATGCGTCAGGTAAGAATACACGCAAGTATCTTATAGTGACACGGAAATAGCATGGAGAGAGGAATTTATGAATCATCCTGAAGTTCACAATATGAATCCAGCACAATTGGCTGAATTTGAGACAGCTTTCCAAAAGCATTTTGACTGGGCCAACGAGTTTGATCTTGCACAAAACAAGGGTAAAGGGCGTCTTGAGCCTAATGCTTCTTGGGAAGAACAGTTTGCTGCATTTGATCAACCAAGCGAAGAAGAAATGGCTCGTCAGGTGGAGGAAGCTGCTGCTGCTCAAGATCCTTCTTTCGGTGAATTTGAACATGTATGGCAAAACATTCGTGACCAAATGGCTGAAGACAATGACTGGGAAGACGAGTTTGGTAACTTTGGCCAAGGCAATACTATCTATAAACCCGACTTGGGCGAATATGTGTTTGAAGTCAACAATCCTTACTTGAGCCATCCCGATCCTATGGCAGAAGGTCTAAAATTATTGGATCAAGGAGGTTCTTTAAGTGATGCTGCCATGGCATTTGAAGCTGTGGTTCAAAAAGACCCCCATAACTCAGAGGCTTGGATGCACCTTGGTAATGCTCAAGCTCAAAATGAAAAAGAAGAACCTGCTATTCGTGCTCTTGAACGTGCTATTGAAGCCGATCCTGGAAATTTACAAGCCTTAATGTCTTTGGCTGTAAGCTATACCAATGAATCTTATGATCATGCTGCTTATCAAACGCTGGAACGTTGGATTACGCAAAAATACCCTGAGATTGTGGGCAAAATGCGCTTGCCTGAAGCTGCTTCTCCTTTTGAACTTCATGATAGAGTCACTGATTTGTTCTTGACTGCTGCAAGACAAGCTCCTGATGGTCAGTTGATGGATCCTGATGTTCAAGTTGGTTTGGGTGTGTTGTTTTATGGTAGTGGTGATTTAGATAAAGCTATCGATTGTTTCTTTACTGCCTTGAAGGGCCGTCCTAATGTAAGTTCATATAAATCACTTTTTGTTAGCTTAATTTTTTTTCTGATAGGATTACTTGTTGTGGAATCGTATGGGTGCTACATTGGCCAACAATGGTCGTTCAGAAGAAGCTATTGATGCATACCACAAGGCACTTGAATTACGCCCATCATTTGTTCGTGCTAGATATAACATTGGTGTCAGTTGTGTTAATATTGGTTGTTATAAAGAAGCTGCTGAACACATCTTAACTGCACTTTCAATGCACAAGCGTGGTCATGGGGATTCAGAAGAAGGTGTTAATGTGTCAAACAACTCTTGGGAAATGTTAAGAAAGGCTTTCATTATGATGGTAACAATATCTCGTCATATAGGATTGAATTAACGTTTTTCTATAGGATCGTCGTGACTTGGCTGACAAGGCAGTTGTAGGAGCTGACTTAAACCAATTCCGTCCAGAATTTGAATTCTAATGCATTTCAATCTTTAATGTATTTTGTTTCTTCATGAAACAGTAATGTGTATTTTTATTGTTTTATATATATATATAAAAAGAACAAAAAAGAATGTAACTTTGTATCCGAGGATATATGGTAGGCTATTAAAATTTTTCACAAGCATGTTATTTGATTTTCGGCTCAAGAAAAGCGGGGGATTATGGATTTGTACCAAATTAGCTCCACTCTAAAGAAACGCAAGATATTCTATGACTGAACCTAGTTTTCTCTTTCTGTTTTTTTCTTGCCTTTCTCTAATATATATCAAAGAAAGGAACAAAAGAAAAGACAAGTATGACATGGAGTAAAATAACCCTAAGAATTGCTTGTTGTTTTTGGTGCTAGACTTTTTGTTTTTGGGAGCTCGAATTAGTCACGATGAAGAGTAGTACAAACTTTCATCTGATTATGATTGCGTCTTTGTATCACCATTCTCCCAAACTTTCACAAATAGACTGAAAATGTGGGTTGATCTAAAGTTTACTAACCATTTGAAAAAAAAAACGATACTTTTGTCTTGGACAAAAAAAACCATAGATAGGAGGATAGTATCTTGTTCTTTTTTAGATCGATGAGTTCCTGGCTGCTACTAAAATAAACATAGAGAGTAAAATTTACCGTGCTTTTCTTTGTTTTCTTTTTTAATTAGCGCAGATAACCAGATTGTCTGCCTTGAAACTCAAAAGAAAGACTGTCAAAACGATAATTAAAACCTTGTTCATCATTGAATAAAGAGGCCCGAAAAGATGCAGTTTAATTATATAGCTCACAACAGTGTTAATGAAGCCAGTAGACAAACTCTCAACGTATAGGAGACTTACCGCTCTACTAAAGATATTCAACTTGACTCTTGAAGAATCAAATACTAAGACAATATTAGAAAGTCTGCAGGGGACGGGGAGAGAATAACAATATCTCTTTCAAATATGCATGCATGCGAATCAATGAAACATTATTTAGAACCAAACGATTGACAACTATCTACAAGGCCTTGTTTGAGAGAAAATAAGGTGCTTTGTTACCATACATTCAACACTTTCTCCTTTATCTGTCGGATGATCAATTCACGAAAAAAAATATATAAAGAGTTTTTTTTTGCGTCTATGGGCTCAGCTCCGAACAAGTTTTTTTCTTTTATCAGATCTTTCTGATTGTTACACGACATCTTATTTTTTATCTTCGTCTTCATCCCGTTTTTTGTTTTGTTTTCTTTTTCCCTTCTTCCTTTTTATTTTAGTCTTTTTATTAACATGTCTAAAGCCAACCACTATAACTACATTCCAGCTTGTTCTGCTGTCGCTTCTACTTCAAGGTATAAAATCTATTTTTTTTTTACCCACACACAAACAACAGTTGAACCAGGGTGGAAAAAAAATCTTTATCTGATTTGTGATATCTAATCTGATCTTTCTCCCTTGTAGTTGTTATACTCTATTCAACCGCCAACATCCTATTCATGCTCGTATCAGTACAAACAATGAAAGGGGTAAATAAAGAAAAAAATCCCCAAACATACTTTGTATTCAACTTCATTTTCTTAGATCGTCGACCAATTGACCCTCCTCCCATTATTCAAATTAAGCTAAACAACGCAACTTCTCAACAAATTGAGTAAGTTTTTTGATTTGATCAAATTTATCTTATTTTTTTTTTTGATAAAATAGTACTTTTCATCAAAGCTCATTCTTCTACATGTGTGCCAACTTGGCTCATCCTTATGATGATAATGAGATTTATACACCCACCCATAATGCTCTTTCTGGTCAAACAGTTTCTAGTATGTATAAACTCAAAGACATCAATAATAATGGTAAGTATACACCGTAAATACAGACTCATGCCTAACAAGCAACTAGATGGCGCCTTTTTCATTTTCGGTGATCTCTCTGTTAAGGTAGAAGGCCATTTTCGATTAAAGCTATCTCTGTTTGAAATTACTTGCACTGGTGCAGTCTGTCTTCAATCTGTCTTTACAAGCCCATTTATCGTGTATCCTGCAAAAAAGTTTCCCGGTGCACTTGATTCTACCTTTTTATCAAGATCTTTTTCGGACCAGGGTGCTCGTATCAAGATTCGCAAAGAAAACAGACAGGCGTAAGTTTGTTATACATCAACTATCATAACTCAGTCTATTAACCTCATTCTCTAGACCATCCAATCCACGTAAGCGAAAAGTTGAAATTCAAACAGAGTTGACTGTGTGCCTTGAAAGAAGGGGCAGTATCACAAGCAGTGGTACAAATGAAAGCAATAATAGTAGCCAAGGAAGCCCTGTCACATCTCATTCTACATATCCTCGTATTGTTTCTCTGCCACCGTTGTCTCCTCCTGCATGCGATAGTCAATTCTTATCATTCCAATACATGTATCCTGAATCTACTATCAAGTTGCCTCCTCTTCGTAGTTTTTTATTGTTTGAGAACAAGCGACACAAGATTGAACAAGATGCTGCTGCTGCCATGATGCAACTTTCGCATCAACCTAGAAGACATAACCTAATTCATTTGAATTAAGCCCTATTTATTTATATAGAATACTTGTAATATTTTTTTATACGCGCATATACTCCATACATATATATATACACGACTCGCACTGTCATACTTAATTCTTGTATATTTTCCTCATAACATTTGTTCCATTGCATACAGCCTAATAAACTTTTTGCTAATTTGATATCAAGCAGTGTAACAACATGGATAGCCCTATCTTTTAAGGTATTTATGGATAAAAATGGCTACTATATTGATTTACTATGAGTAAGCCATTACATTTGATCAAATGCCGTAGTCCTATCAATTGGAACACGACCATATATTGTACGCTTGTCTATGCATTATCATTGTTACAATAGTTTAATTCGATCAAGTAACATAAGTATTACCATAATAGGTAAGACACAAACCATATAAAAATACGTCTTTTGTTTATGCACTTGCTATCCTTATCCTTATCTTTTCTTTCTTTCTTTCTCTTTCTTTATTGAAAATGGCTGTGCCAATGTCAAACTATGTTTGGTTGATTAGCGGGTTCTTTATGGGCATGTTCTTCATGTACAACATTATTCCTATGCGAATGAACCAACATCACACTCGCCATTTGCAACCAAGACAGTCTGTCAATAATGTCCTTCAATTTGGCAACCCAGGTTAGTAAGGAAAGGAGAAACTGCTTGTCATACTTACGATGATTTCATAGGCCCTGTCGTTGATTTATTAGAAAGAACTGCATACACAGCTTCTTATAACCGTAAGGATCGTATTCCTTACTGGGTTGGTGAACACCTCACGAAAGACGGTCTCCAAAAAGGTTCTGGTGTTGACCGTGACAATTCTAATTTCAAGCCTGATACTTCTTTACCTACCATGTTCCAAGTGGTTACTACTGACTATACTAACAGTGGCTATGATCGTGGTCATATGGCTCCTGCAGGTGACGCTGTTGCTACTCAATCCGGCATGGACGAAACTTTCTTGCTCTCGAACATTGCACCTCAAGTAGGCGAAGGCTTTAATAGACAATGTAAGCATCAGCTTGTTCCATAGAGCCGAGTGCTAACATATGCATAGACTGGGCTTATTTAGAAGCATTCTGTCGTGACTTGACAAACAGCTACAATGATGTCTATGTCTACACAGGTCCCTTATTCTTGCCTCAATCAACGACAAGCACTAATGCTGCATTTGCACTTGCTAATCTTCAAATCAATAACCAAGGCGAAATCATAAGTAACGTTACCTCAAGCAAAAAGAGAGCTACCAAACAAAACTACAAGATGGAATATACTGTCATTGGTGCTAATAGTCCTACTGTTGCTGTTCCTACTCATTTCTATAAGATTATTTTAATCCCTCAAGGCAGTAGTTATATTGCAGGTGCCTTTGTATTGCCCAATCAATCCATTACTAAATCAACTCCTTTGACTCAATTCCAAGTTCAAATTGATGCTATTGAAAAGTCATCTGGCTTACAGTTCTTTTCTAAACTTGATAGATCCAAGTTTTCTGACTTGTGTAAAGCAGTTCAATGTACTGTTTAAATAAAAATGAGCAATCACGTACTATTTAAACGCGCTTATTTCTCTGTGTCTTTGCATAGTTTTTTTTTTTTTTTTTGTTATTATGAATATCGAATCTAGATTGCAAGAGTGCATCAACTTCCCTCAACAAAAAGAAAAACTGGATGGGTTTAAAAGTGTATTAGAAGACATCTTGTCTAGTTCGAATCATGTTCAACAATTACAAGACTATATAGAAGCTGTCCTGGACGAGCAAGTGGGTCTTGTTATTGCACGTCAACTATTGTCTGAATTCATTGCTTTGTTTGATGAGAAAATCACAGATCATGATGTTCAAAAGCAATTGTTGTTGTTTGCTATTGAGCATGCTCAACCTCGCGCTGTTAGTTTTGAAGAATCGGTAGGGAATCTATTCTTCTGCTGTCTAATATAAGCTTACTGATATATAACCCATAGTTATCTTTATTAAGAGAGAAATTAGCAAGTGTATATGAAGCAGAAGATGAGTATTTAGAGGCAGCAAAGACATTACAAGGTATTCCCTTGGACTCTGGTCATAGGCAAGTGAAGCATAATGCATCAAGATATCATAATTAAACTTTTAGCAGAGCTATTTCAGATGATTACAAATTACAAGTGTATGTTCGTATTGTCAAGCTATTATTGGAAGAAGAAGAAGCTGTTCAAGCAGAAGCTTACTTAAACCGTGCTGCCTTATTAATCCCTAACTCGAATGATCCCTTATTGAACTTGACATTCAAACTATCCCAGGCTCGCATTCTGGATGCTAAACGTAGATTCTTGGAAGCCTGTTCAAAATACCATGAATTGAGTTATGTCAGTCAAGTTGAAGAAGACGAGCGTATTCTTTGCTTGTAAGTGTCTTCTATGTCAATAATGGATGTTAACCTATAGCAGAACTGCTGCTGTGCAATGTGCTGTGTTGGCAGGTGCAGGACCCCAACGTTCTCGTAGCTTGGCCACACTTTACAAGGACGAGAGGACACATCATTTGCCTTTTTTTTCCATCTTGGAAAAGACATATTTAGAACGAGTTATTCGACCTAACGAAGTCTCGGAATTTGTAGCCACATTACGCTCACATCATTTAGCACGATTGGCAGACAATACGACTGTCTTTGATCGTGCTATCATTGAACACAACTTGCTCTCTGCTTCTAAAATTTACAACAATATTGCTATTGATGAATTAGCTGCCTTATTGAATGTGTCGCCTGAACAAGCAGAACAAGTAGCGGCTCGTATGATCAGTGAGAACAGAATGGTGGGCAGTATTGATCAATTAGATCGCTTAATATCATTTGAATCAGGCGGTGCTGCAAGAGAAGAACAGACGGCAGATTTATTCTCAGTCGGTTCTGGTCAAGCAAGTATTCGTGTTGAACAAAGTATGCTTGAAATCATGAAATGGGATACAGCTATTCAGTCTCTTTGTCAAGATATTGATGCTGTTATTACCAAAGTAAAAGCTAAACACCCAGATTATATGGTATCTCAATGAATATATAAAACATCTTTTTTTTATTACAGAAGGGGGGTATGATTATAAATTAGGCTCTGTTCTGAAGAATGTTTTCAATACATGCGTTAATGTAATCTTTTCGAGATGCCATCGACACGCCAAAGATAGTTTGAAGTTCTTCACGTACTTGTTTCTTGGTCACTTTGGTGAGATCAGCTGTGCTTAGAATACGTTGCACTTGGAACATGATTTCTTCGTTCTTTGGACCAGTGTTATCACCCATAGTAAATCCATCCATCATAATGGAATTACTGCTATTGAATTGGGATTGTTGCATTGGGATGTATTGTCCAGGTTGATTATTGAATGAGGCAGGTGCAAAAGAGGCCATGGAACGGCTTGAGTTCATAGGAAGCATGTTGGTACTATTGGCATACTGCATCATGGGCATAGAGGCAGAGGAAGGCATCACCATGCTTTGATGGTCATTGAAGTTAGTACTCATACGACCTTGTTGCATGCCTTGTGAGTAGACACTCATGTTATCTTGCATCAAAGGCATATGTTGGCTATACACAACAGAAGCAGCACCAGGAGCCACGTTGGGATTCATGCGACTAGCACTACGACCACTTTGACGACTAGCATGCGTGTATCCACTACTGCTTCCTTGAGACATGTTATCACTCCAATGATCTTCAGCCAGCAAAGCTTGTTCGTATTCAGACCATTTCATGGTAGGAATAGACTTGGGATCAAAAGCGCCTTCATCAGCAGCCACAGCGTATTTCTTACCTTTGTCACCAACGACCACACGGGTGTTACCCCATGAGAAATCATCAAAGTGCCAGTATGAATAAACAGGAATATAGAAAGAAAAGACGGGAAGAGCAAGAATAGACACAAGCATCCAGGCAATGAATTCCCAACGTCCCTTCATAATAAAGATCATAGCTTGAAGACCATAAGTACCAGCAATAGTGGCAATAGTAATAATGGGTACCGTATCATCCAATGTAGCCAAAGTGTAAATCAAATAACCCAGATAACCCATAACAGCAGGCATCACTAAAGTACTGATCAAATCCAGCATGACGACGAAACGCATGGAGAAACAACAGAAACCACAAAGACGAGGCAAGAAGACTAACTCACCCAAGTTGTGAACAGTAGAGTTAATCCAACGACGGCGCTGAGAAATCAACACACTCCAGAGGTCAGGAGCGTTGGTCATACAGTGAGCATCAGGGTTAAATTTGGTCTTGAAATCAGGGAAGTGCTTTAACAAAAGGGTGGTCAAATAACGATCTTCACCCAAATGAAGCAAGTTCTTCTTATGCAAAGTGTCAACAACATTCACAGAGTAGTCTGAGATAATTTCATTCGAGACAAACAAAGCACGCTTTCCATCCACAGTACGGACACGGTACATAGTGAAACAACCAGGCAAACAACTGACAGTAGAGAACAAGGATTCAAATGCCTTAATAAGATGGTGAGAAATAAAGTATTCGTACACTTGAATCATTGTAACCCAAGTATCTTTCTCGTTAGACAAGGTAGTTTCACCACAAATACCAATGATTCTGCTGTCATGAACTGTACTTGAGACAAGATAATTTAGACCATCACGCATAACTTCTGTATCAGCGTCCACCATGAGTACAAACTCATAGAATTCAGGACTTACACCAATCACATTCTTCATTTGGTGATAGATTTCAAGTTGAAGTGGGTTCATAGGGGCATCGTAATGTACACGGTTCAAGAATTGCATCAACACCAATTGAGAATCACGCTTACCACGGTTACCAGGCTTTTGGCGTTCTCGAGGATTACCACACTTGGCAACAACGATATAGGGTACAACATGACCAGCAACTTCATAAAGACCAGAATAAATTTTACCCATGTTGTGTTGCTTATTGCCATCACCCACAGAGATAAATGATAATGGTTCAGGGTCTACTTGAGCATCCACACCCAAGATATTAAGCACAATACGAGGTGTAGGCAAATCGTTACCACTACCGACAATCATACCATCACAAATGACAAACAAGAGCTTGCGTTTATCATCATAGTCCAATACAGAAAGTGAGTCAATTGTCTTTCGGAGTGAATCTTCGTCTTCAGTATAACATGTCACTTGACAGATAACAAACTTGTCATGCTCTTCAGGTGCACGCTTACCACCAATACGAACAGCAGCCAAAGACTTAAATACGATTACAGAAGCCATGAGAATAGTAACAATCAAAAGCAAGTAGGTTGAGAATTGACACTTGGGAGAGTTTCTTGTATCAACATAACCCACAAAAAACAAGTTACGAAGACAAACAAGTTCACGTTGACGAGAAGCAGCGTCCATATCAAGATTGTTGAAATCGCTTGTAATATCTGAACCTGATTTTTGTCTGAAGAGATCGACTACGGATTGTGACATGAAATCAGTACTGATGCCTGAAGGAATAGCTTCACCGGAAGGACCTCTCAAGTATCGACCACCCATATTGTAAGCAGTCAAATCATAGATACGGTCATCAATAACAGCCCACATACGCAATGACTGAATACCGTTGATAGTAGTAGAACTCTTGGCTTGATCAGAGATAGCCTTCCATTCATAACCCATATGGCCAACTTTGTAGTTTTTACGTAATAAAGTCATTTGGTCATAGTACCAATTAGGATTATAGCTGTCTGAGTTGTATCTAAAGTCATGGTATTGACCATTACTGTCTGTCAAGTTGACTTGGTAATCGTAGCTGACATAAGGAGAGATGGCAGTGCCGTCTGCATTTTGACAAAGAGCAGAGACTTGAACAGGGAACAAATCAGTAGCGTCTTTACCAGCATAACTCAATACAGAAGATTGAGGCACAAGATTAGCAGGATAATGATGGGGAGCAAAATTGCCCAAGTCAAACACTTCACCACGAATAGCCACATATTTGTTTGTCGCATCTGTACCATGACCTTGAAGTTCAGAAGCAGAAAACACATGCTGCTTGGGACAGACAATTTCACTAAAGAAGACCAAGAACCAGATAACAAAAGCACACATCAAGAAGATAAGCATACATAAAGTGACTTTTTCTCTCCAAGCAATACGCACATCTTTACGCTTCATACGACCGCACCAAATCATGAATTTGGAAGGAATCCACCAAGTACAAAAATATACAAAGTAAAGCCAACGTTTACGGCCTGGCGTCATTTTTGCTTCGTCTTCTTCTGTTTCGTCCAAGTTTTCAATGATGGGTTCTTGTGGTGGCATCAAGTCAAGCCCATTTTTCATATCACTGCCTGTTGTAGAGTAAGCATAGGATTCAGAGCCATAGTAGGAGCCTTCGTTTTCTACATAATGACCTGATTCATCTTCAGAATAGTATGAACCTTGATCATCGTGAGCATAGTGTTGTGTAGGTAGAGGAAGACCGACTGCTGCTGCTGTGGCTGCAAATGGATGTGATGCATCACGTACACTAGCAGTATCTTTGGCTTGTCTTTGTTGTGTCTTTTCAAATGATCTAAGCTGGTCTTCTAATTCGCGCCATGCTACAGCATTCAAGAACACCTATCATTTCTATAAATAAAATGTGGCTTCTCTATTTTTTCCTTACCTTGCTTTGGGATATGCACATCATGTCTGATTGCCAATTCATTAAGTCTGCGGCTGCTTCACATTGTGAGCGAGCGAGCCGAGAAGTATCCAACTGAGCAAACAAGTGAGCATAGCGGTCCAAGAACTCCTGATGTCCATACGATTCAACGTATTGAGTTGTAGGCAATTGTACAATGGAGCCAAGCTTCATTTGCTCTAATTGAGATTCAACAAATTTAGTATCAAACAGGTTCTTAGAGAATCCGGTAGCAGGATTTTTAGGTAAAATACAAAAGACTGTCCATAGCTTGACTTCTTCAAATGACTGAATAAGTTCATCAAGAGCAGATTGAATTTGTTGAAGTACTGTTGTTGTTGGAGTAATTGCTATGTCTTTCTTTTCATCATTATTGTTTCCTTCTTTTCTACGAGTAGAACGACGTTGTGAAGGTGCACGCATTGGTTTGGCTGATTGTTGAGCACCAACCATAGCAGAGTGTTTAGGATGATTTTCAATCTTGACGTTAGCAAACAAGTCAACAATGAATGTATTCCAAGAAGGCTGAACATCCATACCGCCCTTAAAGAGAGAGACAAAATCGACTGATATCTGGCTGTTGTTTTCATCGATAAAACCTTCAGTTGAGTATTGAACAGGAGAGTTACCACTGTAATGGTTGATGACGAATCTGCGTGAGTTGGTATCAGTGTTTTTGACTGAGAATGCAGCATGCGTAGAATTGAACTTGACAAGAGAGTCCATGATGTTAGCGTCAGTGTAGGCACGCTTAGACACATCTGTCATTGTGTTGATCAAGTCGCAAACACCCTTAGGACGGTTCAAAAGATCGATACAGTTGTCATCTAGGGAGAATTCTGGAACTGGCAAACCTTCTGCCCGGAATAGTTCAGCTTCGGTCTGGAACATGGTCTGATCAAGATAGTGTTGAATGCGCTCATTACTCAAATTGAGGCAGAGTTGATCGAATCCGGCAACAACATTGTCTGAAGTCTGTAATGCTGGGAAGTCCAAGATGCCAATAAAACTGTTGAATTCTTCTACACATGTCTTGCTATTGATACGCTCAACAATCCAAGAAAACAAGAGTGAGTACAATGTTTGACAGAGATTATCGCGTTGAAGAGCAGCTTGTTCAGCATTCAAAATCAAGGTAGTAAAGTCCTTGCGAATCATAGTTGTCTTAAATGTTAGTACATTTTCTAATGCTCGAGGATCTAAGCCTAAAAAGTCGGCTACAATATCGAGTTGTTCGGTATTCTTGACGAAAGCAGCCTCTTGTGTTCCCGTGCCGACTGGGTCAACGAAAACTAAATTACCGAGATGAAGAATAGTAGCAAGCAGCTGGACAATACGACCAATATGCTCTTTTCTGAATCCACCTGCCTTGAGTGAAGACTTGAGTTGCTCAAAATGAGATGCATCATCAGCTTGTACTGTGCGTTTCTTGTACTTTGCTAAATATGGATATGAAGAAGGATCTGGACTAATCAGTTGTAGCGCTGTTCTTTCTTCTGGAGATACACCAGCCAGTAAATAATAAAACACATCGAAGTTGCCATCAGAGGCTGAGGGGGATGAATGACCTGTAACACGGGACTTTTCCAATAAGTAATGCAATGTTTTGGCACCGACCATTCGTCCTCTTTCGTTAAATTGAATTTCTCCATAATAACCAAAGCGAGAGCCAGACAAGTTATCTTGTACTTGACATTGTCCGAATGCTTCCAATATCTTTTGTGATTCTATGATTTGTGTCTGTACTTTGGATTCTTTGCGATGGCTACTTAGTCGTACCAAGTGTCGGATAGTTAATTTACGGATTTCGGACTTTCCGCTACTGGATTCACCACTAGAAAGAAATAACAGATAAGAAGGGGGGGATGACAAAAGCTTAATTCATACCGTAAAACAATATTTTGATCGCTTCCAGTTCTTCTCATATGGAAATAGACACGGTTTACCAAGTCAAACAAGTGAGGATCCATTAAGGAAGCCTGTAATTGATTATTACTTCCTGATGCATCCTTGTAAGCAGCCACATATTCTAAACTGGTTTGATCGTCGTTAATAGCAAGCTCTTTAAGAGGATTGACTGCGACAATATGACGGGAACCAATGTTTGTGTAAATCTTGAAGGTGTCATAGCGTGTACTTAGACAGGCTGCAATCGATGCATTTGTTGGGTTTGGTAAAGTAGTCAAGTCGGTTCGAGAAGCCGAATCCTTTGCTTGATTTTTTTTCAATTTTCCCATTTTTCAGGTTAATAAAAAATAGGATTGAAAAAAGAAAGAAAGAAAGAGATGAAAATAAATGCCAATAAAAAAAAATTATCTTTCTCCCTTCTTCTCGACTTGTGTATCGGTAACACAGCAAGAGCAAAAAGATAAAAATAGTAACATCTCTTTATTTTACTATTGTTATTAACAAAATTTACTTTCTTTATCTACCAGTTATGATACAGTAACGCAATGCAAATAATAATAAAAATAATAATGAAAAAAAAAATTATAGAATTCTTTGTGCCTTTTTATCTTCCCTAAAAAAGTGTTGCAGTGTAAATTGATATAGTGGGGGGCTGGTATCAAAAATCAAATCAAATTTAAATAAAGTGTTTCATTCTCCGCGTAATTTGTCTCAATCATCTCTTTACATTAATGATGTTTGCAGTGTCTTGCAGATCGACACAATGACTTCTTGTAGTGGCAATGAGTCATATCATCGACTTCAGAAACCACTGAGCAGGTAGATTGTGAATGTTTGAGAGTGTTACTGCAAGGTTTGATTGACGAATAACAATGACGATGATGGCAGCATTTTGATCTACATCGATGCCTTTTTCGACAAAAGGGTTTTTCTTGTATTTTGTCTTCTCTTTCTTTCGTTTTATTTTCTGAGTTACTTATTGGACAAAGTGTATTCCACTTATTTTCGTCTATTTCAGGTATATTTTCTTTTGAAAACCTGCTTAAATCAGGAACAGAATAGGATGATCGTCGCAGCTGCATATCTTGTAACTCTCGCTTTAATTTGAGAGGTATATCCACTACCTTGATTTTGGGATCACTCGCCAATGTGCTTGAAGAAGAGTTCATGATAATGTCTTCAATACTTGCAAGCTTTTCCTTGTCTGTCAAAGATACAGGTGAAAGTGGTCTTTCCAGTACTTCTTTCTTGTTTTTGGATTCATCTATCGCCAAATGATGTGACTCAGGAGGTGGCGTGCGACATCTATGTAATGCGATCGATTTGCAACTGTCATTTGAGTGATAACTACAATGATGATGACGGTGCTGTTGATGATGATGGTGGTGGTGATGATGATGTTTTCGATATTTTTCTACAGGCAGACGTTTATACAATGGCTTCGAAGTCAAATGATGCTTTCCTGCTTCGTATTCTAAGGAGGAAGACATAATAGAATCTAGTATAGCTTGATTGATGTTGTTTTGTTCTTGCTGTTGTTTTTGTTGAAGATGAAGCTGTTGCAGTTTTTGTTGTTGTAAACGTTGTTGCTCTTCAAGTTGATGCTGTTTCAGCTCAATTTGCTGCTGAATTTGTTGCTGTTGCATCTGCTGCTGTTCCTGTTGCTGTTGCTGTTGCTGTAACAAAATCTGTTGCTGCTGCTGAAGAGAACGTGTAGGAAACCCAGGATAAGCAGAAACAGATCGATTTAATGCAAAGCGAGGCAAAGATGGTATATCTTCTTCATTTTCTTGTATTGGAAGTGACGATAGAGCAGGCTGATGATATGAGTGTTGAAGAGAATGAAAACGTCTAGTATTACTCAAGCTAACATCAGATTGTGTCTATGTAGAATGAGTAAATAAAAAAAAAGAGAAAACAAGTGCATAAGAAAGAGGATTATTACCTGAATAGGAGCATTGAATATGTCAAAAGAACAATTCTCGTTTTTTATGGTCACCGATGGCTTCATGAACATATTGCATGACTGAGATTGAACCATATTTTTCTGTGGCCTATTTTTACTTCCATCAGCAATGTGGCTGAATCGGTCTGTTGTCGCACCAGCAATAATAGGCATAGAGGGTGAACTCAAATTACGGTCCATAAAGGGGGAAGACGAAGATCTGCGTGCTTCTTGGCGATGCCTTTCCTTCATTCGGTCCATTAAAGTCTTTGAACTTGGTTGAACAGGTTCATTTGAAGTATCAGAAGCAGAAGAAGAAGAAAGAGGCATGGGTGAAGGCTTATTGTTGACAGGTGCAGAGTGTCTCTTGACTTGATTTCGCATTAATCTTGAGCCAAGAATATAATTATCTTCCTTTTCTTCTTTTTCTTCTTCTTCATCGGCGTCACCGGTATGTTCATCACGATTATTCAAATTATTAGTATGGTTTTCTTGTTGCAACTCTAGTTTCTTGTTCTCTTGGTGCTGGAATGTTGGTTTTTTAATGCTTGAGAAATGAAGGAGAGGCTTCTGTTGCCCTGTTGCAGATTCTAGCTCAAAAGATGCTGCAGGGTTGTTGGTGGCAGATTTGACTGTTTCTTCTAAAAGTGTGTCAAATTGTAATAATGGTCGAATAACTTTTGGATTTGTCGTGCTAGACGGCATAGGCTTTGAGCTTGCGTCTTTTGAGGACCCCAATTCATTCATAATATCATCCATTAAACTTGTATCTGGCACCTTTGAAAATGTTTGACTTTTAGACAGTGTAGGGGATGACAAGGAAAGATATTTTTCATTGTAAACAGGCAAAGAAGGGATTTCTACCTCGGATTGGATAAAAGTAGAAGGATAATCAGAAGATTGCTTTTTGCTTTTTCTTCTAAAGTTTAAAAGGCCCATTTGGTAAAGAAAAGAAGAGAATAAAAAGCAATGTGAAAGAGTAAGGGATCGAAAGGAAGCTTTTTAAAATTGTTATATGCAGCCAGACCATTTATCCATCAGGGTGTTGCTTGTATACCTTTTATGCTCATTTTCTCCTGAAGCACATGAAATTCCTCTTTCAAACAAGCGACTCACCAGTGTATTTTGATATGCATGTATACTGCAAAAGATTATCATTGCAAGGGAATCCTTTTTTTTTCTTGATACATGTCAAAACTTTTCACCTCCTCCTTTCCTTCTTTTCTCTTTACTGTTTCTCCTTTCCTTGCTCTTGTTCCCCTTTAGAAATATCATCTTATTATCCAATGCCCTCAATTCAATCTTGAACAATAAAAACAGACGCCACCGTCCTTATTTTTTCTTTGATTTCTTGTATATATGATTAAACATAGTTTAAAGTTAAAGAAAAAAAAGGTTTGCCACGCAGGGCATCAAGCAATTTTGAATAAAATTAGCATTAATCATCACTGGCGTAAAAAAGGAGAAAATAGCTTGCGAATTCAAAAAGCAATTGCAAGTACGGCTACATTGCCTAAAACATCAAGGTACCGACTATCGCCACGCTTTTGGGTTTACATATCAACCAACATGACCATGTCATCTCCTTTACTATTCAAATGATTTTGGTTACGTCTTCTATACATAGTACATGCAGTGTAATGCTCTGCCTATCACTAAAGAAGCCTATATCTAGACTTTGTGACATGGAATGATGCAATTGCATAAAAAATGAGATAAACTAACATTTATTCAAATTATAGCATATTAATTAATCAGACTCTTCTTCGGAGGACTCTTCTTCAGATGCATTTTCAAGCCATTCCAGGAAAGGAGCAGCAGCCTTTTTAATTTCTTTGGAGACATCACGATCAACATAACGCTTAGATGGCTTCTCACCCCATTTGAGGAAGACTTCATCTTCAATAATATCCAAATCATAAACCTTCATCAAAATGGTAGGTACCTTTTTCAAAAGAGAATCCTTGTAGTCCATACCAACAAGACGCTCAATACCACCTAATGTAGCCTTTTGAGACTTTTCATCAATAACAAATTTTTGAAGTAACTTAGCACGCTTAGGAATCTGGCTCACAATGTTTTCATCAAAGAGACCTTGAATTAACACCTGACAGGCCTTGTATTTACCAAGGACACCCAATTCTTCAGCCTTTTCAAGAACTTCAGCATCAGAATGATTACCCTTGTTTTCCAAAAGCCAGACACCAAAGGATTCGTATTTGTTTTCACCGGCATCTTCATCTTCATCGTCACCAGCAAAAGCGCCAGAACCCTTGACGGAAAGTTCCTTCATACGTTGAGCAACAGCAGCTTCACTTGTATCTTCAGACCAGTCTTCAAGAGCTAACTTAGATTCCATGTTGAGACCAGCAGCTTGCTTTTGAATACGTTGAGAAATGATATCGTCATCTGAGCCATTACCATCGTTGTCAGCGGCATTGTTGGCATGATCGGCATCTTCACCGGTATTGTTGGCCTGGGCAGTAGCTGCCTTACGTTGTTTACGCACGTTTTTAGAGGCAACAGCAGGAGGGTTCTTGACAATAAAAGCAGAGAGCTTGTGACGCATATCAGCACCGTTTCTGGCACCACATGCTTTACAGTCCATCAAGATTTCATCATTCTTGATGATGATATCAGTTTCAGGGTTCTTGCAGGATTGACACAAGACGAATTTGTTGATGAAACCATCAAGTGTGTTTTGGAGTTTAGCAGCGTCATGATCACCGTTTACAATGTAACGTTCGTTTTTATCATCACATTTCACTTGGGCACCAAGTTCACAACCAAAGTATTTTGTAGGGTCTATATTAAATTTTGTTCAGAAGACTGTAGTATACCAATTGATAGAGTACTTACAGGAGGGAGGGCGAGACAAAGCGCGGGCAATTTCAGCCATGTTTGTAATGACAGTCTTGATACCATTACCTTTACCTTCAACCTATAAAGCCAGTGTTAGACAAGTTGAGGAGATTAAATTTTGTTACCTTTGCTGTGAGGCGAGGCATCTTGTAACGATAAAAGGAGTCTTGTACGTCACGTCTTACGTTAATAGCAGCCATATTGGATAGTTAATAAGTTCAGAATAATAGGATGTTAAAAAATAAAATGTTGCTTCTTTTTGACTTTAAAATGGTGTAATTGATGCTGCTCTATGCTTTCTTTCTCTTCGTTTATCAGCTTCCAATTCAATGACATATAAGTTTCTTACAACCTTCTTCTTTCTTTTTTTTTAGAATAAAAAGTGTGTATAGGGTAAACTACTTTTGTTTTTTTTTCAAATAGAAAGAAAAAAGGTGTAGAGGGTAGTTTTCTTCAAAAAGAAAAAGAATAGGAAAAATAAAAGCAAGGCTGCGGTCAAGGTACGGATAAAACTTTTTCGTGACTTGTCAATGTGACTTGTTCTAAAGCTTTCGTACAGTGACATTGGTCAATTGAAATGACATGTGGGTCGAGTATGGAAGAACTCTAAAAATATTTATTTTGGGCAAGATTCATGGTTTAAAGGAACGCTTCGAAAAGTACCAGATTTATCTCTAGTTCAATAGAATCAATTGCTACTCTTATATAAAGCTTTCGAGGCCTTTTATTGCATTCGTTTGATTGCTTATACACTAGACTTATGGAAGAGTACTTGAGAAAAAAAGGCACTAGATATATCAGGAAAGCATCAACATCCCATTTTATGTATCTTAACCAGAGTTACAATTTGTCCAATGATTAATGTCCCAATAAGGATTGATATTTTAGCCAATAAATGACATTTGAAAAGCAAACTGTCAAATAAGAAGCCAAACATTTTTTTTTATCATTGGTACAATATAAAAGACCACAAACAAAACAACAAATCGGCAGATACAACGCTCTAAAAAAAATTGAGCTGTTGCCATCGATTAAATGCTATACCCTCCTTTTTTTAGTCAGACAAACAATAGAAGGAAAAGAAAACAATTCAGTGCAGACTCCGCTGATATTCTCGCGTGGTGTGTAAGGTTAACAATTTCATAAGTAGCCGATCCACATATACAAATTTCAAGTTCGCGGAATACGGATATGCACCCTTTCTTTCCTTTCCTTCATATTTCTTTTTTCTGTATTTGATATCATGGGTGCTTCCAATAGTAAAGAAAGAGTAACCCGTAAAAAAAGTAACAATAAATTATCAAAAATTCAGCCTTCCTTTTTAAATACCAATTCGTCTGTCACGGCTACTTCCGCTACAATTCCTTCATTCAACAATAAGCTGCATGTCAAGTCCATTGCTATACGTGTTTGGGTCGCACAATGTAAACTATACAGCTTTTTAAGTACTACTGCTTTAAAGAAAGATATGGAAGCAGAAGGATTCCAAGAACTCTTTGAACTACGGAATCATAAAGAGGCATGGTATCCTTTGGGTTGTTATTATTACGATCAAAAGGACTTTACTCGAGCATACAATTATTTTCACAAACTCCAGAACAGCCATTCTTTTGCCCAATACCGTTTAGCCTTGATGATATTTCATGGTCAGGCACCAGTCTCCGATTACAGTAAAGCATTGAAATATATGACATCGGCAGCTAAACACAACAACCCTTATGCACAATATATTCTTGGTTTTTATTATCAACACGGCGTACTTGTCAAACATTCAACTGAAACAGCCAAAATGTGGTACAAGCGATCGGCAGAGCAAGGATTTGCGGAGGCTCAAACGGCCATTGCTAATTTATTAATTAATGAGTATCATATTTCATCATCATCATTCAAGGGCCAAGAAGCACTAAACTGGCTATACAAAGCCAAACTACAGGTACAGTAGTACAAGATATAGAAATAAGTTATATTAAATAAACAAACAAACATAATATAGGAAAATGCAAGTGCATTAATTAGTCTTGGTGCCTTGCATGAAAATGGCATTTTAGTCTCTAAAAACCATACGAAATCCATAGCCTATTACAGACGAGCCATAAAAGCACCATTTACACCATCCCATGTCGTGCCGCTTGCACATTACCTGTTAGGCACGCATTACCTTCAAGGCACCTGTGGTCTAGAGCAAGATCATAAACTTGCCCTGCACCATTTGACACTTGCAGCCAACTTGGGTCACGCTCCTGCTTTGCGCTCACTTGGACACATGTACACAAGAGGCATGGGCGTCAAAAAAGACCTGTCTAAATCTCATGCATTTTTTGAACAAGCCGTTTTCCAGGGCAATGTTCAATCCATCATTGAAGTGGACCATCTCCCACGGCATGAAACACATTACCGAATCCTGTCGCACTATGAAAAGGCAGCCGAGTCAGGATCCTTGTCTGCTCAACTTTGCCTTGCTACCATCCTACAACAATCAGGTCAACATGAAGCTGCCTTTATTTGGTTTGAAAAAGCAGCTCGAAATATGGACGGAAAGACATACTCTATTCTCGGTGTGAACACACCCTTTGTTTCTCAACGCTTGGCAGCTCGGTTAATGGTAGCACGGTACCGTTACAGTGGATGGGATGGTGTAGTTACACAGGACCTATTGTGTGCCTTTGAAGAGTTTCAGATCTTGTCAGACGCTGGCTACACCGATGCGCATTATTGGCTAGGTGCTTGCTACGAAGAAGGTGCAGTGACCAAGCAAGATTTAAAAAAGGCATTTGCACTCTACATGAAATCTGCACAAGCCGGGTTCATGGATGGTCAATTCCAGGTGGCTTACATGCTGACAAATGGCATAGGTGTCACAAAAGATGTCAAGGCAGCACTGCCCTGGTTTACAAAAGCAGCCGAACAAGGTCATTCAACTGCCCAGTACAGTCTGGGTTTGTACTATGAACATGGACTTGAGATCGTACCTCGGGATTTGACAATAGCAGAAAAATGGTACACAGAAGCTGCCCAGTCATCCACTGCTGCCATGGTGCGTTTGGCCAATGTCTTGATACAATCAAATCAAGTACAAGATGCTGTGATATGGCTTTCAAGAGCAGCTGAAAAAGGAGACGTACTTGCATTGCGTGAATTAGCAACATTGTATAGAGACAGCTTGCTTTTTAGCACTGATGATGATAGCCAGATAGTATTGGAACAATATAAATCAGCATTCAAGTATTATCAACTAGCAGCCGAAAAAGAAGACCCACTTTCTCTCCAAGCCTTGTCAAAATTTTACGAAGGCATATACAATATGGGAGACCAACATATGGTTGTGCTTGTTGATTTAGACATGGCCATTTCATGTCTGAGAAAATCAATAGCGCTAGAGAACACAGCGTAAGTTCTATTTAAAATATGTGTGCATAGATAAAGAACTAATGCAAACAAGTGCTGCTTTAGATTTGGCAGATTTGTACCAGCGACACAACCAAACAAATCAAGCAGTAGAAATTTATGCTGATCTTACAAACAAGTTTGCACCTGACTCAGTCATTGGACAAATAGCACGCAAAGAGTCCATTAAACTCATAGTGTTTAAAAACGATGTTGATGAAAACGAACAAATAAAAGCCTATTCTTGGCTTAAAGAATTGATTAATGCGTCTAAAAACGATACAGAAGCTCTAGAACTACTTGGTTATTGTGCAGAACAGGGTATAGGGACAATAGTTGATAAAGAAGAAGCAATTCAATTCTATAGTGACTGTCTACATAGTGTCAACCATGCAGCTACCCCTCCATATTCCTGCTTATACCGTTTAGTCACTTTACATATGGAATCAAATGATTTTGAATCAGCATATAAATACATGGAAACATTCAACTCATTTCTTACTGAAGAAGATTATGATGACATGAATCAAATACGTCGTTTAAAGTATTATTGGGGTATGTATACATCCATATGGCTGTGGTTTTTTTTAACTCCAAGTTGTTGATAGGCTATCTTATACTTCGTGGCTTTAGTACTAAAAAAGCAGAAGAAGGTCTTGAGTCATTATCGACTGCTTCTGATGAAGGAGAAGGAGAAGCTTCCTATGAACTTGGCTGCTTTTTACTTTCACAAGATTATATCTCAACAGAAAGTGATCAAGAAATACAAAGGCACTTTAGACAAGGTGTTGAAGTAGGCCATGCTGGTTGTATGCGAGAACTAGCTCTCCTTTTACTCTCTCATGAATTTGATAAGGCTTTTATGGATAAAGATTATGATGGGGGTACAGAAATCCTAGACTTGTTGACCACTGCTGCTTCTTTAAATGATTTAGATGCCATTTATCATTTGGGCACACTGTATGAGTCTGGGTTGGGTAGTGTTGTTCCTCAATCCAAGTTAGAGAAAGCGCTTACCTACTACTTGCAAGCAGGCACAAGGCATCACGAATCGGCCATGATGAAGGCAGGTGAATTACTCGGTGGCGCATTAGGATGTCATAAAGAAGCCATTCATTGGTTCAAGAAAGCAAGTGAGCATAATTTAATGGCTCAAATCATGTTAATCTCTTATGAACTTCAAGGATTTGATTGTGGTTTATCAAAAAACAATGACAACCATGATGCTCACCTGTTTACTCTACTCCAAAGCATTATTGATCAGGAGGAAGCTAAAACAGAAAATGAAAAAGAAGACTTTAGAACAAAGAGACGCAGCGAACTATGCTCAAGAAAAAATGGATTGGGTCATGCCCACTTTATCCTTGGACAATGCTTTGAATTTGGGCGAGGCACACGCTCTAATTTGGCCGTGGCCATAGACACTTATCAAAAATCAATCGCTGTCTGCCAACATGTTGATGCTATGTGGCGATTAGGGATGATTTATAGTCATAACATACATGATGACATCAAGGCACTCGAGTGGTTTAGAAGAGCAACAGAAGTCGGACGACACCGAGATTCACGCTACCAACTGGGTCTTTTTCATATGTACGGGCACGGTGGACTTGATATCAATATTACAGTAGCCAAAAAATATTTTGCCAAAGCAGCAGAACAAGGTCACCCATCAGCTACATATCAATTGGCTCGTATCTTATGGAGTGTTGAATCAGACTATATTCATGCATATGAACTGTTCGAAAAAGCAGCGCAACATAAAGTAGCTGGGGCTCTTTGCCAATTGGGTCATTTTGCCTATGCGGGATTCTATTTTCATTCAATCTGTATCGTGGAACAAGACCATCAGAAGGCATACACGTATTATTGTGAGGCGGCACAATTAGGAGATCCAATGGCAGCATTGATGGTTGGGAGTTATTTTGAAGATCAAGAGGATTTGAACAGAGCATTACAGTGGTATGAAGCTGCTTACCGCTTAGGTGGAGGAGGACTTGCTGAGCTGGCTATTGGAAAGATCAAACACCTGATGTCTGAACTGGACTCTGAACTGCAAGAAGAGGCCATTGTTTGGTTTGAAAGTGCACAAAAGGACAACTTACTTGAGCATCAATCGATCTTTTCTCCGCAAGTGATGGTGGCTTTATATTATCTCAATGGTTGGGGAAATAAAACGAGAGATCCAGAAAAGGGATTTCAAATGTTACTGGAAATAGCTCAAATGGGTGGAACAGAAGCATTTCTGCCTTTAGCAACTTGCTACCAAGAAGGTGTTGGCACTACTTGTGATCCAAACAAAGCATCAAATTATTGGGAGATGGCCGCCGAAGTCGTCTCCGATTAAAATCAGTTACGCACAAATAAAATGAGGCGCATTTGATTCAACTTTGCCAAGCATAAAAAAGCCTTTTGCTTGGCAAGCGTAGTTTCCTTTTTTCTTTATTTTGTTTCAATGTCCAAAAAAGAAGCCAATTATTATTATTCTTATAGCTCTCCACCTGTCCAAGGCAGCACAACATCTGCTCCTACAGAACCATCTGGTAAAAATTCAGCACAACTGCCTTCTTATGATCAAGCTACAGAACATGCTTCATCTTCCTCTGAGACTTATCATGCAGTTGATGGCTATATATTGGATTCTTCAGCTATGCAAATGCCTATGCCCAACACAACCACCAGCGATTATGGGCCGTATAACTCTACGATAGAAAATGACGCGCCTTTATTAGCAGAGCATGAAGACAACAATCAGTTTATGGGCAGACCACCACCACCAAATTATTCGATCCACCAAGCAAAATATGAAATCGTCCGAGACGGTGTCGTCTCTCGTGATTCACATATCAATCAGGACGGCGAAGCTTTACTTCAATTTCTATATCAGCACAACAAAGCACCTTATCTCATTATTCATTTTCATGGTAATTGGTCATCCATGTCTTCAATGCTGTATTAATTCGCAATATAGGATACCACGAAGAAACTGTTTGGACTATGGAAACCACGCGCAATCGGGATGGAGAAGAAGTAACAGAGCGTGTGCCCACAACACGCCAAATCGATGACTTTAAATTTGATATTGACTGCAGTGCTGAAGTATCGCCTGTGTGTCACGGAATTTATGTGCTGCCTGATGCCAAGACAGGTGAGCAGAAAGCGGTTCGACAATTGTGTGAAGACTATGTTCGTTCACAAAATGCATTAAAAGAACTCAAGCTGACCAAGGAAATCCACTGGGACTTTAATAACCTGACGCGTGCTCTTACAGCAGCTATCCGTGATAGTGGTTATTTTGAGCACATCAATATCACTTACACATTAGAAAACAATGAAATTGTAGTCAAGACAGATGAAAAGATTTCTCAACTGATGGATAACAAATACATTCGATTCTTTTTCTTTATAACCTGTTTATGGATCATTGCCTGGCCTTTGGTTTATTATCTCAAGGACAAGTTTGGTCATTCAACACTCAAGAGTGCTTGGAAAATGAGTCTATCTGAAAGTGAATGGTATGAACGTCATGCCCAAGAAATTGTACAGCAATGTCGAGGTCAGAATTGCTTTTCATCAAGAACGATACATCCAACTGGATTCCCTGTCAATACTCGATTGTAACAAAATACCTCTCTTTGTTCTCCTTTAAATAAACTATATTGTGTTATTGTATATAAAAAAGGGATGGGGGGAAGCTATCTGTATATAAATACATATATTAAGTTCTTTGATCTGGTTTATAAAACTGGTCTGTAGAATAAGTATTTGCCATAGGATAAGTTACTCCGTTCACTCCATGATTGTATTGTTGTTGAGTCGTATTATAATAACCTTCTTGAGCATAATAATAAGGTTGTTGGTCACTATAATCATTTGAATCTAACTGAGGCTGATATTCTGCATTGTATTGTGGTTGATTGTACTGGTCCTTGGTTGTAGCATAACCTTGATCATTAAATGGAGGTACATGCGTTTCCAAACCCATAGACTGCATAGCGGGTGTCTTTACTGCAGGAAAATCCGTATCCGCTAGTCCATAATCTTCAAAATCTGTGGACTGTTTATTCTTTCTAGTACATCCACCGTGTCGATTGAGCCAAGTCAACAAACCTCCAAGAAAAGCAGCACCTACTATAAAGAGATATTAATACATATACGTAGATGGTTTCGTAAAACTTACAAATACCACCTACTATACCACCTACAATAGCTCCCGTCTTGTTGTTACTGTTCGCTGGATTTGAAGGAGGAACATGGTTGCCCTTGATTGAGGAAACTGTACTTGCTTCTGCATCATCTTGTGGAACATTGGATGCTAAACTTGATGTTGTCTTTGTTCCATAAGGCTTGTTATTGGTATCCCCATTCAAAGTGGGTGTGGGAATAGCGGGTGATGCTGATGTGTTCTTTGCCTCGTCTGTAGAAGAAGCATGATCATCTTCATGATTTGTAATCGTCGATTTATTTTTGTTATTAGTATCAGCACTAGGAGGTGATGGGGGTGGAGTGGAAGGAGGAGGAGGAGAAGAAGAAGAAGCAGGAGGAGAGGTGGCATGGTTGTCTGGCAATGTTTCTAGTGCTTTTGTAGTCCTAGGTTTGTCAGTGGTTTCGTTTTGTTTAGAAGGAGGAGGAGGTTGTGAGGTTTGTTGAGGTGGAGGATTATGGGTAGAAGGTAGGTTTGTTGTCGTTACTGCTGCCGCTGTTGTTGTTGGTGGAGTTGATGATGATGAGGGTGATGGTGGTACATCAGAAGAAGCTTGAGATGGAGGTGCTTGAGAAGTAGTAGTCATGACTGCTGTTGTGGTATGTTGAGTGACAGATGCATCCTTACTGCTTGATTGATCGGATGGTTTTTTATCGTTACCAATGTTGCCCAAGATGTCATTTAACAATTGTGATTCAACTACAATAACCAATTGAACTACAATCAAAACCAATACAATCCATTGATGCAAGTTGATTTTGGTCATTATAAAAAAAAAAGTAGAAGAGAAAAGGGGAGCAACCCATTGTTTATTATCCAGTTTTTAACTTTTTGCATGCCTCCTGTCTTGTTTTTTCTTTTTCTCGGTCTGTTTTACGAGGAACAAATGCTTCACTTGCAACTGCAATCGATTGAGTCAATTGGTTTCCTTGAACGTCTTGTTTTCTTGTTCGGCCTAGAATAGCAATATTTTTTGTACTTGGGATACGTAAATAGTCTTCTTCACATGCAAAACCTGCTTGAGAAGCAATGTCCTTAATATAATCTGTGTAGGCTCTATATTTGCCTTCGGTGGGTGAGAGGGATAGTGAACGAGTACCATCTAAACCATAAAAACAACATGGAATGATCATGAATCTATCACCTGTGAGTAACTTATATTTTTTTAGAAGCTCTCCTTACTTGCAGTTTTCTCCTGATTTTTGGGCAATGATTGGAATCCTGCATAAAAAGAAATTAAATAACTTTTTATTCGTGTACACAAGATACCTACCATGGCACTAATTCGTCTGCATGATTGCCAATCAGCCAGTCTGTGCCTGGAAAACTTGCTTTGGCCGGATATAGTGTTTTCACTAACAAATATATGAGTTATCTTGTTCAATCATATATATATCTCTCTCTCCTTTACCTCGTAACATGTCTTTTGTCTTACAAAGTGAAGTCCATATTTTACGATCAGCAATATCAAGACCATAACCTTCATACCCTTCACTGACTAACAAAAAGGTCAATAAACCATTACCACAACCAAGATCAATAAATGTCTGTGCTCTATGTACAATCAATTACCTTGTTTGCTTTGTTTTCTTTCTTACCTTTTAGTTTTAGCTTCTTCTTCTTTCCAAAGACAAATCAAGTAACTGGCAATAGCAATATCTTCGTATACAAACTTTTTAGGGTCTGTTTTTTCAGTCCAATGACTATACAACATGTTAGTCATTTCTTTTGTTTATTGTGGGTCAATACTTACCTTACAAGATGAGGCCCATATTTTGTTTTAAGATATTGATACATGGATTGATATGTTTCTTTAGGCACAAGTACATCATGATGTGCCTTTTTCTTGTATCCTAGTCTTGCTTGTATGCACCATTTAAAAAGCTTATGCAGAATTGTTTTTAATGCGTATTGCTTATTAACATGAGTATACTTTTCTCCTTCTTTCTTATAGTTACCATTTTTGGGTCTGTTACTGCTGCTTCTTTTGAATCAAAAGGCATAATCTCCAGTCTTAATAGACCTGTATCTTGACTATAGTACTAGATGAGTTTAAATCAACCATGTATCCTTCATTACTCGACTTGTTCTTCTTCTTGTGCAAATGTATATACAAAACTATAAGATTTGACCTGTCAAAATACACTGTCAATACATACGTATAAATTGTCTCATTTACCTTGGGATAATAATAGGGTATGTCCTGCTTGGTCTCTACCATAGGCGTATACATGACACGCGATTCTTGATCTGAACGCATATGAATGATCATTCAACTGTTGCTTGACGTTTACCTGTTTCCATCCATTCAACCTTTTCATTCAAAACAGCATCCTTTGTCTTTCGCTTTGGAATCAATGCTCGTACGACTATCTCCACATTGTTGTTTTCTAGCGTTGATTTAATTTCGGCTTTATCAATAGGTGGAATAGCAAATTGAGGCTCTAATGTCCAACGCTTCTACAATAGATATGAGCCCATAAGTTGCATAAAGTGAGATAACATACAATAGTTTTAGAAAACGCTTGTCTTCCTGAAGGAACAATTTGTTCAGCAATAATAAAGCAACCTTCAAGTGATGATGGCTTTGGATCAACAAAGTAAAGACTTGGATCAAACTGCTCAAAAAAACGTTGCGGATCGATCATCAAAGAAAAGAGAGAGAGAGAAAGAGAAAGAGAAAAAAAACAAGCCACTGGTAAATCATTCTTTCTTTCTTTCTTTTATTTATTTTTCTATTCAGCATGAACAAGACTTATCGTGCTGTGTCGAGTATCGTGTTGCGTCGCTTACCCCTTCAAGAACAGTTGAAGTCTGCTTTATCAGATAATCGAAAGGAGATAACACGTAAACCAACCGAACTCCTCTATTTAGTGGTAAAGAAACCTCGTCAAGACCATGCTTGGCAGTTTCCTCAGGGCGGTCAAGATCCCGGAGAAACAGGATCAGAAGCAGCCTTACGTGAACTTGAAGAAGAATGTGGTTCTGACCTTCAAGTACGTCTTGTGGGTACGACACCTATAGGCGTCTATCAATACGAGTTTCCTGCTGATTTCAAACGCAGCAAGAAATACATAGGAGCTAAAGTAAACATGCTATAAAAAAAAAGTAAGACTTTTTATTAACCCACATTAGGTCTCTTTCTATGTAGCTGATTGGATTGAAGGTCAATGTGAACCAGACAACAAAGAAATAGTGGATTTTGGATGGTTGACAAAAGAAGAAGTGTTTGATTTAGTTCATCAAGACTACAGACAAGCCATTCAATCATTCTTGTAGCTTGTGTTGTCCCTTTTCAGACCGTGTTTCTCCTGTCATTTTAGCTGTCTTTGCACCAAACTGAATAGCGCGTTTCCAGTTTTGACTGGCATTAACGAGCCCCAGTTGTTGTCGAGCGAGATGCCTTAATAAAAGCTTTTCACCAATACCTCGATTGTATCTCAAATCCATCTTGAGATGAATAGGCTGTCTACAGAGCCAATCGACAACAGCTGTACTTAAAAAAGGAAACCGTACTTCTTTACCATGATCTGACATGATACGGTCATCTCTCCCTAAATTACGATGGGATATTCTATCCACATCCAACTGTGTCTATCGTGTCTTGTTAGTGAATTGTGTTGTTATTGATAGACTGTGTACTTCTTGTATCAATCGTTCCCATTGACCATGTCGAAATGCTTCTCGGTGTCGAGAATAGCCTCCTAATTGTTCATCAGCACCCAAGCCAGAGATCAATACACGGGCATGACTTTGGTATGGCTACATAGATAGCATGATGAGATAGAGTCTTTTATCATGGATCTTGATTACCATTGTATCCACAACACCTTTTCCTCGAGAAGCAAACCAAAATGCCATGGCAATACTCTAGACACTATTAGTCTATTTCACAATAGAGTTTTAGCTTACCAAGTCCATCACAGTGTCTAATGGGAACATGCGATCAATAATACGTTGTCGATAGGCCATAGCTTCAGTATAAGGTACATTGATCTCAACAAAATGCCATGTACGCTCAGGTGCTATCTGCCTGAGTTCTTCTAGACCTGCTCTACCCGTTATTCTATCAGGTGTATCGTACATGGGATGAAGCTTGTTCTTTTGTGCACGGGGGTTTTCAAATGCCACATTCAGTAAATCGATGGATTCTGAAGGTGGCAAGTGTCGATGGGCTAATGCAGCTAAACAGATGCAGTCCAATCCACCCGAGAATAAAATAGCTACACGGGCTTGTTGTCCCTTGACACTTGTCAAAAATAAATACGACGTGGTATGGCATACTATGCTTACTCTAAATGAGGTATATCTGCTACTCTCTGTTGAACGGAATGGCTGAGTATACGAGTCAATGTTGTGATGGCCTCTTGCATTGATGGATCAATATATGGCACTGTATTGGGATCGACGACATCGTCAAGGGATGGCATCTCTGTATTGAGTCTAGGAAAAGGATACATCTATCATCATTAGTGGGCATGGAAGCAAATGTTCATTACCAATGGACTTGGTTCATAGGTCCAAGGAATTAGTTGAGGTGTCATTGACTGAGTGAGATCTACGCTATAGATGCCATTGGCAGGCACTTCCTTCCAATCACTTGATCTGCCTACTGAACTTAACAACAAGCTGTGGTCTGACTGATGCCATAAAAGGGATCGACGTCCTAAACAGTCTCGACTAAAATAGACTTTGTTGGTCGATGCTCTATAATACACGAATGCATATGGGCCTTCTATTGTCTGCATGACATTCAAGATGGCTTGTTCTGTCGTGGTTGCTTGTAATTGATCCATCAAGACTTGTGTATCATTCTGTCCAGATGCAATCTGAATTCCATCAAATATCTCTCCATTCCAACAGAGTATGTTATGATCTGTATCCTGAAGAGGCTGAGGAACAACACTAGGTCCTCTTAAATGTAATACGGTCGAGTAAAATTGTAATAGATAATTGCTTTGCACTTGTACCAAGTTTTGTGCATCAGGGCCTATCCATAGCGTAAATAAGCCATCACCAGGGGATCTGTACCTCTCAGCTTATTTAGTTCTTGAAGCGTATTCCATTCTTGTGGATCAATAGACGCAAGGTCTTTTGAGATCGAAAACAAGATGCCACACATAAAGAAAAAAAAACCACAAAGGAAAAAAAAAAACTGAATGGACCTTGTTTATTGTCTTCCCACCAATCAACTGTCTTGTTTCTAGATTGAAATGACACAAAAGCTTTTTTTTTTTCTTTTTCTTTTTTTCTTTATAAAGAATGACAGCTTCTGATGCCATGGATCTAGAACCAAACCATCGAGTACTCAGCATACAATCTCATACTGTAAATACATAATGTGTTGTTTCGATGAACTCATACTTTTCTTTTTTTTGATAGGTCTCTGGCTATTGTGGTAAGTTATTCTATACTGATTCTAGTTACAAGGTTTAATACTCTACTAGGCAATAAAGCAGCTGTATTTCCTCTTCAAACACTTGGTTTCGAAGTGGACATTTTGAATACAGTTCAATTTTCAAACCATACAGGCTATCCTTCTTGGACTGGCAATCGATATAGTGCACAAGATGTCCAAGACTTGTTGGATGGTTTAGAAAAGAATGAACTTATGGATGACTATACCCATCTCTTGACTGGCTATATTGGTAATTATGCTATTCTAGAAAAGATAGAGCATTTAGTTCAAAAACTAAAAGCAAAGCATCCTGATTTACTCTATGGTAAGTAGCATACACTCTATCATAACACAGCATAACGGAGATTAGTATGCGACACCGTGATGGGTGACTGTGGTCAACTGTATGTTTCCTCTGAAATTGTACCTTTGTATCGAAGCATTATGAAATGGGCTGATGTAGTCACGCCCAATCAGTTTGAAGCTGAGACATTGACAGAGACCGATATCCATGGTCTAGAAGATGCATGCCTTGTAGCTAGTAAACTACATCAACTAGGATCTCCTTTTGTGGTCATCACTTCTCTGTCTTTACCCTTAACAGATGTGCCTCCAGAAATCCAAACTGAGTCAAGTACAGATCAATCCCTTTACTGTCTAACCAGCCAAGTCTTGTCGAATGGCACCTTGGATCAACACTTGATTTCATTTCCTACCTATCAAGGTTATTTTACAGGTACAGGTGACTTGTTTTCTGCCTTGACAGTTGCACGACTACAAGAATCGTTAGATCAAAAGACATCTTGGATTGAAGCGATTGAACGTGTTATCTGTAGTGTGAATGCCATCACCAAAAAGACATGGCTTTATCAACAAGCATTGGCTGTGAATACAAAGCCAAGTACAGCCAAATCAGTCCGTCAATGTGAATTAAGATTGATTCAAGGAAGAAACGAAATAGAACATCCCGAGCTGTATTTAAATGTGATGAAGCGTATGCATGTCTCAAAATAAAATTTCTCTTTTTTTTTTTTTTTTTTTTTTTTGTATAATGAGTTCATTACCATTGACTGTACAAGACGATATTGAAGCCAAAGAGAAATATGCAGCACAACAAAGACAGACCAGTAGAAAGTGTAGCTCACGTCGTATTCGAGTATTGTTCATTATAGGCATACTTTCCTTATTGACAATGATACTTGTACGCTATACTGGTTCCAACGATACAAGTATGATTGTAGGTGATGAATTGGACATCACTACTCAAGAAGAACAGACGAAAACAGAACCCATCAGTCTATTAGAAGAGATCAAAGGATTGATTGAACAGCATAGGCTGATTGTCTTTTCAAAGACTTATTGCCCGTAATCTATTGTGATATCAGCCTCATTGTACTCATCCATCTCTATCTTAGATACTCAAGAAAAGCTAAACAACTACTGAATACATACGACTTAAAAGAACCCTTGACAGTGATCGAAGTCGACTTGAGAGGTAAATATCAGTAGATAACATAGTTGCTTATTCAACCAATCAGATGATGATTATCAAGTCAAAATGGTATTGAAGCAAATTTCAGGCAGAGACACATTTCCTAATATTTTTCTGAATAATCACACATTGGGTGGTTCCGATGACCTTGAAATATTACATGAAACAGGACAACTCACAGCACTGTTGATTCAAAATCATTTGTTGAGTTGATTGAATTTAAAAGTCCCTTAAAAAAATAATAAAGGGGATTTTTTTTTTTTTTTTGCTTTTTTTATTTTTTATCAATTATGTGGTCTTTTTCATCAAAGAAATCCATTCATATTCAGCTGATTGAACCTGTTATTTTTGTGGGTTCATATATGGAAACATGTCCTGTTGTTCGAGGCATAGTTCATATATCCTTGTTTAAACATCTGTATTTTGAACAACTAGCGCTTCAATTTAAAGGCACTTTGACAGCACAACATCAAGGTAAAGAAAAAAAAAAAAAAAAAAAAAGATCGATATAGACTCATTATGACAATACTAGTCATACAACTCATATCACAACAATTGACATTTTGTCCTTCTCAAGCCATTTATGTTGACAAGGATCATCTTCAGTTTATATTTGAAATGCCTTTACCAGCCACATTACCAGAAAGTGTGGATCATTCTGAACTAACAGTGTCCTATGAGCTCATAGCTCATCTTGATCAATTCAATGTCAAAATAGACCAAAAACAAGAGGAGATCAAAAAAATACAAGTTAATTTAGCTCGATTACCGGAAAGCGGGATGCTGTGCGGTGAAAATTACCCGAGTTCGATCGATTCCCTTAAACATACTTCCCCTTGGTGCCAGTATCGAATCATGGTAGACAAGACATCGGCTGCACTGGGATCCACACTGCCTGTTCAGTTAGTGATTGCATCCACAGTGAATGAACTCAAGATAAAGCAAGTATTTGCCCAATTGATTCAGACAGTCAGAGTAGGTACGCATGAATCTCAATCGGTTCATTTCTTACATCCTGTACAAGACTGGGTATTGCCTCACAAATCTATACAGCAATGGCATGGGAACAGTGTCTATCAGATCCCATTCTCTGTGTCTCATTCAACAAAAGCCTATGCTCAATTTGGTGTACATCATGCTTTATTGGTCAGTGTAATCTTGGCATGCGACCATCATCAACAAAAGACAGTGTCCTATCAAACCAGCATTGATCTTATAGACAGTCAATTAAGTCATGTCTGTACCAAACTCCCTTCTTACAACTCACCTATTTCTACATTTGAAAAAGAGAAACTTAAATGCCTTGCTGTATTATACTAAGAGGTGCCTTGATGGTAATTTTCTAATCCTATATAAATATACCCTGATAATATCAATAATAACAATAAAAGCCTTACTTGATTACAATAAGGGCATGTACCAAACAGAATATGAAAGCTTTGAGTGGTAGAAGGATTCCCTCGTAACCACTGATCATAAGTACAATGACGTCATTTCCACACTTACTTGATACAGGCACTCATCATGAAATCCTCGATTACATAATGCACAAATTATGTCAGGTGTGTCTGTTCCATTTAGTTTATAAGCATAACAAATACCACACTCGACATCATTCACACTGGATTCTGATTGGTCACCTGTTACTTGACACAAATCCAACAGGTTTGTATGAATGGGTTGGTCTTGGTGCCTGAAAATAGAATGAGCTCATGAGAATATCTGACGACATGTCTTACCAAGTCTTGGCATGCCATAGCTGCTTTAATTCGTGCACTCGATTGGCATTACCAAAGAATCGAACTTTAGGTTTGTTCTGACGAGGCATGTCTGGGTTAAGCTCGATCTCAAGCGAACAATGATGCCCAAGTGCAATACGACGCCAACAGTCTGTACGGGTAGGATGATCTGGTTCAAGAATACGCATATGTTGATCTAAATCATCCATACAGTCAAACAAGGGTTGATATTGATTGATTAGAGACTGGTGTTGGTTTAGCATGTCTTGTAGATGTGAACAAGAGGTGATGTCCATAGAGACAGGTAAATGGTATCCTGTGAGGCGAGGTGGTACAAGGGGATACTGCGCAGGTAAACTGAATGTGATCAAATGGGTTCTTAAAGCAGCATCTCTTGATTGAATGAGTGAATAAGCTATAGAACAAGGACTTACATGGTAGAAAAAGTCAGTTTGGTCATGTCTTGATCTATATGATGCACACGATCAAACCCTATCTTGACGAGTTCATTAAAAATAAATGTGGACCGATCATGAACATAACGAAAAACGCCATGGTTTGTCTGTAAAGAAGGTTCAATAATTTCTTTGAGTTCAGTCAAAAAAGACATGATACTTGTTGCTTGCTCAAGTTTAGTTTTGATGATGTCTTGATGAGGTTGGATCAATGACTCTAGTTTCTTATCACCATATAAATAACCCTTGGGTCCAAGTTGAACTTGTATTTGGTATTCATTTTGCTTGTCATGTGAGCATTAAATTATATACATTATATCTAGTTACATGAATGGATAGATAGCCTTGATAGACATGCTCATCAATAGGTACAATCAAAGGAAAAGGAATGCTGTTCATCAGCTGAGAATAAAAAAGACGCGTTCAGTTTTACAAACGCGTCTAGGCAAGACTTTTTTTTTATTTCCTTTTTTTTTTTCTTCATTAGGGATGTTGGCAGAGAAACCACGTAGTATGAAGCCCGGAGCACGTAATGTGCTTCGTTCCAATGACTCTGCAAGTCTTTGGAACTGTACTTTATCTCCTGGTTGGACTGATCAAGAATCCGATGTGCTTAGAAAAGCCCTGATGAAGTTTGGTATTGGTAACTGGTCCAAGATTATCGAAAGTGGTTGTTTACCAGGCAAGACCAATGCTCAAATGAATCTTCAGTTACAGCGTTTGCTTGGTCAACAGAGTACAGCAGGTAAGTTTTTTTTTTTTTCTTGAGAAAAGAGAAAACCATCTGAATAAGATAGAATTTGCCGGTCTTCATATTGATCCTAAAGTCGTGGGGGCTAAAAATGCATTGATTCAAGGCCCTCATATCAAGCGTAAAAATGGATGTATTGTGAACACAGGTGGCAAAGTATCCAGAGAAGAATTAAAAAAGAGAATCATTGCCAATAAAGCAGCGTAAGTGATGTGTCTCATGGAAATGAATTGACCATGTATTGGTAGCTATGAGATTCCTGAGTCAGAATGGAAGACAATTGTATTACCCAAGGTTATAGAGGTAACTTTTAAAGAAAGTGAAGAGGCTTATGTATCACTCATTCTTTTAGCCATTTATATTACTCCAAGAGAAAAAAGAAGAGAGAAGGAAACTAAAAGAGGAATTGGCCAAAGTACAAGCATGTATTGCAAAAATACAAAAGAAGGATCGACCAAGTCAAATCAAGGTAAAAAAAAAAAAAAAGTGAGAGACATACCCTTCTATAGATAATCTGATTGTTTCTATAGCATGAAGCCATGTCATCCAAACGAATACCCAATACAGATGGTGATTTAGCTATGGCTATTGCCTTACAAAAGCAAGAAGATGAAGGCTTTGTTTATGAAGAAGAAGAAGAACAAGACGATGATGATTTTGTTACCAAGAAAAGAAAAGTACAACGGAAACGATAATGAGGCTGAAGCTATTTTTTTTTCTTAATTTTTTTGGGCTAAGCATGATTCAGCCTTAAAGTTTAATAGTAAAGAACTCAATTTTTAATTTCTTTCTTTTTCTTTATTTCTTTATTTAATATAAAATGAATTGTTGTACTTCTACAGATGAACCTCTTAAGAGAAAGATTGTGATTGTAGGTGATGGTGCATGTGGAAAGACATGTTTGCTTAGTGTGTTTAGTAGAGGCAAATTTCCTGCTGTAAGTGTGTAGATACGATTGGAATGATTTAACATGAATAGGGTGATTATATTCCTACTATTTTTGATAATTCAGTCAAGGACATGACAGTGAATGCAAAACCAGTGGTAGCCGAACTATGGGATACAGCAGGTAAAATCATCAGCATAAGCATCATTGATTTAAAAAAATATATATATATATATATAGGCCAAGAAGATTTTGATCGGTTAAGAACACTTTCTTATCCTGATTCAGATGTCATTTTAATTGCATTTTCAGTGGATATCCCTGAATCACTAGACAATGTTGCTGTCAAGGTAAATCTCATTTGAATCGATAGACTAACATCAACTGTAAAGTGGGTGCCTGAAGTCAAGCATTATTGTCCTGGTTTACCTTTCATTTTAGTGGGTTGTAAAACTGATTTAAGACAAGATCAAAGAACAATTGAAGACTTAGAAAAACAAGCAACAAGTCCTATTACGACACAACAGGTATGATGAGATTCTACAACATGCACTTATGGTAATGATTAGGGAATGGAAGTAGCAAGAAAAGTAGGTGCTTATAAATATGTTGAATGTTCTGCCAAAATGGAAAAAGGTGTTTCTGAAGTATTCACAACAGCTATCAAAAGTACTATCAGAAAATCTTCTTTTTGCACTATCATGTAAACCCCATATTTATATATAAAAAAATAAGCATAATTTAAAAAAAGCACAAAACAAGTAACAATTTATTTGTAACTCTATATGATTTCTTTCCATCATGATATAGTTGTTTAGTCAAAGAGACCTAGCATGATTGTTAGTTATGCACGCGTATGATTTTAGGTAGATCTTACCGAAACCCATGTCATCATCGGATTCTTCCTTTTCTTCAGCCTTTTCTTCTTCAGCAGGAGCATCAGTAGCAGCACCAGCAGCGGCACCACCAGCAGCAACAGCAGGACCGGCACCAGGAGCACCAACGTTCAAGAGAAGAGCCTTGAGGTCTTGACCAGCGAGGGCCTTGGCGTAAAGAGAGAACCAGATAGGTTCAACTTCAATACCGGCAGCAGCAACCAAAGTTTGGAGCTTGTCAGCCTAATATGATGGTTAATGATTCTCTCTCTCTCTTTTTTTTATTATTCATCCATCCTATCTTACGGTGATTTCAATGTTATCATCTTCAAGGATGAGAGCGGCGTAGACAACAGCGAGTTCGGCAGACATGATAGATAGATGGATGTCGCAAGTAACGATTTAACCCGAAGGATACAAGACGATTAAAGAAGAGGTTGGCTTGGTCTTTAGATCCTTATAAACGAAATTTTTTTGTAAGTTAGAGTCCGGTCCGATATGAATGTGCGGCAAAGGGAGTCTGAAATGAAATTCATGCAAATGGTACCTGAATGATTTCTTTCTTATGTGTATATATATATATATATTAAAAACAGGATAGAATAAACACTATTTTTAAGAACATTGCCATGATTTATTCTTTTTCATCTGTCTTATTTTATCTGGTTAATGGTGAACAAAAGAGCTGCATGTTTATTTCATTTTGATTTAAAGTTTAATAGAAACAATATATATACTTAAAGACAAGACGTTAAAATCTGAATTTATGTATGGTTTGAGAATAAATAAACGTTAGGTCGTCCAAACTCAAAAAAAAAAAAAAAAAGAAAGCAAACATACTAAAGGCCAGTATAAATAATTGATACAATTTCTATTATTACTTTCATCATTTCAAAATGAAATTGTCAAATTTTGTTCATATTGCCTTAGTTTCTTATTTTATTTCAGGCAAGAAAGAAAGAAATCACTGTAGTGTATTTACTGTTCATAGAAAGCTTTGCTTATTATCAGCCTGATACGGATTATCACTATGAAAAACCATATGATAATTACTCTCAAGAATATGGTCCTCTGCAAGAATGCTACGGTGACTTGAGTTATCTGATCCAACGGGCTGATTATCTAAAAGGAATATCCAATGTCATTCTAGACAAGCAATACATAACTCCAGATGATACAGCACTTATTTTGCCTATTGTGAATAACCTCAGATACCAAATAGAATCCAGTCAAGATAAATGCTGTGCTCTTGTTGCCTTACCAAGTGTTTCTCGAGCAGACACAAGTCAATTGCGGCCCTTTGCTGATGATCTTTTGATTAAGAGTCAAGAGATAATTCAACAGTTAGGTGCTGATACACGATTTATGACTCAATGCAGCAAGGGCTCCTACATTGCTCGATCTCTTTATGCATTTCAGAAAGATGCTGCTGCCATTCGTTTCCAATGTTTAAAGTAACACAATAAAAAGACCCTCCTTTATTTTATTTTTTTGAGAAGCACTATCTGAATTCGGATAAGAAAGGAGCGTTGCAAAAGATGCATGTCATTGTGCGTATATTTTGGTTCCACGTGGAATTTCTCAAGGTACTACTTTGTTGACTAAATTAAGTATATTTCAACTAAGCAAAGTTGTGTTACAAGCTCTTTTACATCATGTTAGTGGTTACAAGGCTAAGGAAGTTTTATTTTATGCCTTTATTAACTTTAACAACAAACAATTATGCAATGACATCATGAACACAAAAGAACAAAACAAATATAAAAGCAATTTTATCATCTAAGCTTTTTCTTCACTTGATATATATCATGCGTTTCTCTCACTTTCTTTCTGCTGCTCTTGCTATTTATTTTATTTCAGGTAAATAAATTAAACATCAATAAGAAAAATAACTGACGCTTCTCTTTTTTTTTTTAAAAAAAAAAAAGCAAACCATGCTGCTAGTATATACGCACAAGACTCTACTTCTATCAAAGGCTGTGATCTCCAATTTAACGTGTTCTATTGGAAATTCATTACGTTGCAAAAGAACATACTTGACTTTAAGGAACAAGGAAGACCCTTAAACACGACTGAATCTGAACACGTCTTGTCTACATTGTCTGAACTCGATGCTCAAATGATAAATACTCAAAAAGAATGTTGCTCATCCGAGAATTCATTTGATCCTGATGCTCTTGTAATGTTCAAGGCATTTACACTGAATATGGCCAATACAACAGTTGATATGAAAGACAGTTTTGAACACGAAATTCCTCTTTCAAATGAAGAACAAACCAAAGTTGTTGTTGGAGATTTAGGAGAATTACATACTAACTTGACAGACTTAAACGATCGATGCTTTGTATAAACAAAGCCGGGTTGTAAGACGTTACACTTGATCGGTTTGACTGAACAAGTAACTTTGATACCAGACAAATAATAAAGTCTTTAAGCGTTGTACAGAATGGCTTTGCTTTTTTGTTTTTTAATTCGTTAGTCATCAGGAAAGTTTATTGTTCCTATTTTTTTTTATTTTTTTTTTTTTTGTCCAGATTCACTCGAATTGAATGAAAAGGAGGAGTTTCAATAATAATAAAAAAGATGAGTACAAAAGAGGTTTTCTTTTATGCCCTCCTGGAACTGTTTGCCTTATGAAGTTCTCGAAAAAAACAGTTACTTATTTGGGCAGCGAGGACAGAAGAGCTTGCCAGCTTGTTTGTTGTAACTGGTCAAAGGCTTTACAAGCAGCTGTGTATGAGAAAGTGGTGCTTGACAGTTTCAGTCAGATCACCTCTTTTGTACGCACCATAACTACCTCGTCTTGTCATGTAGGAAACTATGTCAAAAAGCTCTGGATCAATGAAGTCCTTGGTTTAACTGTAGAGGAATGGGATCGACTGGACTGCTTTGGTGATTTAGTTGAATTTTGTCCTTACCTTGAAGAACTCAAGTTACTGGGAGCCAGTGGCTCTTATTGGGTTAGAGTCATGCGAGAGCGTTATGAAGGTAACTGGAGATATTTGAACAAGCTACAATTTCCAACCAGTCGCGAGGAAATTAAATGGTACAATTATGTTGTATTGTCGATGCGAGATACCATCAAGACAATCATTATCAGTGATGTATTGTTGTCTGAAGAGGGACGTTTACGCAAGAGGCAGTTTGACATGATGATGAGCAGACTGCATGAATTTGAGTAAATTGAGGCATTGGCAGTGGTACAACATTTACCCACAACGCTGGCAGAACTGGGCGAGAGATTGAATGGTTGTCCTCCATTAAGAGATATAAGCATCACCTTCAGCCCTTTTGATTGGCACATATCTGCTCAAGCTCAAGACGTAACTCCTGATGATCCAAGCCCATTAAATCATGTGAATCGACTCGATCTGAATTTGCCTTTATGATCTGAAAAGGAACTGATCTATATGATGAAAAAGCCCCCCAAAGTAAAGCATTTGACACTAAGAGAGATGCAAGAATTTGAAGCAGAAGGCCTTGAGCCCGGTGTATACAAATCAATTCTTACTCGAATTTGCTGGCTACTTGAAGAACATGGAACATGTTTACATGGATAATTTTTATGCTCTCAACTTGGGTGACATTGTCACTGTCCTGCAAACGCATTTGGTTGGAGGTCGATTAGGCATAGAATATACTTATGATGAAGAATTTACTATCACGTCATTAGATACATCCAAGATGTACATTACATCACAGATTAGAGGGGTCTTATACGACTTTATGACCACCATTCGAGAAGCAGCAAGTGCACTTGTTCATCTCAAGATAGAAAGCAAAACATGCGGTATTCATGACTATGTCCTTGAAAACGAAAGAGACAAGGAGCTAGTGCAAGGGTACTAATTGGATCAAATCTTTTTCCATTGCCACTCATTAGAGATCCTCTCGCTTGTCAATACAGCCATCATCTAACTGAACCCTAAATTTGGCGTGAGTGTTAGTCTGAAGACATTGAGACTTACTCGCGTGGATTATTATCCATCCGCCTTGTTCCAAATATCATCTCGAGTTGTGTATTTGAGAAACTTGTTGTTCAACGACCGTTATATCTGTAACCAAGATGGCTCTGATGTGATTGTGACCAACAATATCTCGATTGACATGCCTTGTACTTTCTTTGATAACCTAAGCTTCACAAAAGCTTATTTTGGGAATTATGGAGATTATTTCTACATACGATTGCATTCAATGAAGGGCGAAACACACTATAAATGCAGTAATTTATATATCATTGAAAGTGACAAAGCTACGTTTAATATATGGGAAGCAGATGCCAATAACTTGACATTTCATATTCGATACAAGAGTTTTAAGCGAATACACGTTGTCACCAATGGATTTAATCAACGATACACAATACCATAGGTTATATAGTGAAGATAGAAACTATAGATATACAAACAAAACAGGATTGTATTTCCTTGTTCTTTATATAAAATTCTTGGCATTGAATTGTTATAAAAAAGGGGTTACAATTTTCTGTGTTCATTTTACTCTCTTCTTTCTATTTACGATTTATTTTACAGATATTGAAGTTGAGTATGCAATTTTTTTATGAAGATGGACAAGGGCATGTTGTTGATGAACATGACGTTGAGCCGATGGATCTTGTTGTTGATGAGGAGTTGTATGCTATTAAACAATAAGTTCCCGTACTCAATTCTTAATGAATAAACCTCCAGAAAGACTATCTAATCCCGTTATACTTCCAGTTGCGGATGAAAAAACTATGATGTTGATATGAAGTTATGCAATAAGCGACGCTATACGGTTTATTCTGATGAAGACAAGACTAAATTTCTTCATTTATTTTTCAGCAAATGCTTGAATGCTTCTGCTGCTGCAGAGATGGGTAAAACGGTATTACGAAAACCCCGAAAGCATTTTCGAAAAAAAGAAAAAATCAGGGCGACGCCGTATTCTTGGGAATGAGCATAAACAATTTCTTTTAAACTACATTGATGAGAATCCTTCTACCGTTGTCAATGAAGTGGTGGAAAGTTTGAAACAAAACTATGAGGATCTCAACGTTTCTCGTAGTACTGTTTATAACTTCATGACAACTCAGTGTAATCTGTCTATTAAGCAAGCACAGTTTCATCCTGTGGAAAGGAACAGTAAGGAAAAGATTCAGCAAAGATACGACTGGGTTCAAAAGTGGCAGCAAACTGACCTGGATTTCACAACAAATTGTGTCTTTCTTGATGAATCGGCCTTTCACGTTAATTTGAAACGTGGTATGGCTTGGTCAAAGAAAGACACTCCTGCAGTAGTTACAGTGCCAACGACTAAAGCGAAAGCAACTTCTATTTTAGGTGCAATTTCTGCCACAGGTTTAATTAATGTTAGTTTGCGAGTTCCGAAGCGTATCAAGAAGAGAAAACTCGGGTGTGAGATTGATGGTTATAGCATGGGAACAGTGACAGGTCATTACTTGAGCTTCTTAAAAGCTACTCTTGATGAAATGGACAAGTATCCAGAAATGAAGGGACATTATCTTGTCATGGATAATGCTCCTATCCATAGCTCAACTGACATAGGAAAGTATATTCACTCTCGAGGATATCGATATGCATATCTTCCTCCATATTCCCCTGAACTGAATCCAATTGAGCAGTTTTAGTCAGTCGTCAAAAGTAAAGTTAAACGAAACAAGTTTTTGGAAAAAGAATGGCTCATGACTAGGATCAGTGAGGCATGTGATAGCTTACATTTTAGTGATCTCAAAGGCTTCTTTTCTCATTCTACTAAATGCTTTGATAAGTGTCTTACCAAAGAAAAATTATAAAAACGGGCACAGATGGGTAGACTGATATTTAAGAGTTACCTGGTTGATCCTGTCAGTATTCATACCCACCAGTCTACCCATCAGTCTACCCACCAGCTTTTAAGTTCCTTGGTTATTAAGAAGGATTGGGATACATTCCAATAGAAAAGATAAAAAAAAGTAATTAAAAAAAAAATAACCATAATTATTGTTTTATTTGCTTATTGACTAATTATGATGCTGTTTCAGAACGCAAGGTCGTTTACGATTTTGAGATGTGGAAAAAAGTTGGTCGAAGATAGAGCTGCTCATTGTTGGGCGATGTCGCTTGGGATATGGACAATCAACAGATGGAATGCAAATTCGATCAAAAACGTCAAGTACAAGCAAAACGTCTGAAATATCGGTGACCAGCTTTGGTAAATCATTTAGGCAATCTGGAATCTTAATTTTGGCAAGTTCATGCATAATATATAGACCACTTGAAGGTAATACCAAGATATAAAAGGTGATTGTTCTACCAACGATCTGTAAACCCATAACTCCAATCATTTTCTGCGTATCCAGGGCGCCTTTACAAAAAAAAAACTGAGATGCGTAAAAGATCTCGACAGACCGAGTAATGGTTAGAGCCTTGATATCCAGGTGAGTCTTTTGTCCATGCAGTTTCAATAAATGAGCGTTTAAGATATCTACGGGTAGAAGGGAGTCTACCGCAGTAGTCGTCGCAGCCGGTTTCTTCATCAGCATCTTTATTAAAGGCTTGAAGTGCCTTTCGCAACATATGAGCATCTTTGATGTCAGTAATGTCGATGAGAATAGAGTTTTTTTCAATGCCTTTCAAGTACGGTTTGATGAATTCGACTGTTGGTTCCGTGGACAATGAAGGGTCTTCATCTGTATCCTCGACTGTTGCAGTTGGAACTGGGGTTAGGATGGCAGGCCGAAAGGAGTGAGTGGTACGTACTTGTCCAGAGACAACTTTCGACCAAGATAAGGGATGAGTTTTTGTTACTGTCTTCTTGCCTGTATTAGAGGCAGAAGTCGCTAAGATATGGGTTTGATTATTACGTGAAAGAACCATGCACCTTTGTTTTCTTTTACGTGATGTCTGCCGAACCATCGATTTTCAAAGCTCAATTGGTTGAAATTGTTAAGACATGCTTTGCATGCTCTAAAACATATATAGCGCCACAGAAATTACGCCATCATTTCAAAAAGCACAGAATCAATGTTCCCAAACGACCTGTTGGCGTTAGACGTCATGACACACCCGATTGTTCATTTGTAAAAGCTGATGGCAAACATTCAGATATTCAAAAGCACTTTGGCTGTCTGTCTTGTCCTGCTCATTTTAAACTTTTAAACGATTTAAAAGATCATTTTATCAATGACCATCCCGAATCTATGCCGCCAGCACCGCAACACCAAGAAAGCAATGACGTTCCACCACATTTCTTAAAAAAAACGAAGTATGTATGAGATTGTAGACGTTGATGACATTGACACAGAATTAATGGTCCATTCATGTCTATCAATTATACCTCCTTGCGATGATGACCGGTTCATGATTGGTAACTTTGACGCGAACGATGCATTTTATAACTTTCGACAGTCCTTACTGGCTCATAAATGGAAACTCTCTCTGGAAAACCATGTCCAATATGCCCTGGGTCCACCTCAATTCTACTCTTGACTAGAAATCAATATCCTGAAGATTTTCTGCCATTTTTCGATGAACACAACCTAAAGGCTACCATTGACCGTGTTGATGCTATCTATGATATCAGGAAACCACGAATGCCTACCAACGTAGTCATGGAAATCATCAAGATCATCGAAGACCTTTTATCTACCGCGACAACAAGAGAAAAGGTTGCTATAAAATCATTCGGATTGGATCTTACTGTTGTGATGTAAGAGAGAAGATAAAAACAAAGAAGTCGATTAGAACTTGTATAGGTTTATTATCCCAAATATATATATATGGTTCTCTTTTCTAGCTCTTCATTCTCTAGGTAATTATACATGAAGAGATGTCGGAGTGAGTAGTAGTAGAGTTCATGCAAATGACTGAGTCTCTATTATCATAGACTACTTTAAATTAATTAAATAATGTAAATTATGGATTTCGGTTATAAGTCTTGATCTATTAAAAGATACATTGTCTTATTCAGTACAAGAGGCTCTTTTATGTCTATTTCTGATGTAAATTGATTATGATATATTATAGTATGTAATTGAAGACTTATTTAATGTCAGATCATCATATGCATATAGATTCTATATGTTCGCAACACTTACCACAAACGAATATAAGTTTGCCAAAGCAATAGCAGAGCTGGTTAAGGAACTACCTCGTGTATCCCTTGCAGAAGAGCCAAATGAAATGGAACTTTGCTCTCGGTATGTCGATCCATTCTTGTGCGGTATATTTGATGAACCCGATGAAGACGTTTTTTTTTTGCGATGGACGAACGAAACCACATTGGAAGCGAAAAAGCAACAAAGCTTGTTGAGTTGGCGACCCGACATTTGCATCAACAGATTACAAGGCGTCAAATGGAAAGCGAACATTGGTTTTGGGGAGGCAAAACCAGCACATAACGCCATTTTGAACACGGGCATCCGTTTGGAGGATGGAACCTTCGTTAAAGACTTCCCTAGTTTACCTGCCGACGCAAAGATTGTGCGCCTCAAATTGGATAGATTTCCTCTAAAGGCCCCTCAACGATTGAGGAAGGATATGGAAAATTGCTTGTCCGAATATGGTCGAGTATTGGATCTTGGGATTAATAGGAGCCATGGCTGTTTTACTGGTCAAGGCTATGCGACATTGAATCTTACCCAAGCCAACGCCAATGACCCTCCTTTTGAATCACTTCAACGAGTCATTCCTTGGATGTATGGTGATGGAGAGATTCACCAGGTATTACTTCAATGGGAAAATATGCCAGACTTCTGTAGACTATGTCAAGCTTCTGATCATTGCCGTGTAGACTGTCCTGACTTGAAAAACTACATGAAGCGTTTTAATTGTAATGAGAAAGGTCATATGATGACACAATGTCCTCGTAATAATATAATTGAGACGATCGCGGCTCCTAACAAGAAGGCCAAAACCATTGTTTCTAAGGACTGTAAGACGCCAGTAAATACTGCAAAACCTAAGGAAGTCACTCCTATCACTGATGAGGAAAAAGAGGAAGAAGAGGATAACATGGGTATTGAGACCTCTGAACCCGAGAAGCCAAAGGCTGCTCAAGAGACACCTTCTTCTCCCCGTATTACAGCATCAGAGACTCTAAGCAAATGCGAGCGTTTCCGTGGACAAAAGGCAGGGGATGAGATTAGTCAGGGCCGTCCTACTGTGACAAATGTTGACAGAAACGCAATGAATTGGAACTTTGAGCAGATCCAATTCTTGAAATAACAACATTTGATTTTGACCAGCGAACAGATACGAATGATCGAGAATGAGCAACCAGTATCATACAGCTGGGAGCAGCTAGAACAACTAGCTAATGCAGGTTTTCAATTCACAGAAGCACAATTAGCCGTTATGAATTCAGTTCCGACTATGGAACTAGGACAAGGTGGTCTTAGCGACCAACTCTAAACAACTACAATATCCATTAAATATGTCTAACACATGTAAAATAAGAATTGCGACACTCAACTGTCGCAGCCTACGAAAAACCTCCAATCCCTCTCAACAAAAACTTTTTATACGATATCTTCGCTCCTTAGACATTGACATTATCGCTTTCCAAGAAACACATGCCGATAATGCTCAAATCATGAATCAATTAAATATGCAGTTTCAGATGAACTCTGCTTTATGGACTCAACATTGTGGAATTGTCTCACTCAATCCTCAATATATGCTCAAGTCAATATGCACGGATGTGGCGGGAAGATACATTCTAGCGGCTGTACACCTAGTAGAGGAAAATACGAATGATTCTTCTACCTGATAGTCTCAATTCAATCAAGTTCATATCGGCAAAGGCATACCGTTTGAACTATCTTCCTCTTCAACCTTTACCTTCGATTCTGCAAAGGCAATTTTCTCAGTTTTGACCTGAATTCTGGGCCATGTTGTTGCTTTCTGTAACAAGAAACGTGGCGTATCGATTTATGTTACATAAATTGCTTACTCGAGTCCGCCTGAATTGCTTCATCTCAGCTACCTTTCGGTCTTCTATATGCTTGGTTTGTACCCTCCACGCTGAAGATGACAGCCATTTGTTGTTTATGTGTCCACCCAAGGCTTTCTTTTGGCGTGAGCCAATTTTTGAATTCCTGTGGCCAACATTTACAATCGACGATATAATTATGGCAGTACAATCCTTGGACTTTCGTCCTATCAAGTACTGTCAAAATAGAAATTTTACTTGATATTCTAGGCATGTTCATTAACTTGGAGAAAAGATGGGAGCTGCAACAAAAAGAAGATGAAAAAGAAGATGAAGAGAGCGATGAACAGAAAGATGTGCAGTATTTTTTATACAAGATGTCCCGTCAAGCAAAGAAATCAAAAAAGAAAGAAGATGCTGCTTTAGTACGAGTTGCTCAAGCAATGCCGAGCAATTTTGAAAACTGGAAGGCTGAATGTGGAACAGAAGCAGGTTTCTTATGCACCATTCCCCTTTTTTTTAGGAACCACCCCTACCAGACATGTTTAAACCGACATTCGCAGAGTACTGGATAGAGAGGGAGTGGTGGTTAGAGAAGGGGCGGTCCTAAAAAAAATGCATAAATGTACATCAAATATTGTTTTTGTTAATAAACAACCTAAGCTTTTATTCTATAGGGCTTGTAATGCTTATCTATTATGCTTTAAGGAACTTTTTCAAGGATGGAAAGCATACAATTTTTATTTGATTTCGAAAATCATGAAAAGACATCCAACTATTTTTCTGTATGACTGTAGCATTACCATAAGGGAAATAATTCAAGTCATTATGGCTTTGAATGAATCAGATACCTCCTCTTTTTTTTTTTTTTTTTTTTTTTTTTTTTAGTTATCATAGCTTTATCTTTTTATCTTGTCAGTGTCTCGAAACACTACAGATGTTCATGTTAATGCATGATCGTACGCTTCTTTTTTTTTTCTTATTTTGTCTTCATTATGCCTTCTTGGGCGCCACTATTAAGCTTCAATTCTGAATCAGCTCATAGACTATTATAGTTGTGCGTAGTAAGATACATACTTATTGTTTAATTCAAGATCCGGATGTCACTCAAATAGACTAGTCTTTTCTCTCGCTTCAATATGTATGCCTCAGTTTTACATTGAAATGTCTTGATTTTGACTCATTGTAATATGCTTCTGTTCATATTCAATGGTGCCTTTATTAAGCAGAAGTAATATAGAGAAACATCTCAGTTGATTTTATAAGAGAAACGTTCCATTATGCGATTGACAATCTATTTTGTATTCTTTTGAGCAAACAGTGGCAGAAAACTTCAGTCACAAAAGTTAACGTCATCTTTTTTGTGGGTAAAATTAAGTGGGTGCAAAACTCTGCAAGTAATCAACAACGGCAAATTCAAAGGCAGCAGAGTAGGGTTTAAAATAAAAAAGAAAGCAAAAACAAAACCCCCTTCTCATTAAAAAAAAACACATCACTCTCCCCACTCTATTCAACTCCATTACAATGGCTACATCTGCACTTGGATTACAGTTTGCTAAGAGAGCTATGAGTAAGCAGCATACGATATGAGATAATATTAATGACACCCTCTATTATAGCCTTGTCTGCTCCCAAGACCTTGGCAACTACTTCACAACGCTTTATGTCAACCGAAGTTGTCAGAAACATTGATCAAATCAAGGATATTACAGTGACTCCCAACAACAAAGCAGGTTAGAAGACATATTTGCTGCGAAATAGACATGCAAAAAAAAATTTTCTTTGGATTATTGACTGTGCTTGATAGAATTCGTTTTGTCTACAGTTGATCGTGTTGTTAACTGGGCTCGTGAAGGTTCTATTTGGCCCATGACTTTTGGTTTGGCCTGTTGTGCTGTTGTAAGTAAGCGCAGCATAGAAAAGAAAAGAAGAAATATTAAGATTGTATTAGGAAATGATGCATTGTTCTACCCCTCGTTATGATCAAGATCGTATTGGTATCGTTTTTCGTGCCACTCCCCGTCAATCTGATATCATGATTGTCGCTGGTACTTTGACCAATAAGATGGCACCTGCCTTGAGAAAGGTTTATGATCAAGTAAGTCCAGTCATTTGTCCTAGATGGTTTCTAATGATAACCAAAGATGCCTGAACCTCGTTGGGTTATCTCTATGGGTAGTTGTGCTAATGGTGGTGGTTATTATCACTACTCTTACTCAGTTGTCCGTGGTTGTGATCGTATTGTTCCTGTTGATATTTACGTTCCTGGTTGTCCTCCCACTTCTGAGGCTTTGCTTTACGGTATTTTCCAACTACAAAAGAAGATGAGAAGAGTAAGTTTCAAATAAACAAACCAATGCCTAACCTATCCCCTTAGACCAAGATCACACAACTTTGGTACAGAAAGTAAAACTATATTAAATAAAGCAAAAATAACTCCACCTATCAAAAAATAAAAATAGTCTGGCAATAACTTTATTTAGTTTACACACTCCAAAGTCAGATTGTTATACATAAACAGAGGTAGCCTAGTTCGATCTCTTTTTTTTTTCTTTCTTTCTCTCCTGTTTTTTTTTCTTTTCTTTTTTATCCCAATGTCTTCAAGAGAAACTGATATTTCAGAAGTTACTACAACTACAGCTGAAAGAGAAACCGAACGTACTACAACGGATGCTCCCGAAAGAACTACTACAGAAGAACGTACAACTCGAGCCGAAGCAACAACAACAGAAAGAGAAGCCATTACTACCACAGAAAGAGAGGCTATGACTACTACTGAACAAGCTACTAGAACAACAGAAGAAGTAACAACGACAATTGAACGTACTAGGACAGTAGAACCAGCAACAACCGAACGGACCACCACTGAGGTGTCTAGGACAACTACCGAAGCCGAAGCCACAACGACCGAGGCCATCACAACAACAACTGAAATCACAACAACCGAAGCCACAAGCACTACAACTCAACAAGAGACAACTACTGCTGCTGTCAGTACATCAGGTGAAGGTTCTACAGCCATCGATGGTACCACAACCACCATTGGTGCAACCTCAACCACGGAGCAGCCAACAACTACATCGGGAGAACCAACAACCACATCGATATTGGGCGAGACAACAACGAGTTCCTTATCTACTGCTTCGGAAATAGAAACTACCTCCCTGAATTCAGAAACCACAGGCACACCAATCCCAACCACGGTGGCCGAAACATCTTCCACAACTGAGCCAGTAATTACAACTGAGTCAGTCACTACAGATCAAGCTATTGTTACTACAGCTACAGCGTAAGTTATACCTTTCTTTTTTTTTTTTTTTTATTTTTATCTTAGCGCCTCATCCTAACTATTTTTATCTTGTCCTTTTATATCCAACAATATGATCTCCGTTTTTTTCTCTATTTATATACTTTTTTCTTATTTTATTCATTTTTCTTTTTCTTCTTCTTGATAGAGTCCAGCCCACTTCAACCGAGAACATGTCCACTACGGCAGCGACTGCTACAAACATTGCCGAAACGACAACTACTGTTGGTAGAACGACAGAAGAACCAGTTACTACTACTGCTGCTGCTGAAGCTACCACTACAACTGCTGCTGAAGCCACCACTACAACCGCTGCTGCTGAAACCACAACCACGGCTGCTCAAGACACAGCGACAGTACAGCCTACTACAACAGAAGCGCCAACAACTACCGCAGAAGCTACAACGACTGTCGCACCTACAACGACTGTCGCACCTACCACAACAGAAGCACCTACCACTACAGCAGAAGCCACTAGCACCACAACTGCTCAAGTGCCTACTACCTCTGCTGAAGCTACATCGAGTGTAGCTCCAACAACAGCAACAGCAACAGCAACAACAACAAAGGCTGTTACTACTACTGAAGCACCTATAACAAGTGACACTCTTGCTCCTACTACTACTACTGCTGCTGTTGCTGTGACAACAACAGAAAATGTAAGTACTTCTTCCATTGTACCTATCACAACAACGACAAGTTCTGTTGAACCAGAAACGAGTCTTGTACCCACTACCACTACTACCAATGATATCACTACTACATCCGATATTACTTCTGATCCTGTTACTACCACTTCCCTTACTACATCCTCTGATTCCATTATTATTACTACTACTACTACTACTACTCCTTTTGAAACCATTGTCTCATCTTCTACTACTACTCCCGAACAGACTACAACACCAACTCAGCCCACTACCACTGCAGAACAAGCCAGCATTACACAAACTCTTACACAAGACCCTACTTCATTTTCCTCTTTAAGGTATCATTCTACTAGCATCACTATTTCAACAGACATCACTACAACCACCGCTATTGTTTCAAATGGTGTAACCATCACTGTCACAACTGTCATTCCTACGACGTAAGTTGTTTATGCAATGTCTCTATTGTGCCTAACCTTCTTTTAGTACGGTCATTCCTACATTGGCTCTTGATAAAGATGGTGGAGTGAATCAGACTTCTTCTTCTGGTTCGAATACAGGCAGCATCATTGGCGGTGTTGTTGGAGGAGCTGCTGGTCTGGCTTTGATTGTGGCTGGTATCGTGTTACTCAGACGACGCAATCGCAAAAGCGCATTTGCTAGAGATCAACACAACAGTCAAATGTATGATGATGAATTTTATGCAGATCCTTACCGACAAAACGAATGGGGTTCAGCAGCAGAACAACAGCAGCGCATGAATCCTGCCAATACAACCGCAAACATTCTTGATGATGATGACGAAGACTTTTATCGTTCAAGATCAAGTAAAAGAAGATCTTGGTGGTCTTCTGTCTCTTCTGTTTTTAGAAGATAATTTCATTTTGTGTATCATAGTGTGTAATAAAATTATTAGTCTTTTCATTGGCTCTGCTTTATTTCTTTTTTGTTTTTTTCGTATGATATCAGAGAAAGAAAAGTTTATGTGTAAGATATGTCTTGAAAAAGACTCAGTTGATAAGTTGATATCACCATGTCATTGTAAAGGCACCATGTAAATAAGATAAGAATGTATTCTATTTCTTCTTACTTTCTTTTACAAGTAAATATGTTCATCCTCATTGCATGGCAGGATGGCGAAAAGCACTTTTAGAAACAGGAAGAATAGGCGACTTGTATCATTGTCAGCTCTGTAAACATCGCTTTTGGGTTAAGCAACGTACTGTATGTGCCACTTTATTTCATTATAAAGGTAAGATAACTACCTTGGCCATATGACGTGTTATCCTGATGTTTTAGTATTTCGTATCGTCCTGACTGCAATGATTCTGGGTCTTCTATTGCTTCCAGCAGGTAGAATAAGCACCGACCACAACCAAGCTCATGCATAGACATAGGAAACATCATGAAAATACTTATTCATTTCTCTGTTCTCTTGAGCAATCACCCCGGAGGACTCACACAGGCATGGACATCCAACTCATTCTTTGATATCTTGTTTAAAAGTGGTCAAACAGCCATCATGGCAACATTCTCACAGAGTTCAACATCGGATGCCTCATCCCATGTCTTGTTCTCTCCTTTCCCGGTCTGTTCTGCCAATGGACTGTCTGATTCACATTCATTGCTTTCCAACTGGCTGCTTTATTACTTTTTATTTCCCTTTTCCGATGATCGTTTTTGGGAGTTGATCTTGTGTCGGTTGGAACACTTTCATCTTGGTTTCTTTTTGTTAGGAAGCATCTGCAATATCGTTTTTACTTGTAAATTATTGAATGACATGTTTGACATTGTCTTGCTACCACAAGACGAAGATGAAGACGAAGAAGACGCTTCCTTTAATGTCTTTTTTGCAAGACTATGTAAAATCACAAAGGGTTTCTTGATAACCCATTGTTGTTCCTTGATTGTCTTTTTTTGGATTTATTTCAACATCTTTGCATTCCATATCGATTCAAACTCTGAACACATGTTTGTAGCCAAATTACCACTATGGATATTACGTTGGGTAACATTAGGCCTTACCGTTGCAGAATTTGCAAAGAATGTTTATCATGGATTAAGCAAAATCATGTATGGTGTTGATCAAGAAGACATCTTGTCCTTACCAGAACAATCTTAGTCCTTACAATAATAAAAAAATAAGGTTGTTCTTTTTTATTTATTTAAACATTTAAGCTTCAACAGGCTCAGCGGCAGCAGGAGCAGGTCTGAAGTCTTGAGCAGAGGGCTCAAGGATAGGAGTTTCATCCTTGGGTTCAAGAATGGTAACAATATCAGGAAGAGTTTGCTTGGGACCGTTACGACCAGTGGGGTCGCTGTCCAACATGATCTTGACCTTGATACCCAAGACACCTTGACGCAAGTCAACGTGACGGACAGCAGTGGTAATGAATTCACGAGCGGGGTTACCAGAGTGGATCATGAAACCATCAGCGAACTTCATGGCCTTGGCACGGGCAGCACGGACCTTACCAGAGACAACAACTTCACAACCCTTAGCACCGGATTCCATCACGAAACGGACGACACCGTAACAGGCACTAGAGGATGTCAGTTTATATACATACATGAAAGGACATGGTTACTTACCGACGAACAGCCAAACCGTTAAGGAGCTTGAACTTGACGGACTCACATTGAGCAATGGCACAGAGACCACGGTTTTGGACACGTTCAGCGTAGAGTTCGACAGCGTTTTCGGGGAACTTGAAACGCTTTTGAACAAGGGTGGTCAATTCACGGATACGACGACCCTTTTCACCAAGAACCTTTTGGGTTTGAGTGGCACGAATGATGATTCTAATCAAGTTAGAAAAAGACAATGTTGAGTCTATGACTTACTCAGTACGGGCAGGGGTGACACGAACTTCGACACCAGCGTAACCATCTTCAGCAAGTTCACGAGTGAAGAACTCGTTCAATTCGGCGTAGAAGACACCATCGGCGACCTAGAGAGTTGAATAATGAAGGTGGTCAGTACATACATATAAAAAGAGAAGCCGAGTTGTTGAGTAGCAGTATTATAAGCGGGTGATGTTATTTCCAATGTCAATCAGTACTGTTTCCTTCAACAACTCACGGCAATTCAATAAGGTGATCAAAAACTTACAAACTATTAGAATGAATCAGTCAATCTGTTCAAATGGCATTCATCCATCAGGTTTAATGGATGCCTCTTCTTCTTACCTTTCTCTTCTTGGAGATCTGAGCTGCAACAGCGGCCATATTGTATATCGATTAAAAAGGAGGGAAATCAAGCTTTGCTAGTTCACTACTTAGTTTTGGGGCTTTCAAACTCATGTTGGTACAGCGACAAGTACGGATTGATCGGACATTATTCCATCTCCGAATCCGGGCCATCCATTTTCAATGTGTATAAAAAGAGAATTTTATTTAAACATCAATAACTCGACTCAACTTTTGAACTCTGTTCAACAAGACATCGCCTTGCTTGATAACAGCTTGGTATTGAGCATTCTTTGCGTCAGGTCTGTTTGTTTCAATGATACCATTCACTTTGTCAATGACACAATTAAGACGACTAGCTGCAATGAATTTATAAAGATCCCTAATTAGGTGTGTGTGTGAGTGTAAGTGTGAAATATATGTATGTATGTATATATGCATAACTTACTGATCAATGTATGCTTCACTCACACCAAAGGCTTGTGCCATACTTGTCACTGTCAATGATCTATAACTCTCTAATAATTGAGCATAAGCCAAGATACGCATTTCACGCACATAATAACGCATGTGAGGGAAAAGATAACGCGATGTACGCAAATGAGATTGTTCAACAGCAGCTAATGCACGGAAGAATTGATCGTATTTACAGTTGTATAAACTAGCCATAAAGTCTTCAAGATGAGGAATATCAGAAATCACTTCCAAAATCTCTGGGGCATCAAGGACTCGCTTCTTAATATCAACACGCTTCATGCTGATCAAACTGGTCAAGACAGCATATTTAACGAAATCTTGATAGGACATGATTTCAGTGCTTGTGAATGTACTCAAGGTATCCAAAAACAAGAGAGCAGCACCCTTGAAGTCGCGAATGGACATGAGATAGACACCTTCATATACCTTGAGACGGTTACGACGATCCCAATCACCACCTTGTTCAATCAATTCTCGAAGCTTTTCAATGTTGGAACGAACAAGTGCATTATCGCTGAAAAACAAACCAATACGGACAAATGTAAAGACAACATCAATACGTGTGCCTAATGTGATAGATCGCTTAAGTAAAGCTTCATAGGCTGATAAAGCATTTTCCTAACAATCTTGGTAAGCGTATTGTAAAATAAGAATAATAATAATAATTCAACTTGGTTTACTTTGTCACCGATCTTGGCATAGTAATCAGCTTTGGCCAAAAAGGCTTCGTTGACTTCTGTTTCACCTTGGTTTTGCTCAGCATCAACTGCTTTATCGTCCATTTTTTTCAATTCTTCCGTGTTCTTTGCCACCATACTATCATACAAAGCTTGGTCAAAAGGTGCTTGGAGTTCCTCTACCATAACCTTGTAGAAGGGCGCCATATCTATTCTGTATAAGATACTGTGATTTGATAGTCATGTCACCTACTGTTTTCTTTGATGGCTTCAAAAAGCGTGTTCTTTGCATCCTCTTTTAATTCAGCTGGACCTTGATTAATGATGAAACGGTGATGCTAATCCAACAATAAGTCTCTATCGATTTGACTAACTTATATACTTACGGCAAGAGCAAGATTAGGAATCTTGGGTACTTGGTTTTCGTCAATAACAGTAGACATGTTTAATAAGGAATAAAAAAAAAATCTAAGTGAACACGCGTACAGCATTGAATTCATCCAATGGACTATCATTTCAATCTCCGTCGTCCGCATCCTTTTTTGTGCGTATATACGTCATCACTTCTATTCTTTAAGTTGATAATGAACTGCATGAGCATAAAAAGTCTATTTTTGATTCTTTATTTCATCAGTGAACAACCTTACTACTCATGGTTCTTCTGCTTGTCTTTCTATAGATTTTGAGTAAAAGTTGCAATGATATCAACCACAACCTTAGAGGATTGGATATCATTAAGATTTAACATAATAACAAACATTAAGCGTATCATTGAATAGTATAGATACAGATAAAGTCTAAACTTGATTTCCAGTAGCATCACAAGTCCTGAACAGATATACAATAAATGATGGGTTATTGAAAATTACAATTATTTCGTATTGTTCGCAAGTCCATTATACTTAATACCAATATTAAGCAACAGCACCCATTATTCCTTTTTTCTTTTTAGGCCAAACGTTTTGGAGAATAACATCAAATAAAAATATATTTCAAAGTGTTCTAATGCTTTACTTTCTGGTTTTCTTTTCTTGTTCGAGGAAGAATACACTTTTACAACACGTCGATATGTATATTGGGCCACTGTTCTCTGTTTATCTTTACTAGTTGTTGACATAAGTAGTCTTTTTTTGTTGTTCTCAAGGATTTGTCTGCGCTGTTTTCTAAAGTGAAAGTAACATAAAAAGTGGCCATGTCTCTAGTTTCAATCCATCGACATTTTGAAGTGAGTTGCACAGCATGTTCTACGATGTCCATAGGAATCCTAAACGCTTGCGTATTAAAAGAGATAGTCTTTTTCTAAAATCTTCTTTTTTGTTATTCACCATTTCAATAGTGAATCAATCTACAATCCAGATTTGACATTTGTAACACACAGTCAGCTATTTTAGTCAATTGAGCTAATGAGTCACTACTTGAAAATATCCTGGTGTCCATGGTATGTATTTACACAGAGACAAAAAAAAAAGGGTGATGATATATTTCCTTGTTAATTGTATGACGCTTTGAATACAAGTCACTTACTTGGTACAGTATTCAAAGCGTCATACAATTAGCAAGGAAATATATCGTCACCCTTTTTTTTTTTTGTCTCTGCAACAATGTCAAGAATGCATCCATTCATAACACATCTCATCAGATTGACTGTTTCTTGTACCATATTCAATTCATTCTAGAGCATTATCATGCGAGTCGACTCTCTTAAAGTAGTAAGACTAACAGTCACAATACACCATTTTAATTGGATGAACTCAGTGAGTGCTTCTACCCTATCACCCTCTATTCCGGTGAACGCGTAATCTAACTAGGACTTCTTTGCTTGACTCTACTGGCGTGCTCCTTTTTTTTTTTTTTCTTATATTCAATATGGTCTCTGCAACTTCAACTACAACTAAATCTGCTCCTTCTAATCGACTCACACAAGCTGATGAATTGAAACAAGCCAAAAGTTTTGAAAAAGCCATTACTTTCTATCAAACTATCTTGGCTGAAAAATCAACTTCAGAAGAGACCTTAAGAGAACAAGAATATGCTCTTACTCAACTGGGTCAACTCTATCGCGATCTTCAGTATGTTTCTATTCTCTCTATCTATTGACACTCATCTCTCTCTTTAGTCTTCCTCAAGAACTTGCACAGTTGATTCGTTCTTCTCGTCCTTTCATGTTGACTATTGCTAAAGCAAAGACAGCCAAACTAAGTAAGGAAAACAAGATATCAGTCATTGTGATAGAGACTCACTCATGTCTTAGCTCGTACGTTGATTGATTACTTTAGCGATATTCCCAACTGTCTTCCTCTTCAGATTGAAATATGCAAAGAAAATATTGACTGGTGTATTCAAGAAAAGCGTTTGTTTTTGAAGCAAGCATTAGAGACGCGTCTTGTTGCACTCTACTTGGACAACAAGATGTATCATGAATCCCTGAATTTGATTTCAGTCCTTTTGAAGGAATTAAAGCGTTTGGATGATAAGATGGTATTGGTTGAAGTACAGTTACTTGAGAGTCGTGTCTGTCATGCACTCAGAAACTTACCCAAGGCCCGTGCTGCTTTGACTTCTGCTCGTACTTCTGCTAATGCCATCTATTGTCCTCCCTTATTACAAGCTTCTTTGGATATGCAATCAGGTGTACTCCATGCTGAAGAGAAAGACTACAAGACAGCTTACTCTTATTTCTTTGAAACATTTGAAGGTTATTCTAGTCAAGAAGATCCCAAGGCTATTTTGGCACTCAAGTACATGTTGTTGTGTAAAATCATGTTGAATTTGGTAAGACCCTAGTATTGAAATTATAGGTGTATTGATATCATGATAGACTGAAGATGTTCATTCGATCATTGGTGGTAAAGTGGCATTAAAGTACGCAGGTGTGGAAATTGAAGCCATGAAGGCAGTTGCCAATGCCCACAAGAACAGAAACCTTCAAGAATTCGAGACAGCACTTGCTACTTTTACAAATCAACTCAACAATGACCCTATCATTCGTACCCAATTAGCAGCATTGTATGATACACTTTTGGAACAAAACTTGGTTCGTATCATTGAACCCTTTTCCCGTGTTGAAGTCAGTCATATTGCAGACATGGTCAAGTTACCCACACAACAAGTAGAAGCCAAATTATCACAAATGATTTTGGATAAAAAGTTCCATGGTATTCTTGACCAAGGTGCTGGTTGTTTGATTGTGTTTGATGAGCCTGAACAAGACAAGACATATGAAATGGCCATTGAGACTTTGAAGCAAGTTGATAAAGTTGTCTCTAGTTTGTATCAAAAGGCTGCTGAGCTTTCTTAATAAACATTCTATAAATGGAAATAGAAACACATCTTATATAATTCTTACACTTTGTCAGGTACATAAAAAAAAAAAAAAATGCGGAGCTGATAGTCAGTGACGACATGCTTTTGGTATTTTTTTTTTTGCAATGAGTGTCACGCTGCTTTAGTGTAACACACTAAAAGAGGGAAATAAGAAACAAAGCAATGTATTTCGTATGTATGACCTCGGGACAATGCATTAAAAATTAAGCTTTTAATGCGGGATTTGAATCTGCTGATTTTATTGTGGATATGTAAAAAAAAAAAAAAAAGTGCTTTTCTTTACCACGAACACGGAATTGAGATCAGTTGTCCAGAATGACACGCGAGGTGACGTCGTCTCAAACTTGGCCAATCGAAGACAATACTGGAAAAGTCATGATCAACGATCTTTATCTGCTTTTTATTTTATGTTTTCTTTGACGTAGACAATGTCTATAAGAAAAAGGAATAGTGTTCTTTTTTCTGTTTTGGTGATTTATGGTTCCTATTGTTTATTACTGACATGTAAAAATAAAAAAAAAATGAACTCAATTCGGAAAAAGGAAATGTTTTGACAATGATTGGACATGTACTATAAATTAAAAGAACGTCCCTAAACAACCATCTTGAGCTGAAGACACTCAATAGTTCCTATTCATCATGTTTCTAAGAAACCGAGCCTTTTTTTTTTTTTTTTTAACTCTGATAATTTTTATTTTTTTTTTTTTCAGCGCTAAACTCTCCTTCGCATGTTTTAAATTTCTTTTCTCTTTCTCTTTTTCTTCTTCTTTTTCTTTTTTCTTTTTTTTTTTTTAAAAAAAACATATATCTATCTTTCTTTAATATATAAAACGCGAAAGATAAAAAAAAGAAAGAATTATTGATTTTTTCTTATTGTTTTATTACTTTACTTTATACGCTTATATATACATATATATATATGGCTGCGCTGTCATTTTGCTACGCACCACCTGTATCGGGCCAATATGCCCAACATATCAACAAAGATGAAACAACAACCATAAGCAACTTACGTTCTACTTGTCAGAAAATTATGGCAGCAAGGAACTGTCAAATTTCATTCATGTCCACCAAAACAAAACAGACAAATAGCACAGAATTCAATCTTTCATTGACCGGCTCGGCTCAGGCAATCATGGAAGCTCGTGGTGACTTACTCTTAAATTGTCCTTTGGAGGTACAAATTGACCTTGTTTTAACATACTTATATGACTTTAGATTATGCTTACACTTCAGATCCCACCCAACGCCAACTTGTCACTCTTGAATGACCATTGTCGTGATCTCGAAAAAGAGTTTGACACCAAGATCACCATAGTACCCGAAAAAGCCAGTTGTTCTTCCCTTATTTCAGACAACACATTTACTGTGGAAATAATAGGGAGTCCTATTCAAGTAGAACAATGTCGTGTGCGCGTACTTGTGGCGATTGATGAAATTATGGTAAGAGAAAAACAATAGACGAATTGAATCACCGATGGTTTTTTTTTCCTTATTGTTCTAGTATGCCTTTAAAACCGAAATAGTACGATTGCCTTTGAAATTACAGTACCTCATTTGTGGAAGAAAGCGAGCTGGATTATTACCTATTATTGAAGAAACTTCAACCAACATTTATTTCCCTTCTCCATTTACACATCATACCGAGACGAAGAATACCAACAACGAAGAAGAAAAAGATTTCCCAATTTATATTACGGGTGAACAAGTACATGTTTTACGTGTCAAAGACATGTTGAACAAACTGGCTGTTCAAAAGGTAACAAAAAAATTAAGTTTACACACACACAAAAAAAAAAACTTAAACCTTGTTTGACAGGCAAAATCAATGTATCACAAAGACACTGCACTTTATGCAAGGAAAATAGATTGGCTTTTATTACATCGCCGAGATGAATTACGTAAAATTATGCACGATAATGGTAAGAGAGATATATAAGGTCTAAGCGACATCACTCATACGTATATTAAAGGTGCCTATATTGAATTTCCTACTTTGGGTTCTGGTGATAACCGTGTCACTGTCTATGCAGAAAACAGAGTAAATGCAGAACGCACTTTGCGTGCACTTAATTTCCAAGCGTGTAATATCTATGAAGCCTGTTTCTTTTTCAACAATGACGATGGTGCTATCTATGATCCTACTGGCTCACATGCATTTTTTGAGTCTACTACAAACCTGTCGAGTCTGGTGTCTCAACTTTCTCAAGTGTCTGGCTCAGAAGTCTTTTACAAGACAGATCCTGGCTGTATCGAAGTATTGGGTGCAGAACGAGCCATTCGAAATGTCTATCAACGTCTTCAAGAGATGCAGTTTTTGCAAGTGTTTCATCAATATACTGTCTTTCGAGTCGAGTCATCTAACGAGCAACGCGATTTTATCTCGGGCAAAAAGAACGGTAAAATCAACAAAATTATGAAGACCTCAGGTGCCAAAATCCGGTTTGTTTCGTTTATTAACGACTATAATTTTATTATTGAGGTCGAAAGTACGAGTTTCACAAAAGCGTTGGACGGTTTGACATTACTTCAGGAAGAACTACCTGCTGAGATTTCATTTTATGTGCCCGAATCTTACCATAAACGCATTATTGGTGTTGGCGGAAAAAACATTCAGAGGATCATGAAAAAGTATGGTGTCTATGTCAAGTTTTCAAACACAGAAGAGTTTGCTTCCTTGGGTGGTTATTACAACAACGAAGACAATGTGGTAGCACGTACACCTATGAAGAACCAAATCAATCTGGATAATTTACGCCATGCTGTGATGGAATTGATTCACCCTAAAGACCGTGATTATATGGTAGAGTCAATTCAGATTCCTTTTCATTTGCACCGCCTATTGATTCATGACTATCAAGATACGTTTATTACTGAAGAATTGATCAAGAAGACAAACACGCATGTCTTGTGGCCTGATGCAGAACTAGCCAGTAACACAGTTGAATTGCTCGGTCCTGAGGCACACATGTCTATGGCTTTTAAGATGATGGAAAGTATTGTGCCAGAAGCTTATGATTTGTATGTTCCTACCAGTACCGCTTTTCACGAAGCAGTTCAGTCAGACTTGTTTCAAAAGAAAGTGGTGAGTGTGCTTGATCAAGACTATCAGGTCTCTGTTGAAACCAGTGCCCCTACATCTGACCGAGGTGGATTTATTCGACTGAACATGACCAGAGACAAAATCAGCCTTGTGTTACAAGATGCTTTACGTGTTGTCATTGATTATTTGAACAGTCAAAAAGTGCCCTTGTTTGAAAGCACCACAGCAGAAAAACTGTTCCATGCAGTCGAAAAGAAGCAACAGTTGATAGTAAAAAAAGGTAATTTGAGTGCTAGCAGTAGTTCCAGTCTTTTGGACTCTACCTTGCTAAAGCATCCACCTGCTGCTTCGTCCATGTTGAACTCTGTCAGCATGATGCGGTCTTCCACGGACACAGTCTATATTGCACCTTTCAGTCAAAAACAAGCCAATACATCTCCTCCCTCGCTTACACCTGCACAACCCGCTCAGTTTTTTAATTTCACGAACGATACTCCTCTTGATAACAGTGGCTGGATGTCTTCTTTGGCCCCTTCTGTGCAACCACAACCGATACCTTCTACTTCTCTTCAATCGAACGGCAGTGGTAATAGTGCTGGTGGTGATAACAACAATAACACAAACAGTCATTTGCGAGCCATTTTTGATGCTCCTATGGAACTTACTGAACAAGAACGTGCTGTTTTGTCCAATTATCGTTATCAACGCATGAATATGCCTCCTCCTCCTCCCTCCAATTTCGGATTTCCCCAGGCTGTACCTTCTGCACCTACGTCAGATATCTGGTCTGCACCTACAGCACAAATTTCAGGGAACCGTCGATCTGCTTCAACTGCATTTTCGCCTAATACGATGACAAGCCCACCTAGTAGTCATCATCGAGCAACAACAACAACAACAACAACAACAACAACAACAACAGGAACAACAGGAACAACTTATGCACAAAGTGTCACGAATGAAAATCCAAACCTAAGAGTAAGTGCCATGTCCCTTGCATTGTGTTATTGATCATTTTTTTGTAGCGATACAATGAAGCAAGTACTGGTGGTGGTAATAAAAATGTGTTTTATCCTTCGATGCATATGGCATCCAACGAATTTAACCCTTATAACGATTCACCTACACTGAAATCAAGCCAATCGATGCCTGAACCCATGCTTGAAGCTCATTTTAGTTCGAATCGACCTAATTTTCAAACATCGCCTTCGTTTCATGGAAGCCAAGCACAAGCCTTTGGTCAACTTCATTTAGGTAATTATCGACCTACAAGCAGTGGTAACTTTGTGCCTCAAAACACACCACCTCAACATGAACAACAACAGTTTTTCACCAACACCAATGAATTAAATGGTAAGTATTGAATGTATATAAGCAAAGGTGCTCATGTGTCTCTAGTTGTCCAAAAGGTATTTGAAAATCTGTCTACTCAAAGCAGTGGTTCGTCAGGTTACGACCCTCGCCGTCAAAACAATCATGATCAAGAAAAAGGTTCAAGACCTCCTCCAGGTATTGACATTTAAACATGTATAGTCATATGCTGAAAAGAGTCTACATTTTATCCCCCTTTTTATTATCCCTTTTTTTTTTTTTTTATCTCCTAGAATTAATATCTATAGTCTTTATATAGAAATCATTAATCCACGTATATATACATATATTCTCTTTCTCTTTTTACATAGACTTATTCCTATATATATATAAAACACACACACACACACTCATATATATAATATAATATAATAAATATCATTATTATTTTAAAGTTATCTTAAGAAGCTACACCAAATGAATCCACCAACATGGCATTGATTGTATTGACCCACTCTTGAGCATGTTTCTTATCTTCAAACGTATATGTTTTCTCAGGCTAAATTTCAAAAATAAGGTAAACAGACAGCAAAAGAGGGCACAAACAACTTACTGTATGCAGGCAAAACATTGATTTTCCTTTAAGCTCGGGTAATAACTGTGATGTCCAAGGAATTTCACATCGTAAATTACCGTCTAGTTTGTTTTTATCACTGCCTTCGTCCAAATACAATAGTCGTGGTCTATTTGTTAAGATCAAGTTTCTCTTTTTTGAAATCAATCCTCTTTTTCGAGTCAATCGTCCTGATTTGATGACAGATTCGTTTGGATACAAGTGAGGCACCCTTAAAAAGAAAATGTTATTTATTTATAAAAAAAAAAACTTGATGATTTACCATGGTGGGTGTGCTTGTCCACCTAATCTTTCAGGTATACTGGCTGTAGAAGATGCTGTGCTGCTTAATTGGCTTGATCTCTTTTCTTGAGTTTGTAGCTGAATGTGCTTTGTTTTGATAGGTGTTGTGTAAGTAGATGTATTAGGCTTATCAGATCCAAACCACATATCGTCTTCTTCTTCTTCATCATCGCTGTTATCAAGGTCAAATTTGGGTGGTATCACTGGGTGTAATTTAGCTTCTGTCTCGAGTCTTTCTTTTAGGTTGGGAGGTGTGGATTGAAAGAGTGTGTTCCATTCGATGCCTTCAAAAAATGGATGATCTTTAATCGCATGGATTCCTGTGGCACCTAATCTTGTCTCTGGTTCAGACACAAGCAATCGTTGAACAATATCTTTGCCAGTTTCTGGAAAATCATCAGGCATTGTATACTCTAAATTTTTGATCTTTTGAAATATTAAGTAATCTGTGGCTGCCTTAAAAGGTGATTTTCCAGACAACATTTGGTAGATCACACATCCTAATGCCCAATAATCCGCCCTATACGTATGATTAGCTAGGGTTGGTCATACCATCTACCTTACTCTTTAGACACAGGATCACTACGAAGTAATTCAGGAGACACGTATTCTGCTGTGCCTACAAAAGAACGCGCAGCAGAAGGTTCTTCTTCATTCTCTTCTTTTTCTAGAATTTTGGCAGATCCAAAATCAGTGATTTTAATATGTAAATGATCGTCCAGTAAAATACTAAAAGTAGTGCATTAGTCAAGTTCTCGTTTATACAAATCTACTTTACTTTTCTGGTTTAATATCTCTTTTGTTTGTGATAAATAGTGTTTAGTTGTTCTTCTTTTTTTTTTCTTATTTCTTTTACCTATGAATCACTCCTTTTTGATGTATATGTTCAATAGCAAGTAATATCTCGGCTGCATAAAATCTGGTTGTCTCTAAATCAAAGGGTGCCAACTAATAACAACCTGTAAAGAGAGTTGTAAATACGAAGCATACTTACTCTTCTAATATAGGTATAAAGCTCCCCATTTTTTGCTAAATCTAATACAAAATCTAGCGTCGGGTTAGTCTACACTGCTCTTGACTTCAAAAACTTACAGAGGCTTCGGTTATCCTTGTAAGTCCAATAGAGTTTAACGATGCCCGGATGATTCATTCGGCTGAGGGCATCGCGCTCGATCATGACATATTTGACTTTGTTGTTTTTGACAATATGAGCCTTATCAAGGCGTTTGACAGCATAATGCTTTCCTGTACGTTTATCTCTGCCAATCAAGACCTACATTGACTTGTTGAGCGAGATTCCTGTTTGATCAGCACTTACAGTTGAATACGATCCTTCACCTAAGATATCCCCATAATCAAAGTCAGTGACAATACGACGATGATGATGAAGAGGATGAGAAGGATCATCAACATCTGTATTCAGTGTAGGTTCTCTTGCATGTATTGATTGGGTTGGTGAGGCCATATACAAAAAATAAAAATAAAATAAAAAGTGTCGTGTTACAATCAATAAATTGTACTCGCGTACCCTATATATTTAGGCCAGACTACATTGAACTCCTTTAATCCAAAAAGAAAAAGCCAATGAGCAAGTTACACAGACTCAAGTTAGATGTCCTTGCTTGATATACATATGTCAGTCTCGATTGACTCAATAAGTTAGGCTAATCATCGTATGTCTATGTTCTCTATGGATGTCTATATTGACTACTCTACACTCTCTTATATACACACAATGACTGCAATGCATTCTCTTATATACACAGAATGACTACAATGTATTCTCTTATATACACACAATGACTGCAATGCATTCTCTCTCTCTCTCTCTCTCTCTCTCTCTTTTTTTTTTTTTTTTTTTTTTTGTTTACTTAACAAGTGTAACATTTTGGCATTATATTTGTACAACTCTTGATTTGTGAATTGGTCAACCAATCAAATCCATACAGAAAGGTCAAGAAAGTTGTGGAAAGAAAAATTTTATTTTACGCTCAATTCAAGCTAAATTAATAAGGGGGGAAGACTGTCATTCTTTTTTTTTTTCCTTTTTTCTTCCTTTCTTTACTACACATAATATGGCAAGAGAGACTAAGTTTTACGACGTTTTGGGTGTTAGCCCTGATGCTTCTGAAAGCGAACTCAAGAAAGCTTATAGAAAATTAGCCCTTAAATACCATCCTGATAAGGTATAAAAAGTCATAGATAGATAGACATTGTAGTTTCTCTAACACCATTACGATAGAACCCTGCCGCTGGTGACAAATTCAAAGAAATCTCTCATGCTTATGAAGTCCTTTCTGATCCTGAAAAGCGTCAAATGTACGATCAATTTGGTGAAGAAGGATTGAACGGTGGTCCCGGTATGGGTGGCATGGATGCTGAAGATCTCTTCTCTCAACTCTTTGGTGGTGGATTTGGTGGAGCTCGTCGTGGCCCCTCTGGTCCTCGTCGTGGTAAAGACATGGTTCATGCCCTGAAGGTCAGCTTAGAAGACTTGTATAACGGAAAGACCAGCAAACTTGCACTTCAGAAACACATTCTCTGTCCTAAGTGTGACGGAAAGGGAGGTAAAGAAGGTGCTGTGCAGAAATGTAAGACATGTCACGGTCAAGGTATTCGCTTAATCACACGTCAAATGGGTGCCATGATTCAACAATTCCAACAACCATGTAACGACTGTCGTGGTACTGGTGAAATCATTGATGAAAAAGATAGATGTGGTGGATGTCAAGGAAAAAAGGTGATTGGCGAAAAGAAGATTCTTGAAGTTTTTATCGATAAAGGTATGCGTGATGGACAGAAGATTACATTCTCTGGTGAAGGTGATCAAGCTCCTGGTATTGTTCCTGGTGATATTATCATTGTCATTGATGAAAAGCCTCATCCTCACTTTAAGCGTCAAGGCGATGACCTTATTTATGAAGCCAAGATTGACCTTTTGACCGCTCTTGCTGGTGGTAAATTCGCTATACCCCATTTAGATGACCGTGTCTTGGTTGTCAACATTTTGCCTGGTGAAGCCATTAAGCCTGATCAACTCAAGGTTATTCCTGATGAAGGTATGCCTGCCTACCGTACGCACACGCGTGGTCATTTGTTTGTCAAGTTCACAATTGAGTTCCCTCAACCCAACTGGACTTCACCTGAAAACATTGCTGCTCTTGAAAGTGTCTTGCCTCCTCGTCCTCAATTGCCTTCATTTGGTGATAAGCATGTTGATGAAGTTGTTATGGCTGATGCTGAAGGTTATCAATCTAGCTCTAGACAAGGTTCAAATGCCCATATGCATGATGGTTATGAAGATGAAGACGACCATCATGCTGGACCCGGTGTCCAATGCGCTCAACAATAATATTACTTTTATGTACAGAGATAATAAATTCCTTTTTTCTTTCTTTCTACTTGTATCCCCTACTACAGTAGTTTGAACAAGCTGACCAGACTTGAACAAATGGATTTCTTTTTCTGAACAAGAGCTAATCACTCTCTTGAACAGAACATTAGGCAACGCTAAACCTAATTTTGAGACAAAAGATGGCTCTTCTGTCTTTGTATGTATGAATGCTACTATAGAAGGCGGACACTACGCATTTTTTTTTCCCTTTGTGTATACAAGTACCCCGGAGTACAAGTATTTATGTATTGAGAATCAGTAAACCCAAAAACCTGATCTCTGTATACATATTTGCTTCCTTTTGGGTCTAGTGTCTACCCTTTGTCTGCAGCCAATTAGTATGTACGTGTATAAACAATCGCTATTGTCCCTAGCTTTTGGTTACACAGGTCTTAGTATAACGTCATATCTAAACAGCGCCAAAAAAGTAAAACACTGAACAGACACAGCTACACGGCTGGAAGGTAGCGCTCTTATAGTTTCATAGGTTAGCTAGAAAAGAGTTTGGGTACCTTGAACAATATGGACTTTATTTTGACAACAATGTAAAAATAAAAGACAAGTGTTTGAAAAAGAAAAAAATTCTTCCGGAAATAAAAAAAATGCCATATTCGAAGTCAGGTGGCTTAGCCAATCAATCTGTTGCCTTGGCTACTTTAAGAGATTGGCCACTTTAAGAGATGCATGAACAAATGGCCTTTATGTTATTTTCTTATCAAATGCATTATAAAGTTGCTTGTTGTACACCAAATGATAGCAAGAAACTTAGGTTTATGCATGCATAAGTAAGCAGATTGAGCCTTCTAACAGGTATAAAGTTGCATATATGGATAGATAGAATCTATAAGAAAAATATAAAGGTGTTAAAAGTGATGAACAAACCTATCAAATTAAAAGCCTGACAAGTTCTATGAAAAAAAAAAAAAGAAAAAAGACGTATTTTGCTTTGATTCTATGTTTATTCAAAAGATTGGATGTACTTTGTTTTTCTCTTTTGTAGTAGTATTGTCATCATTAGTAGTAGATATATCGCGGTCTATAGTTTTTACTTACTTTACCCAAGTCCTTTGGAGAACGCTTATGCATATATATATATTGATACTTGTTCTACTGATATCCTTTGACTCACTATTCGCATGTTAAATCACACAAAGCTAAGGCTTACTTTTAATATGAATTGGTTGAAGAACTTCATAACAAATGGCTCTAAGAAAGAAAAGGAGCAGATGAAAGTAAAGAAGGATTAAAAAACGTACTGTGTAGCCTTTTTCTTCTTTTCTTTTGATAAAAAAAAAAAAAAAAAAGGAAGCACACCTAGGTCTGTCTCATATTGAAACCCTGTTTATTTCATAGACATGCTAGCTTTTACCCGAATTCAATTCAAACATAGCAATTTTGAATACTACTGAAGCATAAGCACATTAATGATTTATCATGATTATATATGATAAGAAAAGAAGGAAAAATGACTTGTTTATTTTTTAATGATGTGTAAGTAATTTCATTTATTAGGAAGAGGCAATTATTTTGAAGAAGAGGTTTGAAAAAATAGAATTTAAAAGTAAAGCCATAAAAAGAGAGCCTTGATTAACCAGGAAACAAGTAACTAGAATGATGATTAAAAAAAAAAGCTTTCAAGCATATATAACTTACCAAAAGACCAAAGCCATCATGCTGCCCTCTAATGTGCTGATTTTCATAGCCCACGCGGCTCTGCGTAGTTCAGAGCCGAATGAACCGGCCCAAACTGGCCCTGCGTAGTTCAGGGCCGAATGGATGCCATCGCCGACAAGAAGAGGGCATTTGGAACATCACTGTACGGAAACAAGTGGTTCCCTATAAAAGAGTCAGTAAACGTGTCTTTTAGAATAATTATCTTACCTCCTTGATGGATGAGTAGAGGCTAGTAGATTTGCATACGAGGCCAATAGAGTAGAAGAGTAAAGTAACAGAAAAAAAAAAAAAAAAAAGGAGGAAAGAGGACATAATCATACTGATATCATTGTTTATATTGAGAGAATACAGTCCAAGTATTCCTTTTATTTTTTAGACCTCTACTTTTTGTTCTTTAAAGAGGTATACATAGATAACAATTTATTTCCTTGTTGTATTCAAATATGAGCAAAGAAAAGTTAATCTTCAAGAGGGCATTACGCGTTTTAAAGAGATAGACAATACGATGTGTATCACTGTTCAATTGCATAACACAAACAAAACAAACCAATAAAAAGAAATCTTTTACTGCTTTCTAACCTAAGAAAAGCTTATATTTAATCAGTTATTGTTTGCCATTTGATAAATAAAAAGATGGCGATAGGAAGGCATGATGAATACTTATTTCTTTTATTGCTAGCGCTATTTTATCAAGGCAAGTTTTTATCCTTTAAGAGAATTCAATTTGTTGGTTTTTTATCAGATTGTCACTTGGGTAAAAGTGAATGTTTATTAAAATAAACAGTTAGTTAGAGTTCCGTTTTGTCGTCATACTATCTAATTAACGATAAGAGTGAAAGACAAAGGAATAAAGCTTTTACACAATAGCTCAAGAAGTGCTAATTTGGCTAAGCCTAATACAACAGTCATTTCATATAACTGAATTTGAGAACAAGAAAACTATTTGTTAACTGTGGCTGCGCGTAACTCGTAACTCTATTCTAATTTCTCTATCTTGTAATGTTATCAAAGTCATTCAGACCAGGAATCGACCTCATTTCTAAAAAAAAAAAAAAAAAAAAAAAAAAAAGACAACCTCTTGTATTGAATATCATTACTAAAGCTATATCAAATATAACCGATGAATACATTCGTGAATCTTGTGAATGTCCAAATGGAACGCGCAATGATGTTGTCCTTGTTCCTAAATCAGCTGACGCAGACCCTACAATTATCTTTTTGAACTTCCAAGACAATTGCAGGCAATTCAACTGCAGCTGACGTTTGAGGTAAATAAAGAAAAAGAAAGGATCCGTCATTCCGTGTAATGGTAGTGGTGCAAGTATATCTATCATTACACTCATCTAATACAGATTTTGTAACAAGATTGATAACAATCGGGTTTGATAAGAGATGTAGTACTATACAATATAGAAAAGTCATTTCACCTTGTGAATACAGTCAATTGGCTAGGTTATCGTACCAGTAAGATCCATCCCCACTTCAAAACAGAGGCAACCAAGTTATTGTAAAAAACAAAAAAAAATGTGAAAAGCATCTATTTTCTCAAAACGGACAAAATTTACCAGTCGCACTGTACCATTTGTTGTGAGGTCTCTTTAATACCTTTTTGGACTTCGAGATTTCTATGTTGTACATACTCCTTGACTATAGATTGAATACTATATCTTATGGAGTCTGGTTACAAATATATATATATTCGGGACCAAAAGAAAGATGCTTTTATTTGATTTACGTTTGTTACAAATATATAAGAGGGGCGCTGATTACGAGTGACCTCCTCCCTCATACATACATTTAGATTTTTGTTTGCAGTTTTGTGTTTGTGATTTTGTTACAATTATATAAATTTGGTGTCGCCTCCTTAAGGTCTGACAGCTAATGTTGAGCCGCACAACACATTGGCATAAACCTCCATTCCAAGCGTACCCCACTGTCATGCTGACCTCAAATAACGGTCACGAACTTTGACCGGTAAATCAATTGGTGGTGGGTTTTTTTTTCAAAGGTTTTTTCTATTGATAATCATGGAAGCACCTCCACTTGATATTCTCGAGACCTCTAAAGAAAAGTTTGTCAATCTTCTTTCTGGGCTTGACGATACTCAGTTTCACTCTTTTGAAGAGTTTGTTCGATCTGCCCTTCGTAAGTTAGATCTACTTGGATCTATGCACTCATCGTTATAGAGGAATATCATGGTCAAATCCACCATCATCATGATACAGCCGAAGATATGGAGACAGAAGAACATGATGGTAGTTTTCAACCTGTCAATGACTTAAAGATGATGCGTCTCGGTAGAATCATCAAGGATTTGCGTACTCGAGTTCCTATGTCTGCTGAAGCACCTGGAGAAAAGACGACGATTCCTGATACACCTGAAGTAAGTATACTTGTATCGGCAAGACCCAATTTAACTTAGTTTACAGTTTAAAGGATACACGGAACAGAACACAGTCCATGTCGATGGATTCTTGTTCTCTGAAGAAGATGTGGATGATCTTGTAGAAGAAGGCAAAATGTCTCGTAATTATTGTCTGGACTGTCAATCAAGAAATGTTGCTCCTTTGAGTAAAGTAAGACTTCATGTAGGATAGGTTCACTGACACTCTTGTAGATTTTATTTCACACTCTGCTTCTGTCTTGCAACTACAATTCTTATATCAAGTGGCATTAGCTGATAAAGTCAAGGACAAGGTGATTGTTGATGTTGGATCTAGACTAGGTGCTGTCTTGTATGCTGTAAGTTCCATATATATATATATATATATATATATATCTGTTAAATGATATGCCTCATACATTGAAAATTAGGGTCATTTATTCACGCGTGCTCGTAAATTAATTGGTGTAGAAATCAATGCATGGTTTAGTCAATTACAACAAGACATGGTTAAGAAATACAAGATGGACGACCGAGTCCAAGTGATGTGTAAAGACGTTCAGACTGTACCTGAATTATTATCAAAAGAGGCTGACGTTGTAATTATGAACAACGTCTTTCAGTTCTTTAATGAACTTCCTATTCAGCAACAAATCTGGAAGTTTATTCGTGCTGAAACTAAGAAGAAGCCTGGATTGTTACTTGTGACACTTCCTTCTCTTCAAGACCAATTAAAAGAAGCTGGTCTTTCAGCCAACAAGTTATTAAAGGGATGGGTCAAAGAAGTCAAGCTTGATTATGAAGGAGGTTGGTTTCAAGAAATCAATGAAGACGAATTAGAAGAAATCAAGCAAGTTCACTTGTATAAAGTAGTGTAATAAAGAAAATAAAATGATTGGCTTAAAGCATTTTTAAAATACGCGCACTTTTTGATAGGTATTTTTTTTTTTTTTCGCGTTCTTCTCTCTTGTCTTTGCTCATGTTAAAAAATACGTTTAGACAACTTCGAGAACAATCTGATCTTCTTGTCCCTAGGACAGAAGCAGCTAATGAGCCACTTATTTATAGAAGTCTCAATCAAATAAGACGAGAACTCAATAGCATGTCCAAACGAATCAAACCCGATCCTGAACTCGATGCCAAAGCGTAATGATCTTTCTCTCTCTTTTTTTTTCTTGTTGTTTACTTGTAATCTATAGTCACTATTTTCTTGCTAGTGGTGGCATCAATACAGAACATATCATTACATCTATTGATACCAGTCGTGCTTTTCAAGTAGTAGAAGAAGAAGATCATACAGATGTAAAAGTAAGTCCATTCTTTTCTTGTCTTGTCATGATATTTATCTAGCTTAGAAATACTTGCAAGAAGAGCATGAGAAAGTATTGATTCATATTATTGAAGAACAAAGACGCTCGGTAAATAAAAGAAGATTCATAGTAGTAGTAGGATACTCATATTCAATAGAATGACCAAGACTTTGATGATTATTTTGAAGCACAACATGAAGGATACATCAAAGCCATGTTAGAAGAAGCAAACCAAGATGCTGAGAATAGAAAAGATTATGAAGTATTCGAGAAATACAATAATGGCAATGGTGTTTCTGTATGTAGACAATCGAATGCATATCTAATACTGATGACTGAATAGCGAATCATTGACTATGCTCATATTGTCAGTCAATTAAACCATAACCGATCTTTAGACATGGATTTTGATGTGATTGAAGCATTTGCTAATCTACGCAACATGTCAGAATTACAAAAGGTAAGTTTTATATGCGTTGCCTTGTCTCAACACTATCACAGGCTCAAGACAGCGCTTATGAGGCTTGGGATATGCTTCGTTATCTAGTGAACCATGCAGGTCTCGACAATAGACCAGAAGGTCGATTTATGTCTTATATCACAGCACCAGCTCATTCTGCTCTTCAGATCCAAACACGCCGTCAATTGATTCAGGCTTCTAAATCATGGCTTGAGAGACAGTAAAGTGTTATAGAATATCCTTCTTTTTGCTTACACTTGTTTAGAGTATCTCAATTGATCAATGATGCCTTAAACAAAAATGCAACCAAAATTCAAATTGGTGGTAATCCTTCTATCACACATCGCTTACGTGCATTTATCAATTTCAAGTTCAAGACAAGCACAGGTTGGGTAGATGATCGCCTTGAGATTGTAGATGGATTGCCTATCTGGACATTTGTGTATCTGTTGATCCGTATGGGTCATTTAACAGTAGCTGCTAAATTTGTGGATGATCACCGTGAGATGTTTACGAGTGAAAGAAGATTCGTAAGCTATTTTGAAGAATACGCGAATGCAGACAGCCACAAGTAAGTCTATAGGTCTATATATATATATGTGTGTGTGTGTGTGTGTGCCCAGTGTTCTCATTCAGAATGACCAGTGTATCGACAACCACAGCAGAAGCCATTCTTTCAGACTACAATCGATTTGAATATGGTGAAATAGTGACTGATCCTTACAAGATTCTGATTTACAAGCTAATGGGTCGATGTGAATTACATAAAAAGACATTGCCTGATGTGATCCATACAACAGAAGATTTCATTTGGCTTCAGGTAAAAGAGACATCTATTTAACTCGTTTTAATGCTCTGTTTTAGTTGATGTTGGTGAGAGAAGTGATTGAACAAGAATCAGATTATAGATTAGCAGATGCGCAAGACTACATTTCATCATTTGGTCCAACTTATTTTGATCAAGAAGAGTTTGATCCATGGAATTACTTCAAGATCCTTTTGGCCACTTTACAGTTTGAAAAGGCAGTCAATTACCTGTACCAACAAAAGCATCTTCGACTTGAAACTGTTCATTTTGGTCTTGCTTTAGTTTATTATGGTTTACTTGAGAACAAGAGTCGTAAGTGAGGTTATCCAAATGCGCCTATTGACCATTGACTATAGACCATGGTTATCCATCGAAATTTGCTGAATGGATTCATTTCTATGTACAAGCCTGGATTCCCAAGGATCAGCCTCAATTGGCTTTACAATATCTCTATCTCTTGACATTGTACACAACCAAACAAGGCTATCCAAATGACGACATGATTCAACTGGCTATTTCTTTTATTATTCAGTTCACTTTAGAAAAGAATGACTTCAAGACACTGATTGGAACACCACAGACTGGAAGAGGAGTAAGTAGACCAAGATGTAACATGATAAGCTTATTCTCTAGATGGGTCTATTATATCAACAAAAAGAGTTATTGAATATCTTTACTGACAAAGAATACATTCAAATGATACTCTTTCCTATGGCACAGAAATGCATTGATTATGGTCGCACTACAGATGCAGTCTATATCTATGGTTTATCTGGGGTAAAAAAAAAAAAAAAAAAAAAGACAAAAGATGAATGCTTCATCTATAGATACTAATATCATACACTTAGGACTATCAACGTATGGTCAATGTACTTGCTAAACATCTCAGCAGTTCATTACAGACACCTGAATCTATTGGCAAACAAGATCCTATTCTAAGCCATGCTTCTCATGAGGAAACAATTCAATTTGCTTTAGATACAATGGAACACTATGAAAAGAATGAACAGTTCAATGTGGCTATTGACTCTCATCAAAGACTGACAATACGTAGACTGATTGAATTACTCTATTTCCGCCGTGCTTATAGCCAAGGACAGTTAGTACAGGCATTACAGGCATTGGAGCATTTGAATATTATCCCTCTTAGTTCTGATTATCACCGTATTCAACAAGCAGTCACTCAATTCAACACAACACTGGATCAAACCATCAAAGAAAATATACCAGAACTATTGTTGAATGCTATGGATGTTGTGTATAAAGTATGGTTAATTCATACTCAAGATACACCTCCTCCTTATGAAGTAAGTAGTTTACAACAAACACTTTATGTTTAAAGACTGATAGGAAATCAAATTGACTGAACAAATGGCCCGTGGCATTTTGATCTTTACTGGTCTTATTCAAGTGTTTATCCCAAATGACATTATTATTCGCTTAAACAAGTAAGTAGACATGAAGAAAGAAACAAGAGTTACTTATATAGACGCACTAGGACTGAAATGTTAATGCAACAAAAGAGAAGATAATAAAATTCTGTTTATGATTGTTCGCTTCTTTTCTTTAAAAAGTGACCAAGAGGTGTTGTTTGGAAATCAGTTGTTCTTAAGAAAGCATTGGCTTCTTCTAGTTTGTTGGCTGCATATTCAATAGGAGCACGCTTTTGTTCAATGTAGTTCTTGTGTGTTTCCATCTTCTCAATCAATGTACGCATAGACTTAACAAAGCGAGTACCTTTCATCTTAATATGATATTCTTTCAACTAATTCAAAAAAAACAACAATTGAGTCTTGTCCTACATAACAAAAAGTGTTACCTTATCAATAGCAGGAATAGCAAGTTCAGGGAATGCGATAGAAAGACCAACACACGCATAAAAGTCAACAAGACAGTCATACATGACATGATAGACAGCATTTTGGTATTCTTTGGTTTGCAAATAACTCTTGGGTGTCTTGAGATGGAGACTCCAATCAAACTCTTCTAGATCAGAAGAAACAAGCTGGGATTTGAATACATCACTCGACAAGATTTCAAATAAATAAGGTGCAAGAGGAATATAATACCCTGTAGCATCCATGAGTCCTATCAAGGCACGAACAAGGTGAATACGTAAAGGCAAGAATTGTGCAGTGGGATTCAAACGCATGGTGTGTAAGGCAACTTCAACAAGAGGGTGTACAATGGCCTGCATAGGGGATGCTTCACCTGCAGAAGGGTCGCATGTAGCACTGACAGCACTTGCCCAGAAATCAAGACAACTCACAAACTGCCATGTATAGATCTTTTTAAAGCTCTCTGCTGTGTTGTCTTTTTTGGCCTTCTTTAGATGATCTGCGAGTTGGCGAATATAGACACTGGCATGTTCATAACTCAGTTGAGGTTCGACTGTATAGATATCGCCTGCTTCTTCTGCCATTTGTTGGATCAAGGGCAAACTGGTCTGGTTGATTTTAGTGGCACGGTTGGCAAAGATAAGATAGACACCTTTCAGTACATTAGGCATGTAGTTTTTGCGGTTAGCATCAATGGCTGTGGTGCCAAAATGATGAAGTGCTTTATAGCATTGGTTACGTGTTTCTTCAGAGAGTACAACATCAGACCAACGATCCAACAAGACCTATGTTTTGTCAGTCAATCATAAGTCGATTTCAACTTACCCGAAGATATTCTCTAGAGAGTTTAGGGAAACAGCCAAAATACAATACGCATGGCTCTAATTTCTCCAATACATATTGAATCATGTCATCTTGAGGTAATTCACGAAGGAATCGAACACAATTGTTAAGGAAGCACTGAATTGCTTTTTCCAACTTGGGCCAGTTTTTAGTCTTTCCTGGGTATTTCTCTTTTTTCAAAAAATAAATGTGTTGACTCAAGATGGGATGAGCAACAAGGAGTGTATTTCGAACAAGTTTAGTGTAGACTACCAAAGTGGTTAATATCCTCTTGCTTCATAACTCTATCTACCTTTGCTGCTTTCTATGCGATAAGTGAACTTTTTAGGTGTATCTTCATCTGATCTGACAATAGATCGAAAAGCCAGTAATAACTTTTTCCAAGCAGATGGTGATTTTCTGTTGGCTTCCATAGACCATGCGTTCAACATGTCCATAGTAACAATTTGAGCATCGTCATCTGTCTCTTGATCTTCCATCGCTTCGTCTCCATCTTCTTCATCTTCTTCGTCTTCTTCATCTTCTTCATCTTCTTCATCTTCAGACATGGTTTGATCTAATCCTTCTTCAACAATACATTCTTCCTTGTTAGCAAGGGCTTCGAAATCGTCTAAAGCGTCTAAATCTTCTTCCTAAATAAAAGTAAATCGATGCATCTCATATTAACATGATTTACTTCATCATCGCTTAATTCTAAAGGTTCCTCAGCATCAATGACAAAGTTGCAGAAATAATCTTCGGTGTTGACTTGAGGCACTCTATTCTAAATTAAGTCATCGCTATTCAATCGTTGCTGACTTACTCTTCCACTGGTGCTTCTGGCTTTTTCTCTTGTTCTGTTTCCTCTTGAGGATCTATAGAGCAATAAGTTTCACTTTTGAAAAACGATTACACATACACGTTACCTTTATGTGGGTTTCTGTTACCGGTACGACGTGCCTGACGCTTTGCAATTTGTTTCTTGAATTTATTGTTTTCTTTTCTACGCTTAACAACGCCCTTGAGCTTGTTCTTTTGGAACTTGATAGTGGCCTTCTTTTCTTTTCCCATAGTAGATCGATGAAAGGAAAGATTAAAAAAGAGAAGGTAGAAAAAAGGACTCGATTTTATGTGACGTGTTTTCGTGGGGCTTTTTAAAGAGGTTTGCATGAAACAAGTGGTTCTTTATGCGCTCGTTTAGGTGTTGCATGGCAGGTTTACCATGCAGGTAGACTTTATTGGATATCAACAAACAAGAAACGAGGAATCAACTCCCTTTTTTTTTTTTTTTTTTTTTTTTTTTTTTTGGTTGTATCGAAAGTCGAGCTTTTTTTTTCTTTTATTTACGAGCCATAGGTTACCATCGGCTGACTTACTTTAAGATTCTAGAAGGCAATATAATTGTTGAATTATGTAACAAGTTTTCTATTCTTATACGATAGCATTGAAAGCTTACTTTAAGCAATAAGTTTTGTTGACAAACTTTATTAAAATCAGATATTCTTGAATAGCTATTACATTTTTGAAAAAAGAAAAAAACGGATACCATCAACAACATTGAACTATATCTTAAAGGGCTGTGGAGGAAATTAAGGAAAGCTTCCTCAATCCTCAGATTGCACTAGATGGCCATGACTCGGTTCGCCGGAAACTTTAATCCTAAATCATTTATTCACCGGACATCTCGAATATATATAAAAAACGCGACATTTGCAATCATCTTTTTCTTTCTCATCTTATATATTTTATTAAACATGGGTGTTACGTGAGTAGAAAAAGATGTGTGTATAAAGCACTAACGCGGACATATATATAAAGTGTTGAAAGAATTGCTCCTGGTGATGGTGTCAACTTCCCTAAGAAGGGTGACAGAGTTACTATCCACTATGTTGGTACTCTTGAAAACGGTCAAAAGTTCGATTCTTCTCGTGACCGTAACTCTCCTTTCCAATGTACTATTGGTGTTGGTCAAGTCATCAAGGGTTGGGATGAAGGTAAGCGCGTATACAAAAGGGAGAAAACTTAGATTAAAATTTTTTTTACAAAAAAAAAAGGTGTCCCTCAATTGTCTGTTGGTGAAAAGGCCAAGTTGATCTGTACTCATGATTATGCTTATGGTGACAGAGGTTTCCCTGGTTTGATTCCTCCTAGAGCCACTTTGAACTTTGAAGTTGAACTTCTTAAGATCAACTAAATAAAGTTTGTTTGTTTTCTATATATATATATATATAATGAAACAAGGTTATTGTTTTTTATTATTATTATTATTTTTATTATTGTTATTTTTGATCATGTCTACATCATGATAATTCGGGCACCACCAAAGTCACCAAACGAATAGTTTAAATTCTTGCCTGGACAAGCCATGAACATTTGTGCTTTGGGTATACTGATTTGTCGTGAAATGGCGTCTACTGTAGCAGGTGTGAATTCACCTTGGATAAAGATCTATAACAAGTTAGTCCTTATAAAATAAAAATCAAAGAGTACCAAATCAATTTGAATCTTGGGATACATCTCGTCCAACATACGATGATGTGTTTCTAAATTTTCTGGAATATCGTTTAGATGGCGATACAAATGAATAAACTTGACATGTCCAGTATCTTCGTTCTTTTTGATGTATTGAAGTGCTTTGTTCATGACATGAGGTTCGTCTGTCTGGAGGAAGAAGACGATAGGATTTTTGCGGATTTTCTTGATACGGCGTTGGATAAACGATTCAATGTTGACAGATATGCGAGGATATCGATGCATGAAATCCATCTGATCAAAAAGCCAGTAACAGAGTTTCCAAAGCCAGCAGCGCTTCAGCATGGCCAATACGACGATAAGCACAACAGCAAAATAAATCACAAAATATTCTGCAATGTGAGGATCAATCACGATGTTGCCTATTAAACTAGCTAATAAAAGACAAAATGTGCATAAAGCAGTAGGTAATGAGACCTTGCTGAGACGAGGTAACCGTGCACGCTTGTACTTGATAACAATGTTGGCTACAGCAAAAGTAGATAAACTACCCAAGAAAGCAACAGCAAAGACACCTGATAATGAAGTCGTGTCTCCTCCTACAATGCAGTACAAGGTGATACTCAAAATCAAGAACACAAGAATGATGTATTGATGAGAACCAGTCCATCGGTTACGTACTAAGAAGAATTTGGGCAAAATACCATCACTCGACATTCTCTGTACAAGACCGATAGCACCAATCAAGCCTGTCAAGACACCAGCACACAACACAATCACAGCATCAATCATGATCCAAATCCTGAGCCAGCGTTTGCCATCACCAGCATACTGACCTAAGATAGAGACAACATTGGCCTGGTTTTCTTGAAGAATCGAAATAGGTACCAAGACAGTACATAGAAAGGTCATAGGCGTATTCAGCGCCAATAAGAAGCCAAACATGTTATTCATGACTTTAGGAAATGTGCCAGGCTTCAAGTCTTCAATATAGTTTTCTGCAGACTAATCAACATGAGATAACAAGGTCTTCTTGTGTTTCTTACCTCAAATCCAGTGACACCTAATAAACCGATACAGACACCACGGGCAATTAACAAGGCTGGGTTGGCTCCTTCCGGATCTGGTACTTTGGTCCAGTTATCGATCAAAGTACCACTACCATTTCTTCCCCACATCACAATACTTGTCACCATAACAACAGCCATGGTGATAGCATGTAAAGTAAAGATAGATAATGTTAGTGTAGAGGATTCACGCAGACCTAATAAACAAATCAAAGAGAACGCAATCAAGATAACAATCGTAAGAGCAAATTCTGTAAACTTTTCAGGTAACACCACTTCGGCAGCTAAATAAGCAGATGCGGTTGATGCCGACACGACACATGTTGCCAAATAATCCAAGATGGACAAACAAGCTGCCACAGAAGCGGCTGATTTCGAGGTAGAATTCAACATGGCATTGTATGTACCACCATTGAGTGGCATTGCCGTAGCAACTTCAATGATGATACGCTTCATAGGATACATTAAAAAAGCGATGATGAGCATAGAAATAGGTGCATATTTGCCAGATTGTGCAATACATGGTCCGATAGAGTACAGCACCGAAGCAATCAAATCGTTGCCTGCAATGGATGTAGCTCTCCACTGACCAATTAAGGACTTTTTCTCGCTGGCCGCTTGGTACTGATCAAGATCGGAAGGTTCGATCTCCATGTAATATGTACTTCCCCATCTACTCATGTTAACAGACGAAACAAGTCGATCGGACCTACCCTGCAAATTCCCAAACGTTGCTCAGGTTAGGATAGCGAGAAGGCATGTTGGACCATTTTAGTACGGTGCCTCTTGTTGTCTGTTTCTTTTGTATTTGATGAAATTCCGATTCTGCAAAGGAAGGAGGTGGTTGAGCTTATGTATGTATGTGTATTGGTTAGTAATATACGTCTTTTAAAGCTATTCAATTATGCTACCTGATTCTCTGGTGATAGAGAGCTTCTCACTGCAAGACGGTGTGCCGACGTTCTCTTTGCGTTCTACCATAAAAAAAAGGGAAAAGAAAACTTCAAAATTTTATACAAATTTTTTTCTAGCTTAAATAAAGTGTATGACAGCTAAAAAATTTAATGCATGAGTGTACATAGGAAAAACTATATTAGTTTATCTTGATAGAACTGTATGTGGTATATACTGCTTTAGGGACAATCTTCATAGCAGAAATGGTGTAGAAACAGTTCAGGAAAAAAAAACTCTAATCCAAGTATACCCTTTTTATCTTTGTAGTTCTGTTTCATTACATTTGATCATTGTATGTTATATTATACTATATCTTTTATATCTCTTTTACCTATTCAATCACATGATCAGACGACTTAAAACTTGGTGCTCATTACATGTGACTTGCTGCCTATCACTTTGGTATATTTATTGCTCTATACCTCTACAAGTTACTGCTACCTCTAACTTTGTCCTATAACAACAAACAATCATTCCTTGCTGAAAAAAAAAACAGATTCTGTCCCATTATGATACATGCAGGTCTAAAAAGTCGAAAATGCAAAATGTAATTCCCCAACGGGGAATCGAACCCCGGCCGTGTCGGTGAAAGCGACAAATCCTAGCCACTGGACCATTGAGGACTTCCATATTATATCAAGTTGATATTTCTTTAAGGTTTGTATCCAATAATACAGGTCAGGTGACAATAGAATATTTTCTAGCCAATGATATTACTGGGAAAATATTCTAGAAGGCAGTGACGTCTGTGTTTTGATATTATAAGTCTTTGATCTTTTTTTTATTTCTTTGTTATATGTTACCTGTGTTTTGATATTATAAGTCTTTGATAAATAACTTATAATCATCAACAACACGGTATTTATATCTTTTCTATTCTATACTAAAATATCTATTCTATCACTAATAAAGCAGGAAGTAATTATATCCTTCAACTTGATTGATTACTTCTTTTTCGACGAATGCCACGCGAGCTTGGCGTCTCCTAAAGGCAACTTCCTTAAGCGTAATAGATTCAGTCTAACCTTCTTTCTTTTCTTGTTTGATATTTGAGGTTTAAACCTTTTTTTGTTTGATCTATACATATAGGGAAGGTTATATTCAACCTCGATTGGCTGTTGGCGGTCGGAAGTACTAATATCTGCGACAATTAAGTAATTTATAAAATTTTATATGTAGAAATAAATATATAGTCGGACAGTCTTGTGACTCTTACAGATGGCCGACTCGAACTTTCTCATATGTCGGAACAAAGGACTTTAAGTGGGAGCGACATGCATAAATCAATTTTGCTTTTATACAAAAGGTTCATTTATATCAAGCACCAATTTCGACTATTACACATCAAAAAATTGTACAATCAGCACAACGTTTTATTACGTGTGATGATCTGACGTTAAATAAGTTCAATTACATACTAAAATATATCATAATCAATTTACATCAGAAATAGACATAAAAGAACCTCTTGTACTGAATAAGTCAATGTATCTTTTAATAGATCAAGACTTATAACCGAAATCCATAATTTACATTATTTAATTTATTTAAAGTAGTCTATGATGTTGTGAACATATATGAATTCGTATGCGTAGATCAATAAATGATGATCATGGCAAAAGACCAGATCACATCTATGGCAATTGCAATGGATCTATAGTCACTGACATTCACTCATTCTACTAGAAGTACTACATCATTCTCATAGTCAGAGATTATGAACCTAGTGACTCTGTTATTATTAATGGCCCTCATAAAGTGACAGTTAGAGCTGACAAATACATTGGTACTGGCATTTGACAAATATGTAATAGTTTATTCAAGTTCAGATCATTTGTTATTGGCTTTGGCAACTTCCTTTAAAGACATTTCTCTTAATTGTTCCTGATCTAACAAACTAATCCGTAGTCAAGAAGCTAGTCTCAAAATAATATTTTGACAGAGAAGAAAAAGTATAAATACCTCGACATTTATAGCAACTGAAAAAGATCAGATTTCTTTTGGGAAATAAAAGCCTATGCAAGTTCTAACGGACTTTCTCTGTGTTCTTACCTTTCCTCTTATTTTATATCTATTTTCTCTTCATCTCACAACATGTATAATACAGCTGTATGCTCGAATTAACGAGTACACGTTGGCTAAAGAAGAGTATCATAATTTAATTATCAAAAGTAGATGAGCATGACTTTAATCGGTGCAAATTGTATCACTCCAAAAAAAAAAAGAAAGAAAGATAAGCTTTCCGCCCTGAAATGAATTCAAGGCTATCTTTGATTGTGTCAAAAGATAACTTTGTTTATCGCTTTCAGACCAGTTTTTTTTTTTTTTTTTTTTTTTTTTTTTTTTTTTTTTTTTTTTTTTTTTTTTTTTAGATCGTGTTATTGAATGTAAATACAAATGTAAGTGCATTTGATTGCTAAAAATAACAATATATTTGTTTGCAGGAGTTAGCAAGAAGAATTTTCTTTTAAAAAATACAGCAAAAAAGGCAATTTATGACCATATGAGAAGATAAGCTTTACCAACTCTAAAGCAATGCAGAACTCGATTAAAAAAAAACAAAGGTAACTAATTAGAGGTAGAGCCATTGGCAGGTGTTATTGTTTTCTCTCGCTCCTATGATTTTGAACTTTAAATCTAAACATAAAAAGCATCACTTTATCTGATTCAATATCCTTTTTTTTTTTCTTTTCCTTCTTTTTTTAAAAAACAATGTCTGACGCTTCAAACTCAAAAAGACTGCCACGCAATGCGGTGTCTATACCTTGTCCAAATGCCACTCTGGACTCAAGCGGATATCATTATGATCAACGTATATCACCACCATTGAACGGATTTGTTGTAGGCTCAATACCAACTGCTTCTCCCTCTGGATATAGCGCATTTGACGTTGTATTAGACGACGGCACTCTACAAAAAAGAACCGTCTCACTATCAACCATACCAGACGATCCTGACTATCAACAAGGAGAAGAAGAGGAGGACAATGAACAAGCCAATCAATCGGATCTTCACCACAGAGTAACAGAACGTCACTCAGGACAAGAAAGGTAACACCCAAATTAAGGTTCAAGGGGAGTATTTAGGGATTCTAACTTTAAATAAACAAAAAAAAAGTCAAGAAATCCATGATTCAACACCACTTCTAAAAGATCAGAAAAAGAAGTCTTATTCAAGTATAGGCCCACATACACAACATTATGATTCGTCTCCAACGATCACTTCAACAGAAGAAACAACGGACTCAGATAATTCTTCATATCTATTTAAGAAGGGCAGTAACAAGCATAATTACAAACCGTTAACGACATTGAAACCGATGCCCAAAGAAAGTGGCGGAACAACAATAAAGGAGATTTACATGAAACAAGTTCAACCTTTGTTTCAGCTCACGCCAGAGCAACGCCTTGTTCTGAAATGTAGTTTTGCCTATATGTTAGGCAGCTTGTTTACTTTTATACCAGCACTCAACAGCCTCATAGGCAATAATCGTGTATCTAGTCATTTAGTAGCTACAGCTACTGTATTCTTTAATCCTGCAAAGAGCTTGGGCGGTATGGTTGAGGCAGCTTGCTATGGTTGGGGATATGTCTTGTTTGCTTTGGTGATTTGCATAGGGTCAATGCTGACAACTGATTTCTTTGTTGATCGAAACATGTTTGTCGTAGCACACTTGATATCTTTGGGTTTCTGGCTTACAGGATCTACATTTATTGTTTCATTTTTAAAAGCTCATTGGAATAAGCCTCCTGTTGCAACAGGTAAATATTTGCTCGTTATTTATACCTCAATATTCACTCAATGTACCTCTATAGCTTCAAGTTTATGTTTCATCATTATTTTCATCATTGTGGTTCGAGAAGGCTCTGCCAACCTGGGCGACTTTGACACAACTCGTATTGAACAGATTACAACTGCAGTCGCTATAGGTACATTGGTAACCATTTCTTGCTGCATATTGTTCTGGCCAGTTTCTGCAAGTAAGAAACTAAGGTAATTATATCTCTGCATAATCCTCGTCATCTGACATTTATTGTTTCTACAAAGGAATGGCCTTGAAGCAACTCTTGCGTCGTACAAAGTTCTATTGAAACTGTTAACCAAGACTTTTCTACTGGATGATGATTTGCCTGAATTCAAAGCAAACCATTCACTCAAGAAAGCAATTGAATCACACAGAGCGAGTTTTAACTCTTTGCAAAAATCACTACAAGAAGCAAAGCTAGAAGTCATTTGGAACGATGAAGTTCGTGGTTGCACAAGAGAATATGATGCCGTTGTGAAAAATATGCAGCGTTTAGCGCAATCCATGGATGGTCTGAGAAGCAGTTGTGGTCTTCAGTTTGAATTAATGCAACAAGATCAGACAGGTCAAGTGAGCAGTTCATCATTCTCATCGCTCGCATCAACACAAAAAAAGAGAAAAATAAACAAACAATCACGAAAAAAGCGTAATAAACATAAACACACAAAAGCAACATGGAACATCAAAGCAGATCATCATCGACGCAAATTTGAAGGTGAAATCAAACGTCAAAAACACCACTATGACTTGACAAAAGAACAAGCATATCACTCTGAAGAAGATAACGAAGACGACACACTGATTGAATTCATTCATACAATACGCCAACCACTGAAATCGCTTGCGTATACATGTAAACAAACTATTTATCACCTTCAAATGGGATTTAGTGGAACTCAATCACCTGCAAGGCCCAGTGATGAAACGCTAAAAACAAATTTGATCAAAGCTATCGCCTTATTTGAAGTGTCTCAACGACAAGCAGTGAAGCGCCTAAACTATCATCGTGCTCAATACCATCAAGACTCTTCTTATATTCCTCAAGAAAACGTATTTCTGGTTTATTTCTTTGTATTTAACATGATTGAGTTTGCAAGAGGATTGATTACCCTTGTAGAGTCTGTTCAGGCATTGTCCGATGCAAAACAAAAGAAGCGTTCCTTGTTTGCTTTGCTCACAGAATTTTTCCATAAAAGAAAGAGTAAGCAAACGCTCAAAAAAATCAAAGCGCATTTGTACCTAACGAGAGACACAAAATGGATACATTACACACGCCTATACCCAAAACCAAGTGGAGGCAAATGGTGCTTAAGGTCTGGCGCATCTCTTCGTTATTCAAACTTCAGAAAGTGAGGTATGCTACAAAAGCAACGATTGCAGTCATTTTGCTTGCTTTGCCTGCTTTTACAGACTCAATTGGCCCTTGGTTTCGTGAATGGCGTATGGAATGGGCCCTTATTACTGTAAGTTTAGAAATACCTTGTTCAAGTATGACTAACCCATCAAAAAAGTTGATGGTCGTTATGACAACTACTGTAGGAGGAACAAATCTGGTAGCTATTTATCGTATTTTTTCTACTGCATTAGGATGCTTTGTTGCCATGTGTCTTTACCTCTTATTTCCGGGAAATATGTATATTCTCATTTTTGGCACTTGGTTGTTCTCTATACCCAATTTTTGGATTATTCTCAACCATAAACATGGAAAATTTGGCCAGTTTACACTGCTTGCTTACAACCTGGTTATGCTTAACAAATACAATGATAGAGATACAAATCGGGTACAGGCAACTCAACTTGCCTTACAAAGATGTTTTTCGATTTTTGTCGGTGTCATTTTTGGTCTGTTTGCCACAGCTTATGTTTGGCCTTATGAAGCACGTGTAGAACTTCGCAAAGGAGTATCTGATTTCTTATTGAAACTAGCTTGGCTTTACAAAAAACTTGTTTCTGTTTATTCTGAAAAACCTCAAGATAGTGATCCTCAACAGCTGCAATTAGCAAGAGAACAAAAATCGCAAGCGCTGATGGATCTGGAGCTTGGATTACAACGTGCTTTATTAGAACTTCAAGAATTGTTGAAACAGACACCCAATGAACCTCGGTTGAAAGGTGCTTTTCCTGTATCGACATATAGTGATATGCTGGCTTCACTCCAAAATATCACGGACAAGTTTGCTGCCATGCGTGCTGTCATTCTAAAAGATGCATGGTTTGAGCAAGTACAGCGTGACTTCATTGTGCCTGTCAGCCAAGAAAGACGCGAAATGGTAGGCAATATATTACTCTACTTTTACATCCTAGCTTCAGCTATGAAACTCAAGACACCATTACCGCCTTACTTGCCTCCAGCAAGAAAAGCATGGGAGTCATTGATTTTGCGATTACGTCAATTGCCTGTTGTACAATCAAAGAAACTATTAGAAAAGGATCATATTTATTTGTTTTATTATGTCTATGTTACTGCACTAGAGGACATCATCCGAGAATTGGATAAAGTAAGTGAAATATTTAACTAAATACTCATACTGACATTTAATTAGCTTGGTGCTAATATGACTTTGTTGTTTGGTGCCATTGTGCCTGAGGAACAATGGGATGGCTTGTTTGAAGACTATGATATCGAACAAAATAACAAGACGATTTCTTAGTCTACTTTTATTATTATTATTATTATTGATAAAATTAAGCAGTAATTGTATCTTCTCGTGGAGGCTCTAAATTTAAAGCAGCAATTGGATCATTTGTAACTTGTGTTTCTATATTTTGTCTGGGTTCTCGTAAGAGATAGAAGATACAGATGTTTTCCTTATCATTCAAATCTTTTTGTACATGTACTTCAAATCCATACTTCTTGAACCAACCCAAAATGTCCTGGCTCCAAACTTCAGCAAACACAGGTAACTGTACTTCATCTGCCTTTTTTAGCACATATTGTAACAAACTCGTTCCAAAATGACGTCGTCTCTCAGCGGGTAGCACACCGATAAAGTTTATTGAGAGGTGATTACGGTCGCCTACAATCTTCTTTTTCATTTTAGTCAAATTACGATGATGTGCTAAGATGGCTTTCTATAAATGCATGAATAATCCAATGTCTCTTGTTGTTGAGCAATACTACCATGGTTGCAATACCACCTAGACTACTCCAAAGTTTTCTTTTACTGATGGCATTATTGATTGCCAAAATATCACTATTGCCTTCAGACCAAAGTAAGATACCTTTACAACCATTGATTTGGACCGCAAATTCACGACTTTTACTAGCTGCTGCCCTGATCAACATTTTAAACATGTCTTGATACGTGTCATGTTTCTTTTTGGGATCTTTCATTGAACCCGTGATCCAATTCAATAAAAGGCTGTCAGCATAAGCTTCGACTAGTATGGATGCTGCTTCATTATCAGCCTCTAAACAGAAGAGCATGAGTACATTTTTATTTCATAAGCGACACATTACTTTTTATGATAGGACGAATGTTAACATAAGGTTCTAAGGTATCAATCGTTAAGCGTCTACTAAGACGATGTTCTTTCTTTTTGACTATCTCTAAATTCTTTATCGACATGATGCAATATTGAAGAAAGAAGACTAAAAGAAAAGAAAAATAGGGTTTTATTTACAAGGACATAAAAAAAATTAGAAGGGCCTTGTGTTACACCTAACCTACTCCTTTTTTTCTTTAGTGTCAAGGTACAAAAGACGCATACTATATTTTATTCTCTACATATATAATGGCCATGTAAAACAATCATTTCTTGGCCACTTTGACGTTTAAAGCTGAATAATATCCTTTCCATTATCTTTTTTCAATTCTGATAGAGTAAATGAGTGTCTTTAAGCGTTCACTCTCAGCCATTCTTATTTTCTTGAGTGATTCAACAAGCCGATCAGTATCTTGTGCTTTTATGTTTAATGAGTTGTGTGAGACGCTTGAAGCTTCAGAATTTGGTGTAACAGTACTATCAGGTACGTAATTGTCACTCTCCTCCTCTTCCTCCTTCTCTTCGTGCTTTCTGTGGAGAGAAAGGAAGGTTACAATATGTCCACTTTGACCACATTTAAAGCATACTTTTGTATTCATATAGACTGGGCATTCTGTTCGTATGTAATGTTCTTTCTTGCAAATATAGCAGTATGGAGAAACATGATCTCAGGTTAAGACAATTCTTCTTCTGTCACCAATCCAGTTAACAATAGGTCTCAAAGCTTCATCAGGCTCAGGATCTATGTCTAAATTAAGATAGGCATATCCTTTACCAACGAAACATTGACCTTCCTTCAAAAGACCCAGCTGAAGTACTTCACCAAAAGAAGCCAAGCGTTGTTTAAGTTGCTCTAACAGTAGCTTGGGATGTATCAAAGGTAGTTGCTCTATTCTGATACGTACAATATGAAGATTGGTAGGCAAGCTTTTGTATCCTTTCAAAAGTGTTTTCGTGTCCATTCTGAGTCCATTCGTAATTAATTGTTGATAAGTATTGCTCTGAGTATCCCACGATGTCTCCAAGAACGTTCTTGACTCATGTGTCCTTTCCTCAGGTTGTCTTCCGCAATAAACAATATTTTCCTCTGTATTGAAAGAGTTTAAGTACTCTTTAAGTTTATCTCTATCTTGAATGTGTGTTGTTTCAATAAAAACACTATCTTGTCCTTGGCCTCTCAACAAAGGAAGGTCATATCCTTTAAACAGAGTAGTGTCTTGTGTAGCAATAAAAGGTTTTTTATGAGGTATAGGAGTGTTTGTTACAGAAGATGCTGAAGACGCGCTTGTTTTCTTTTTGTAGCTACCATGCTTCTTCATATTTTTGAGAAAAGAAAAAGAAAAAAGAGTTCTAGTTTGAACTTTTTTCTTTATTTATGTATCACATACAAGGTTGTTTATTTTTTTGTGTAGCTCAAACAGCAACATGTCATATCAAACACTTGTTTAGAAAAAAAACACAAGATTCTGATCTTTTATTAGTACTTTTCTCTCTCTTTTAGATGTACTTTAATCTTCTTGTCTTTACGATGTATAAATCATAAATAGAAAGGCAAATAAGGTCTAATCCATGAATCCAGTTTGTTTGTAATACCATCCTCTGAGTTGGGTATTCTGTTATGAAATTACAGTGTTACAAGCCAAAGTAATGGTGCTTTGCAACAAATATAGAAATTAAGCAGAGCATGAGATACATAAGTGATATTTACTTTAGGTTATAAGGAGGAGCAGAGAATAGAAGGGATATAAAAGAGAGAAATAAGTTAGTAACAATATGACCAACCAATACTAAGCTGTGATTGATACAAATAGTGGCTACATCAAATATTACTTTTGTTAAGTAAACAACCTAAGCTTTTATTCTACATGGTCTACAGTATTATGCTTTGGGGAACTTGTTCAAGGACAGAAAGCATTAAAGACATCCAATATTTTTTTCTGTGTGGCTGCATAACCATCAAACGCGTTCTTATTTTTATTTTTTGACTGTCAAGTCAGACGCGCTTCTCCATTTCAAAACTGGGTTTAACTCCCCCCTCCCCCTTTTTTTTCCTTTATTTCTTTTTCTTTTATCTATAAACCATGCAAAACTCACCTTCAAGGGACCCTTTATCTACACCTAATGGCTCTTGTACGTGTGACCTTTACCTCATTATATGTATATTTATTATATTCTAGGGAGAACGCCATCCAGAGACTTAAATCTGTTTCGTAAAAGGCCTCGAGATGACAGTCGACGCAGTATTCTTTCTACGCGTGATTCCATCTTGTCGCGCTCGTCCAATACACCCAGTCAACATCACCCTCATAAACGTGCTGCTATGGCAACCCTAGACAACAGACACTCTTCTTTTTCAACCGAGAGTGAAAAAGGACGCCTTGGTATGCTCATCAACTCTTTGGATGAATTCGAGACGTTTTTTCATCACCAACTACGACTGGGCAACGATATTAAACGACAAGACATGGTCGAGTTAAATAAACAGTGTCAGCGTCGTATTGAGCAGTTAAAACAACAGATTGCTCAGGTATCTGAAGACGAACTTACATCCGAGGATGTGATTCGAGAAGCACAAGAGAAGATCAAAACCTACTTCGAAGAAAGTCATTCATTGAAGCGACGCGTTTCTGATGTGACTATGGAGCGAACTGAACTCGAGAATAAGATGAAAGCATTATCTAAAGCACATAGTCATCAAATCAGTACATTAGTGAATGAGCTCGATAAATACAAGCAGCGTTTAAAACAGTATGAGTTGGGTGAGGAGGGCATTCACCATCAACCAACGCCACCTAGTGAAGCTATTCAAAAGAAAGCACAAGAAGATGCAGAAAAGGTAGTCAAGCTTGAACTTGAGATGCTTCAATTAAAGACACAACACCAAGCAGAAAAAAGAGACTTAAAAGAACACATCAGGCAGCTTACAGAACAACTAGACAATGCAGAAGTTGCACTGGAGAAATCCACTACAGAACTAGAAAGAGCACGTACTGAATTAAGCGAGTTACAGCACAAATTGGAACAAGAGACAGCTCATGTCATCCAATGTCAAAGAGATCTCAACAGTGAAACATCCTTTAAAAAAGAATTACAACAAACAGTGAACAAGTTGACAGAAGAAAATGAAGAACTGAAAGCCAAAATGGAAGAACAAAAAGACTGGCGTCAAGTTGCAGAAGGTTATGCTCAAGATGCAGACAATCTAGAAAATAGAGCGCATGATTTATCGTCAAAAATACAAGAATTAGAGTCTAAGCACGATGAGCTTGTTAAAGAGCGTGATTTGCTATTGCAAGACAAAGACTCGAACCAACAACAGACACAGTCTCAATTGGCAACCTTACAGCAAGAAAACAAACGTCTACAACAGCACCTCGAGAAAGTAGAGCATGAAAAGATATCTGCAGATCAACAGGTCTTGAAACTAAAAGAACGCATAACATCTACCGAATCTGAGCTATCGAAGACCCAAGAAGCACTTTATGAAGCGAAGAAACACAAATCTGATAAAGAAGAAGATTTGACTGGACAAATAGCACAAATCAATTTAGAAGTAGCCGATGCTGAGCGTCGCATTCATCAATTAGTTTCTCATCTTGAAGTGGAGCGAGGACAAGTCAAACAACTCAATGTGTATTTAGACAAGGAGCGCCTAGAGAATCAACATATACGCAGTGATTTAGAAACACAACGACTTGAAAACAAGCAACTCAAAGCACAATTAGAAAAAGAACAGTTTGATAAAAAGAGATTGACAAGTGAATTAGACGAACAACAGACAATTGTCAACAAGTACAAACTCACTGTAGAGCAACTCGATACTCAGGTTGTAGAATTGAAGCAAACAATCGATCAAAAGGTAGCAGAGAAAGCCAGTCTTGAAAAGCAATTGAAGCACACCACATCACAGCAGTTTGAGAGTGTAAATACAGAGCGAAACGGACTCAAACGTCAATTAGAAGACTTGAGGCTTGAATTTGATCAAATGTCTTTACAAGTCAAAGAAGTCAATTTGCAACTGGAACAAACAACTCAAACACTTGAAAAAGAACGCGCACATAATAAGCAGCTTAAGACAGACCTCAGTCATGAACGCACTTTTGTTTCTCAATACGCACAAGATTTAAGAAAGACAGAATCAGAGCTGGATGATGCAAAGAATCAACTGGCCATTATCTCAAAAGAAAAGACAGCATTACAAGTAGATTTAGATCGCTTATCTCAAGGAAACAAGCAGCACTCGGAGAGTCATCAACAATTGATGGCAGAAAGAAACGAACTCAAGCGCAAAGTGACTGATTTGACACATCAGTTGACAAATGTACAACAATCACGTGATGCTCAAATCAAGGATTTGGAAAGCGATTTGCATAACCAAACCATTGATTTACAGCGTTACGCTGATCAATTAGAGCAAGCCAAGCATCGCATTGAATCTTTAGACAGAGAACTCGTTAAAAAGACAATGGAATTAGAACGCGCTCATTCAGAACTTGAAGATCATCGCCTAAGAATGCATCGATTGGAAACTAGTGAGGAATTAATCCTTGATCTTAAAGAAAGCAAATCTCATCTGTCCAACAAACTTGATGAAGCTTCTTCTCTTTTAGCCAAATTAGCTACCGAAAGTCGTCAAAAAGAGGCCGAGATTTCTAAACTCGAGTCTGTTCGATCAGATACCCGTGCACGTCTTCAAGAAGCGCTTGATCAACAAGCAGCGTTAGTGCGTCAAATAGACACATTGGCATCAGAACTACAACAAAAAGACAAACTCTTGGGCCGATTTGAAGAACTAAGCGAAACATTGGATAAAGCAACAGACCGCGTGCAAGAACTCGACCGCTTGTTGGAAGAAAAGAACCAAGAGATTGATCATCTTCAACAGTGGATGGGTCAAAAGATAGAACAGCTTGAGTCACGTAACCAAACACTTCGCAATAAACTTATATCGACTGAAAAGATGCTCGAAGAATCAACCAAGGAAAACACAGAACTGGAAAAGACTCAATCCAAAGTAGAGTTGTATGTTCAAGAGCTCAAGTCATCACTTAACAAAAAAGAACGAGAGATAAAAGAGACACACAATGAAATGACCAAAAAGCACACGAAATCAGTACTTTGCAGACAGACTTGGATAATGCATATCGTCAATTACAGGATACAATTCAACAAAACCAAGTATTGCAAGGTGAAGTGAGACACATGGCCACCCAAGAAAACGAAATGAGTGAGCGCCTAAGAAGAATCACTGTTTTGGAAAAAGAAGTAGACGACATTATGAAGGAACTCGATATGGCTACCGAATTCAAAAAGAATGCAGACGAAAAAAGTAGAGCATTGGAGGCTCAATTGCTTGAGAATATACAACATCTTCGTCGTGCAGAATTACTCAAGTCTGAAGCAGAACAACAGGTTGAAGAATTAAGCATATCTATTGAACAAGAAAGAAAGGACAAAGAAGAATCGCAGCGTGAAGTAGCCTATATTCGCAAACTGTTGCAAGACACTTGGAGAAAAGCTAACGAGAGCAAGAAATAATTGACTGTACATAATAATAAAATACCCTCTCTTTTTTCTATCTTTTAAGAGTAGTAAATCCTGCTCGCAAATACTCTATAAATCAAATGGTGCTGTAATAGGTGTCTAGTTACTAGTCAATATCTATTGAAAAAGGCTACTCTTGTATTAACTACAGTGTAAAACAAACTTTGAATGCATATTTGAAGGCAATGCTCAAGTTAAGTCGCTTTTTTTTTTTACTTAATAAACTCGTTTTCTTTTTGCCAGAAGAACTTGGAGATGGCGTTACCTGATTTCGGTTGGATGAGACCTACGTTGGGTCATTCTAAAAATTTTCTGATCGAGTTTTATTTTTTTCATCACGGACATCCATGGATCCTTCATGAGTCAAAAAAAATGAATTTTACAAAACTGCCAAACCAATTGTACCATTCGACTTCTTGATTCCAAAGAACATGTTTTGAATGAAGAAACGGACTGCTTTGATAATGTAGTTGTCGAGTAATGGTCCATCAAAGATTGGCTTGTTTAAGCTGTATTTTGGGGATTTTTGCTCTAGATGGCATACGAAATGTGTTAGTAGTGAATCCTTCTAAAGCATTATATGCTATTTCGAGTGCTAAAAAACATGGAGAGATAGAAAACTAGGCATTTTTCAACGTAAATGTGGGAGTAAATGAACATAGAACATACTAGATGACATTGTGTGCAGATTGAAATGGAAGGCAATTCCAATTCTTCTTCCCTCCGCAATCAAAATGGCAGTGGCATACCTTTCATATTATCCTTTCTAGTTAATTTGCAGCATAATTGCATAATACAATTCCGTATGAATTGCGCCTGTCTCTTGAGTGCCATTAGGGTAACTTTACGCGGAGCAATAATAAAATCTTTAAAAAAAATGGAGCTTTTGCTGAGAACTGTTTGAAGACGTGGTTATGTGGCTTTAGTATATTGACAAAAGTTGTAGATCTTTGCTTTCTGAGTTTGCTGATACAAAAAAGACTGCAAAGTTGTCGCTAAAATGTTGAGCAAATGGGCAAAAATGGTCTGAGGTTTTTCGCCCCTATCTCATCATCTTTATAATGCAATTGCCAAGCAAACACATTCACCAGAAACTACAGCTTCAGACGCACATTTTGGATATTTAATCTTGTAGCGTGAAAAAGAAGATCACAAGTTGTCAAACTCAAGATTTCCACAGATAATATCCTTTGGTCGAATGGTCATTTTGGCCATTTTTTACAAGTCGCTTTTTTTGGTTCAAATCAACTCCAAAGGTACCATGGATGTTAGTAGACGATATCTATAGGTATTTGGGTTATTTGTGCGTGCATAAGTAGGCCTTGCCATATCTTCATTTGTCCGAGAAAAAGATGAAGATTTGTATGAATTGTTTATTCTTAAATTACTTATTTGTCTAGTAGCTCTGTTACCTGACTAAGCAGGGTGCTGCCAAATTCCTTATTCACATACGAATACCTAATAAGAAATACACTAGAAGACTAAAAGGAAATATCTTTTATTGTAATAGTTTTATTAATGAGATGCAAACGTCGATAAAATGTCAGTTAAAGTAATAACACCTTTCAATTCTCCAGTTTGATAATCCATCCACCAAAGTCTATGAGCTTTACGAATAACAAAAGCGGACATGACTTGAGACAAAGTAAAGCGGTCATGACAAGTAAAAGGAGGAATCAAATCACCATGGCTTGATTTCAAGTACATAACAACAGGTTTCATCAAAGATTCCCAACGGTTTCTGTTCAAGCCTCTGACATCTTGAGCACTAATGTCTGTGATTAAATCACCATTATCATCTATGACAGGCAAGGCACTTATGTGATCATCAGCAGCTAATTTCAAAAAGGCTTCAGCAGCAGTGCACTTGTAATTGATATGTAACTTGACGCCATTGGACTTGATTTCAGAGATAGGCAAATCCAAAATAGTAGAGCCAAGTTGATGGTTAGAGGCTTGAAAGAAATGGATTAAATCCATTTGAGAGAGCAAGACATGAATACCTTCATGTTGAATCAAGACACGATGAGTCTTTGCAGAACTAAAGAGAGAAAGAAGTTCAGAAAGATTGTCAGATGACTTGAGTATTCTTAATGGTTCTGTGATACTGATTGCATTATGCAAAGGCATCAACAATGCATCGCTATTGGTTTGTAAGGTATCCAGAGAAACCTAAAAAACAAGTAAATTTCTCACGTTGATTACACCAATTAATAATACCTTTGTGCTTAACAATTTTAACAGATCCAAAGCACTTACGATAGCCACATACTGCTTTTCACCTTGTCCATTTAAGTTATAGATGGGAACAGACAAGATATCTCCAGCCAAAAGTAAATCAAATGCTTCTTCCATAGTAGAAGTCAGAGGTAAATCCAACAATCCACGATAAGTGGGCTTTACTTTATTCAAAACATCACCAACAGTGTTTGTTTGAATGAATTGATGAAGAGGGGTATCTTGTTGAAAACGATGCAGATTAGAAGATAAAATAGAGGCGGTCATGTTGAAGACTTGGAACTTGGGTTCTGTTGAAAGTATGAAGAAAAAAGAATAAAGAAAACAAACAAACGAAAATAAATAAAAAATTTTTTAATGCCAATAGAAAACCAATATGGTCACGTCAATTTGCGGTAAAAGACGCTGCTTGGTATTCTTGGTTGGATTTTGCGATTTGCACGAGTTCCTGTTCGCTCAGCTTCCCAGTCTTCCCAGCGCTTAAGAATTAAACGCTTATGATCAAACTGACCGTCAGAATCACCGTCAGCATCACCGTGCGCTTCTCCCTTTCTTTCACCCACAACTACTCGAGTAGCGCCCCACGAAAAATCATCAAAATGCCAGAAAGAATAAAGAGGGAGGATCATATTCCAGATAGGCAAAGCACATATATAGACTAAAAATATGATTAATGCATGTCTGTGATTTCTCTTTTTACTTACTAATTAACCACAAAACATAAATGAGCTTGAATGTAGTGAGTATAATAAGAATAGCAGGTAAAAACAAGACAGCAATCAATAAGCCTAGTGATTGCCATTGAGGATTTGGAGTGATAGCTGTCTGGACAATGAGATAGATAGACATGACAATAGCAGCGGGAAGTACAAGTGTGCCGATCAGATCAATAAATACAGAGAATTGCATAGACAGGAACGATATGCCACACAAATCAGACACAAGTACCAATTCCATCAAATTATGCACAGTTGAATTAATCCAACGACGTCGTTGAGAGAGCAATACGCCAAATTCATCAGGTACAATAGTACGACATCGCGCTTGTGGTACAAACATCATTTGTCGTTTAGGAAATGTACGCAACATTAATGTAGACAAGAAACGATCCTCACCCAAAAGTAGTAAGTTCTTTTCATGCAATGTAGTAACCACGTTCTGGTTGTATTCAAGAATAATATCAGGACTAGCCAAAATGGGTACCCAAGAACCCTTCTTGGGTGATTTGATTCGATACATGCTAAAGCATCCAGGTAAACAAGTGACCATGCCAAACAAGGACTCAAATGCTTTAGAGTAATGATGTGAAATATAATATTCAAACACTTGAATAGCCGTCACCCAAGAGGCTCGTTTGTTGGCGATACGCGTCTCACCACATAGCCCCATGATTGTGATATCGTTTGCCATAGCAGCCATCATATATGTCAATGCATCAGGCAAAACTTGTGTGTCTGCATCCACCATTAATACTGTCTCGAATTTATCAGGTGTAACACCTTTCATAAGCCATGTCATTTTCCAGAAAATATCATAATCGAGCTCAGTTAAGCGATCGTTGAACAAGACACGCTGGAAAAAGGACATCAAAATAACTTGAGAGTCTCGTTTACCACGATTCCCAGCCTTAGACCCTTGCTGTTCTTCTTCTGTGCCGCATTTGACAACCGTAATACAAGGAACAGACTTGTAATGGCCCGCATATACCTTAGCCATATTCAATTGCTTTTCACCGTCAGCTACTGCAAGGTAAGAACAAGCTTTGGGGTTGGTCATGGCAGGTGAGATATCCATCATATCAACCACAATATCCGGTGTGGATCTTGTTTCTCCTGCACCTGTGATTAAACCGTCAGCAATTACAAAGAAGATCTTGTGCTTGTCTGAATAAGTTGTGCTGGCCAAGCTATCCATTGTAGTCCTTAGTCCTTCTTCGCCTTCAGAGTAGCAAGTAACAAGCATAACAGTATAAAGCTTCGTATGAACAATATCTGTGCGATTGCTGATGGTATTTGTTTGAGAAGAAGAATTTGGCATACGAGCGGAATCTGTCATGAATCGATAATCGTTGTATGGGCCAGGAATATGATTAGCAGGATCATCATTGCCTCCTTTAATTGAACGCCAAGCGAGCCAATTGGATCTACCACCGGGCTTGACAAGACGATGCGAAATAAACCATTGAAAGAGACAAGCCATAGAATACCGAATAGCAATAATGATTAGGATCACAATAAACAGAACAACCATGATAATGTTGTCAGCAATGCAACTGGCCACTTCTTCAGAAGCAATGCCTGCACTGTATCGAGCCAAAAGACATGCTTGTGCATGCTTCCCTGCTTTTGTATAGGATAGGGCGTACGTCATATCATTACCTCGGTTCGATTGAATGGTTTTGCCTATTCCAGGTAGCAATATACTATCATCAAGATAGTGTGTCAAATTGACTACCGTGTTACCAATAAGGCCAAGGTTATGAGGACGGATGTCCATCCATTCGAAGCTGAGATAATTGCCATTGTTGCTGTATGCATGCAAATCGGCCAATAAAAGACATGCACCATTCAATTGCTTCAATGTATTGCCTAACTCCATTATAAGTACAAATATGTATAAACCAGCCTTTTGTTTTACCTGAATTGCTTGTCAGATTACAACTAGGTAAAGTAGGATCAAGGCCATTGTGATAGAAATAAGCGCAACTGTTGTCTGTATCACCATCAAAGATTGAGCTCAGTTCCATGCCTCTGAAATCCGTCGTCAGATTCAAAGAATGAAGAGCGAAATAATTTTGCATCGTATCAAAGTTATACACTTGACCAAACACGTATACTTTATCTTGTCTAAAGATGGCGGCACGTCTTCCTCTACTATCTTTGGTTGAATAAGGAAATGTCAATTGATTAGAAGGGCAAAGATTAATGTTTAGACCGTAAGTAATATAAGCTAAAGCACCACAAAGAAAGGCTACCAAGTAACACAGGGCAACCTACACAATAATTAGGATTTGTACAAATAAAGCAAAAATAAAACAACACTTGCTTTTTCACGCCAAGCTTGTTGCATCCCTTTGTTTGGTTTGTTAAAGCAGAAGCGAATAATACAATTCGGAAAGCAGCAGGTACATATGAAGGCTATCCATGCCCACCAGTTATTAAGCACATTTGGTTCTTTTCTTTTTTTTATTTTTTTTTCTTGTACGGGCTCCTGTCTATGATAATTCTGTTTCTGCTGTGCTAGCTTAGTCCTCAAATGGTCGGGCAAAGGCTGAGGATACTGTCTGTGAAGCTTAGGGTTTGAATTGATAATACCAGTTCGAGGTCGTTGACGTTCAGGTCGAGTCAATGACTTGGACCTATTCATATTATTTGCTGACATGTCAAAATAAACGAAAGGAAGAAGAAGAAACGTTTCAATTTCTTGTTTTCTTCTTTTTTATCATGTTTTGGTTTTTTTTTTTTTTTTTTAGATACCAATTCAATGCATATCGCTTTGTATGGAAGAAAGGACAAAAATCAATAAGAATATACAATACAAGTCCCTTTTTTTTTTATCTAAATTAACATTTCTTGTACTGTGCCTGATAGAAGTTGATACATATAAAAAGCATTTCAATATCAACGTACTCAAACAAACGTCAATCTTTCTGTCTCCTGAACATGCTATATGTACCTCTTGTTTGTTTTAGCCGAGGCACAAGATCAATTGTTGCGTGAGCGAGCGCGCACTTTTGAATTCGGAAGTTTAATACATACGTGACTGAAAGAAGGTGAGTACGCCCATGATTGGTTCATAAATTAACGTCCAATTTTTTAGCTGAATAAAAAAATAAGGAGGGGGGAGGTTTTATAGTGTGCGGGTTTTTTTTGTTTTACAGCGCTTTTACTCACACATTATATTTTTAACGCACTCTAAAGGTAAGCCATACACTCTACTTCTTTAAAGCCTATACACGCTATACACTGCTTATACACACAAGTAAAAAAAAATATTTTTTTTATTTTTTTATTTCATTTCCTACTTACTCTTTCTCACTTGAGAAAAAAACGTGGTTTCTTTTTTTTCTTCTGTTTACTTGTTGGTCATCTTCTTCTCATCATCTCTTGTTGGTACTTTCATTTTTTATAAGACACATACACTTCTTTACCTCTATGAAATTTAAAATCCGCATGAATAAAAAAATGTTGACCTTGTCTAATGATTCCTTCTACAAATAGATGCCCAAGGAAACTCAAAAGGATACTAAACGTGCTGTCGATAAGGACGACAAGAAGAAGCGTTCCAAGAAGGACCCCAATGCTCCCAAGCGTGGTTTGTCTGCCTACATGTACTTTTCTCAAGAACAAAGACAATCTGTTAAGGATGCCAACCCTGGTGTCACCTTTGGTAAGTAATGTATGATAGTTTATCTTGTCTCTAACTTTTAATTTTTTAAGGCCAAATCGGTAAGCTTCTTGGTGAAAAATGGAAGAGCATGAGTGATGAAGAAAAGAAGGTAAATTTTTTTTTAAAAAAAAAGATTATATGATTCTATGCTCATTCAATCATATAGCCCTACAATGAAAAGGCTGCCAAAGACAAGGAACGTTATGAACAAGAAAAGGCTGCTCGCGAATAAACACGCATATTTCTTTATTCCTATGATTGTTTACACCAATTCATGGCTCATTTAATAATAATAATAATAATAATAATAAAAATACACGCGTTTTTTATTAAGTATACTTTTTGATTGGTTAAGTTCTTACTGTTTTTTAGAGTCACCTTGTGTTTTGAACTGCTTTCTGCGTTCTCCCATTGCTTCATATCGATTTCTTTCTTGACGTTCAGCATCTCTTGGTTTGGGCACATATTTTGATTTCAAAATACGCTTGACTGCCTCAACAGATACTTTAAATTCTTGGGAAAGTTTGACTGAATTATAAACTTCTGGTTGCTACTGACATCCGAGTTAGTTTGTTTATTGTCTTGAACATTTTTCTTACAAGAGCTGCCAAAGTACGCATCTTTTCCATAGTGGGCCTTGAAACCCGCTTCTTAGGTATCCATTGTTCGTTTGATTTTGTCGTTAATGATCGAGTAAGTATAGAATAAGGATTTTTTGTAAGCTTGAACATGAATAAAATCAAAAATGAAAAGAAAAAAGTGTTACAAGGGTTCTGTTTACTCGCATAGTGCGGACTTGTAATTGCATTAGAAACATTTTTTATTTTTTGTTTTCAGGGACACTAGGTTTTGATCACAACAAATGTGTTACCATTGTATATGGCTATCAGAGGAGACTTTACATACAAAGAAAGAATTGATAAATAAAAAGCAAGACAATGGTTTTATTCCCATGTCTTGTATTCTGCAGTAACAAATATGGCTTTTTTGTCTATTTTTAACTTAACAGGTAACACGTTACTTACTACAGTGTTTTTGGCTAAAATTAGACGACGTTATTATTTCTTTTTCTTTTTTTTTTGACGAAACGTAAATGGAAAGTTAGTTTTTAGATGGATATGCGTACTAACGTTTGGACATATATTCAACTCAATAGTTAATCCATAACCTTTTAAAAAACAAATAAAAATAAATCAAGTGAGAAAAGAACACACAAAGATATATTACATATTGTTCCTTCTTAACACAATTAAATCAGTTATCTTTATAATTGATAAAATATCTTTTATGGATAAAATGTTTTTTCTTTTTCATGAAATGATTATAGTTACTTCCTCTTCTTTAATAAATTGCGTATTCATACAAAAGTAGTTGCTTTTTGGAGTGGATGGAGTGTTTTTTAGTTATCCCTCTCTACCCAGTACTTTGCGAATGTCGATCTGAACATGTCCGATAGAGGTGGTAGTGCATAAGAAGATCGTTTTTACTAGATGTCAGATGAAGATAAGAAAAACCTTGATTGCATCCCCTTCCTCCTTTTCTTTCCTTACGATAGAAATATGTTCTGATAAATACTAAGTCTCTCTGTTCAAACATTAAAAATATCTGATTTTTTAAAAGAGTAAAGAATTTTCCATGATGTATTTGATTTCTCATGAAAGATAAGTACAACTGAATATAACTCGTTCGAGTTTATTAGAATTTTCTTTTATAAGATTGGAAGATCTAACTGATGCTCCACATAATGGAAAGAATATCTTCAACCTGAAGATACACACCGATGATTTTGACGCTTCTATCATTTTTGTACGCGAAAAGAAAAAAGAGGTTGAGAAAAAAGCTGAGTTGGACCTTGAAGATTTAATAAAAAAAAGAGGTAGAGCAATTATTCTTGCCAGTGGCTATCAATCCAGGTTGCAAAACAGCATTTACTGCCACGATTTTATACTCGGAAGACAACAAAGAGTACACAAGTTACTCTTCGAAAAAAACGAAAAAGCTTTGCAGGAGTTGACTGGCGAAGACAGAAGGTACTTAAACTGAGGAGAGACGCTGGAATCGAAGCGATTGAAAGTCAACCCTTCGCGGCAAAGACAATTGATATCAACAGAATGAATCAGTAAATGGGAGTATTCTTCTATATGGTGTTCAAAAAATACAATAAATCAAAACGAAGAGAAACTAATAGAAATAAGAAAAGAAAACCAAGAAGCCAAGACAAGTTCAAGCATCAACGGGCAATTACTTTCCAAGAGAGTCGATTTATAAGAAATCCAAGTTTACAGCATCAGCAAAGGTTCCTGTGGTCGTGTTTGGTGACGGTTTAAAAAATAAAGAAAACGTTCTTATGAAATGGCAGCTCTTAGGAATCAGTGGTGTTATTCTAAGGTTATTGTACCAAAGATCAAAACAGTTGACAGCAGCAGCTGTCATGATCAATGAGTACAATACCTCAAAGGTAAGAAATGAATACAACCTATAAAAGACTGCTTCTCACATATTAAATAGGTTTGTTTGTCACGTAAAACAAGGAACTTGGAGCACGCAAAGCTTGCAAATGGAACGGAGTTCTTTGAAAAAACTGTTCGATCCTTTGGGACCGAGACATTAACGCCAGCAAGAACATGACAGACATATCTATAGCTATTTGGAATGGTGATGGTCAACCTTCTATTTTCAAAAATCGGGAGAATCACCATAATGGAAGCAGTAAACACTTGTGAAAAAAAAGTGTAATTAAAGATTTTTACAAGTAAACTCATGCAATGCATGATGTCCGTGAATCTCATCTAAAAACTAACTTTCCATTTATGTTTCGTCCAAAAAAGGTAAACACGGTGTCTAATTTTAGCCAAAAACACTGTAGCCTGTACATGGAATTCAATAATCAAAATCAGAGTTTTGTTTTGTTTTTGCTTAGATCCTGTCTTTAAAAGGTTCCACAGATCACACATAGATGAGCAAAGTGGTACAGGTTGAAAGCTACAAGATTATACAGAGATTGATATATTTATATATATAATGATGATGTTACATATGTACTAAATAGCATAAGTTCGTATCTACATAAGTAATAAAATAAGGGATAGTATGACAGCAGAAAAGAGAAAAAGAGAAAAGAGAGAGAATTTTGGATGAAAAAGCATGTACATGTAAATATATAAAGAAAAGAGCGAATGAATGAATGAATGAATGAATGAATGAATGAATGATAAATACACATATAAAAAGAAAGAAAAAGGATTGATATGTCAAATAGAAACGAGAGTGAGAAAGAGAAAAGATTATTAAGCACTTCCAGAACCATTGTTGTTATTGTTGCTTCCGCGTTTTGTTACTGAAGACTTTCTTCGACGATTCTTCAAGTTGAGCAACAATACGCCAGTAGTAGGATAAGTGTTAGGTGGTGGTGGTGTAGGTTCTGGTGAAGGTTTGGGCCTAGGATTTTGATATGGAGAAGTCGATCTACGTAATTTGGCCCGAAGTGCTTCCATCACTTTATCATGGTCTAGAGGTTGAGTGTTTGGAGGTGAGGCAGCCTTCATTTTATTTTTATTATCATTTTTATTCATGTTTAGTTCGCCCAGGTTCATGACGCTTTCGTACGACAATGTGCGGTGTGCTCCTTTTCGAGACGTTGTGGATGCTGAATGCGGTTTGGGAGAAGAGTTAGGTGTTGTTTTCTTTGAACTGGCTGAGCTACTGTCACTGTTCTGGCGAGGAATAGGTCTGGATGAAGGAACAATGGGTGCGGTCGTCAAAGTGGATGGGAAGAGGGGGAGATCCATATCAGGAGGAGAACACGACATAACCATGCCACTGTTGTTGTCATGGTAGACATCAAAATGCGTAGGTGAAATCAAATCCAGCGAAGGGGAAGAAGAAGCAATACTTATAGTTTCCATGTATTGAAATTCTGATGTGGTTATTGGTAGAGAAGGTGAGGTATTAATCCCTGCCTGCAAGGACGATGAATGATCCGAAAATTGGCTGTGCTGATCCATAAGTGACACTGCAAAAAGGGAGGAGGTACTGGCTTGCGAATGCCCACCCATTAAGTCATCTAAACACATCCAGGTAAACAATCGTTTATTGGGAACGAATTTACCTACCTAAAAATGGGTCTACATTTCTACCAATTGGGGTATCTTGGTGTTGATTCAATTCATATTGAATAAATTTGTCTTGTAAACGAGCTTCTTCAGCTTGACGCAACTCCTCAGCTGTTTTTCTCTGTATACAAATTTAACATCCTTTTTGATCTAGAGTCAATTATGCGTACCTTTTCCTCTTGTGTTTTGGCAGCAAGGATATGATCCAATAATTGAGAATTGTCGTGGTATCTTGATAAGAATTCATCAAAAGACATGTCATTGCCATGGCTTTGTTGTCTTGCATGTTGATATTGATCGTTTGTTTCTTTCGGAGGCATAATGATGTGATTGTTAAAGCATAAAAATTCCACAATTGGAGTTTGATTTTGTATAAATAGAGAGAACTGAGCGGCTGAAATAATCTTAAAAAGATAAGAAGAGTAAAAGGAGAAAGAGAATGTTAATTGCTCTTTGTGTAATTGTCTAAAAAGAAAGAAGAAAGAAGGAATGAAAAAAAGTTTACCTGGTTATATAAATCAAAAAAAAAATTTATAAATAAACTTACATCGGTCGCTTAAAATCGGTGCATCAAACCCTTTCTTACTGACAATGTTTCCCGCAATCATGATTTTGATGGAGATACACACCACCACGTTTTGTGTGGCAGTAAAAGCACAGAATTAAGCAACAGGCAGTGACTAGGATAAAAATAACCCCTACTAGATCGGCCAATTAAAACATCCAACTGACTGTTGTAGGGAGTTTTGAAATTAAACCGAGTCGCTGGGGAAAAAAGCGATACGTGACAGTAAGCTACCATAAAAGTCAATCGATCTTTCACTTTGATTACCTTCTTTGCCCCTGAGCTATTGTTAATTGACATTTGTAATGAAATTGAATCCCTGCATTCTAAAAATAACCAGTACTTCCATTGTTTAATTTGAGATTTGTGCTGTTGCTCTCCTTATGATTAGGAGAAAGCAGAAGAAAAAGAGAAAAAGAGAAAAGAAAATGACTGAGAATGGACTCAACTTAACTCTGTGTAAAAGACACAGTGCGATTAAAACAGTAAAAATGTTTATTATAGACACTTGAGCTGTGTGTCATGTATGCTTTTATTTTATTTATAGTAAACCTTTTTTTAGTGATTTATATTTCCGCTTAAAGAAAGTGAAGTTGCGGAAGTTGATTTTACATTGAAGGTCATTGTTGAATTTATTTCTGCTTTTGAGACAGAAAGAGAAATTCCATGTATCTGTTTGTTTTTTAGCATATAAGTTTATGAGCATTCTGTTCAATGATCCATATGTCGCTTTCTTAGCCTTAATTGAGCCAATGGAATGCTCAAGTATTGTTCATCATTCCCAAAGCAGTTTGATGTTACACTGCTTCTTTAATCATGAGCTCATATTCACAAGAATTAATTGACTCTAACGGAAATTGTGCAGTGGCTTGCTTATTAATAATATTCTGTTTTAGTGTTGATCTTATTATGAAAAAATTCAAACAAAGGCGTCCTATAGAAAAACAATACTACCAATTCCATACGACTTCAAAGAGAGCATTGTTAGAACCGTATAGAAATTTAAATGTCCTTTTGGCAACACAGGTCGAAACTGAATGTATGACGAAACTGATTTCTTTTGAATTCTAAATGTGAAAGTTTAATTTTTGGTTTGCATACTGTAGACTATTTTTAATAATTCTTTAAATTACGTAATTTTAAAAACGCTTACTATCAGGACTCGGAAGGGATCATACCCGGCACTGCGTATTGCTGTATGCAGGCTATAGTACCCATTATACAACACATAAAGATCGAGTGTAGAATAGTTCGACGTAAGATACGTCCCTCTTGCCCTTGCAACCCAATTGTAGAAACACCTGTTGTTAAGTTTTGAGGAGAGATCATTTTGGACGTAACAGCTCCACTCGAATTTGTACTAGCCATCAATACAGCAGAGAGTCCAATCTCTCTTGCTGCCACAACCTGTAGATTTCCAAACAAGGTATTTGCAGACGTATCGCTTCCGGATAAAAAGCAAGCAACCCATCCTAGCCAGGCAGAAAGAAAAGGAAACGCACGGCCAACTGACGCTAGCTGGTATCCAATAGTATACACAATGCCTAAGATTATTAATAGATTGATATTATTAGAACCAGAGAAGAACGTGCAAAATAAACCCCTTTCATACCTGAATAATTAAAAAGATATGCGAATGCCATTATTAAGGATACAGTGAGTATAGGTTTATATAGTTGTACAATAGTATCACGTAGAGCCAAAGAAAAAATTTGGCTATTAAGTCCATATACTAGCACAACAATGACTGAAAAAGGAATTGATGCTACTAAAATAGCTGTCCCTGTTGCCAATGGTTGAAATACCCATACTGCGTCATATTTTTTACCGTAAAGCGTCAGCCAAACCTGAATCGATGTTTAGCGTTTGTTACACCCTAATTTATTTACCTGCTGATGTAAATACGGCCATTCAACGTAGATCTGACCTATTCGCGAAACCTGAGCAAACGACCATCTAAAAAAAAATTGGTGACACTGAATCGCACCCTTAAATTACTTACACAATCACAACCAACACAATGGTCAGCCATGGACACCAAGCTAATGCAATCTGTTTCCAAGTCAGTTTTAATTCTGTGTTCGGCAAGGTCTTGCGTCCTTGCTCTTCTCCTTTTGGCGACAGGCAATTTTTATTTATGGAGAGCGATATTTCGCTAGATAAAATAAAATCCAGATTGGCTTCATATTCTGCTCGATAAGGTGGCTTCCAATATTGAACAAACGAAACCACAGCTATTAGCGATGCTAGACCTGCCATCAAATCTGGAAGTTCTGGTCCTACAAAATTGGCAAACACACTTTGAACAAGAGCAAAAGAGATACCCGCGACGACTGCAATAGGCCAGCATTCAATCAAGCCTGCGCGGGGACCTGCGTAAAACAAGAGAGCATAAATAGGCAAAAAGACACTAACAAACGGTAATTGTCTCCCCATCATGGCAGACAGCGACAGAACAGGAAGGCCAGTAAGGGAAGCCAATGTTGTTACAGGGATACCTAACGCACCAAAGGCAACTGGCGTTGTATCAAAAATAAGTGTAAAAACCAGTGCATCTTCTGGTTTGAATCTGTTACCAAAAAAAGTTCGAATGAATAGGTTGAAGAGAGGGTTTGTGAATTGTTACCCTAATGATACCATCATTGAGGAACAGATAGCTCCAGGTACGCCAAACCCAGCAACTCCTATATTACCCAAATTAGTAACTCGATTTTATGGATCGATTTTAAGGAACCTTCCAACAAAGCACCAAAACAAAAACCAATGATCAGCAAAATCACTCTCAGATCAGGTGGCGTACTTGAAATCATCCAGCGTCGAAATAGATGAAAAATGCCGGAATGGACCGTAATGTTGTAGATAAACCTGCAAGAATGTCAATCTTTCATAGTCAACTAACAATTACCTACATTGCATTGAAGACAATCCACATGATAGGCCAATTGGCGTAGACTATGCCATTTCCAATTGCTTCGAATGCTAGTAGAGCAGGCATTTGCCAACCGAATATGGCTATGAAGATACTTGTAGTTGTAAGCAATTGAGCTGCTGTTGTATCTACACATACCATACAATTAATCCAGAAAGAGCTGAGTAGTAAGCTGGTAAACGGAACACACCCAGCATGACAAGGACAACTAAAAGAGGGATGATTCCCACAAAAAAGGATCCAATCAAACTGCCTCCTATAGGTGTTAATTGTTGAATAAAGATTCCTTCTTGTCTGATGAACTCTGGAATGGGTGGTCCCAATGCCATTTTGTAGAAACAAAAGAGAGAAAGATAAAAGCAAGAAAAAAGAATGTACTCAAAATTACTTGGTCTTGTTTGTATACATACATGCAAAAATTACGTAGATCACATCACCCTTATGTGCCCAATCATCCCTTTTTAAACAAGACAATAAACTTATATAGATGAAAGAGCCCAAAGCAAAAGAGAGCAACAATAGACTGCTTGAAACCAAATAATATTTTGGTTTTTTTTGTATATCAAAAGAACACAACATCAGTTAACATGTGTTGGAAAAACTGAAATAGAAGAAGCCTAGTTATGATAGTTAGCAACAGAACACTTGCATGTCCTGTTTCAAAACTTGTTTCACGCGTCATGCTAGCATACTTGATAGACCATCAAGTTATTAATACCCTCGTAATGATCTCTAAGCCGTTCAGCTGCAAAGAAGACCACCTTCCTAAAGAAATTTGCAACGACTGGATAGGCTTTTTTTTCATTTTAGTAGATCAATTGATTCGATAGTGAGATATAAGGGAAAGTACATCTTACGATTCAAGCGATGTAGATAGTACTGTATAAATGGTTTGATTGCAAATTTCTCACTTGCCAGATATTTATTGATGGCCCTTAAAAGATTTGTGAATCACTTTGCATGATCAACTAATATTGCATTATTGTGGCTTATATTGTGTAGAATTCTAGCAAGCACAACTATATTCTCGATTTTAGGTTCTTCAAGACTATACAAAGCTTCACAAATGGCGAGGCTATCGAAAATTTCAAATGCATACCTTACTCTTAGGAGTACGATATACATTATGCCATACCGTCTAATCCTTATAGAGACAAAAGTAAAATGGAAATCCAGTCATAAAAAAATTTGTGCTTTTATTGGCCAGTTGAGTTTAGCAGCACAATAAAAAAATTTTGTAAATTCAATCCATTTAATTTTCTTTTTTTTTATCCTAAACTTCTCTTAATAATGTCTGTTACCTTGGAACTTCCTTTGGCTCTTCACATCCTCGAATCCGTTCTTGCTGAAAACAAGTTCGTTGCCTCGTATGTATCTTATTTTCATAGTTTTTTTCGATAGATAGAAAATCATTATCTTGCTCGTTTGTGGCTTAGTTACTCATCCTTTTTTTCACATAGCAACAATAAGGCCACTGAAGCTGACGCTGCTGTTGCCAAGGCTTTGGGTTCCGCTCCTGCTGCTGAATTCGCCAACGTCAACAAGTGGTACTCTGAAGTTAAGTAAGTATATATTTAACAAAAGAAAAGGAGAGAAGAGGTTTTGACGCGTTCCTTTTAGGCCCGCTGAAGCTGCTGCTCCTACTGCTGCCGCTGCTGAAGACGAAGATGACATTGACCTCTTCGGTTCTGACGACGAAGAAGTTGATGAAGAAGCTGAAAAGATCAAGGCTCAACGTGTTGCTGAATACAACGCTAAGAAGGCCAACAAGCCCAAGACCATTGCCAAGACCACTGTCACTCTCGATGTTAAGCCTTGGGATGATGAAACCAACATGGAAGAATTGACTGCTGGTGTCAAGGGTATCGAAATGGACGGTCTCCTTTGGGGTGGTAGCCAACTCGTTGCCATTGGTTACGGTATCAAGAAGCTCCAAATCAACTGTGTTGTTGAAGATGACAAGGTTCTTATGGATGATTTGACCGATGCCATCCTCGGTTTGGAAGACTACGTTCAATCCGTTGATATTGCTGCCATGCAAAAGATCTAAGTTGCTTTATAAAAGAAATAAAATGTAAATAATCTTCATTGTCTTTTTATGAGGAACATATACATTTGTAGTTTGTTGTTTAGATATCTAAAGTCATACGAGACGGGTTTCTTTACTGCAAAAAAAGTTCAATCAAACCATTTACAGCTTGAACAAACTTGAAGCTTTCTCTTGTTGACTTCTTTGGGTTATTAACACTATGGAAGTATGTGTTGCAATTAAAAAAGCACAGTCAATGTTGATCAGAAGGATTGCTTTAACATCAAAGTTAATGTTGTTTGAGAATACTTATCAATAAAAATATATGTGATGTTTGGGTTGTGAAATGAAAATAGAATAGAATAAAAAAGAAAACAAAGAAATACAGTGAGACTGTTCAGTACTTCTTTACTACATAAATAATTGATTCCTTCCTCTAAAATATATTTTTTCCAGGTTGTCTTTTATACTACCTGATTTATTGACTAATCATGATTACTGATTATTGATTGCTTAACACCTTGACAGCTTGTGTCTGGGAATTGATTATGTAAATTCTCCTTTAATTCTCCTTGTTACCTAAAAGGTGCAATTATGGTTTCCTTATTTGTAAATATCCATATTATCCCAGTTACCGTTATTTACTGTCATTATACAATGCTTACTTTATATTTATAATGTATAGTGCTATAAGTGATTATTCATTTGTATGATGAAAGACTATTTATTATATTTTGTATTGAAAGTGCTCAGATCACCACAATTACATACTATAATATATCATAATCAATTTACATCAGAAATAGACATAAAAGAGCCTCTTGTACTGAATAAGACAATGTATCTTTTAATAGATCAAGACTTATAACCGAAATCCATAATTTACATTATTTAATTAACTTAAAGTAGTCTATGATAATAGAGACTCAGTCATTTGCATGAACTCTACTACTACTTACTCCGACATCTCTTCATGTATAAATATGCTAGAATAATTTATAGTCAAAAAGTAACAACAATAAAATTGTATAAAACAGTCTCAAAGTATCTACCTTTGTCTCTATATCATCTTATTATATAACTCTATTATCAAAACATCACACTATACAAGTTCTAATGGACTTTCTCTGTGTTCTTACCTTTTCTCTTATTGAATATCTACTCTCTCTTCATCTCACAACAGTTGCCAAAAAAAGATGTCAACGCAATACTAGTGATGACGGTAACGCCGAACTTTTGAAATTGCGGTTTTGAAAGTATATAAGAGAGCAGGGATGAAGGTATGGTTGTATACAATTATTTAGAAGAGAGAAAAGATGATTTTTGTTCATTGCCATGCATAAAATTATTAAAACCGATATTTAAATAGCCGCTGTTTCTCTGCAATCCGGACTTGGCTATTCGGCTTTCAATTTGGAACTGTTGGAAAAATCATTTAAGCTTACTGTGATGTTTTGATAATAGAGTTATATAATAAGATGATATAGAGACAAAGGTAGATACTTTGAGACTGTTTTATACAATTTTATTGTTGTTACTTTTTGACTATAAATTATTCTAGCATATTTATACATGAAGAGATGTCGGAGTAAGTAGTAGTAGAGTTCATGCAAATGACTGAGTCTCTATTATCATAGACTACTTTAAGTTAATTAAATAATGTAAATTATGGATTTCGGTTATAAGTCTTGATCTATTAAAAGATACATTGTCTTATTCAGTACAAGAGGCTCTTTTATGTCTATTTCTGATGTAAATTGATTATGATATATTATAGTATGTAATTGAAGACTTATTTAATGTCAGATCATCACACTTACTTCTGCTTTTCATCTAAGCTCTTTTATAATATATGTGATCATTACTTTAAAAAATCTCCAAAATGTCGTGGAAATGGAGAAAGAAGATAAAAAGCAGCCAATAGAAGTGGAGTATAACTTGCCAGCCAAGTACAACCCAAATAAAAGAAGGTTCAAGCCGCAAACGTCAAACAACCGAAAGAAAAAGAAAGTCCGCTTGAACCTAATCTTGGAAGGCAGTTACAATATCATCGCTTACATCAGACTCGTCATCGATGATACTTTACCTTACAGACTTAGATCATATATTTAGTTCAAATAGAAAAGTATAAATACTGTGCTATTGATAACTGTAAGTACTTTATCTTATACTTTATCAATACACAGGTAACATGAAATATTTCTATAAATAGAGATCTTATACTTACTGTATCAATACACAGTTCCTTTCTGTGACGTCACGTTATTTCCAGAATATTTCCCAGTGAATCTATTGGCTAAGAAACGTTCTATTGTCTCATGACTTAACTATAAAAATACAAACTTAACTAAAATATCAAATCGACAAAAAACATGGAGAGATGGCCGAGTTGGTCTAAGGCGTCACGTTAAGGTCGTGATCTCTTCGGAGGCGTGGGTTCAAATCCCACTCTCTTCACATTTTGTTGCTATAGTTGTAACTTTGTGTAGCTTAAGTAACTGTCAACTTTATATAAAATAGTTTATTTTGATCTTGAATTACAAGTGTCTTTTTTTAAAGTAGCATGCAAAGTTTGCTGGTTTTAATACTTAATGTCTATCTTGATTGACATATGAGCTTTTGAAAAAATAACAAAAGATTGATTAAGTCATATTTGCCCGTTTTTCTAAAAGCATCAATATCTCCAATCCCAATAAATATTCTGGATTTAGAGAAGGATGTTTATGAAAGCATCTCTATGTCCGTTCTTTTTCATTTGTGATTTTTGAAGACATATTTCAAAATGATACAGAACTTTGTTCTTTAAATCCATCTTTTTAAGTCTATTGTTGCCTTTAAAGACGATAATAGTCTAATTAGCTTTGGCAGTGAGTTTAACATAATCTTCTACGTTGCATCTCTTTCATCATGCTGTTTGCTCCAACACTCTGATTGAATTACCGAAATCGCGTAAGAACGCGTTACGAGTATGTAATTGGAGGCGTGTCCGGATCCGGCAGCGGCTTTATAAGTTTTTTTTCTCTTCTTGACGCAAAAAAATTCTTTTCTACAGTTCTGACATCGATCCTTCTCTTGTTCAACTCGGATGGCTAGCTTTGAACAAGTAGCAGCAGATAGCAAAGAGACAGTACAAGCATACGCAAAACTAGAAGGAGAGGATTTTTGTTATTATATTCGCACTTTGCAGGTCACTTTAGGTAGAAAAGTCAAGAAGCCTGATAACGTCGATATTCCACTTGGTAATGTAAAATCAGTGTCTCGCCAGCATGCTCGGCTGTTCTATAATTTTACTACCCAACGTTTTGAAATGATGGTCTTTGGAAAAAATGGAGCTTTCGTAAACGAACAATTTATCGAAAAAGGAGTTACTGTGCCGCTAGAAAACAAGTAAGAGATAAAAAAAATTTTTTTTTTAATATGATTTATTCATGCCAAACCAAGGACCAAGATTCAAATAGGCGAAGTATCCTTTAACTTTTTGCTACCTCGAATGGAACTATCAGCGACTGGAGGAAGTAGCGGAGGAGCAGCAGGAGCGACAGGAGAAATATCGCAAAATGAAACATTTGGATATATTTCAACACCACAGCAATTGGAAAAGAATTGTAAAATAGAGAAACCGATACCCTTATCTACTTCTATTGCCATGGACAAACAGCCCGAACAAAAAAGGCTCGCATTGACTTTGTCACCAGATAAAGAAGAGATCAATACAGATGATTGGGTAGAATCATCGCCTGTAGACCCTTCTACATACGAATCAAAAGACATCAAACCGCCTTATTCTTACGCTTCTCTTATTGTTCAAGCCATTCGATCTTCACCAAACAAACGCATGACACTCAATGACATTTACACCTTTATCACTACAACATATCCTTATTATCAAATGACTTCCAACGGCTGGCAGGTAGCAACCACACTGCACAGAAATGAAAAGGAACTGACATGGCTTGATATAGAATTCAATTAGACATAATCTGTCTTTAAACAAAGCCTTTATTAAGGTTCCACGAAAAGACTCAGAGCCTGGGAAAGGCGCTTTTTGGACAATTGATGAATCGGTTGAACATCATTTTAATAGGAACATCTATAAGAAACAAAAACGACCAGATTCGAGTCATCATGGAGGCAAAAATAAACGAAAAAGGCTAGAAAACGGCGAAGAAGTATCTGACGACGAAGAGGACGAAGACTGTATTGAATGCGAAGGTTTGGAAGACGACGAAATTGATGTTGAGGACGAAGAAGAGGGTGAAGAAACAACGACAGAAAATACTCCTGTATTACTTGAAAAACCAGAACCTTCAGCTCCAACTTTCGATTGCATTACCACAGATCAACAAAAGAAAAAGAGAAAGGCATTGCATGAACATGCTAAAGGCCAATTACAGTTACAGGAACAGCAGCAGCAATTGCAACAACAGTTGCAGAACACAATACGTCAACATCTATTAGACCCTATTAAACATCCTTTGCCGCCTTCTATCGCTCAATTGCTTCCACAAGCAATTGCACAGCTACCGCCGCAATTAGCTAGTCAGTTGTCAAATACATTGAAAACTACCTTAAAATCTTCTGCTCCCCAAGATAACAACAATAATGTGGAAGATGCAACCAAAAAAACGGCCTAATAATACCACAGCTCCTGTATCATATCTCTTAATGTCTCCCCCACTCTTATATATGTGCATATACACTTTCATCATCATCATCCTCTCTTTCTTTAAAATATTTATAAATGAATGTATAAACTAGAACTTTCTTTATTCATGAAACTTCATATGTCTGATTGTCCAAAACTAATTCTTCTTGAAAATTAGATATATTTACAAAGAAGGGACTTGAGACTTTCTCGAAAAGGATCTATTTACAGAAAAAGAGGGAGAAGAAACAATTTATCGTCTGTGCTTTTCAAAGCCTCTTACGATAGCTTCAAGTGATCTACCCTTTGTTTCAGGCAAAAAGGTAAAAGTGAATATAAAGGCAAGTAAGGAAACGATTGCAAAAATGGCGAATGAATAACCTTCAATACGCCCAAAGATGACTGGAAATAATTGGCCAATTAAGAAGTTCATAGCCCAATTTACACCAGTAGCCACAGCAGCCACAGCAGACGAAGCATATCTATGGGGAGAAAGCATATCAGATCAAATACGTTTAACTTATAATACACTACGTTGGTGTCAATTCAGATGTCAATAGCCAAGGAATAGGACCAATACCGATAGCAAAAGAAGCAACATATAAGAAGACAGATACCACAAGCAAAGCGGGGATGGTGTATACATATCCAACGACTAGCAAGACTGAGAACAGGCAAGCACCAGCATTTGCTATCAATAACAAAGGCCGACGACCCATACGATCAATCATGGCAACTGCCACTAATGTCATGACAAAGTTAACAACAGTTGTAACAATAGCCATGTACTTGGCCATATTTGCATCAAAAGCTAAGACAAAGATAGTCACAGAGTAATACATGACAGCATTAATGCCGACGAGCTGCTGAAAGGCATGCAAAAAGACGACAGTAAGCGTAATGCGTCGAATGACAGGGTCAGTAAAAATTTGAATAATGCTCATAGTGTCTCTTTGAGTAACAGGAACTTGTTCATCAGTAGATTCGTTGTCTTCAGCATGAGTCGCATCGAATGTATGTTCTTTAGTTTCTCCAGATTTGGTAATATAAGCTTCTTTTTCTGTCTGTTTCTCTTCTTCTGTTGCAGGCGGCTTTTGGTAGTCTAGCATGGATTGAGCAGCAGCAGTACCATAATAACCTTCAACCATATCATAAAATTCACGATCAATGTTGTAGTTATTACCACGAAGCTTTTGGAGTGACTGTCGAGCCTCTTCAATATGGTTGACAGAAATCAGATAACGAGGTGTTTCAACACATGTATTCATCAAAAAGAATTGAGCAATAGCAGGTAAACAGACAATCGCAAAATTAAGACGCCATAAAGGTACATTGGCTAACGGAAGCCCAATGACTGAGGAGAGTAAGATGCCGAGGACAATAAAAAACTGATTGCAAGTACCCATTGCACCACGCGCCTTAATGGTAGATACTTCACCAATATAAGTAGGGATAGATAATGACCCCATACCACATCCTAGACCACATAAGATGCGGCCAATGATAAACATACTTTCATGCACAGAAACACTAATGAGAAGACCACCAATAATATAGCCCAAATTATTGAGCATAATGGCTCTTTTACGACCAACTTTTGTCTGGAGATTGCCAGCTGTTAGACCACCAATGAGGCCTCCTACGCAGAATGAAGCGACTGCAAACCCCCTAACAAAAAAAAAACATAACTCAGTTATGTAAACAATCAAATTCCCTGTAATTACCATAATCCATTGTTCATAGGTAAACAATCGGGCCATGCTGAGTTATTTACATGCGCATTGCCATTGGGGCAATTATGCGTGATTTCGCCTGGAATATTGGGAGAACCAATTACCCAACCATTGCTAAAAGAGCCCAAGCATGCTATCTGCACACAATAGACCATATATTTCGGAAACTTTGCATTAAGCGAATTCATCCAAAAGAATAAACGTGTAAAGGAAAAGATGAAAAAGGTAAGAAATGTAAAGAAATAACCCTTTTCGGTATGACCTTCAAATTTTTATTTGTATATCGGAAGGAGAAAGTTGGTTTCATTTAAAATGTTTATTCAACAAAAGGTGTGGCGAAATAAAATAGAAAAGGAAAAACCCTCGAAGCCAGGAAAAATATGCAATAAAGAAAAGGAGGTGAAGAAATGCTGAAGATTATACAATAATTATAGATATGTGATTAAATGTTGTATATGAAGTTTAGGAAAGTTGAGGATCAAAATTGGAGGTTGTAATGCTTTCTCTTCTATTAAAAGCGCTGATCATGGAAAAGCTATTATTACTGTTGGCAGGGTTTTGACGTACGCCCTAGCATAAAGTAAGTACAAAAAAAAAAAAAAAGACTATGTGGTGCCTATGACTTACTAAAGGATTTTTACTAAAAGACAAGCGTATACCACCTTTTATAGAATTACTTAAAGGATTTCCATGAAGTTCTTGCAAAGCTTGTGCAGCATAAATGGCATCTTCAAATTCGACAAAGCACATGGGCCCATTTGATTTGTTTCTAAATGACAATCGCTTGTATCCAGCACATTTCGAAAACATGGCTTTTAATTCGTCTTCGTTGGTATTAGGTGGCAAATTACCAACATAAAGTGTATTGCAAGGTGGGTTTTGATCTGCTGGGTTAGAACTACCGACCAGCATACCACCCAGACTGCGATAGCTGTTAGTAGGTGATATTATACCTGGTGGAGGTGGAGGAGAAGAAGACTTGGGTGGTGTAGAAGAAGATGAGTTGAGTGGATGAAAGCGTGTAATGATAGATTCATGATGCGGATGGTTGAAATAATAATTGTTTTCTTCCATGACTCTATTTAGGCCATTAGAAGTAGAAGTGGGGGTTGCTGTTGTGGATGTAGTTGTGCTTGTAGGTGATGTTAAACTGCTGCTATGATTGTGAGGATTATTAGCAAAAAATGTGTTCATGGCTTGGAATGTTGTACTCCGATCGGTAGTGGGCGTTGATTTAGAGAGATAGTCTAGTCCATCATGTATATTAGAAGAGGGAGCTGCAAATCTCCCATGAAGAGCATGACTAAATCGGCTGTTGGAGACAGAAGGCTTCACAAATAAATCCATTGATCTGGCATCTACTGATTGAGAGCGAGCGATACTGAAAGCTGAGTCGGGTGGTGGCGACATCATGTCGGAATAGAAATCGGAGTAGCTCTCATTGGGCGACATCAGCTCATTAGGAACTGGATGTGGAACAGAATAAAATGCTTCGTAAGCTGCTGCAGAACTGTTTTGAGGAAAACGAGAAGTGGAAGGCGATTGTTGCTGCTGCAAGATTTGAAGCTGTTGCAGCTGTTGTTGTAGTTGATGCTGCTGTAATTGTGGTTGTGGTTGTTGTGGTTGTTGCTGTGGTAGTGGTTGTATTTGTGTTGACTGTGAGGGTTGTGGTTGTTCTGTAAGAAAGCCTCTTTTGGTATGCAAATTCTTTTTAGCCATTTCTGCCTTCAACATAGAGTTTTTCTCGTTGTCTACTTTGCGTCCATTTAAGATATCTCGAGCATCTATGGCCTCTTTACGAGTACGGAATTTTGCAAATCCGATCTGTATTATTAAGACAAAATTAGATGTTGTCGTACTCTCTCTCTTTGCCTATGCCACTTACAATTTGTTTTCTCCCATTATTACCGTTCATCATAAATTCTTCTTCCCCATCCTTTGAAGGAACTTTAAGTGTGGCTGCTTCGAAGCCCGGTGAGAACATAAACATGTTCTGAAATTCCCGCTCTTGCATATCCTCCGGAAATCCTACTACAAAGATAGTGGAAATCTCTTCCTTGGTAGGTGAGACAAGGCCGTCTTGTTGTTGAAGAAAACTGGTGCTTACACTAGCATTGTTGTTCATAAATACATTAAAGAATGACGTATTCAAAGGAGTAGGTGATAAGGGTGTTGTTGGTGTTTGGCTCATACTACTTGTCAACAACAAAGAGATAGAGAGAGAGAGGGGACCAAAGAGGAACGTGGGGAAATTTAGAGAAAAAAGGGGATTTCTTTTAAAAAATAAAAAAAAAAAACCAAGTTTTAGTACGAGTGTATCATAAACACGAGGCTACGAAAAAGAAAGTCAGACAAGAAAAAAAAAAAAAAGAGGTCTTAAAGGGCACGTGACCATACAAGTGATTAAGTTGAATTATCAAAAAAGTTTATTATGTAAAAGGAATGTGGAATTATTAAATCATGTAAAATAGGGTCAAAAATGTAAAGTTATATTAAGGGCATGATTGTCTTCATTTCTATCTTCTTTTTACTCTCTTTTTACTCTCGACAATGATGTACACTTCTCAACCAAGGCCCATGCCAACATTTAATGTAAGAATTGGTCGCAAATGACATATTTCTGACAAGATTAGGACTCATGTTTTGTCGATATTGATCTATCTGACGAGAAAAAAAGAAGAAACAATGAAGGTAGATGTAGATATCTTGGGTGTAAGCCAAACTCATCATTTTATAGTCTCACCAAGGCCTGATCAACAAACAATCACTATAGAACCAGTACCTCGTATATCAATTTGGGAAGCTGCCAAAGTAGGCGACATAGATACACTCAATTATTTTATTCGTCACCATACAAACATTCCACAAGAAGATGACCTTATGGATGAAACAAGTATTACTCGATTACTAAATTCTCGAGACCCCAACACAGAATGTACTTTACTTCACTTGATTGTCTCCCATAATCTCAATCCATTGGAACCATTAAAGCTTCTATTAGAACAAGGTGCAGATGCTACCGCACGCAATGTGTACAATGTTCAAGCTATTCATGCGCTCATTCTAAAGTGTCCGGAACCTTTGGAATCCATGAAGCTACTATTAGAATACGATGCGGACCCAAATGCACGGGATGGAGATGGTTGGACACCTGCTCACTATGCTGCTCGGTTCTGCAAATCACCCGGCCCCGTACTAAAAGCATTAGTTGAAGCGGGAGCGGACATCAATGCTGTTGATTCTAGCAAAAAGACAGCCCTTTTTGGGCTACTTGCAAACGGAGATCATAGTATGACACTTGACTGGTTGATTCATACAGCAAAGGCAAATATCAAGACTAGGGGTGATTTCCTAGATGGTCAGACCCGACGCACAAAGCAAGGTTCATTGATTCTACAGGCAGCTAAATACGGAAGACTATCATCATTACGTATATTGATCAGTTCTGCTTCAGCAATGGACAGCTTAGAAACAATATTAACGCATGATGAGTTAACACTGGCTATTGAGTTGGTAAGACAGCAATTGGTCAAAGTTACGGAAAGAGACAAGGTAGAGAGACTTGGGTTAATTATTATGATACTGGAAAACATGACACAAAAGCTATATGCCCAAGACAATTTACCAAAACAAGATAATACTTCAAAAAGCTTATTAAAAAGAGCATTATCGTGGAGACAAAATAAATGAAACTCCTCTTAAACATTTATTTATGCAACTCCTTTGAATATTTCTATATAAAAAAAGCTTTTTTTTTTTTTTTTTTTTTTTTTTTTTTTTTTTTTTATTTGATTTCAAAAATGAATGAAGGCGCATTTTCTTGTCATACTGACTATTCAACTATTGAAGGAGAGAATTTTAATAAGAGGAGAAGCAGTTGTTGCTCTTTTTGCGAAACAAATCCAAGCATGTTGAACGTACTTGAACACAGAACTTTACAGATGACTCCTCCACTAGAGAATGTCTATTTTGAGCAAGATGAAGACCAACCTTTTACAGGAATCTATCTGCTGAACTTATTCCTAGCACCCAATATGACCAGATATCTTAAAGAGGCTTCTCCTTCAGACGACGTCTATACTTTACCATTACATCTTCAGCGCCTCCTCTGTGAAGCAAGAATGGAGGTTATGATCAAAGAGAGTGATTCTCAGGACACAAATGGATATGAAGCTGTTAAAAGGTTGGAAAAGCTAAAGGCATATGTGAACAGTATATCTCATGATGACGCAGAAATTATTATAACAACTTTAAATCGACTTGTTCATGACGAAGATGAACTGTCAAATATTATTGGAGACTAGTTTATATCATTTTCTCACCATTTATTGGTCTTATTCCATCAAATAAACTCACCTTTTTTTTTTCTGTTCCTTAAAAAAAAAAAAATTAAAACGACTTTTACGCTAAATATAGTAAACCTAAAGCAGTTTTTGGGTTTTTGTGTGTGAAATCACCATTGACAGGTTTGATAACATAATGACAGCACTTTGGGCTTTTTTATTTCAGCAAATCTATATTCCTTCATAGAATACTTTGAATTTGTTTTTCTTGTCACTTCTTCTAAAAAAAAAAAAAATAATACACAAATTTATTTCAATTTGAGACTTTTTGAGCCAAGTGAGTGGTATGTTTTACTCAGTACTTCTTTTCATCTACTTTTGGTTGCAGTACTCGGTTAACAGATTGAAATTATCTAAAGTTGTCTCTACGCTATTGATTTCATTCATAAGCTTCTCAAATGACCTTTCGCACATCTGGATCAGTGCTTGCATACGAACAACAGGAGGCAAAGGTGGTGGTTTATCAGTATATCTAGCTGATGGCTCAATGGTACTATGATTTGTAAAAAAAAAATCGCAATGCCTACTGATACTGGTAGACGGAGAAATGTAACCAGTTTGCCTGAAACAAAAAGGAGTGTTGCCTAAGAGCTCTTTGTTAGATTCGTTATAGGTATGAAGTTGCTGAATGACATTTCCATTGCCAATCATTTCTTTTGCTTGATTTCGGATAGTATATGTGTTTGATCGTCGAGTGCACATCTTCCAGCTATCTATGCTCTGGATTGGTTGTTTGGTGCGTTCATTGTTTTTTTTCGTGTCTTTAGGATTAATGAAGCTTTGACCGCCAAAATCCTTTGCATGTACTAAATTGCTCTCGTACTGGCTCTGCTCGTTCTTTATGAGCCCAGAAAAGCTTAAGGAGGCCACCACTTTTTGAAAAAGACTGTCCCAATTGCTTCTTTTTTCTTCAAGTGGTTTGTTTCTATTTTCTCTAAAAGATTTCTTTCTCGATACGTACTCTTCGATATCATTCAAAGACTGCTTTTTATCTATGATTGATTCTCTGTATCTGCGGATTTGTATTGACTTGTGTGTTTTGGTTGGCTGCGTTAGAATTTCAGTTCTCTTTTGTCTGTTATCTGATTGAAACAATTGTGTGACAAATGAAGTGAATCGCATATCAGTATGTAAAATAGGTAAGAAAGAAAAAAACAAAAGTTTTAGCTTGTCAAGTTCTAGTAGAGAGGGTAAAAATCAACAAATGACAGTACTCATTTTTCTTGGAATTAACAATTTAATGATCACAATAACCACAAACTACACGAGACTGTGAAGAGACAATGATATACTTTCTTGGTTACATAAAAAAGGAAACAATCAACCACAGTTGTCAGTTAGTGGTACGAGAAAAAAAAAAGGAGAGCTCTTGTGACAAACACTATCAATTGAATCTGATGGCTCAAGAGATGTGTTTAAGAGAGAGTGTGGCTTTACTATTCACTTTGACTACAACATTCTTTTAACTTCGAGACAGGAGCAGCGTTCTAAATAAAAGCAAGAAAGTTGTTTATTATTATATACATAAATGTTTTCCATAACAGTTATTGTTACCGAACAATGGTTTTGACTAAAAGAAAAAAAGCAAACTAGACTCTATGCGCCTAAATTGAGCTATAAATTGCCATTCATAAGTTCCATATGTTAGTAAAGATTATAAACATAATCACAAGTTACATGTAATCAATATGCTTTCTGTATTATATTAACAAAATGATGAGACGCATGTATCCCTATCAAATCACAAAGAAAATTACACGCATAAATCAACTGAATCAGTAATTTCCAAAAGGAAAAGGACAGGTAAAAAAGGTTATTGTTAATATAATGCAACTATTTGTTTGTATATATATATTACTCCTTAGCAATTCAAAAATGGGTATGATCTAAATGCGCATTTTTTTATCAGGTTGCTATTATTCGATTCATTGTTTGAAGCAATATTTATTAGGCTCTCTGTATGCATGATTGTTAATAAGTATTTTGCATAAGAGAAATGAAGGTATTATAAGTGATAGTATTAGTGATCCAAATTATAGAAATAACGATAGTAAAATTAGAGTTTTCTAAATGTATTCTTAATAATTTGAAGAAGACAGAAATTAGTTTTTATCAGCAATGGCTTTGGGCTTTTGAGCATAAGCAACAAAGAATTTAGAGTATGTCTTACTCAGAGTTAATTCTATGGCAGCTTTTTCCAAATATGTATCAAATACGCCCGGGCCATCCAGTGCTGGATTTGCTTTGACTAAAGCTGGCTTGAGGTTAATACAGAGGTGTTGAAAATCACACCTATCACATGAAATATGTTAGTGATGAGTGGAATTAGACTGCAGGGCATACCATAATAGTTCACCAATTTTTCCACTATGATTGAATGGAAGAGGAATCTTTTTTACAACAATATTCTCAAAGCCAGCTTGTCTCAATCGATCTTCCAATTCCAAGCCAATCTTGATTCTAAGGCCACGACTATCAAATAATGTTTCGACTAAAAAAAGAACAAGTTAGATATCAACACAAATACAAAAAGCTCACTTACAAGCCTTAACTAAAGTTGCCATATAAGGTCCCGCCTCATCTAAGTCAATAAAGCTAACCTTGAAATAAATAAATAAGTTTAATTGGCTTTTTTGACCATTCTGCTTACTTCGGCCAATTCAACATAGCCTCCGGGTTTTAGAATTCTATAGTGCTCTTTTAAAGTCTGCAAATGAATGAAATGCGTCAGTTAATTAAAATGTAAATAGATATGTGTTAGTATTACATACGTTTTTCCAGTCATCATGTGTCAGACCACCAATAAGCAGACGTTGATGTACATAGTCAAACATGCTGTCTTCGTATGGAATACGCTTGGCAATATTGCCAATAGCAAACTCTACGTTGGCTGGTTTGATGTCTTCGGGAAAGACGCAAGAGGCGTCTACACCATAGATCTTGGACCGAGGATAAGATTCGCCAATCTCAAAGGTCCAAGTCGCAGGACCGCAACCTGAGTCAAGCACCGTGATACCTTCTTCTAGCATCTTTGTCACAGGCGCATGGAAGTTGCTAAGGATTATGATAATAGTGAGTAGCTTGGCTCAAACATAGTTTGTGTCTTTCCATACCATTGAAATGCATAGCGAAGGATCCAATGTTGTTGGTGGATGCGATCGTTTTCTATCATGCAAGATCAGTAACAGTGCTGTTTGGGCAAGACACGTCTTACCATCATCATCATTAGGCAGCAAATAAGATACGTTATCGTGCCCTTGATATCTTCTTCCATCGCTGTACTTGTAGTTGTATCCACCAGCATCACTGTTAGCTTGTTTAGATGAAGTAGTTGGGCTGCAAGTAGCATCAGTACTTTTAATAGCTGAGCCCATATTGTCTTTCGATATTGATATTATGTTTTTCTTATTGAGATTTGTTAACTGTGTTTTTTTGACTTGTCTTTTCTGAAATATGCCTTTCAAGGATGAAAATACACCCATAATCTACAAATCAAAAAAAAAAAAAAGAAAGAAAAAACAGATTAATTATCATTATTTTGATATGCATCTGTCTAAACAGAGCATTCATAGAATGTGGACTATTTCTTGTGTGATAACAAGAATCGTACCACAAATTTGAATTTTGTATACTTGAATGTTCGTGATCCTGATGCACTAAATTTTAAGTTTTTTTTTTCTTATTTTTGTCAAAGAAGTAACATGGTCAGATACATTTCAATTATGTATGCTGAGACTTGTTAAAGGATAGCTTCTGTTATTTTTTTTTATTTGTCTTTTATAGTCTCTTGAGAGACTACGAATCTTACAAAATATACACTTCTCGATATAAAAAAAAGTGCTTTATTATTGCATGCAGCACATTGATTGGTGCAATTACGGGGAACAAATATATGGTTTTTGTGATCAAAAGGAGGCAACATAAATAACACAGCATTATCAATTGTCAGTAAATATTTTTTGTTGTTGTTGTTTGTGCATTGAACTTTAAAAGAATAGCTTGTTTGTGACATGACAGACAAGGCAAATAATCATGGCTTTTCAACTTTGAAAATAAGATTGGAGAGCCAATAATTACTTACTCAGCTCGGTCCGATCTCAGGTACACAGGTGAGAAGCACAGTGATATGTGCAAAGAACCTTAATTGTTCCAAGAGTAGACTATATTCACAAATGAAATAATTTGTCTCATCTGTCATCTTGTTTTTAAACAGTTCTATAACTTCTTCTTTATCACATATTTTTTTTTATTTTGTTAAAGCAATATAAGAAAAAAAAGAGGAGAAAAATGGTGATTTCTTTTATACCATCTATGTCTCGCAAAAGAAGGGTTTCCATGGTAACACCAGAAAATAAAATAAATAATTGCTTGTGCGTTTGTCACACAATCTCTCTATAGGCTAGACCCCTTCTCTTTTGCATTAAGCCATGTAATTTCTCGTACAAAAAATCACGATTACATAACTCAAAGTAATAGAATTCTCTTTTAATTGTTTTCTTTCAGTAAAAAAGAATATGGCTAAAGTAATCAAGAAACACATCTGTAACATTTAAAATCCTTTATTTGCTTCAAACAACGATTGCCTCTCCGCATTAATCTTTTTTTTCTCATTTTCTTTTTCTATAAATTATGGGGATGTTTGCATCCTTGAAAAACATCCTTCAACTGAAGCAAGATCGAAGGCGTTCGAGCGGAACAAGCAATAGCAAGCAATCAAATACATCTTATATGGTCGGCACAACTTCTTTAACAAACAGCACTATTTCCAGCCCAACTACTTCATCTAAACAAGCTAACAGTGATGCTGGTGGATACAACTACAAGTACAGCGATGGAAGAAGATATCAAGGGCACGATAACGTATCTTATTTGCTGCCTAATGATGATGATGGTAAGACGTGTCTTGCCCAAACAGCACTGTTACTGATCTTGCATGATAGAAAACGATCGCATCCACCAACAACATTGGATCCTTCGCTATGCATTTCAATGGTATGGAAAGACACAAACTATGTTTGAGCCAAGCTACTCACTATTATCATAATCCTTAGCAACTTCCATGCGCCTGTGACAAAGATGCTAGAAGAAGGTATCACGGTGCTTGACTCAGGTTGCGGTCCTGCGACTTGGACCTTTGAGATTGGCGAATCTTATCCTCGGTCCAAGATCTATGGTGTAGACGCCTCTTGCGTCTTTCCCGAAGACATCAAACCAGCCAACGTAGAGTTTGCTATTGGCAATATTGCCAAGCGTATTCCATACGAAGACAGCATGTTTGACTATGTACATCAACGTCTGCTTATTGGTGGTCTGACGCATGATGACTGGAAAAACGTATGTAGACTTTACCTAGATTCACGCCCATCTTACAGGTTTAATTCCTTTTTTTAGGCTTTGAAAGAACATTTTAGAATCTTAAAACCAGGAGGTTACATCGAATTGGTTGAAGTACGATAAACTCCCCAAAAAAAGAGTAGAAAGTTACTTACATAGATACACCTATAGGTCGGCATGACTGATTTATATAAGGCTGGTCCTCTTATGTCTACTTTGCAATCAACTTGTAAATATAATGGTTGACCTTGAGCATTTTACTAAACAAACGTATAATTTCTATAGTTAGAGCTGTTATGGAAGCTCGTGGTTTGCAATTTGATGTTGCATTACAATTAAAAGATCGCTTACAAGAAGCTGGTTTTGAGAACATTGTTGTAAAAAAGCTTCCTATTCCCTTCAATCATGGAGGCAAGATTGGTCAATTGATATGGTATGTTATCATAGATCTTTATATATACTCATTCGTGATACAGGGAAGATTATAGACATCTTTGCATGAATGTCAAGCCTTTCATGATGAAAATGAATCCTTTGTTTGAAAAGGAAGGTGCTGTTGAAGCACATTTGGACTTGTGTGCCGAAGAAGTTAAACAAAATAACACGTATGTCGACTGGTATGCAGCCTTTGCTCAAAAACCTATGTCTGATGCAACCAAAGATGTATGATTGCTTGTATATAGATATTCTTATTCGATGATTTTTAATAAAACATCTTAATACCTTTTTTTCTAAGACGTCAGTAACATAAAACATGTCATTATTTCCAAAAAAAAAAAGCGGTTTTATGCTAAAACAGTATGAGCACAATAAGGAGCATAAATTTTTTTCTTTATTTCTACTTTTCATGTATATATTCATAGTACTAGTCCTTTATGTTGGTATATTACGTAGATTTACAAATTATTGTTCGCTAAAAACAGGCTTTTGAGCATAAACTGCGTACCAACCCAAATGAGCTTGACTGCGTCTGGCTTCTTCACCACACTTGTTCAAATGTGCTTCATATACTTCTTGATTTTCAAACTCAGGATTTGTCTTTGACAAAACAGGCTTCACATTCATAAAAGCGTGTCTATAATCTTGCCTATAGAAACAGTCAATACATGAAACAAACAAACAAAAACAAGCAACACTACCAAAGCAATTCACCGATTTTGCCTCCATGGTTCACAGGAATTGAAAGGTTTTTCACCACAATGTTTTCAAAACCAGCTTCGCGTAAGCGACCTTCAAGTTCTGCACCACTGTTGATTCGCATACCACGACTCTCCATTCCTTTCTGGACTGTTGAATAAAAATAAGTACATGCTTATTTCGATACATGCCTTTGATTTTGATGACTCACATGTATTTATTAAAGTAGCTAAAGCAGGACCAGCCTTTCCCATGTTGCTTAAATCGGGCTGGTAAAAAGATAAGTATGGTACACAAACAAGTCAAACTCTAATCATGAATTACCTCGGCCATTTCAATGTATCCTCCTGGCTTTAAGACCCTGTAATGCTCTTTCAATGCCTAAAAAGAAAAAGAAAGGATTAAAGGGAAAGAAATGGCATATGCTAACGTACATTAGTCCAATCTTCATCTGTCAAACCAAGGAAGAGCAGACGTTGATGTACATAGTCAAACATGCTGTCTTCGTATGGAATACGCTTGGCAATATTGCCAATAGCAAACTCTACGTTGGCTGGTTTGATGTCTTCGGGAAAGACGCAAGAGGCGTCTACACCATAGATCTTGGACCGAGGATAAGATTCGCCAATCTCAAAGGTCCAAGTCGCAGGACCGCAACCTGAGTCAAGCACCGTGATACCTTCTTCTAGCATCTTTGTCACAGGCGCGTGGAAGTTACTATATTGGTAAAATATGTACAAATTAGATTCAAAAGAGCCTATAGACAATATGACTTGAATCCTACCACTGAAAAGCATAACGGAAAATCCAATGTTGTTGATGAACACGATCCACTTCTACATAAATAACTATTGAGTCAACGAATAAACAGATGTGCCTGTTACCATCATCGTCATTGGGCAACACATACGCAACGTCCTGTTGTGCATGGTATCGTCTACCGTCTCGATACTGATAGTTATATCCACCGGCATCACTGTTGGCCTGCTTAGATGAAGTGGTTGGGCTCCAAGTAGGATCGTTTGAATGATATGATGAGCTCATAGTAAAGGAATTTGTTGCAGATGATGAGGATTTTCTACTGTTTGTTGAGTCTCCTCGGGATTCTTTTTTTTGAAGCAAACTTTTCAAGGATGAGAGTACACCCATAATTTATGAAAGAGAAATAAGAAAAAAAGCGGGCTGATAATCGTCGTTTTAATGTTCTTATGTTGCAGTAGTAGATCCATATACAATGTAAAAAAAGCTATGAGGTGCCACAAAATCAAATCTCGTATGTTTTTATATAAAATAAGGAGTTCTTTCTTCATTACATTGCATATGAAAAAGCTGACAGGTGGTATGGTTTAAATGAGGGAAAAAAAAACAAGAAAGCTAAAGACGAGGTCTAGTCTTAACTGGACTCAGTGTAACATACGCGCACAAGCAATTATCATTTAAAAATTCTTGTACAACCCAAATGAAATCCTCATTGCGTAAGTCAAGCAATATGAGGAGTTTGAAGGCCTTTTTTGTTCATACTTACCAAGTCCATAATGAGGACTCTAAACATATTTGAAATAGAAGACCAAAGTTTTATTCTAGACAAAAGCAAAAGAGAAGAAATGCATACATGCTGAAGTGATCATAAATCTACATTCTACCATACTTTCTTCATATGTAAGCTTGTATCATGACAGAACTTGTTTAACCTTAAAAAAAGAGTCATATGGAATTACTGTATTTCGATCGTATCGAGAGGAAATATGGAAGTGTCACCATGTTGATTGTGATTATCAAGCAAACACAAATCAAATGGCTAATTATTTTATTTTTGTTCCAATAAAACAAGAGAGACTCATCGTAAATAAAATGTGTCAAACAAAAAAGTGCTATTATGCTTTGGAGATAGCTTCATATTATCACCTCCTCTCATAAAAATAGTAACACTTCAGTTGATTTATTACTTTTAGACTACTCATGAGCCACATGAGCTTATTTTCTCTGTCTATATATGGCCTGCTCAAGACATATGTTCTCAAGTAGTAAAAAAAAAAAAAAAAAACTTCCAAAATGTTTAGCCATCTCTATTCTATTCTCTTTGTTTGTTTGATTATTTGTAGTAACACGCACCCACATGCTATCTACTTGCAGTGCCCACTTTTTTTTGCGTATTTTTTCACATGACAAATCAGGGGAAGGTCTGCTTGGAGATTGAAATAAAGGTGTTGAAATCATGCTCTACTTGCATTTAAGCTTCAATGGAACAAAAAGGTGTTATACACTGACTCGAAATAATAATTAGCCCAGTTTTCGGTCATTCGAACTCAGCAACAAAGGTACCATAATCTAAGAGTCCTTTGATATGCCAAGATAATACCTAAACACGCTCAGTTTTTTGTGGATGATCTGTTGAGATATTTGTTTTAAGATAATATAAGTAGATAAAAATCAGTGTTTGATTGTACAGCCTTTGGCGTCAATCACAGCTTGTTATTGGTTAGTCAAGTAGTATGAATGTAATGAGAAGATAGTATAACGCAAAGAAAAACGAACAAGCGACCCACTCCTTAATGATTATTATTCTTTGTTATTCCTCAGAACAAGAGCTGGTTAAACTTGAGTCTTGATAAATGGTTTTACACAACCACATCAGTAGTATTACATCTCTTGATGCAGACACATCAATATTTCCTAGTCAACCATGATGCTTGGCTCTAAGGGAGGTATTCAACTACCTCCTTGTATCCGTGTCAATATTTCGCATAAACTGGTTTATATCTGTCAATAATCTATCTCTCTTCTATTCTCTGCTTTTCTTTATAATCCAATGTAAGTAACAATATCAATATTATTTATGTATCTCATGCTCTGCTTGATTTCTAGAACTTGATATTTTATTTTTCAATAAAGTGCATTTTCTACCCAATGATGTTGCACCAAAGCGAAAAAAATAGTGTGACAAGCTTAGGCTGTTTACTCTCCTTTTCTCATCTGGTTGTCCTGCATCATGAAAGACAGAACGTCTGAATTCTATGCACTTGTAGAACGTATAAAGAAAAGAAGCACTGTTAAAACAAGAACAAGCCCTCTCCTTGCTTCTAAAAAGACAGCTTCCGAGTTTTCTAGGATGTCAGCTCAGTTGGGACGTAATATTGCTTCTACTTTTGAAAAACTTGACCAGTTAACTTATTGTAAGCGTATATTAGAAAACCAAATGGCCTATTGACGCTCTATAGTGACCAAGAAACAGCCAGATACGACAGAAATCAATGCAAGTGAGACACAGTCAAGTCAACATAAGGCATTAATCAGTCCTATAGACACTTACACTTTCTATCAAGCAAGATATTACTAAACTCAATCAACGAATCAAAATATTACAGACTGTTCAACAAGGACAAAAGATATCAAAACAAGCTTCTGAGCATTCAAATAACGTGGTTGTATCACTGCAAAATAAATTAGCGAATGCATCACTTGGGTTTAAGGATATTTTGGAATCAGAGGTAGTGTGGTACCATTGAGATCAAGACTAATGCTATCGAAAAATAGGTTCAGCATACGGAACAGCGTATACCAGGTAAATCATAGACACCAGCATGTTTTTCTATATACTGATCATATTCAAGTGCAAACCACATCACCTCAACCCCGTCGTAGAGTAAATGCAGCTACTCAAGATATATATGATGATTCTCCACAATCCCTTGGTATACCCATGATTTCCCAACATCAACAACAAGAACAGGTCATGATGGAAACGAATGATAGACGCATAGAAACAAGGACAAATACAATGGAGGCTATTGAGAGTACAATAGCAGAATTAGGCAGTATTTTTCAACAATTGGCTACTATGGTAGCAGAACAAAGAGAGACAATCCAAAGGTGAGTTTAAATATGTTGTACTCAGCCATTAAATTAATTTTTTTTTTTTTTTTATAAGAATCGATCAAAATACAGAAGATATAGAAATGAACGTATTAGGAGCACAGAGTGAACTACTTAAATATTACAAGAATATCAGTACAAATAGGTCATTGATCATAAAGGTATTCTTGACTATAATTATGTTCTTTTTGCTATTTACTTTTATTATGTAAATAAATAAAATAAAATAAAAAAATTATAATTCTTCTTTTCTTTCTTTTTTTGCAACCCCTGTTGTTATACTGAAACCCCAACGTATCTATTATTTATATAAAGAATGCATTATTACAATCAAGACAAAGACAATCCTAACCTCAATAGTCAACTGTTTGGACAGTCCTTTGAGGAAATGAACAGCAACTCTTTTCTTGACTTTGAAACAAGTCATAGTTTGCCAACTCACTATAACACTTCTGGACAAGACTTTCTTTCTTTTGGTAAAGACGATATAAGTTTCTTGAATGAAAATATCTTTTTGGACAATCAACAACAAATTCTCTTGTCAGATCCTAGTTTTGTTCGACAACAACAATTGCTTCAACAACAAGAAAAACAAAAAACAACAGAAACTACGCCTGTTCGTTCCAACTTGTCTGCCATGTTTGACATAAACAAGACGCCGCAAGTACAGCCGATACAGTTGGTCACAGGTCACCAAACAAGTCCAAAGCCTATACCCATTGCATCTACAAATCACTTGTCATCTTCTGTACCTTCTGATCCTGTTGATCATCAACGTCGTTTCAATGAACTTCAAGCAAGATTTAGAGTCAATTATGCAAAAAAGCCACAGAAACTATCTACAGAGCCTTTAGGATCCTCTGTACCTACACACTACGACAGTAAGTTGCTCTCGTCTTCATTTACAGAGGGCAGTATACGACGCAAATCATCCCTGGATCCTTCTAGTACGAAACCTATACTCCGAATCAACCGAGAAGGCGGTAAGATCAAATCAAACAAGTCCTCGAATATGGCTATTCCTTCCCCCAATAGCAACACGACGAATGCTTCTTCATTCCCTTCTCGCACTATGCCCATTCAAATCCAACGTGTCCAGAGAGCCAGTCCATCTCAACCATTTGATTTAGAACAACGACAAAAAAGACTGGATGATCAGCTTGTCAAGGTAGATTTTGATGATATCACAGTGGCCGAATTGAAGGAAATGTTACGTCAACGAGGTAAACCAGCTACAGGTAAAAAAGCCGTGTTATTACAGCGTCTACAAGATGAGCGTGAAATGATATGCCACGCAAGAACGCATGGTATCCCTATCCTGAACCGCAATGCACCACCACAACTGACAGAAGGAAGTAGTCCTGTTATGCAGTCGCCATTGACAGATCATGCAGCTTCTTTACCTGAATCAATGTATCTCTCGAGTTCACCTATGTCGACTTCTTTGGGTGGCTTAAACCGGTCCATTGCAGATATGCATATTGGCTCACCACCACCACCACCACCTGTTCAACCATCACGCCGATTCGCACCTTATACAGCAACAAGGTCGAATATGATTTCGAATTATTCATCTTCTATGCCTACAGGTCATCTTGACGCGATGATGATGATGCAACCTACTCAACCTAGTCTTAGAACGTATGCCCCATTTGCCCCTTCTGCATTAGCCACACCTGATAAAGAGGACGAGCATAATCCCTTTGATGATTATAATAACACCATGGATTGGACAGATCCTTCCCTTGATTTCTTGCTTCAAAATGGTAAGTAACTTGTTTGCTGGAATTAAGGCTCACAAAAGAAAGGCATAGGTGATTTTCAAGGTAAATCAACTGAAGAAATTTTGTCCATGTTGTATACAGATGAATTTGCTCAAGACACCATGGGTCCTGATTTGGCAAGTGTCATGTTTGACAACAGCATGGCTATCGATAAACCATAATATATACATAACCTTATAGACATTGTTCTCTTTAATGCATTTATCTACTGTATTTCTCATTTTTTCTTTTTTTGCTTTGTTTTGTTTTTTCTCTCCTTTTTACATAATCATCATCATCTATTTCATTTAATAAACCATAAAACTCGATTAGGACACAAGGCTTGTCGATTCATCTCAATATGTAAAACATAGGAGTTTATTAGCTGAGTTTAAATAGCATGTTTCAAATCTACAGTAACAAGTGTTACAGTTTTATGCAGTCCCTGAGCAGATCTTTTAAAACAGAAATTTACATTTCTTTTTTCTTTTCATTTTTTTTTTTATAGAAAATCAATATGGGCAATAAACTATCAACACAAAATTACATGAAAGCACGATATAAAATATCAAAAAGACCATCACCTAGTTCATCTTGTTCAGCTACAACTATTTCAATAGCTGAAAACACTGAAGATACCTCACCAAACAATAGACAAGTCACTTCTGTCTCTTCTCTTGACAGAAATAAACATGCAAAAACAGGCATTTGTTCTAGAATGACAAACACAATACAAGAATTAGACGAAGATAGAATGCATGCTGTAATTATCTCGAAGTCAATATTATTCTTATGTTTACTTATTTTATCTAGACACATTTTGCTGTCAAGACATTATTTGGCTCGCAAGTATAATAATAATAATGATAATAATAATAGTAATAATGAAAAAGGAACCATCTGATAACAAAATTAGATAGAAATTTTGCTGAAACTGTTCAACAAACAATTGATTTTAATTCAAAACATACTCGAGTGCTAGACATTGGTTGCGGAACAGGTACTTGGATCATGGTATGTTAAGAAATACATATATATATATATAAAAGACTAAGTGATGTTGTGCGACATTAGGATATGGCAACTGAGTTCCCCAATACTCAATTTATCGGTGTTGACAAGACGCCTCTTTTCCCTGAAGCTATTCGACCTCCAAATGCTTCTTTTAGATTACTTGATGTTGTGGAAGGATTACCCTTTGAAGATAACTCATTTGACTTGATTAATACTCGCTTATTTTTACTTGACCTTCATCCTGAGTTCTGGTCAGATTTTATCAAAGAAGTACTGCGTGTCACAAAGCCTGGTGGCCTGTTTCAAATGATGGAGCATCAAGTTATAGCAAGTGATTTATAAAAAGTAAATTAATCAATTTCTAACACACTAAGGTTAGGATGAGGGTGATGAAGTGGTACAAGACTTCTCAACTCGAGGTAACTTATTTACTATTTCAATACAAAACTCATTCTATCTTGCTTAGTGGAAGAAATGATGGCTAAAGAAGGTATAGATGCTAGAGTATGTGATAAACTAGACGTATTACTTGGTGAAAGCGGCTTTATTCCTAAACAGGCGATGGTCAAATCAATTCCTTTAAGTAAGTGTGTATTATGTAATCCTGTCTATTCATTTCCTTGTTATATAGAAGGACATGTGCTTTCTGATGAATTTATGTATGTCTTGGACATCTTGTTTGACATGGCTCGATGGGTCGCATATGCTGCATATAACATCAGTTCAGAAACCGAATATCAAATTGCAAAACGGCGATACATGCAAAGTAGAAGAGAAAGCTCTACTACAACATGGCATTATATTGTCGGACAAAAACCTGTTTCTTAGAATACATTTTTAAATAATAGCAGCCACATCGATAGTAGGGCTAGTAAACTAAGCCTATTCCTCATCATTGACATTTTTGTACTACTCTTGTTGCATTCATACTCCCCCTTTTTTTTTTGCTTAGTTAGTGCACTTCTTTGAGAGTGTGTATATGTGTCCCCTATTTCTCTATTTGTTTGTTTGTCTGTTTTTATTAAGTACTCTTGGGTTGATTTAAAGACAGTTTGGAGGCAATAAGTGGATATGTATTGTAACACAAGCGTCCCTCTTTCTCTTGTTTTGGAAAAAGGAACTCGTTCATGGTCTTGAGTTGGAAAACATAAAATTACAAATGTGTGTGAGCAGAGTTTCAGTTAAAAGAAAACCATGATAGTTACTATATTTGAACCCACGAATGTTGTATTCATGACATTCACAAGCCTGTTTTTGGAAAATTCAAACACGAAATTACAATGATTTCGAAACTGTGTCATTGACTGCGTCTGTGCACAAAATAATAATGAAATCTAAATTGAGCGCGCTTTTTCATATACTCACATGGTTCATAACTTTAACCAATTCCACGTTTGTAACTCTAAAATTATAAATTTGTTGTCCCCTTTTTTTTTGAAAAATCTTTTTCTTTCTCCTTTAGCCTTTAAGAAAAAAATGGGAGCAAAATTATCTTCTAATAAAAGCATAAGAGAACTTTATAAAGCTAACAAAAAACTCAATGGTGATATCACTGCCACATCTTATGATTCAAGTGCAGAACAAGCACAGACAATGACAACTATTTCACCGGACAAAAGTCAACAAGATGAAGAAAGAATGAATGCTGTAAATGAAGCATATAGAATATCTTTACATCGTTAACATGTCTTGTAGCATCATTTTGCTTTAAAAGAAATGTTTGGCGCGTATGTTTTTTTATTATTATTATTTATCATTAATAGTCACTTAACTTTTCTTTGCTTAGCAATTATACCCAAACCGTCAGAGAAAACATTAATTTTAATTCAACTTCAACTCAAGTACTTGACATTGGCTGTGGGCTGGTACTTGGATTATGGTATGTTTGCTTTTCTTTTTTTTTATTCTTGAATGCCAATTTCTTTATGTACGACATTAGGACATGGCAACTGAATTCCCAGTTGCCCAATTCATCGGCATTGACAAAGATTCACTTTTCCCTCAAACCATTCGACCAGCCAACGTAACATTCAAAGAAGGCGATGTGAGAAATGGCCTTGATTTTCCAGACAACACATTTGATCTAGTTCAAATTCGATTGTTCCTGTTGGCATTTGATATGAACGATTGGGACAATTTTTTTAAAGAGGCGTATCGTGTCTTAAAACCTAATGGTTACATTCAATGGATGGAACCCAAAATGGCTGTAGGTAGAAATGAAGTTTGTGTGTTGTTGCTAACCTGTAAAATAGGATGAAGGGAATGAAACTGTGCGTGGATTCTCTGCAGAAGGTAGATCACATTCGACATGCGTATAACAACTTATCTTTAGTTAGTTACTAAAATGATGAGAGAAAAAAACCAAGATCCCAAGATACATGAGCATCTGGAAGCCATTTTATCAAAACATGGATTTATTCCAAAAGAAAAAATCACAAAAGCTGTACCATTAAGTAAGTTTTTTTTTTTTTTTTTTTTTTTTTTTTTTTTTTTTGTATACACTTTCTATCATTCTAACTATAGAATAGAAAATCATCCCTTATCCGATGAATTCATGTTTATTATTGATATCAGTTTGGATTATTGCAAACCAATTATCATAGGAATGTATCGTCTTACTTCAGATGAAGAATTTTTGGACTTTAAGAAGAATTTGCTTGAAAGTAGACGAAGCAGCTCAGCAGCAACATGGTCCTGTGTTGCAGCTCAAAAACCATGAGAAAATCGAATTTAAAGAACTGGACTGTGTGAAATTGTAAAAAAAAAGACAAGAAAAAAAGATTCCCTTTAATAGAGTTAAAGAATACCAACCATTTTATATATCTTATTGTTTTTATCCAATGTATCTTTCATATAAAAGAAAAACAACTTGTGTTGATAAAGCTGTTGTCTTCAATTACAAAGCAGAATGACTAGGCCCAAATTAGAATGATAGTAATCAGAAGCTTCTAAAACATGCATGACTTGGAATCTTTTTATCCCCCTTTTTTTGTATGATATACTTGTGTAAATAATTCTAAAGGAAAAAATGATGTCTTTTCATTGATTTTTTATAGAATGTTTGACAAGAATCCTTTCTTTTGTAGTTCCTATTGTAGAATAGTGTGCATAAAACCTATAGTATCTTGTTTCTTGATTATCTGGTTGCAATTTAAATATCTTTTGATCTCCTAGCTCTTGAGATGGCTAAATAATATAAATCAATCAAGCACAGCAAGCCAACTTGTGTTATTAACGTATGGGTTGCATAAAAACATGACTAGAGTTGCTTTACAGTGTTTCATATTGAGGCGATTTAGAAAATGACAATGCTTGTCAATGTTTTGTCTTCAAAAGACATGTAATCCCTTTCTCTTTTTCCTCTTGAATTTTTCTGTATTTTCTTTCATGATATCGAGTCTAACCATTTGAATTGAACATCATATAGTAACCATGGGCAACAATTGTGTCTTTAAGATTCACTTTTGCAATGCCAAGGCTCTTGTATAGCACTGCCATTCTTTAAAGTCATGACTAGACGTTATGTATATTACACAATTAGAAGATCCCTGCAAACCTATCCAAATGTTGAGGCAAATGTACACTGTAAAAAAAACACAATGTCAAAATTAGAGAAAGACAACTAGCTAGTGCAAATTGAGACGCTGATATTATGAATGAAATATAGTAATTCAGAGTTTTTTTTTATATCTTCTAGGCCCTTAAGCAGTACATATCTAGGTTATACCTATAAACTTATGCTGTCGTTCTCTTCATTAAATCCTACAAGGTGCATCATAAAAAAAGCATGCTACTATATAAGAAGAGCATTTATTTATTTATTTGAGTACCATTATAAATGATTAAACAAGAAAGAGTATTGTAGAGCGAGATAAAAAAAGTTGATATGTTTTAAAGCTAAGCATAAGTGGAATGTCCCTTAAAGGAATTCTGAGTTTTAAATTAGTATTCTCATTGAAACTAAAATTGAAAACAGAGCTATCCTTCAAAAACGTGTTTTCTGTTTTTGAGCCGTAACGTACAATTTCTATAGTACTTTTGCAGACCCAACACTTTACGTGTACTTTATAGGCCTAGAGAAGCAATTCAAATTAAGGCATTTTATGTCTACAATGTCTCTGTCGCTTACAAATCGCAAAATAGTGAGAATTGAAGATTTGTAAAAGGGATCATAATGGTAAAATGATGACTTTTTAAATTTTTCAAAACTTGGTATATTCCTGCATAAATATGTTCTTTTATGGATGCTCAAACATAAGAAACTCGAAAGAAGGGAACTAGAAGGCAGAAATGATGGTTTATTCTGAAAAACAGTCGCGCCTGTAGCGGGCAGCCAATACACTTTTGGTGCTATTGTGCTTATCAATTTCATCCAAAAGTGAATTGTTAAACTAAGATCGTATAATAAGTTTGACGCTCAAATATGGAACCAAAAGTTATTTAGTGGCCACAAAGTATGTATATATGGGTGATTCAGAAAAATTATCGCACTTTCAAATAAAAAAAAAATGTTCCTTTTTTTTACGTCTTATTCTCTGTAAACATGCCTACAGCAAAGTTTACTGTGTCAGACACAGACAAATATATTGGTATAAAATAGAAACGTATATTCAGATACAACTGACCGAGAAATAAAGACTATGATACATTTTTATCCAACGACTTTGACGCGAATACTTATGCAACTTCGATCGTCAAAAAGTCTGAATTGTCAAGCGACGCCATCGACGTTGGCACAGAACTATCTAAGATAGCATTTAGTATTGATATAGTTAATAAACAAATACAAGAACAGGTAAGACGATAAATACTATTTTTTTCTTAGTCATTCTCTAGGTAGTTAGCAACTATGAGAAGCTACTCAGTCAAGTAGTAGGCATAAAAGACCTTGAAACCATATTAAACACAATTGAATTGAATATCAATGGCCTCAACACTTCGCTTCAATCGTAAGATGATAGCTTTAATGTTTCTTATGAATGAATTGTGTTTCATTAGATTATCCCACAAGATTCGTGATCCATACAAACAACTTTCAGCTTATGCAACACAGCTTGAAAATATGCAGATCACTTGTGAATTACTTCGAAAAATCCATCGCTTTACACTACTTAAACGTCGTCTTGAACTTCAACTTTCCACAAACGAACAGGATATATCCACTGCTGCTTTAACTGTGTACGAATTAGAAACCATCATGGCAACGCACGAATTAGATGGGATTGATATTGTTAGTTGCGAACTCTCTTTTGTGAAAGTATCACATCAGCATATAGAACAAGAAGCCAATACGTTATTAAAAGAAGGCATTGAGACACAAAATCAAACCAAAATGGCTACTGGACTACAAGTGTTTTACAACATGAAGAAGATGTGTGAACGAGTACAGGATATGACAGAAGCCATGTTGAACGACTTGACAAAGGAGATGAAGCAAGTGGTGGATATTCAGTCATTGCAAAAAGAGACAGGAGCTACTCGACCCAGCATGAATCCCAAACAATTAGCCACTTCGTTATGGCAGCGCATGGAGAGTTTAATGAAGAGCATGAGTGATCAATGCATCAAGGTCTACCGTCTTGAAAAAGTACTCGAGATCAAAAAAGATACCTTAACGCATATGTCGTTTTTAGAGGAAGTATCCAAGGCAAGTTTTGAGTATAATTAGGCTTAATTTAATACTTAAGTAGACGTTAGATGCAAATAGTCTTGTGAGCTACTTTTGGAGAGCTCTTTCTGCCAATTTTGAAAAAGAACTCAAAGAGGCTTCAAAAGCATCTACATTTTTGCAAAACACATTTGTCAGTGATTATCCGAAGCTGTTGAAGCTCTTGAATGATTTCTTTGCTCGAGTTGCTATGCATAATGGCACTGGCCTGACAGATTACTCACAAACACCTGAATATGTGATTATGCTTCGAAGTTTTGGTACATTTCAAAGCAGTTTCCTGGCTAAATCTTTACAGCGTATGAATGATGCTGTCAACTCTACATTTCCAACTTATGGTGGTCTTGCTAGAACACCTCCAGGTAGAAATAATGTAATTAATATTACTCGTATTATGGGACAGTAAGTTGAATTCCTTGTTTATCTTGGTCTAATTTTTTTAGTGAGCTAGAAACAGTAGCATTTGAGCCACAATTGGCACAATTGTTAGCAAAGAATGCTGTCAAATCTATCAATACTTTCTGTACAAAATGCGAAAATTTGGTAATTTGTAAATCCAAATGGAATCATGTCTAACATACGTGTCTTTAGCTTCCAACCAATCAGCCATCCATATATACTACAAATACGTCCAACTCGAATGTTGCCAATTACTTAAACATGAATATCGAAATAGCAAATATTCTTTATTTTATGCACCAATCTGTCTGGAAGATTTTAGAAGAATATCCTGAAAAAATTGTGGATGTTGTCAAAAAGGGAGCTGATGTAAGAGAAGAGAAAGCCTTGAGATTTGTATACTGATCTTTACTTGACAGGATTGTCATACTTTAATGATGAAGATAGGCAACCGTTTAGTTGAATCAGTCAAGAAAGACGTAGAAAACGTATTATTAAAGATTCATCAAGAAGACTTTTCAGGTCATATCAAGAGAAATTTTGATCCTGAAGATGATAAGAGTAACTATACAAAGGAACTGGCAAAACATGTTCGATATTATCATACAACGATATTCCAAAATCTTTCTTGTGGTACAGAACCTAAATCATGGTATGTATATCCATACTAAAGTGAATGTTCTAACCACATTTAAGGGTAAAAAAAGTGAGCAAACATATTCTTTACGTGTTTATTTTTCAAGCTAGTATTGTACGCCCTTTGAGCGAAGCAGGAAAATTGAAGCTAGCAGGGGATATGGCTGAATTAGAGTTTACTATCAGTCAGTTTACAAGTGAATATGGAGCAAGAATTGAAGAAATAGGTGATGAATACAGAGCACTTCGAGCATTTAGGTAAATATATAAATGCATACGTATCCTATACAAACCATGTTGAATAGACCATTATTATTTTTGGATTCTGCTCAATTGACAGCTGCTCACCATACTTCAGGATTACCCAAAATTGTACTTGTTCATCATCTTATCGTTCGTTCTCAACAACAACAACAACAACAACAAGGTTCTTTACCTTTACCTAATATAGTCTACGACTTATCAAGAGAAGAATACATGAAATGGATGGCTACCATAAGCACTGAAAGAGAAGCTGTTCAACTTGCTATTGATGCTATAAACAATGGAAGTAAGTTGAGTAAGACTGAACTTGAAGATATTCCAGAATACAAGTATATTCTCCAAATTGCGACTAAAGAGGACCAATAAATGCATAACGTTTTTTGTTGTTGTTGTCTAGACCCAATTTTATCTGTGCGTGTTTCATTCGGAAGGGACAAGAGAGATTCCGTATCCGATTCATAACAAGTCCGAACTTGAAGTTAAATCATGCCATGATAGAGCATGTATGTTTTGTACAAGATGAGAGTTGAATTTTATGCGGGATTCAATAACCTGTTACTGCATTGTCTTGATTATTTGCCTATTTAATCATGTGTAACTTGACATTCCAATTCATCACCGCCCAATTACATCTTTATTAAGACACTCAACACTATTGTTAGTTGTCGCTTACAAGACATCATAAACGCTTTTTGAATCCCTCCTTAAATAAACTCTCTGTGGCACAAAAGTGATACAAAATTTATAAAAAAGAGAAAAAAAAGAGAGAGTGTGCTTCGTTCCTCTTTTCTTTTCCTTTTTATTTATTTTTCGCTCTCCTTTTTTTCTTTGACACCTTTTTGATCATGTTTAGCTGGAAAAGAATAAAAGGTCCACTGACAGTGACACTAGTAACAATAATGATTTTATTTATCGCTTATACATCACAAATATTTGTCATATGGCCATTTCTTGGACCTGTCAGTCTACAGTCAATGCTCACATTAGTACCACTAAACTTCTGTATTATCATGTTGCTTGTAAATTACTTTCTCACTTGTAAAACCAACCCAGGAAAAGTGCCTCATCGTTGGGTAATAATAGTCTAGAGCGATTAAAAGCCAGCTTCTAAATGGTTTCGTTTTGTTAGATGCCTCGACAACAAGCTTATATTGAAGTCAAAAAATCAACACATGCGCCTCGATTTTGCAAAACATGCAATAATTATAAACCACCGAGAACTCACCATTGTTCATGCTGTAATCGATGTGTATTGAAAATGGATCATCATTGTCCTTGGGTGAATAATTGTGTCGGATTTGCAAATTACTGTCACTTTTTTCGCTTTATTATCTACGTCGATGTGAGCACCATATATCTCTTTGTTCTCCTGAGCTGTAGGTTGGCTCAAATCATCAAGGAGATACACAATGTAAGTGTCGCATTCTATAATTAACTAAAGTACTAATTCATGTATAGGGCGTTCAACCTAGTGCATTAGAGGCAGGGTTCCTGTCTGTTAATTTAGTCCTTACAGTCATTGTCATGATTGCTGTAGGCATTCTTAGTGGATACCACATCTACTGTATCACAACCAACACAACCACCATTGAAGGCTGGGAGAAAGGTCGATCACTCACGGTAAAAGGAATGGGCAGAATACAGAATGTAAAATACATGAAGCAAAAAAAAAAAAAAAAAAAAAAAGCGGCATATTGACTTGTTGATGTAGATCAAATGCCCTTATGATCAAGGTGTCTATAGAAACATGCAGGCGGTTCTGGGCAAATGGCCTCTTTTTTGGTTTTTTCCTCAACCCATGTCTGGTGATGGACTAGATTTTCCCCTGAATACCAAAAATTTGAATCAACCTGATGAAGCTGCTCTTGATGAAAAGAATTTTTCGTCGCGTGCTGCATTAAATAGATCAGCTTCAGTTAATTCACAATGGACAACAGCTACTGATGTCTACCGATTATCTTCAACCGAACCATTGACAGCAAATGCTACACCTATGAAGCCTTTAAAAACAAAAGAAAGCTTCAATACAATAGGAGATGCGTCCATTAATACAGTACCATTGTCTTTAATGACGTTTTCATCCAATACATCTACGCTTGTTGATCATCGACAATCCAAATCATTTAAAGACTATTCCGTTCTTTAAAGAAAACACTGTACATATATCCACCTTAATTGTTTAAATCACTCTGATGTCTTAATGTTTATTACTTTACCTTTTGTTTTTATAAAGTCTGTATTATTGTCCGACCAAAGGAAATTTGTTAATCTCCCTCTCTTTCTTGTTTCTTTCTCTAATTGTTATTGTTAGACAAAACCCAAGGTAGAACTCTTTTTTGAATTGAGTTTAATGTGCATGTTTTTTTTTCTGTAAGAATTAATATTGGAATTAACAAGGTAGAAATTCATTTTAATATCCCGAGTAATAGGCGATAAAACAACATAACAATTATTCATGACATTCAACTGTAACTAGTTTTTTTTTTAAAAAAAAAAGGGCACATTTTTGATAGTATAAAGAAGAACAATAAGGAACACAATGGATTGATTTATGGACATTTCAGTTAGCTAAACTGATGTCATGTTCAATTTGAGACCGAGTCTTATTTAATTGTCTCCGAAAGATCAACTGTGTTTCAGTAGTTGAATTGAAGAAGAACGGAAACAAGAGGCTTGATCGGAACAAATGATTTTTCGAAAGTTATTAAGCTTTATATTAAAAAGGAAATAAACAACAACTAAAATAGATTAGAAAAAGGGCATTTTTTTTCTCTTCACTCCTTCTTCTTTTATTTTTGTCAATCTAATCTTATGGAAACAACACGTGTCAGACTTCCACGTCCCAGAAACTTAAATACAGCCAATAATGCTCATTTTGACAACAATACAAGAAGAATAGCAACAATTCAAAGATATGCATTCCCTAATATTACTCCTCCTTCTATGGTGCAATCTCAACGCAGAGCCTATACACAACATTTTCAACAGCAGCAGCAGCATCAACAACATCAACAGCAACAAGCAATGCATGCATCTCAATTTATAGGAGACCATACTGGCCTTGTTACGCCTGTCAAACCTGTTTATAAATTAATGTGTAGACATTGCACAACCACTGTTTGTACTCGAGGAATGAAAGCTATTTTACTAGCAGATACTACCATCGAACTTTATAGTACAGACACCCCTTCTCAATGGTAAGTAAATAAAAACCCAGTATGACTTTGACTCATTGTCTACAGTATACATGTCTTGGAAAAAGACTATTTAACAAGATCATGTCATTGTAGAATTCGAGATGTGGCATGCTTGGAATGGTAAAAACTCGCAATTATTTTAAACAGATTTACTGAATTTTGGAGAGTAGTGGTAATGTCATTGGTTATCATGTCGTGTCGCCTTGTTCTCAATGCTTGGATGCCTGCAATAACGGACATTTTTGGATGTTTCATTCAAGTGCATGTCAGCCTGCCGAAAGGCATGACAAAAATAAGCAAATTATGTTGTGGAATAATTTGCCTAGAGCTGAAATGGACATGGAATTTATTATGGGAGCGCGAGTTCCTTATGACCAACTTTGTAGATAACATATATTAGATTTTTTACCCTTGATACAATAGAACTTGGCATTTTATAGCCATATAAAGAGATACAGAAAAGAAAAAACAAGCGCCTATAAACATCAATAAAACAATAATAACAATGTAGAAAAAACAGATCGGGAAGTTATACAGCGGGTGGTAACGAAAAAGAAACAATCCGTCTGCCTTAATGTTCGTTTTCACATATACATATTGACTTTGAGATGGTAGTAGCTATGAGTGTTTCATATCATCAAAACATATCATACAAATTGATCACAATTTGTTATGTATATAATAGCTCGTTTTAGAATAAAGTTTTATTGATTCATGCAAAAGGTATTGTACCACTTGTCGTGCCAAGCGGTGATATTCTGTGAAGCTAGAAAGTTTTTCCACTTTGGGTTAGGTTTACCTGACAGCGAAATAACTGTAGTTTTGTTGGAATTAATCTTAGCATTGGAGGCAAGCATGTAGATGTTGATCAATTATCGAAGGCATAAAAGGTCTTGATGGTTATGAAGTAGAACAAGTGTATTATTGGCGTAAGCGAGAACTTTGACAAGTAGTAATGAAATGGATGTAAAGGCTAAGCTGCACAATTGTAGTTGTTGAAAGGAAAGTGATAGTCATTTTGTGACACAAAGGATGGTGGATGATGATTTTTGTTTTCTAGTTGAAAGCTTGAATATTGAGATTTTGTTGAATAGAGCGAAGAATTGAATTGAAAGCGATGTTGAATAATAAAAACTGAGCAGTCCTTCTTGTTGAAGACCTCTATGTTGGAGACCTCTATGTTGGAGACCTCTATGTTGGAGGCCTCTATGTTGTAGAACTGTTTTGGAAAAGATAAGATCATTGTTGTTGAAACTGATGTTGGTAGAAAAGGAAAGAGAAGCGATGGATTCAATGAGAATATGAGGTATATCAAATGCATAAATAAACTGAGCCAGGTATGTGGGATGAGCCCTATTGTAAGCTTTTTCTTGGTCGAGAAGGAGTGCAATAGAATTGGAGTTAACATAGTGAGTAATAGCTTGCATAAATTGCAGAATCTGACTATTTTTAGCGATGAATTTACCAGACGTAAATTCAGGTCGATATGATGAAATGTATTTGTTGAGATAAGGCATAAGTCGAGCATTGACTAATCGAGTGATAATTTTGGCATCTGCATTAATGAGTGAAATGGGGCGTCAATTTGCAAGCAAAGCGAGATTGCCCTTTTTCGGCAATAGGGTCATGCAAGTCTGTAACCAAGAGGTGAGTGCATCATTGTATACCTTGATAGCTAAAGCACCAGTAAGCGAGTGCTGTAATAAAATGGGGAGTGGTTCATACGGTAACCCATCTATACCAGGGCTGCTTTGATTTGGAGTTCTAGCCACACCATCTTGAAGTTTTGTCAAGGCTAGAGGAATACATAATATGTTGTAGATTATGCCTGGAATACTTTTGCTAGTAAGATCTGCAATACGTTTCATTCTTACCTGGTCAGGGCAGTAAAACTGACCGTAAAATTTTGATACTGCATCTTCCATTTCTTCAGTCGATTGGCAAAGGTTGTTAGTGATGGGTAAATGAGTAACGACATAGATTTCTTAATTGATTTGGATTCAATAGTTTCCTTGAGGTAATCTGTTGAAGTTTCACTATTTTCTCTCCAGTGTCAGCCAGCGAGGAGTGCAAGGTTGTTGACATAGTCTTCTTGTACCATTGCAATTCTCTTCTCAACATTTGAAAAGAGAGGATAGGAAATACGAGTGGCGCCATACTTTGAAATATTTGTCACGCTTTCGCTGAAGGCGCTTCATCAGACGAAATTGTCATACTGCTTGTTGTCTACCGATCTTTGTTGCAGCTGTCTTTGCGATCTTTTGACTATACTTCATTGTTGTTGTGGTGAGCGCCATGACTCTTTAGACAAGATTCCTATCAGTGAATGATAATCATTCAGTGCAGAATTCAAAGCTTTAACGAAATAAAAGTTTTCTACCAGGTCAGGGTGAGCACGCCACAAACCTTGGCCTTGTTTGCTTCGTACAAAGCAAAAAGTAGCTGAGAAAAAAGCATGATTAGTTCACTTTGGAGAGAAGAACTCAAAGTCATATGAAAGAATGTTTTCAGCGAAGGGAGGCGAAGCAAGTATATAATCAATGCTAGATGTATCCGACTCTGCACGACGAAAGGTGAAAATAGGTTGATCACGTTGGAGCGCATGAGTGCATCCTCTGAAATAACTGGATATCAAGTAGTGCTGTTTCAATTAATAAAGAATGGTAGGTGATTTAAGTGGAGAGTCGTTGGTAAGATGGTTGCAGACAAATTACCATTTTGGCCTCAAATCAAAGAGTAATATTCATGAAAATTATCAAGTTGACAAAGTGTTTACTTGCTAGCTGTACTATAAAAATAGCAAGACACGAACAAAAAACCTCGCAACCGTTCTTTCTCACATTGGTGCGATATCTCACCAGCAATAATGTTATTTTATTTAAATCAATAGGTTCAGAAAGCAAATATCAGCATCTTTTGATATTGTATCAAAGTCAAATCAATGCGTCTTTATGCAGCTCCCAACAGAACCTCGGTTTTTGATCCAGCTGGAGTTTTCCTCTATCTTAGATCTATACTAACAGGCATCTAGTATGTTTTATGTTCATCTATCTCACATTCGCATTATAGAAAGCCTATAATTTTACTTTCTTATGCTTCTTAATGTTCAAAGTAAGATAAAGTGCTTTAGAAAGATCTATTGATAACAAAATCCATATGGCATCTAGAATGAAAACACTTAAATCAGGGCTTAAATGAGCCATTCCTTGATGCGATATTGCTCGATAGCTATACTATAAAAATAACACAAAAATACCACAAAACTGTCATTGTCAAAATATATATGTCTTAAAACTCCGTGAACATTTATGCCGACATGGCAGGTATGCCATCTGTGTACCCAAAAAAATATTCTTTAGAAAAAAATAAAATCACTGCTTTAAAATTAAACAAAAGTAATTTTTGTAATGACAGAAAATACAAAAAGAAGAAAACATTTAATTTTCCGTTTTAAATTAATAAAAAAAAGCTTGTTTTTTATTTTTTTTTGTTTTAAATTAATAAACGAGTCTACCGGATGATGATCTTACTGTCTTAGTTTAAAGAAGGGATTACTGCCTGGTAGATTTGTTTTTTATTTTAAAACAGAAAAATTGAAAAACAAGCTTTTTTTTTATTAATTTTAAGCAGAAAAACTAAAATTTTCTACTTTTTTGTCATTGTAAAAAATATTTTTGATTTATTTTAATGATTTTAATTTAAAATAATGTTTTTTTTTATTGTTTTTCAGAAAATATTTTTTTGAGTACACAAATGGCATATTTGTAATTTCGGCATAACTGTTAATATTTTTATTAATTTTGAAAATGCTTTTTTTTGTAAGTCTATTGCACTGATCACGAAGGCCTAAGGTGTACGAGTTTTTCCATTGCTCTAACTATATTTTTTGTAGAGTTATCACTAGCGTAAGCGATGGAAGAATTATGTGCTCAGAGATGGAAGATTTTCTCCACCGACAGAAGAAAAGCGCAATTGCCTATACTATTTTGTGTGATTGCTATGCTTGCTATGGCTCTCTATGGTTTCTATGTTCTATTTGAAATCTTTCTCATAAGTCAACTACACCCTTCCTTTGGATAATTTAAGCAAACTCCAATCAAACAAGCGATAATTGAAAAATTTTATTTGTAAAGCAACTGTCAGCTGTCGACAATGTCTTCACTTCCCAAACAATGGCTCCAGTAATTTGAGCTTTTTTTGAATGCTCTTGTTCATCAATTTCTTGACCAGGTTCCCTGTTACAGCAGCGTGATAACGACATCCATAGCAACCATACAACTGCACGGTGGCGAAAAAATTTGCTTGAACTGATAGTCTTGTTTATAAAGTACCAATAATATTGGCCTATACAACTAAGATTGCGAGGTAAAGGATTGATTAATTTCTAGCTGTAAGAGAAACGATCAATACAGAGGCCAATCTTGTCCATTTAGGCCAAGTTGGGTTTCTGGGAGCAAAGCAGACAACTGTAGTCATTTACTAAAATGAAGTATTTTTTTTCAGGCTTCTTATGCATCAACCTTTTTTTATGAACCATCATCTATCGGACATGTTCGCATAGTACTAAGTAGAGAGGAAATGGCTAGAGAACACTCCATCTACACCAAAAGCAACCACTTCTGTATGAATGTACAGTTTTTTAAAGAAGAGAAAGTAATTGTAGTCATTCTATGAAAAAGAAAAGAAAAAGAAAAATTGTTTATTTATAAAAAATGCTTTGCCAATTGACTATATTTCACACAATAAGCAGGCTTTTTATTATTTATCACTTAAAGAAACCAGTGATTTATCAAGCACGTCTAAAGACAAATGATTTATTTGTGTCAAGAAAAAAATCTATAGGACAACATAAAAAGAATAGAGACATTATAAGGCTAATAGCAGCTATATTCTCAAAACACTTTTCTTTGGAGTGGACAGGGTGTTTGTCATTAATACATTTATGCAATTTGTATTTTTTTTAGGACTAACCCTTCTCTAGTCATGGTTATATGAACCATTCTCTTTCTATTCGGTACTCTGCGAACATGTTTGAAAGAGAGTGGTTCACAAAAAAATCACTTTTTTTGTGTACCCATTGATCCTTGCTTTATTTCGTATAAGTCATATTTGCTTTGGCAATCAACTCAGTTAGCAAGTCTTTTTTTCTTTATTTCACTGTCAATTCAACTGACCCTCAGATAAAAAAAGAATACTAAGCCAAATGATTTATTTGCACATCACTCAGCCTGTCCAAGCACTTATTGAACAGAATGAATTCAGCAATGAAACAGTAATCTATTATTTATATTGAACTTCAATTCTCTTTTCTTTTATATGGCTGCAGGTTTTTCGTGTATACTAAACTACTTACCGCCTTTTTCTGTTGTCTCTCCTTCTGCTTTCTTACTGGCAATGTTGGTTATAGTTCTTCTTCCAGTTCTTTTTCTGTGTCTGCTTCACAACCACCATTGCCATAACCAATTGAGGCTACACGGACTCATGATCGTAGAAGAAAAAGAACTACTACCAATGTTGCACTTTGAATAAAAAGTTGAGATTGTTAGTCACTACTAATTGAATGTCATCTTGTATAACTAATAAGATAAAGATGTACTTGATTACGTAGAATTTCTCTTTTATTCTTTACTCAAGACTCCTTTCATCATGCTAATAAGATACTTGCAAATTGATCTTTTTTTTTTTCTAATCGTATACTTTCTTAGTTATCCCTAACAGTCCCTAGCATAATTAAATAGGTTCTCTAGTCTAGGCAAGACTTTGATGTTTGCATTGACCCTTTTGTTTGTTTGAAATAGTGTCTAGACCTTTTTTTTTATTTATTTTTTGGTGCAAACTGACTTGGTTTCTTGCTCGTCTGTTGTCTCACTTTGTCTGACTTTGTCTCTATATGGTCACTGAGTTTTGATGTTGCCCACTACTTTCATGTCCACTTGGTGATTCTCTTTTTTTGTTTACTACTATAGCTTGTTAACCTTTCTCTCGTATTCAAGGTAAGGCTTGATATCTTATTTAATTCATATCCTCATATACATTTGTGTAGGTTTATTTTAAAGAAAGGAATCTCTTCTAGTACGTACAGCTGACTCTATGGGTAGCAACTCTTGGTGGATAACTGGATGATATGGTTTTATGAGTGCTATCTGGTATTTTTTTGGTAAGAAATGTTGTTGATCTTGATGTCCTTTCTCTAACAATATATGCAAGTGTGTTGTAGGTATTCAAGTGTGTGGTTTATTGGTATGAGAGGTAATGCTTAGATGAATTATGTGCGAGTAACTCATATTAGTCCGTGGGTATGCTTGTGCTTCTGCTCTTATTTAATGCTCTGGTCTTCAAGGTTGAGTTGCTGGTATGCATTGAATATATTCTTTTTCTGTTGCTCTCTTTTGTGGTCGCCTCTCAATGATGTTTCTAGCGATGGATATAATAGTGTATGATTGGATCCATGTAACCAATCATGAAAGTGTATAGAACATATTATGTAGATGATGTGTATATATATGTAACAAAAGAGACGTTTATATGATTCAATAATATATAATAATGCTATCAATAATGTCCAATAAGAAGTATAAAAGAATACAATTTAAACTTTTACGGAATTGGTCTTTACTGCCAAGATTGGCAGTTTTTATCGAAGTTGCGTGTATAGGAACGATCTATTGCTCTAGTCTTTGAATTGGTCGTTTTGCTTCCTTTTACTGCCAAGATTTTTGCCGATGTGAACACAGTACAGGCAATTGCGCTTTTCTTCTGTCGGTGGAGAAAATCTTCCATCTCTGAGCACATAATTCTTCCATCGCTTACGCTAGTGATAACTCTACAAAAAATATAGTTAGAGCAATGGAAAAACTCGTACACCTTAGGCCTTCGTGATCAGTGCAATAGACTTACAAAAAAAAGCATTTTCAAAATTAATAAAAATATTAACAGTTATGCCGAAATTACAAATATGCCATTTGTGTACTCAAAAAAATATTTTCTGAAAAACAATAAAAAAAAACATTATTTTAAATTAAAATCATTAAAATAAATCAAAAATATTTTTTACAATGACAAAAAAAGTAGAAAATTTTAGTTTTTCTGCTTAAAATTAATAAAAAAAAAGCTTGTTTTTCAATTTTTCTGTTTTAAAATAAAAAACAAATCTACCAGGCAGTAATCCCTTCTTTAAACTAAGACAGTAAGATCATCATCCGGTAGACTCGTTTATTAATTTAAAACAAAAAAAAATAAAAAACAAGCTTTTTTTTATTAATTTAAAACGGAAAATTAAATGTTTTCTTCTTTTTGTATTTTCTGTCATTACAAAAATTACTTTTGTTTAATTTTAAAGCAGTGATTTTATTTTTTTCTAAAGAATATTTTTTTGGGTACACAGATGGCATACCTGCCATGTCGGCATAAATTTTAGCATTTTATAATTTTTTTTGGAATCCTCTACACCCATCGAAGACGTCTGATGTTTACGAATTTTAGAATTTTTTTTTTGCAAATTTATGCGATCTCTTCTCACTCAGTATGCTGAGCATAGTCCCATACTAGGCGATATATGAGACTCTGCTAAATGTGTTATCGTCGTACCTAAGAAAGACACCACTGAGTATGTTCTCTCTGTTACATTTACTCCACTGCAAGGTATCTTTTTTCAGCTCTGAATTTCTTTCAAAATCAAAAACACCTCTAGCTTTAAAGGCTTGGTGCAAGTAGGTTCTCGCGAAGTCCGCTCAACTATGACCATGCTATTCTCTAGCAGTATCAACAGCACTTACTTCTCTAGCTTCCTAGAACCAATTTCAAGCGAGTCCGTTCAATTTTCTAGCGGTCTCATTTTGCTACACGGTGCCTTTGGAGTTGATTTGGATTATAAAAAAAAAGCACTTGTAAAAAATGACCAAAATCTCCCAAAACCAAAGGAAAATCATCAAGTTAACAGATCTTTAAGCTTTTTTTGACGCTGAAGGAAGAAAAGCCAAATCTGTTGATAATCTTAAATACTCAAAATGTGCGCAAGAAGCTACAGTTTCTGACAATGTGTTTACTTGCTAACTGTACTATAAAAATAGCAAGACACGAACAAAAAACCTCGCAACCGTTCTTTCTCACATTGGTGCAATATCTCACCAGCAATAATGTTATTTTATTTAAATCAATAGGTTCAGAAAGCAAATATCAGCATCTTTTGATATTGTATCAAAGTCAAATCAATGCGTCTTTATACAGCTCCCAGCAGAAGATGTGGCGGGAGAAGAATTGAAATCGTATTACGCTTTCAATAGCCGCCTATGTTCATTTGCTCCACATTTGCATCATAAAGTGCCTATATTTCTATCCTTCTATTTCTTGGTACTCTAGATAAAATATAATGCACTATGAATATTTATGGCCAACACACTTTATATGACATCTAGAGTAAAAATGTTCAAATCAGGGCTGTATAGGTTTTCTGTTACACAAGTCTCAGTGCGACCTTATATCTGAACAGTGCTAAACATACACAGCTACTCCGTTGAAAGATATTATTATTCCATGTCCATAGATTAAACAGAATAAAAACACAAGCCTTTTGATCATTACGGAACTCACCTTGATCAGATCGTGGAAAAAAGACAAGGGTAGTGTTTTCTCCAGGATGTTAAATTCGGAATTGAGTGGCTTAGCCAATCAATATTAAAATGATTGCATTGAAAGGTGTACAGACAAGTAACTTTTCCATTACCTTGCAAATTAACTGATAGCAAAAAAGCTTAAAACATATTCAAACTAACGTATTGGACATTGAAATTGCGAATGTGTAGATGGAATCGATGAAAAAAATATTTGGAAGTTGAAATGATGGATGATAAATCTATCAAAATAAAAGTCTGACGGATTGTATCAAAGAATACTCTTTGCTTTGATCATATGCTCGGTAGAAATATTAAATGCTTTTTTTTTAGAGAATACTCTTTTTCATTTCATATACATAAGCACAAATATTCCTCAAGATCATACGATTTTTTTTGACAAAACCTTCTACCTCAATAGAATATTGAAAAGCCCATATTTTATACCAAGACTCATTCTTTTATGTATAGATGAAATAAATCCCTGATATTAGATTACTCGTAGCAAGTCATACTTGATGATGAATTAGCCAAAAAGAAAAGAAAAGAAAAGAAAAGAAAAGAAAAGAAAAAAAAAAAAAAAAAAAAAAAAAACAGCAGAAAACTGTTATTTTCTTGCTAATGTAAGTTAGTGTAAATGAGTGAGTTAAATTTGAGTATTATTACAGGATTAACACGCTCAAGAGACTATTGTTATTGTCCCAGGTATAAAAGCTCTTGATCGAAAATCCAAGAGAGTCCTATACAGGATTTGAACTGGTCTGAGCACTGTTACATTTGGGACCACAAATCAGCTTAATTACATAGTCAATTTCTTCTATTGACGCGATGAAGTCCCACAGCTCTCTATCTGATTGATTGACTTACTTTATACGCTTCGCTATCTTTCTTTAGTGATTTCTTGATTTTGACAACGTGTAGCAATATAAAAAAAGAAGAAATACCCTTCCTCCTCAGTCAATATTATTGCTTCCAGAATCTCACAAGATTCTACTTACAGATGATTGGACAGGAATAGTTAAAAATAGCAAATCAATATCAGGGACCCAACATCGTTTAAGGAGTAATTTGTTGTTTGAAGTGTATCTAACATAAAGATACCTTTATTCTATTTACAATAAGGGTATATTCTATGGAATTCAGGCAATGTTCTTGCGATAACTTAGAAAACGTTTCAGTTTTGACTTGATAGGCGCCTTTTCTGTACTAATGGAGGAAGGCTTTTTCTTTGTCAAACTAAAATAAGATGGCGTGAAACCAAGTTCTTCAGAAGAAGAGGTTGACGGAGAAAGTATTTCTGTAAAAGACAGATACAGAGATTCAGTTGGGGAGTCAGTATGCCAAAGCTCCCAAGGGTAACTTATGTCAATGTGTTCAGTGAAGCGTGATACCATAGCAAAGAAATAATGAAGAAAAGGAAAAAAAGAGCAAAGTTAATTAAGGATATTCTTTCTGCATTTATAGAGACAGACGCACAGATTTTTTTTTCTAATGGCCGATCAGGTATGAGATTAAAGTAGATTTCTTTATTACCATACAAGAAAATAAGTGGATCTCGAGAGGTGCCCCAGAGTATAAAAGATGATACACATACGCAAGTTCCTTTCATTTTAAGAACAATGCAATGTAAATATAGATTGCCATGCTATTTTGACAGTTCCTATATTGTACAGCATATCGTTCAACATGGTCTCGACTTTTTTTTTCTTTGTTACTCCTCCGAAATAATTATTGTTTATATATTAAAATAGGTATATAGATTGAGTTAGCGGTAGAGAAGAAACAGGGTCACATACACAGTCTTGTCCGTCGGCTTGGACCCTGTATGTTTCTGGATCCACAGTAATTTTAGGCATGGCGTCATTCAAGTGCATATCTTTTTTGCTAACAGTACGGCATCCCTTGACAGGTTCTATTCTTTTACGAAGCTTGTATTTATCAATGATACCTTGATCTACAGATAATCGGGATACAAAAATCATGCATGAAGTAGATAAACTTGAAGGATTAGCACCGTACATAGGTCTGGATATAGTTGGTTCTGTTGTTGGAATGGAACCATTTGCATCACCTATATAGACTTAATCAAGCTTATCTGGGTACACATAGCTGACTTTCTTACCCATTTGTCCCCATACAATCACACCAGCCTTGAGAATAAGTTCAGGTTTAGAGCCAAAATATTCTGGCTTGAAACAGACTAGATCAGCCACTTTACCCACTTCAATAGAACCCACAAGGTGTCCAATACCATGAGATAAAGCACTAGTATATAACATGAGTAATTTTTTTTCTTTAATAGGCGCTTACACATTGATGGTATATTTAGCAATATAGCGCCGAATTCTATAATTATCGCCTTCTGAATCTATATCTTCTGGCAGTTTACCACGTTGCTGCTTCATTTTACTGGCCGTCTTCCAAGTGCGAAGAACTACTTCACCAATACGGCCCATGGCTTGTGAATCAGAACTAATCATACTGATAGCACCTAAATCATGCAACACGTCCTCTGCAGCAATCGTTTCAGCTCGAATTCTACTTTCTGCAAATGCAACATCTTCTGGGATTGTCTTTGATAAATGATGACATACCATCAACATATCAACATGTTCATCCAATGTGTTGGCTGTGAATGGTCTTGTTGGGTTTGTGGATGAGGGAAGGACATTGGGCTCGCCACATACAGTAATAACTACAGACCTATTTAATCATTCTCTTCTTCTCCATTTATTTGACTTACTATCTGGAGCATGTCCACCACCAGCACCTTCACTATGATATGTGTGAATAGTGCGTCCTTTAAATGATGAAATGGTCGATTCAACAAAACCAGCTTCATTTAATGTGTCTGTATGGATGGTGGCCTTCACAAAATTAGACTAAGACGAACATATAATCTACCTTACCTGCACATCCAAATCATCACAAACTTCAAGGCAAGCATTAATGGCAGCAGGTGTAGTGCCCCAATCCTCATGCAGCTTGAGACCAATACAACCCGCTCGGATATGCTCCACTAGTTCTTCCTTATTGGAACAATTACCTTTACCAGTAAATCCGAAATTCAAAGGAATATCATCTGTTGCCTTCATCATCATTTCAATATGATGAGAACCAGGAGTACAAGTGGTTGCATTCGTACCTGTATTAGGACCAGTACCACCACCAATTAAGGTTGTAATACCACTTGCAAGAGCCTAAAGTATAAATAGTAAATATTTCCATCTATCGAACATAATGACTGACTTACTTCGTAACATAATTGAGGGCAAATAAAATGAACATGAGAATCAATCGCACCAGCGGTAAATATCTTGCCTTCGCCTGCCAAGGCTTCCGTACCACACCCAACAACCATACCAGGAGTCACGCCATCCATCACATCTGGATTGCCTGCTTTACCGATACCAACAATGATACCATGCTTGATACCGATATCTGCCTTGTAAATACCAGTATAATCAATAATCAATGCGTTGGTAATCACAAGATCAAGAACTTCATGGTCTAGTTTGCCCGTGGCTTGTCCCATGCCTTCTCGCAACACTTTACCGCCGCCAAATTTACATTCATCACCATAAATTGTATAATCTTTTTCGACACGAGCCCATAATTCTGTGTCGCCTAAACGAATTAAATCACCTGTGGTGGGACCAAAATGATCAGCATAGTATTCGCGATCAAGGAAATTAGAGCTGGGAGCTGGTAATAAGGGTGCATTCGCATCATTTTTGAATCCTTTGATCGTAAGTGTGTTGATAATCTCTGGCAAACGAATCAAATCCAATGGTCCAGTAGCTAATCCATTTCCACCTGTAATGACTTTATGACCACCAATCTCAACCAGTGTGACTGTCTTGAAATCACCTGGTTCAAAACGAACTGCAGAGCCAGCAGGAATATCGAGTCGCATACCATAAGCAAGGGCACGATTAAAATGAAGCGCTGCATTGGACTCAATAAAGTGAAAATGGGACCCTACCTATACATGACTCAAGTCAGTTATTTTCATTTTTGGGGTTGTTGTCCAACTTGCCTGAATAGGACGATCACCATAATTTGTTACCGACAAGGATAGTCTTTTTCTCCCGGCGTTCAGTTCGATTTTCCCTGGTTTCACAACAATCGCGCCTGGTGCATCTGTCTTTTTTACATCTTTTACTAATGGAAATTTGTCTTGATCAGGAATAGGAAAGAAAGTGCCATACAATGCTATTTCTAAATCACCATTGTCTGTGCAGATAGGATCATGGACTGTGACAAGATAAGTACCGTCTGGAAATGTGCCTTCAATCTGTACTTCATGCAATGTTTGAAAAACATCAGGTAAAACATGTCGTCGACCCAACATTTGCTTGCCAATATCCATTAACTGAGCTACAGAATAGCAACCATCTCTCATGAGCTCAAGTAATTGTGAAGCAATTAAAGCTGTTGCCTCAGTCTTGTTTAACTTAACACCACGAGCCAATCTTTTTTGAGCAAGAAAGCCAACTGAGAAAAGAATGATTAGCTGTTTTCATATACATCAACTACCTTGGTGTAGTAAAAGTTTATCTAATTCTCTTGGAACTAAGCGCATAGATGAAGAGAAAAGTGATAGAAAGGAAAAAGGGGTGATTGAAAAAAAAAAGAGATTTGTATCATCTGTTTATGTACGACCGGAACAATAAAGATAAGCAGAGTGATAACCTTTTTATGTAACACTTTGACATTTGTCAAAGCAAAGTCACGTGCCTCTATTCTATCTATCAAAAAACGGGTCTTATCTATTCTCACCATTGTGGTACACTTTTTTTTTTTTTTTTTTTTTTTTTTTTTTTTTTTTGCTAAAAGCGTCGCACTCTTGAAGTATACATGCTATGAACAACCACTACTGTCATATGAAAGGTCAGCAAAGAAGTTATTTTTATTTTTTTTAATGTTGTGAATAATGATACACTTTAAAAACATAAAACTGGTTTCTTTAGAGACATACGCCATTTTTATCATTTCGACAAAAAGCGAGCCATTGCTGAATATGCTTCAAGGCTAAAAATGACTGTGGGAAATCAAATACTTGAAAATCATGTACCATATCCTATTGAAATATGATTATTGTCTTTTTGTAAAGCATAAAAATACCTCATATTCTTCATGTCGAAAAACAGTCGAGTGTTGTTGTTGTTGCAAACGTTTGGTAAAGACTCTTATTTCATCTCTCATTGTCTCACATTCACCAGACTGTATTAAAATAGGAGGAAGGTTCTCGAAATGATTTGAAAATAATGGAGAGGCATATGTATGAGAACTTAATTGTTTATAATTATCTAGTCCTAGATAGAGACAGGCCGGATTCACGATTGAATTTTTGTCAGGACGAGGAGGTAAAAAATCCACAAGAAAGGATTCTGACCAACTAGGATGTTGATATGTAAGATCAATCCAGGGCTATAGAGATAGTTACAAAAAAAAAGTTATCTTTCGTGTCACTTACAGATAAAAGAACGGAAGCTTCTGGAAGCGGATATTGGTGATCACGAAGATACATTAAGAGAGACATGGCTAGACCACCACCAGCAGAATCACCTATAATAGTAATATGCTGGGGCTTAATCTTATAATACTCAATAAGGTGAAAATAGGATTGAACTGCATCAAAAAGAGCCCTGGATATCTAGTTTCAGGTGCCAGTCGATAGCTGACAGCTGTTTGTTTGTATGCATGTTAACCCATTGGAAATTGTTGTCGTGTTACGCTTACCAAAAACAGCTCTAGCTGTATAGCTAGATAATCTTTCAGAGAGTCTAATAAAACTAAACCAATCCTTGAGACAATAGCCACCACCATGAAAGAACAGGATCACTTTTTCTTCTTCACTCTCGGGCGGTAAAATCCATTCAGCTTTTATGTATTCAGCATCTTGATTCTTTAATACGCCTTTTAATGAAGCATGTGTTGGTTCAAATGTGGCTGCAATAAATGTGTTTGTGTCATACAATACAAAATAGGGTAATCTGAGCATTCTTCTCCAGAAATCAAGACTGACTGATACCATTATTGACCGCATAGCATGTAATATGGCTATTGTGATTGTGGTCATGATATTCCAAGAAGGTCTCTTGGGCTGAATAAGGTGTTTATAGAGATCCTGAAAAAAGAACAATATACTTGAAGGAAAATGAAACAGGATCTGGTATAGGTCTTGCAGAAGTGTTGATATATCTGGCGTATTGCATGTTTCCTTAAGATGGAATTCTTGGGACTGGACACAGCATCCCTCAATTTTGCATTCTTTTCCCATCAACATGGATTTAAAAAAAAGAACCAATCTTAATATAAAACAGGATTATAAATTAAAATCAGTTTCCGAACAGTTTCCGAATATGCTGCTTGACTTGTAATGGTTGTCATATCATGCAAAATGATTAGGATAAAACGGCTTATAGCGGAAATGCGTCGGTGTAAGCCATGGTCAATGCAAAAAAGAAAGTTACCCGTGAATAGTTTGAGGAGTAACAAATTATGTTTGTGGCACTTAAAGGAGACAGGAGCACTATAATTAGTTATTTGGCACATTGAGTTGTCCAAACAAAAAAGTGTGAAATAAATGCAAAACCATAAAGATTTCTTTAAGGAGAATAGATTAAGTAAAATAAGAAATAAATTATACTTGTTTACAAAAGGTTTTATTCACTAAAGAATTTTCTAGTAAAAAAAAAAAGGATCTACACTCTAAAAGCAAAATCCATATTATGGGATTCCCTTCTTTTAACTGTGTTACTTGATTTTTGTAGTTCCCCTTCACTTCCCCTTTTTCAATAATAATAAATTTCTGTGACATGGCTCATTCTAAAAGAGAGAGAGAGAGAGAGAAAAGGTTTTCTATATCGTGGTACTTTTTTGTCACAAAGCTAATTTCGAAAGCAATGATTGGTAAGTATACTTGGATTGTGATTAAATTAAGGAGGAGGAGGGGGGGAAGGGGAGATGCGGAGAGAAAGAGTGAGTGAAATAACAAGAGAGAAAAGAGAGAGAAGGGAACAGTCTGGTTAATAAAGAAAATACCTAAAATGGCGTTCTAGAGCAAGATTCCAAAACATATACACAGACATTCGTCAAATAAAAAAGTAAATTAAATGTTAGATCTAACCTAATTTTTCTCTATTGTTGTTTTTTATATACAGTATATAATTTATTGATTTCCTCTCTTTTCTTTTTCTTTCTCTTAGTTTCCTGAGCATGAATTATACAGTGTATACTTGTTTTTTTTTTCGAAATAATAAGACATAGCATAAAATTGTATTATTTATTGATTCCATGATGAGTCCCTTTTCGCTTATCCCCTTTTCGTCTTTTAAGGAATAAAAACAAAGGGAGCTTTATTTATAGGTAAACAAGGAGCCTTTTTATTTTGTGTGCGTACATAACAGACACGTCCAAAACCTTAGCCTTTAATAGTAATTTTATTTCTCTATCATAATTCTGACATTACATAAAAATAATTACTCCTTTTTTTTAACTCACATACTCTTTAAACTGTTTCAATACGCAAAAAGCAATGCGGCAATTTGAAAAATAAATAAATAAATAAATAACAAAAAGTAATTAGCATCTTTTTCTATAAAAAACATAAAAAAGAGAGAACAGTAAAGATATACTTCAAAAAAGAATAAACAATCTTGAGCGTGTAACAAGTACAAATATGAACAAGTGCACAGAGAAAGTTGATACAAAGCATATTTTATTAGTACAACACAAAAATGCTATGACTTATATAAATAACACAAGACTTTATGGATACATCCTTTTCTTAATGGAAAACAAGGCTTGTTCTTATTAGTTAATCTAGACTTGGTTTTCTCTCTCTATCTCTATCTTTCTCTCTTTCTTTCTCGTACCATCTTTATTCATTCTTTATTATTGCTATCAGTCAAGCAGACATATCTTTGCTTCTATTTTTTTAATATATGTCATCTATTCAATCTTTTCACAACAACTCAACCAGTCCAACCATTGAAGCTGACGAAACTCAATCCTCATCTTCTTCTTCATTATCTTTTGAGAATAATAACGAAAGGTAAATAGAAGAAAACCGGTTTTGCATGGTATTACCAACCCGTACTAAACCTATTATAGTGTTTCTTGCTATAGTCAGTTTTACTCGCTTTCACATCCACCACAAGAAGATCTATCATTTAATCATTTTATGATGGAAGACAATATGAAATCATCACACCATCAAGCCTCGAATGATTTGACATATCAACCGTCTGATTGGTCAATCAGTCATAAATCATCGTCTTCTACTACTGCCCAACTTGGTATGCATCGAGATGATGTCTACCCCACACTCCCACCACCAGCTTACTGGAATGAACCCATGCACCCCTATTCTGATTTACCCCAAATCAAACAAATTCATCATGCTTCAGAAGGCATGTACCATCTCAACTGGTTCCATCCAATGACAGCACCCAATCAAATCCCCGCCATGCAACCTATGGGTACTGTCAAAATGGAAGATGATAGCAACAAATTATCGTGTGATACTGTGATGCGCAAGAAACACACTCCTCAATTCCTTCCTTCTTCCTCTTCTCATACTATGCCCATACTACCTCCACAACCACCTATGCATTTCTATCGACCCACACATTCGTTCGTTATGAAAAGAGAAGACAGGTTCCATCCTCGTTACAAAAGTGCTCATGCCCGACTTCCTCCTTATTCGGAACAACCCAAGGAGGTGTACCAACATTTTTTATCTCCACCTTTGTTGTCAAATCAACCATCGTTGGATCAAGGAGACTTGGTTTTAGAGGAAGAACTGGATTCTAAAAAAGTTGATTTTGACCCAGAGAAAAAAGACAATCCAACGTAAGCTAAAATGTCAACAACTGTCATTTCCTCCTATTTTTTTTTAAGAAAATTAACTTGCATATCTATGTAGATCATTTCAATTTGATATTGTTCTTCATGGTAAGCATATCCTGTACCGACTCTATACTTACTCTTTCCATAGCTCCTACAGCCATTATAAAGAAACATGATGAACAGACAGTGACTTACCTTAACCGAGGTCAAGCTTATCTTATTGATCTCGCTGCCAAATCTACTGCTAGTTCTGGTACATTAACAAGCACAATATCGATTGCATTCCATGAATCAAGCCATCGTCAAATTGCCGAAAATTACTGGAAGTATTGGATCAGTCAACAAGAGAATCATACTGAAGCAAGAGCCATTGACCTTGATGACAATCAAACGACAGGTGTCTACAATGTTCGCCTGGTTTCATTTGATCGCATTGCGTTTGATTGGTATGCTCGGTTTGGTGCCAAGGTCTATGTTCGTTTCAATTGTCTCTCCACTGATTTTTCTCGTATCAAGGGCGTCAAGGGCATTCCTATGCGTGCTGTAGTTGAAACAGTGGCTCCTCGTATGACTTTGCCTCCTGATTCACTTGACTATAAAGGCGTATTTGAGAAATCAGCACCTACAGAAGAAAGTTATGAATACAAGGAAAGATGTTACTGCAAAATCAAATTGTTTCGAGACAAAGTAAGCATTGCCGACAAAAATCAAGTGTGACTAAGCATTCTGTTTAGGGAGCTGAAAGAAAAAACAAAGATGACAAGAAACAAATGGCAAAGCAAATGGAAAAGATTGTTGGTAAGACTCAATAGTAACATAAATCGTATTCATAACATTTGATAGCTTCTACCAATGGAAACCCTGAACAACATCCTTTGTGGTCTATTGTCAGTCAATCACATCAGCCCACAAGCTGTTTCGATCAAGTACCTACATCACCTGATATCACGCTTGATGATTTGGACAATTTAAGCGAAATTCTTGTTTCTGCAGATAAAATGGTTCCTCCTTTATTGAATCCTACAACACAAACTGTCTCTACGAAAAGGAAGCGTTCTTCTTCTGAACAAGAAGGTAGACATGTCAAGCACAAACCACTTTTGAGTAACACCAAACCACCTTTTGTACTCAGCTTCTATGTTTGGTCTCGTCATTTCCAAGGAACTCCTAAAGAGGTCTTTTTGGAATCCTTTACAGCACAAGACCTTAAAATTAAACTTGCCAATGTCCTGTTTATCCATCCAAATCGTATTTCTGAAATCTTGTGGCGAAAAAAACGACCTACACAAGATACAAGTGAAGTTCTTGTTCTTGTTGAAGACACTTTTGTTTCTGAACATATCTTGGATGGAGAAATGATGACTGTGGATTGGGAAATGAAGACAGATGGAAATCTTCGCCTTGTGCTTGAATTTTAAATGTATACCTTTCTATATGAATTAACCTCTTTTTTTTTATTATAATTATACACCGCACAACAACATGCTTTATGAAATTTTCCTGTTTCTATATTATATGACTCTTCTTCAACATACTCGTATTGTTCTTTATATCCTATTTTATTTCACAATGTACAAAAAATACTTTCTTTTTTTTTCTTCTTTTCTTTTTTTTTTCTTTTTTTTTTTTTGCTTACAATGGCAATAAATGACATCCTAAAGTACCCCTTCCTCCCCATCCAGATTGAGGTGTCACAGACAATTGAACTGTCTGTCCTTCTCTCAGAACAGTGACTGATAATGTTTGATTTTCACTAGCACTAATCAAACCATTCAATGCCTGAAGTTGCTGATGGTTTGTGGTATCAATGTGACCAAACTTGATAATTTGATCATTTCTGCGTAATCCAGCCTGATAAGCAGGTGAATCAGGAGCCACAGCATTCACCACGGCGAATGCAACAGGTACTTCTGCAATGACTACAGTGGTTGTGGGTGCTGCTAATGTCTCTGTTGTTCTTGGTTCTGGTTTTTTTGCTTTATGGATATCGTGCAGGACAGACTCGATATCCGCCATAAGGGATCGATGATCATTTCGAAGACGGTGGATCCTGTTACGACTGGTACGTATGGAATGCACATCAATTTCTGAGCGAGGAAAACCTGCACTGTCAACCAAAGGTTCTTCCATACCGATGCCTGCTGAGATCAACACATCTTCTAGTTCTCGCAGTTCTTCTTCAATCTTGTCTTTACGCGTCATGAGTTGTTTGGCTTGATCCATAAGTTCATCAAGCGTAGGGTCTAATAAGGGTGTTTGTGGGTTATTGATTGCAGGTGGCATGAGTCCCATCGTATTTGCATAAATTAAAAGAAAAGAAAAGAAAAGAAATGACGTATTGGCGTACATTTATAGTAAGCACTCAATCACGTGATAGTATGTAGGCATAAATCCTGTTTTTTTTTTCTTTTTCTCTTCCAAGCTTGTTTTTATCATCTTGTAGTCATAAGCAACAGCCAAAAACGTCATAAACTATAGGCTGGTTATAGTTTTTGTTTGCTTGATTGAACAGGAGTATTATTATTATTATTATTATTCTGCATCCGTTGAAAGTTCTTTCTCTCGAAAAAAAAAAGACTGCTTTTGACGGAAAAAGGCAAAAATAAAAACGACACCAACCAACGCATGTCAATCCTTTTTTTTAAGCTTTTTTTTTTTCTTGTATTATGCTTTCAATTCAAGATCCGACTGAGCCTTTGCCTGGTCTCGATTACTTTGAAGCACGGGAACAAGAAGTTCAGGCACACGTAGGCTCTGTCTATTATGAAGGACTGGCTGAACCTATTCTTCTTTCTCAAGATCTTAGTGGAGGCTGTGGTGGCAAGATTTGGGAATCAGCCAATGTGATGATTGAATATCTGATCTGGAAAAACCAACACATGGAAGGAAAACTTTTTCAAGATCAAACATTAGTTGAGATTGGTGCAGGTACTGGTCTTGTTGGATTGGCAGTGGCCAAGGTCTGTCCTCAACTTCGACATTTAGTTATAACCGATCAAATGTAAGTCAAACTATAAGAGGACCGCTTATACTCATCCTCTCCTCATTAGTCCCATGATGCAACTGATGCAAGAAAACATTAATATTAATCAACAAGCTCATCTTGTATCTGGCGAGATCTTGAATTGGGGTGAATCTATTCCTCAAGACTCCCGTTTACTGCATGCGGATGTGATTTTGGTGTCTGACTGTATTTATCTTGAAGTGACATTTATACCCTTATTTGAAACCCTTTTAGCACTGACAACCAAGCCAGACACCATTATTTACTTGGCTTACCGTAAAAGACGCAAGGCGGATAAACGATTCTTTCAGATGGCTAAAAAGAAGTTTGTATTTACCCAAGTACAAGACCACCCTAAACAAGCATTTTATCTAAAACAAAGCCTTTATCTTTTTATTGTGAGACGAAAATAAAATTCATGGCATTGGTTGTGTTGACCTAAATCAGAAAAGATTCAATAAGGGACTGTCGACTGTTACCTATGTTTCTTTACTTACTTGAGTACATTATCAAATAATCGTTTAATGTCGGGTGAGCGATGCATGGATTCCTTGATAAAGGCATGTTCTGTAAACAAAGGCTCTTTGATCAACTGAATAAATGTTGTCAGTAAACCCCATGGATGAGGTCTATTCACAATCAAGCGTTCCAGCAAGACACGGGTGATCAATTCCTTGACGATGTCTGACTGTGTAGAAAACAAGTGCATCAATGCCATACTAAAGAAATACGTATGGCTGTTTGGATAGCGTAAATGGTCCACAATGGCATTCAACACTGTATATTTGTCTTTGCTGTCTGTCAATTGACTCAAGAGATACTTGTAGATCTGCACAGCAGGGTTTTCAGAGAGAGAGCGTGTGATGTCTAATTTGGCTTGTGTGCCCACATAGAACACGAATTGTTGTGTATAGACTGGGTCAAGTGTACCTTGGTGAGTCAAATGCTGTAAGATGGATGATCCCATCAGCTGTGTAGTTGAACCAGACAGATAGTCGTCTAAACAATCTAAATTGAAGTCAAATGTGTTGATTGAATAATAACTGGCATCCGTATACAGTTCAGGGGGTGATGAATGTGTAGCCATATAGCCCAAAGGTGTAGTAAATGGGTTAGGCAAGATCATTGTACGAGGAAAAGAACTGAGCATGAGGTTTCGTAACTGGATACAGTCTACAGGCAAGAGCTGAATCAACCCATGGTAGTGTTGGCAGAGGAATTCAGGATAATCATGCAACATCACCACAAGAAACCGCAGTGTTCCTTGATAAAATGATTTTTCAGATTGACTTAGGCGTCTTGATTGACGCTGTTGAACCAGTTGACTTAGGAAACTAAGGTGAGCAGACATGAGTTTAAAGCAAATGGTGTGTCCTGTTTGTTGAGGGCCTTCTTCAGAAGATAACAAAAGAGGTAAAAACAAGCGATGTGAAAAGAGTTGTAGCCAAGAGAAAGCAAAACCAGGAAATTGAAGTGGTTCAAGTGTATAGAGTGTATCACTATATAAAGAGTAAGTGTATGCTATATAATACTATTGTCATACCTATAGACAATGACTAGACTTGCATTGACATCTCTGTCTTTACTGGTTGTATGATTTAATTCAACAAAGAGAGAACAAAGTAGTTTTAAAAAGGGTTTTTGATTGAACTGTACATGTTGATATTCATAATGATGTGCTAATACCAACACAACCACAGAAAAGACCTGTGATATCATCTTGAGTTTAGCGCTGTAGCCTTCTTGAGCTTGAACCATAAGTCCAATCAATTTTGAGTAAGCATCCATGGATTGAGAACGAGCAGGTCGATATAGTTCAACACAGGCTTCTGTACACAATCTAAAGAAAAAGCATTGTTTGTCTGTATCATAAGTAATTGTCTTGAGTATCTAATGTGTTTTGTGAGCTAAACAGAAACTGACTCTATAGGCTTACTCTCTCTGAAAATTGTCGATAAAAGGCAGGATTTGCAGGATGTAGTCGACAGACACGAGTCCATTCTGCAAATAAAAATCGAAACAGAAATGCATTAGTTTGGTCCAAATGTCGATGTGCTTCATTTGACTTTTTTTCCAAGTCTTGTATCAGTTCTTTTGCCCTAAAAATAGTCAGGCAAAAACCAACTCACTCCTCTCAACTTACTTGGGCGAGTCTAGTTTCTGTAATGCGTGAATCACCAAAACATGCTCTTCTATAGAAGTAATGGGCTGCATGGTCAATAGACAGTTTTGAAGTAATTCAGTAATGAATTCAATTAGTCCATTGTCTGTAGGTTGTTGATTTAACTGATGTGATAGTTTGATATCGTATTCTTCTAATGGAATCAGCCCATATTTTATCAGTGAAGTCATGATCCACACATCATTCTTTCTCTAAACAACAGTCAACATGGCTATAAAATGACCAAGGCATTTACCTCATCCTCAGAATACAGAAACCAGCTCAATGTTTCTTTGGAAATACTAGGCGAAAGTTCCAATAGACTCTGTAAGAATCGACAATACACTTCCACAGATAAACTTGTCTTTGAGAGATACAATTGATGCACTATTTTCTCAACAATTGATTTTAAAAGAGTAGGTTGTGCACTTTGGTTGATCAGTAAAGGTATTTGTCGCATAACCAGTATAATATCATGGTGAGGAGGAAGTAGAGTGAAAGGCAAATTACCCGATTGTCGTAACAGACGATCGAGTTCAATCAGCATTTGCTAACAAGTATGATTAACACACACGCACACACATGTATTTATATTTCCTACCTCTACTTTGCTGGTAAACAAGTCGGGAGACTGGAAGCTAGGATAACTAAACAAGTCTATTCACTCTCTTGTTTATTATTGTTGGATAGAAAAAGTGTTACATACTTGAATTGTTATGATTTCCTAATAAAGCACTTGTTGAAGCAGCAGGATGAGTCAAATTAGGTGGAGGAGTCACTTGTTTTTGAGCAAACATCTCATACAACTTCATTTTGGACTCATTGATATGGGGTATGGCTGGTGAAGGTGACATGAAAAAAAAGAAAGAGAGAGAGAGAAATAAAAAAAAATTTTTCTTTATTCAGGTACAAAAAAAGAAAAAACTTAAAGTCCAACTCTAAACAAGACTTTGTTTTTACGTCCTTTCTTCTTTTTATCCAAAGTAGGTTCTTCTATCGCAGAGGAAGAAGAGGATTCTGCTGTATCACTGTTATTGTCCCATGCATTGGTTGTTTGTGATTTATTTCGCATCTTGAGGACCATTTGATGTTTAGGCACAGCAGTAGGTAAAGAAGGAAATGCATTGGATTTCAAGTGAGGAAAATCATTGTTTGGCTGCAAAGATAGAGTAGTGGCTCGAGGTGCAGCTTTGGGTGAACTAGGACGAGAGGGTTGGGGTGATACAGTAGGACTTGTACTGGTAGCAACAGAGGCTGCTGTAGCCACTTTATCCCATACATTCTTTTTTGATTTACCACCTACCACTGTGTTCTTGGTCTGTTTGGGTTTGATGACCAACACACGAGAACTAGGAGGTTTTTTAATCTCTTTTGTTTCGAGTGCAGGGAAATTAGATAACTAGACAAGATCAGCTTAAGATGTATGTTCAATAGTCAACTTACCGCAGTTTGTTTATTACGCCACACACGCACTAGTTCCCATTTCTTTTCTTCAATGTCCATCAAATGCTCGACAGATTTCAAGATCTTGCTTGTGTTTTCTGTATGGCTGTTGGTCAACAAAAAGACTTGGTTGACATAGTCTTGTGCACTTAGTTTGTCTTTGCGATAATCACCCGTTAATACTCTAAATTCTTGTACTTTGGCTTTGCTTTGTAATAGATTAGCTATCTTGGACAGAACAGCAGCATGAGAAGAGGCTGTGTCTGGGCCGACGGGTTCTTGTGGGCGGGTAGTAGTAGGGGTAGTAGCTTCGGTAGGAGTCGATAAGGAGCCAAATCCAGCTGGTTTTTGTAAAGCTTTTCCTTTTCCTTTTTTCTTAGTACTGGCACCAGGCACAGTACGAGCAACAGGAGGGGGCGTTTGACTAGAGGAAGCAACATTCTCTATACGAGGAAATTCTTCCAAATCAGGCACAGGTTCTTCTCTTTTCTTGCTCTTTCTACGTTGATCTTTGAATGATTCGTACTGAAAGTTCACTTCTAATTGTCTTGACTGTGTCTGCAGTGATCGTTGTAACCCATTGATAGATTCACCATGTTCTTCTATTTCATGTGCCTTGAGATCAATAGTAGACTCAAACACGACAAATTTCTTTTCAAGACAAGGAGGATACAGGCATAGATAATGATCTGACTTGAAGTGCTCTTCCAGATTGGCATAATTGGCATAATATTCATGACGCTTGCCTTGTCTTACACAAATAAAGCACTGCTCATGTTGATCACGACAATGAATAAACAGTTCATCCAGACCATAAAAGCGCATGTTACAGAATGAACATTCAGGATGACCTGAGAAACCCGTTTCATCCTCTTTGTTAAATTCTTTATCACCCTCACGATGATGTTGTGTTAATTGAGCTGAAGTATACAAGTATTGCTCGGAAGGAAATACTTTTTTGTGTCGACAGCATAGATCACTATACAAAGGGGAGTTAGATCGATTGTGATGGCCCATGTTTTTTGTACCAAAGGTTTAAATGATGGGCTTTTCTAACATGAGTTTTCAGTTCGGTCCAATCGTTAGCTGTCTCTTTGCATTCTTTATGAGGACAGTTGTATTCCATCATATGGAGAGCTTCGTTGTACATGTCTTGTGTCTCGAATCGAATGTTGAGTTTCTTGGCTGTGAATGGTGTATCATTAGGCACATACTGATTAAAAGGCTTTTGTGCATCACGAGTAAACAACACTACTTTTTGTTCTGCCTAAGACAGAAAAAAATAAATATACTTGTACTTCAGGTTCATGGTTTTACCTTACAATACGCACAGTTGCGTGTTTCATACAATGCTCTTAGTCTTAAAGAACAACGGTGACAAGTACGATGATCACACTGAGCTACAGCATAAGTTGAAACAGGTTCAGTACAGATAAAGCAAAGCCCTCTTCTTCTTCTTCTTCTTCTGCTTTTGGTATATGCTTAGTATGTGCTCGAGTACGATGGTTGCCCTTGACAGCCTTAATTGAGGGGGGATCGGTTGCCATGGTAAGGGTATTCAAGGAAAAAAAAAAAACACTTCAAACTCCGGAGAGAAAAACATTGAGCAACTTTGAACTTGCTAAGATTTTGACAGTCCTTTAGAAATTGTTACAAGATGCATACAAATTCTAATGCTTTTCTTTATTGAAATACTTTATATGAACTCCATCTTTCTTATGTTATATGACGGATAAAGCCATGAAAATATCACATTATGCATTATAACTAGCATACGATTTCAGACAGATAGAACGCAGCATACATTCCTTTTATTCAATTTGATATCGAAATGGAAAAATGCCATATGCAGGCAAAAGAAGTAGATATGAGTGGAGATGCTATTGACGGTATGAATTTCGACGAAAATCCTGTATTTATATACGGCAAACTAGTATTATTGGTGCAGACGACAGGACTGTACCTCAAGAAACAAAAGATAATGTCCCTGAGCTCCAAAGTGAAGCTAAAGTGAAAAATAAAACCAAGAAAGATTCAATTGTTGTTGAAAACGATGCTAATAATCAGTAGTTAGCTTGCAAAGTATATGGGTCTGAGACTATCATTAGCTTCTAAAGAAAGAGGGTGGTGCTGTTGCAAATCATGCAAAATTCTGTCTATCCCACGTTATGTTGCTTATGAAATACTCAAACTGTAGAATGAAAGTGATGATGTTCCCATCAATTGCATAGAAAAGCCTTCCAAGATCAATGAAGCTGTAAAAACAGACAACTGTGAGATAACATAGGAACATACTGATTTCCTCGTAGATTTGGTTAAAAAAAAATACATGTGCTCAGTTAACATGGCCAAAGAAGAGCTTTGCAAATTGCTTCAAGACATTGAAATATTTGAAAGTAGACTTTGGAAACATATAAAAGAAAAAGTTAGACTGTTGTTGAAAAGTCTACACACTAACACTACGCAGTTTAGATGCTGTAATAATTATTAAACTTCGGTTCAATCTAACAATTCAATGGAAGTCTAGCGGTATGGATTTTTTAGAGAACCTATGTGTTTATTGGCGAGGCAGGATTCATCTCTCGCCAAGCCAGAAGTAGGGCTATAGTAAAAACTTCAACACAAAGGAGTATTGGTCTCCGTATCACCAGGTGTATTTCTAATTTAAGTGTTTGTGAAAATAAAATTCGGGGACTGTGAAATCTAAATCAACTCTGTGCCAATAATTTCTGAAAAAAGTATATATCAACTGTGTAAACTGTTGTTGTAGGTCAACCTGTCATTAGGCCCGCTATGAGTACACCTATTGAACAGCAAATGTCAACTATGCACATTGATTCCACTATGGTAACTCCATCTCTAGGTCAAAGAGAGAAAGCGTAACTTTTTTTTTTAATCTGAGTAGAAATCCAGAAAAGCAAAAAGAGTGTATGCTCCTTTGCCTGATAATCCACCTGCGAGTGACAATACGATGCAGCCACAACAAGCTTGTCCGCCACGACCAATGCAGCAACCAATGCAGCAACCAATGCAGCAACCAATGCAACAGCCTATGCAACAGCCTATGCAACAGCCTATGCAACAGCCTATGCAACAGCCTATTCAACCAATGCAACCCCATCAGCAATCAATGCAAAAGCAGCCTGCTGTCAATACACCATTAGGATTACCCCCTAGACCTAATACAAAACCTCGCATTGATCCAAATCAAATTCCTTCACCTATTCAAATGCAGCAAAAAGACGAAGCACTTTATGCTGATCCAGACTATTATTATGGTACCTGCAATACAGAACAACCTCTGCCTCTGGCCAGTACACCCTTCCGTGTCCTGGATCAGGGCAATTGTAACCCACGATTCATGCGATCCACACTCCAGACCATCCCTCAAGACCATAACTTGGTTCGTGATACAGGTTTGCCTTTTGGATTAGTCTTGCAACCATTGGCTGCAGACACTGACCCTTTGCCTCTTGTGCCTTTGTCCTCTTTGGTACGATGCACTCGGTGTAAAGGCTACCTCAATCCTTGGTGTCGGTATACAAGTGGAGGTAAAAAGTTTGTATGCAACCTATGTGAATTTGAAAACACAGTCCCTGAGGCCTCTTTCTGTCCCTGTGATATGAATGGTAGACGCATGGATATAGAGCAACATCCTGAACTTATGCTTGGCTCTGTTGAATTTGAAGTGCCTTCTGAATACCATGGTAATGTGCCACCTGTGCCTTTGCATTGGTTATTGGCCATTGATGTATCTCGACATGCAATTCAGTCAGGCATGTTGAAGGCTGTATGTGATACTGTAAAGCATATGCTGGCAACTGGTTCGCCTGCTGGCATGAAGATGGCTATCATGACATTTGATACGTCCCTACATTTCTACCATATGAAGGTAAGTAAGTCATCATAAAGAGTCCATTGGGCTGATAATCTTGTTTAGGCAGGATCAACACAAGCATCCATGATGGTAGTATCTGATATTCAAGATGTATTTGTGCCCATGTCGCAAGGTCTTTTTGTTGATCCTATTGAATTCAAGTAAGTAAAAGGAGGAGGAAGAAGTGATAGGAAGAGGAGGGGAAGGAGAGGGGAAGGAGAGGGACCATAAGCTTATTTGTCTTGTATTGATCTGGTACATAGATCTGTGATTGAAGGACTGTTGGATCAATTGCCTAGTTTACATCAACATGCATTTGTTCCTCATGCTGCTTTTGGTGCGGCTATGGAAGCTGCGCTTGCTGCTATGGTAATTAATGACATCATAGATACAATGACTGATCCATGTGCATAGAAACAAACAGGAGGTAAAGTGTCTGTGATGCAAACATCATTGCCTTCCCTTGGACCTGGTGCCTTAAAGAGCCGTGATGATCCTTCACTCTATGGTACTGAGCGAGAAAAGAGTCTATTTGCTCCTCAAGGTTCATATTATACTCAATTGGCTACCAAGTATGTTCAGGCAGGCATGACAGTGGATGTCTGGTTATTCCCCACAAGTTATGTGGATGTGGCTACCACAGGCCTGATTTCCTCGCTGACAGGTGGTGATACGCATTATTTCCCTCATTTCCATCCTGACAAAGACAGTGTTCGATTGATGCATGATCTCAGTCATTCTGTTCAACGAGTACAAGGCTATCGAGGTGCACTTCGTGTGCGATGTTCAAATGGACTATCTGTCAAAGATCAATACGGTAATTTCTCCATGACAAATGCCACGGATATTGAATTGGCTGGTATTCATGCGGATACGACACTGGGTATTGCCTTGAAACATGATAGTACACTGGCTGAATCCTCGCCTGCTTATTTCCAATGTGCTTTACTCTATACGACAGCAGGAGGACAACGCCGTGTGCGTGTGCATAATTTGAGTGCCAGTATAGGCACCTCTGCTCATCCTCTCTTTAAGCAGGCTGATCTAGACACAGCCATGAACTTGTTAATCAAGCGTACCATGACATGGTCTGCCAAGAAATCCCTGCATGACTTATCGAATGACCTAGATACGTTGTGTGTTAAGATTTTGACAGCCTATCGCAAGTATTGTGCGTCCAATGCATCTCCAGCACAATTGATTTTACCCGAGTCATTTAAAGTATTGCCCTTGTTGTTGTCTTGTTTCAAGAAATCAGTTGTACTAAGAAAAGGTATATATATATATATATATAAATATATAACTATGAAGAATGACTGATTGTATGTAGATGCTTCCATCTCTATTGATACCCGCGTTTACTTTATGCGAAAGATAAAGACACTCTGTATTTCTGGTACCATTCAATGGTTATACCCTCGCTGTATTCGACTGGATACCTATGCATTAGAACGCTTATCTTATGATCGTCTTGATCCTACCTGTATTTACTGGATTCAAAGTCATCATGCTATCTTTATTTGGATTGGTCAACAAGCTTCTTCTGCTTGGATAGCAGATCTGTTTGGTACAACCGATAGACATCAAGTCAAATCAGAGATTCAGCCAATCAATCAACGGTTATGGGATTTATATCAAGCCTCTGTTCGACATGTTGCTTATTTACCTTCTCTTCATGTTATTCGTCATGGTATAGATCTTGAAGTGTCCTTGGCTGAAGTATTATTAGAAGATGAGATCTTTGGTCAAATGAGTTATGTGGATTATTTGTGTATGATTCATAAACAAATTCAACTTGAGGTAAAAAAAAAAAAACAAGTGTGTATATATATATATATATTTACTTTTATTCTTAGTTGGAAAGAGACAAACAAGATACGGCTATTGCTTCTGCTTCTTATTGGGCCCATCGTTATTGAAAAAAAAAAATAAACAATTCTTTACTCTCCAAATAATCTTCTGACACGCTTCAAGACACTGTCCTTTTCAGGATCATAAGGATGATCTTTGGAGGGTATTTCAAGCACAGCAGGAAAAGCTGCATTATGACTGTCTACTAATTCTCGGATATCTTCAGCAACCTACGTATATATATGTCAATAACAACAGTGAATGGATATCAACTTACGTGTTGATTGATAAGAATAATAGCAATATCTTTACGTTTTGTATATTCAATAAAAGCATCTTCAATAGTACCCAAAGGTGTTTCTATACAACCCTGTTATGATACGGGTTTGTTTCAAGAAACAAAACTTACTGGCATCAACCACCAAGAAGTTACGCTTTTGTTGTTGGTTGACATGACCAATGCCTGCTAATAAAAGACCTGTGACAGAATCCTGTTTGTTTCTTTGTTTATTCCATATGGTCTATCTTATTGTTTACTTGCCTCATCACCAATAACAGCAATATAGTTTCTGTCTTTTTGAAGTGCTGCACCTCCAGACATGATAAAATAAAGAATAAAAAAGATATATAAAAAAAGAAGGAGTTGTCTGTTGTGTGTTTCGGACATTGCTACATGCCTACACACACACTTTAACGCGTATAGCTTTCTTTTTTTTTTCTGATTCAGGTACAGTCTGGCTGGTGGATGATAGATACAATTGACCATTGTCAAACCTATAGATCATGAAGGAGAAGAACACAGCCTTCTATCAGTTTTCAAAGTGATAGACAGCTTAACATCATCACACCAAAAAAAGGAAATTGAAACTAATCTATCGCCTTCAATACGCAATGTTGATTTAGATAGTCTTTATAAGAACTTACTATTGAAAGTGGACTAAATTGATAAGGCATTGCTAGCACTCTATGATTATGTCTATGGTAGGCTTCCTTTACTCGAGGCATACGATGAAAAAAAAAAAAAACTTCTATTACTTGAGGCAACTTTCCCCAGTACTCTTTACCTCATATCGATACTAGGTAAAAATGCATCAAAAGCTGATAAACACCTTTTTTTTTTTTTTTTTTTTTTTTTTTGCTTTTCGACAATTTTCAATGACATCTATTAACCACTAGCCGGACTGTACACTTATTTGACATCATGTTCTTGAACTGTATACTCATAGATTGTAATACATTCAGTCATGCTTATCATGAAACCCCGCTTCTTTTTAACTAAGCATTGTTTGTATATGATATAATCGTTCTCCTTTCTATTTTTTTTTTCTCTCCTCATTTTATTCGCCTGGATAATAAAATCGTTTCCCCCTTCTTTTTCTTTGGTTCTATACCCAAACAAGTTTCTATGTCAACACAATCTTCTTTTCAACGAAATTCTGTTCATGAGCGTTTCTCTTCTTTATTGAATCCCGAAGGATATCCATCTTCATCTGGTCCAACATCGTCTACGAGTCTAAACTTGTCTCCTGATATACCACTCGGATATAACACACCTTTTAGAAATCTATCTCAAGATACACTTCGTCATCAAAGACCTGTTTCTGAAATTATCAAACACGATAGTTTTATTTCGCCCGAAGGTAAATTGTTTGTGATATCCTTAGTCTGATTATCATTTAGCTGAAGTCTTGGATAAATGGTATCAAGACTTACAAGAATATGAAAGCAGCCTAGAATCCATGGCATCTGCCAGTCTAGATCCTAAATACAAGGAAGAAGTGCAGCATGTGGATCAATGGTTTCGGTATTTGAATGAAGCAGAACGTACAGCTACCATTTACACACTTCTTCAACACTCTACACAAGTTCAAATTCGATTTTTTATGGCTGTACTGCAACAGATGGACAAGAAGGATCCATTGGCTGCACTTTTATCACCTGCACATCCTGAGAAAGGTAATCATGAACAGTACCATGTATCTTTTATTCATTGAGTCTTTAGATATGCAAGCACAATTAGCAGGCGCATTTAAAAAGGCAGAAATGGAAGCAAGTCAGAAATTATTATCTGTCTTGCCCTATCAAACAGGACAAGTCACAAGTAGACCCAATGCTGGTTCCATAGGCAGAAGAAATCCTATTGATAGACACTCGTTTGCATTGGGCGATACAGAAGAATACGATCGTCTCTTTTCATCAGACTATTTAAGGAACAGTCTTCATGAACAACAGCGGTTTACTCATACGTTTGATCCTATGCATGGTCGACCCAAATCTGTGGCTGAAGATGACTTGTCTTCTATCTTTGATTGGCCTTATGGTCAGCCCAATCTTCATCCTAGACCAGGCAGTGTAGGCGCCAATCGACCTAAATCAGCTGATATTTCAAACTGGTCATTTGGCTTGACTTCTTCAAAAAGTGCTCATGACAAAGATCATTTGTCTTCTCCTTGGACAGGCATGTCGCCTTCCTTCAATGAGCAAACCATACACAATGATGTTGATCAACAGCTATCCATGCTCAACAACTGGTCTCTAAACAATACTCGACCTGGCATGTTGAATGATGACACCAAGGGATTTAGACGACGCACAATGAACAGAACCAGTATTCCAGGTACTGTACCTGAGACAGATGAACGTGCATTGAAGCAAGTTATGCAGTCTCCCCCACACACCAATATTGTACTCTCCATGTATGATGATAATCAGCCTGTATCATCTACCTTGTTGACACATACCATGCCGCATTATCACCCTATCCAGTCACCTCACACATCCCGTCCTACATCTCGGTCAACTTCACCTGTGCCTTCTCAGTCCAATTCAATGATCAACATAAAAGCAAACTATGGTCATTTCTTAAACCCTCATGATACAGACAACGGGTATGTGAGTGATCATAGCGAGACATCACAAAGTGGTAAATCAAAGAAGAAAACTGCTAATCGACATGGAAATACCAATGGCAAAGAAAAGAAGACCATGGATGGTGTGGATATGAAATTATTAGAAGGTAAAAAAAAAAGCGAGATGTAAATGGCATAAGGAATTCATTCATTGGGTTCATTAGATGTGCCTACATGGTTAAGAAGTCTTCGGTTACATAAATACAATCCTATTTTTGAAACAATGAAATGGCAAGACATGCTCAAGATGGACGATGAAGCCCTATTGAAGCAAGGCGTAGCTGCTTTAGGCGCTAGACGCAAGTTACTTAAAGTGTTTGATCAAGTCAAGGCACATTGTGAAGAGAATGTAAGTAATATAGACAAGACATACTTAGAAACTGATGATGTTATTTAGAACATTGCCTATTAGAGCCTTTATTATTTTTAAAATAAACCTACACAATTTTATTTCATGACTTGTTGAACCATATGTTCGGAGACTTTCCAAAGTTGTTTAGCCATGTCTGCATTATCAGCACTGTCATTTAAATAGGTTCGATTGACCTCATTGTCTGCATAAAATTCACCTTTGATGACATCAGGAGATACTGCACAGTAAATGCTAGTAGAAGCACCTACACTCTCATACTTCCATACTACCAATTCACGAACCATGGAACCCACATCACTTGTGGACCGCACAAAATCCCATATTCCAGACAAACCAAAATGTCGACCTAAATTGGACTTGACTGCCCCAGGATGAACACTAGTTACAATCACATCAGCACCTTCCGCATCCAATCGACGCTGGAGTTCTTTAGCAAACAAGATATTACAGAGCTTGGATTGTCCATAGGCTAGACAAGGACGATAGATCTTTTCGCCGTTCAGGTTGTCAAAATCAATGCCCTCAGGCGAACAAAACTGGCGATTGCCACTTGAACTCAGCACCACCACACGCGAGGATTCACTTGCCTTCAGTTTATCTAGCAAGAGTGTAGTCAGATAAAAATGGCCTAGATGGTTCACACCAAACTGGATCTCGAATCCGTCTTTTGTCATGGTTTTAGGACATCCCATCACACCCGCATTATTGATCAACAAGTTCAAAGGCAGGTTAAGCTGAAGAAATTGGTCTACAAAGGTCTTGATGGTAGCCAAGTCGGATAAATCGATTTGCATAGGCACCAGATCGACTGAATGAGGTACGTTCTTTTGAATATTGCTGATGGCTTGAGTTGCTTTCTCGAGCGTGCGACAAGGAACAATGACTTTGGCACCAGCGAGAGCCAAGACACGAGCTGTTTCAAGACCAATTCCCGAGTTGGCGCCTGTGACAATAGCTACTTTGCCAGAGAGGTCTGTGTTGTATATCTTAATGATGTCTTCAGCAGACGTTGTCTTGTTTATTTCAGTACGCATAAAGAATAAAGAAAGAGAAAAAAAGGTTTTCCCCGTTTTTTTTTATAATATTTCTTTGTTTCTAGGTGACACAACAAGTGGTGTTTATGTAAGGGAAATAAGGTCAAGAAGCTGCGGATCTAACTATTTAGAGATATATACACCATTGATTGTAGAATACTGGTCATGTACACAAATAGGGTACTAGAAAGCTAGATTGACCCTTCATAGCTGGTGTCTCCTATTTACAAAAGAAATCAATGGATACACAAATAGCTTATCTTGTCTTGAGAGAACATCACACAATACGGGCAAATGATTTAGTAGTTTGTCTTATGATCATGGTTGAGAATAAAGCAAGTAGAGTTGGCTTACTTGATCACACACAAATTGACCTTGATCCTTAAGTAGAATGAACCTTGACTCACCATGATTTGTCCAAAAAGAAAACGCCTTTGATGCGCTTCTTTCAATTTCTTTGCGTTTCCATATGAACAAGAAACAAGTTCATGCAAAAACATGCCAAGTTCTAAAAAAGTTTAAAAATGATCTTTTGTCCGTATGGTCCTCTTACAATTTCTTCATTTTTCATAGAATGGCGATTTGACAACGACACATCAAACTTTGACTATGCTATATATTAGTAATATATGTTTTATTTAGCTTGTCAAATACGCTCAAAGTGTTAGATTTGCAAAAGACATATAAAAAGTGTATGCTATAACCAAAAAATACGAAAATGCTTTTTAGACATAGTTCAAAATCCTGATAGAAAACGTGTTGTTTCTTTAGCACTATCAGATACGGCTAACTAGATACTACAAACTTCGACATTATAGCATGTTGATAGCTCCATGCTTTGGAGCGCTTTTGAACATGAATATTCATTTTTGAAAGAACAAAAAATGAAAATGAAAATTTTTCAGAGTCCGACGCCTCTGCCTATGAGAAAAGGGTATACATTGATACCACATAAATAGAACTAGACATACAGGAAAAGTAAAACAATCCATATCTGTCTCTTAGTACTGTTTTTAAGACATGGAAAGGGTCTCCTTATGCTTTAGACATCACCCAAAAATAAGAAATAGGGAAACACAAGCGTAGATCGAATTTTTTGACATGAGCAAGTGGCTTAGATTCTCTTTTGTAAGAAAACCCTAAGCGGCAGAAAATTTTTGCTCTGTCTCTTTATTTGTTTGAACCACAGTATGTCTACCTTCGAGAAGGTAAAAAAAGAAACTTGACATCTCTTTTTTTTATTTGACAAAAGACTCGTATTCAACTCTTTCTCTTTTTTCTTTTTTCTATTAGCAATTGGTTATTGATGGCAAAGGTCACTTGCTTGGTATGTTTGTTTATTTTTTGTCATTTCCATCAACTAAACGCCATCATTAGGTCGTCTTGCCTCCATCATCGCTAAGCAAGCCCTTAACGGTCAAAAGGTTGTTGTTGTCCGTTGTGAAGAATTGAATGTTTCTGGTGAATTCTTCCGTAACAAGTGTATGTATATGACTATTCATGAAATACAATAGACAATATATGTGTGTGTGTGTGTGTGTCAACATTTATACCACGCGTCTTGAGTGAAAGAGAGAGAGAAAGAAAGAAAGGGTTGAGCATAAGAACAGTTGTATTAATGATTATCTCATAGTAAAGTACCACGCTTACCTTAACAAGCGTTGTCTTGTTAACCCCACTCGTGGTCCCTTCCACTTCCGTGCTCCTTCTCGTATCTTGTACAAGGCTATTCGTGGTATGGTCCCTCACAAGACTGCTCGTGGTGCTGCTGCTTTGGACCGCATCAAGCTTTTCGAAGGTGTCCCTGCTCCTTATGACCGTGTCAAGCGCATGGTTGTTCCTGATGCTCTCCGTGTCCTCCGTCTTAAGCCCGGACGCAAGTACACCACCATTGGTCGTATCTCTCACGAAGTTGGCTGGAAGTACCAAGATGTTGTTGCCAAGCTTGAAGAAAAGCGTAAGGCCAAGTCTGCTGCTTACTACCAACGCAAGACTGCCCTTGCTGCTATCCAAAAGAAGGCTGTTGAATCCAAGGCTGATGCCCTCAAGGAAGTCAATGCTTCTCTTGCTGCTCTCGGTCACTAAACTATCTATACAAATAAATAAATAAATAAAAACTGTGTACTTTTTTTTAACATTTGGGAAAAATGTAATCATAAAATTTAGGTTTTCTTGAATTATTCTATAAACATTTCTTTTCAAGAAATGAAAGCAAAAGGAGGTGATGAATAATAATAGGTTCGCATAAAAGAGAGGGGATATGCATGTATGTAATATTTAAATAATAATTTTCAATTTTTCCTCTTCTTTATTTTTGTTTTTATAAATATGGTATTCCGTCAACAAAATACATTTTATCGATATAGTGGATTCTTTGTGTTGATCTTTATAGTTGGTCTATCTACACTCTCAAGACAAACAAATCTGCCATTTACTATAAACAGACATTTCAGTTCAAATAGTGCAGTTGTATGTACATCCTATTTACATAGTTTATTGATGTTCTTTAAGAATGAATGTCTTGATATAGGCTCTCATGTAGATCAATGTCAGTTTGTAAAAGCTTCCTGTCATGGATTTAGTGCTGTCTATCTTGAGTTATACTATTGTTCTCATTTCTGGCAACCAATTTCAATAGCAATACTTGTAAGTAGAGACACCCCTTTATCGATTGCCACACTCCTAACCACAAACCTCTCTCTCTCTCTCTCCCTTTTTTTTTTTTTTTTTTTTTTTACTATAGCTATTATGTCTGTTTATGCTTTTCGGTGCAATTAGTGTTGTAGCATCTGATTTCTTTTGTAAGCTTTATATTTAAATGACTATTGACTAACAATGCAAAGGTCCTAATCTGCAAACCATTTCATCAAAACTGCAACTGTCTGAAAGCATGGTATTGTTGCATTTTGCTTTATTCGTATTGATGTAAATTGCATAGGCAGGTGTCACTGTACTGGCATTAGGTAATGGAAGCCCTGATTTATTTAGCACATTCAGGTACATGCATACCATTGGTCAATACACAATTGTACTTAATTGCACAAAGTGCATTAGATACAGGTGCAGGATCATTAGCTATAGGAGAATTGATAGGTGCTGCTTTTTTTATTGTTGCTATTGTATCTGGCTGTATGGGTATCATCCAACCTTTTCAGTCTCAAAGAGTAACGTTTATGCGCGACGCATCCTTTTTAACTGGGGCTATTATCATCATGACTTGGATTGTTTATCACCAACGAATTGCATGGTACCATAGTGTCATGTTAATCTGCTATTATCTCTCTTATGTATGTGTGGTTGTTTTGGGTGCATATGGAGAGAGCACAATCCCTTCTGCTGATCCGTTGCAAACAGAATTGAAAAAGGATGATATTCAGTTCACTGTAGCAGATGAATCGACCTGTCTATTGCAGCAAGGAGGTAACAGATAAATATCAAATAATGACAGTATTCAAAACGCTCACGTTAGGGAGAAACAAACCACCTCGGTTGATCATTCCTGAAAGAGGGTTCAGCACGTCCATTCAATCCAACATGTCCAACTTTGCAGAACATCATTTAGGGCATGTGATTAAGCCCACATCGCCCATGTCGTCTCATGTCTCTATGTATTATGACGCTATAGCTTCCCGGTCAACAAGTGCCACTGGATCTGCTCTGACAGCAAGAACGTATCGCCGTCCAATGACGCCCAGAGTAGGCATTCGAACTTCTGTCTTTGGTGCGATTGAGGTAAAACAATAGAATCCATGACAATGTGTCTGACAATGTTTCTAGTTTCAAGAACAGATCAATGCCATACGTCGAGCAGATAGTTCGAACCATACACTATGCCAAAGTCAATATAGACAACGCCAATCATCTTATTCTGTATGGCAAAATACGCATGATACTCAGCATGACAAAAGACTACCCCTAGGCCGTCCAAGAGCATCCACAATGACGGACCCATCGTCAGAGTTGAACAAAGCACACACTTTATCAAACCAAAGTCTTTATGTACCATCCTCGCCTGCCACAGAAGACTATTTCACTTTTCTCTCCGCTGCAGAAAACCAACCTCATCTCATTCATGTTCAATCTTCCTCACCGCCTACTCAGTCAACAACCATTCCGGAAATCAGACTTGCTCCACCTAATAATGAACACAACCGATTGGCCATACCCACACCTTCGCTACATTCTTCTGATTTTACACGGGCTCGATCAAGAGCGAACTCGAATTACAGCCTTGCTCCACCAAGTATTATGTCTGAATGCGATTCGTTCGTTTCTGCTCGTCAAAGCTTTGAATTAAGTCCTTCCAATTCATTTGATCATTCATTAAAATTACAGGCACTGCTCGAAAACAATAGCAACAAGTCAAAACGATCAAGCCTACATCAAGATCAATTGAATATCCCTATAATCCAATCAGATACTTTATATATGCATCATCATGAAGATCAAGACGATTACTCATTTATTTCCTCGCTTAACCCTCAACAGCCTGAGCATTACCCTACCTATCAATGGTCACGGTTTCCCTCACTTTCCAATACCCTCCACCAGTTATATGATACCTTGTTTCCAACACTTGAAGGGTGGCATCAAAAATCACTTTTCTCTAAACTAAGCTCATTGATGGCTGCACCGCTTGTTCTTATGTTTACTTTGACATTACCTGTAGCAGAATTAGACGAAACGGACGTAGTAAACCATAGTCCATTAGATGAGTATGAAGAAGATATGTCTATTCGACAACCAGTCTCCAATAACTACTTGTCTGTACCTACCTCTGTTCATGAATACATGTCACATTCACCATCATCAAAAGTACCTATCGAAAACATGGACAAGAAACAGGGTTGGAATAAACATCTCTTGATGATTCAATGTGTAGTGAGCACTGTATTTGTCTTTAGAAATCTAGCAGGTAATCCTAAGCATCTAGCATGAGTCCTATCTCAACTTGTGTAGCGAATGAAATACTGCCTAATTCCATGATCTTGTTGGGTGTGGTGATGGGTGCTGTATTAGCCGTCTTTATTAACAAATCAACAAAAAAGGACGAAGCCCCTACATGGTACTGGTTATTATCTTTTGTAGGTTTCTTTGTAGCATTGAATTGGATCTTTTTACTAGCAAATCAAGTCGTTGGTTTACTACAGGCAAGTCTCTTTTTCTATATAGTATGTCTATTCTAAAACACTATTCTCTAGGCTATTGGTAAAATATTTTCAATTAGTGATGCTATTATGGGTCTTACTGTGTTTGCCTTGGTAAGTTTAATAACTAAGAAGAAAAAAAAAAAAGCTTATTGGACTCTATCATAGGGAAACAGTATTGGTGATTTCGTTGCAAATACTGCAATTGCCAAAGTAAGGAGAGGGAAAGAAAAAGACGGTTTATTTATGCTATTGATTAGATGGGATTTCCTACTATGGCTATTTCTGCATGTTACGCAGGGCCTTTATTAAGTAAGTTTATTTATATATATATATATATATATCTTACTTATGATGATAAGACATGGTTTTGGGAGTAGGTGTTTCTTCGCTCTATCAAAATATCAAATTAGGAACTGCCTATCAACTTGAAATTGCGCCTACTATTCTGGTGTCTGCGTTTGGATTGATTACTGTCTTGATGAGCACACTTGTCTTGGTCAATATCAATGGTTATAAGATCACTTCAAAACTGGGTTGGTGGATGGTTTCTGTTTATTTTGTTTGTTGTACCACAAACTTCTTGTTAGAATTTCAAATTATCTTTTAAATACATATATTTTGTAGTTTTTATTACCTATACTCTATTCATGCTTGACAGAAAAGAAGCACCTTACCTGCGTTTAATGACTAAAGCATCCATTTATGGAATAAACACCTTTATGGTACATTTGGGACAGCACTGTTTGTGTTCCAATTTTTAATTTGTTTCCGTTCCAATAATAAGTGGAAACAGTGTATCTCAAGTCATCTGCTGCATTACTTGGGAAACGCTTTTTCTCATTTTTTCCCCTTGTATTTATGGTTTCCAACGAGTCAAGTCGAATATTACCAACAACAGATCATACTCAATACCAGTCTATTGGACCTTCTGAACCTGAGGAAGTAAGGCGCTGGTTCATAAACGAAAAAGCTAATCTTGAATAGAGAAAGTATTTCCGATACAAACTTCCTATGATTGGCCTTGCAGCCCTTATCTCCTTGGTTATTGGAGGCGTATTTACTTATGGCCTAGTAACAAAAAGCCAAGAACCTCTTTATCATAATGGAACACACGCTTTTGCTCCTACAGTTATCTTTATCTCTTTAGATGGTGTAGTGAACCATGATCTCGATCTTCATGTTACGCCTGTGCTTGATAGACTAGGTAAATATAAAAAAAAAGCAGTAAATTATTGTCCATCTCACATCAGGAAAAAAAATAGCTAATGAGGGTATCAGAGCAGAATACATGACACCTTCATTTCCGGTAAACAGAAAAGAATATGTTACATAGGTTACTCATACAAAAAAAAAAGCCAATTACTTTCCCTAATCATTGGTCTTTGGTTACAGGCTTATACCCAGAAGCACATGGTGTTGTAGGCAATTACTTTTATGATGCTTCTTATAACGATAGTTTTTATTACAAAAGCCCTGAACACAGTTGGGATGAAAAATGGTGGGGTGGTGAGCCTGTAAGAATAAGAAAAAAATAGCAGAAATTTATGTATGTATTTTAGATCTGGATTACAGCTGTACGACAAGGGAAAAAGTCAGGTGTGATTATGTGGCCTGGTTGCAGTACAGAATTTAACAAGATGCGTCCTAGCTATACTGTTCCTTATAGTGACTATGTGACATTTGATGAAAAAGTCAACCAAGTGTTTGATTGGTTTGATTTACCACTTGAAGACAGGCCTCAGTTTATAGGTTTGTATGTGCCTCAAATTGACCAAGCAGGACATGCTTATGGCCCTTATGCAAATGAGGTATGTGATACTATGAATGTAAATTAATTTCTCAAACGCTTTTTTTCTATCGTTAGACAATCACACAATTAAGATTAGCTGATAAAAGTATCGGACGATTACTTGAAGGTTTAGAAGAACGAAACTTGACTGATATTGTGAATGTCATGATTGTCAGTGATCATGGCATGTCAGAATCAGATAAATCTCGCTTGATTTACTATGACGATGTCTTGACACCAGAAGAATTGGACTTGATTTGGCGCATTGAAGCAGAACCTACTTTGGGTATTCGTATTCGACCCGAATTAGATGAGGCCACCAGTGTTGAGATTCTGTATCAAGCCTTCAAGCGATTATACAATTCACTCGAAACACCTCATTTTGAAGTCTATAAACGTGAGGACTTTCCTAGTCGATTCCATTTCCGAGATAATATTCGTATTCCTCCTTTGCTTGTCTTGCCTGATCCTGGATGGAATTTTGTCACGCACAAACAGTTTGATCCTCATCAGGGTGTTAGTTATCAACCAAGAGGAGTACATGGCTATGATAATTTATCGCCAGAGTCAAGAGCCATCTTTGTTGCTCGAGGACCATCACTTCCAAACGGTGGTCAAACCGTATCGCCTTTCTGGAACGTAGAACTCTATAATGTGATGGCACGGATTTTAAACTTGAAACCTACCAGCAACAATAATACCTTAAATGGTGTGCTTGAATTAGAACAATAAACAGTAATCACGGCCCTTTTTTTTCTTCTCGTCAGACACCATCTGGTACCATCAAACAACAACATGCGTTAGATATGGGACTATAAACTAAAAAAGTATATAGTGTTTGTGCATCTCAATATGACCATTTTGAGTCTATAAACAATAAATATTACTGTTGTAATCTTTTTTGTTCTGTATATAAAAAGCCTTTTTTTTCTATTCTTTTTGTTGCTTCCTTCACTTGCTTATCACTATGACTCAAAGAGAACAAATGTCAATTTCTTCTATTACTTGTGATACTATACCTTCACATAAATACACACCAATCCAATATCCTTATCATCGTATGACCCACAGCCAATCTTATCCTGGCACTTGCATGATACCTTCATCATCGTCATCATTGTCAGCAGATGAACAATTCTACATTCACTCACCGCCCTCATCTCCTCATTCAACCTCAAGTGTGCCACATTGCCTTGAAAAAGATGACCCTAGTTTACATGAAAGAAGACAGAGAAACAAAGCTGCTTCAGCTAAATACCGACAAAAGAAAAATATGCAACAACACGAAATGCGCACCATGATCCAGCAACTTTCAGAACGCAATGCTGTACTTGAAAGGCAATTACGTGAAATGCGTGAAGAAAATCATAAATTAAGAGCAACAACAGATAAATTACGAGGCAAATGTGTGGCTAAAAAGATGTTGCGCCAATGGATTGAACGCCAAAAGGCATCCAAGCCAATGTCACAACATGATATTGGTGTAGACATATTGGATGATGATTTGGATAGTCTGTGTTCAGACTTTTAAAATGTATATTGTAAATAAATAAATAAAATAAGATTCTTTATTTATCCGTGTTGCCAATTCTTGTTGTTTGAACCAACAAAAGCATGACTATCCAGTTCTGCAATTTCATTAGGTGTCAAGCGGAAATTCAAAGCAAGGTTGTTCTGTTCAACATGCTCTGCTGTTCTAGCACCACCTAAAGGAATTGTTCCTTTAACAATACACCAATTCAATGCAATAGCACTTTGAGGCAAGTTGTATTTGTCACTTAGGTTCTTCAAGACGTCCAATAACTTGGTCAATTGTTCTGTATCCAAAGAACTAAATGTTCTTTGACGTCCTTCTGGCCAAGGTCCCTTTGCACCAAACTTACCGGTAAGAATGCCCATACCAAGAGCTAGAAATGACATGTGAGTACTATTATCATAGACTAAACAGCTTACGAGAATAAGCCAAGACAGCAATGCCAAGATCATGACACAACTTAATTAAACCAGATTTCTCGGGAATAGTGCGGATCAAAGAAAACGAAATTTGGTTTGAAGCCAAAGGAACACCTCGTTTTGTCAATGCAGCATGCATGCGTTGAATTTCGTCAAGACTGTAGTTGGAAACACCAACAGCCTTGACGAGGCCAGCATCATAAGCATCAGCTAATGCATTGCCTAACAGAAACAAATGAGTACACGTCTATGGAAGTAAAACCACTCATGGTCTTACCAACAACTTCAATTTCAGCAGGATGAATAGCAGCATGGATCTGATAAAGATCAACATCCATGGTACCCAATCGAGCTAAAGAATCCTTGAGGGCAGATAACAAGACATCAGGGAAGTTTGTACGATCATCATGTGGGAAGAATTTGGTAGCAATAACCATTTGCTTTTGTTGCTCTTCTGTGTACTTCGATCTAAATCTTTGAATTTCCCTTTCTGATTCACCATCACCATAAACCTCAGCTAGTGGTACAGGTGAGTCTATTACGCAACCAAGGCAGTTAATTTACCTGTATCATAAAATGGAATGCCAAGTTCAAAAGCTTTATCAAATGCTTCTTTGGCATCCTTTTCAGCCTCGGGTGTCCAATTCCAGACTTTCTTATCTCCCCATTGCCAAGCACCGATAGCTACATGGTAAGTTAGATAAGTGTGTTTGCTTCTATTTTTTTATTTTACCAATAGGTGGTACTGTAATGGCACCATCAGCCAAAACTAATTTTGTATCCTTGGTAGGAATCACGTTGTCTTCCAATTTGACTATACTCTTGCCCATTGGGTTATTTTTTTTTTTTGCAAGTGTAAAGAAAAAAAGTAACAATTAAAGAGAAAAAGAAGAAAAGAGAACTATATATAGAGAAACGTAATCTTGGTATATTACGTATTCAAATGAACACAGCTATAAGGGAATACAAGCGGTAACTTAATAAGCTATAGTCTTCAAGGATTTTATTGTTGCTCATGAAATATGTCTTACGTTTCATACTAAAATTGCTTACCTGAGATTAATTTCTTGGAAAAAAAACTAGCTTCGAGAACAATTATGTTATTTTATGTTTCGATGGCGTCTTTGTTAAACATTCCACAAATCTCGATGGATACTAAGCCAAAAAGTACTCTTATAAATTAAAGTCCGAATCATGCAATTATGGGATAGCTTTAAACGTCTAATCTCTTAGTACGTTTAATACTAAATCCTAGACATCGGTGTCAGATAAGCTGAATGCTCTTAAAATATATGCTTATTCTGATATGTTATAAAGAAATAGTGTCTACTTAATGTTCAAGTTGCACTAATGTTAGGCTTATAAAAAAAGATCTACAGTCTTGCCTGACAAGAATAACTCACCTGAAGAATAATAGCATTATAGATTTAATTTGCTTATTTTTATCTCCTATGGTATTTTTTAAGGGCTTGCTATCTGAAAACAATGCTTGCCATAAGCCAAGACACACAAATAATTGAATCGATTTTTTTTCCTTCTTGCGTGATGCTGTGTAGGTATAGAGTATCTTCAGGATCAGTTTGAATTCTTCACTTAAAAAACACTCTTTGATACACATAAGAAATTTTAATCAACTTCCACACATACAAAGCAGATTAGAATAAGGCCATAATTTGATGATGAAATAAAGAATTGGCTTTTCATGTGACGCAATGTCTATTTAATTACATGATGCTTATAAAAATGAATCAGTTCGGGTAAAAAGAATACATCAACGGAAGAAAAAAAGAAGACAGCATGAAGCTCGCCGAAAACAAAAGAAAACTGTTGTTTTTTGATTTTTTGTTCTAATCAAAAAGCAAGCTATTATTTATGTCTTTCCTTGGCGTTTATTTGGCGAAGCATCGTCATTAGCACCCATACCAGAAACATTCTTATAGTTTCTTGCTGTAAGAGATAGATACTTTTCGTTGTTTGACATGTATATTCAAAATATAGTTAGTTTCTTTTAAGAAATATGTTTTTCTTATACACTTGCTTCCATCTGTATTATTGTTGACATTTAAGGATTTCAATGTCTAATCTAGCGTCATTCACTTTTATTTTAAGAAATACTTTCTGCGGTTCCCATCTGTCTATAAACATCGTACAAAACATCTTACCCCTTTTTTGGGAAGAGCTTTCTTGATTGCAGCATCACAAGGAACACTTTGTCCATGCCAAGCCTTTCTTGCATTTATCAATTGCAATAGACTTCCTGAATGAAGGCTACTGCATGATTTGTTTTGTCATCAAGGGTATTACCAAGACTGTTCTCGTAAAAAAAAAAAAAAAAAAAAAAAAAAAAAAAAAAACAAATACAGGTATGAAACCCATAAGGGCAAACAGAAAGATATGAGAAAAAGTGACTAAATACATTTCTTTTTTGACCAATTTATTTTCAAGTATACATTTCTAATTGATGAGAGCACAGTATGTGTGTGTATATATATATATATATATATATATATATACAAGGGATGTACAAGTTTCGTATGTATATATATATATATGTGTGTGTGTGTGTGTGTGTGTGTATGTATGTGTACAATAACATCATTCTAGATGTTCTAGTGCATCTACAAATAAATCTTCTTCTTCTAATCTTGCCGTTTCAATGTCATTCTGCGGTAAGATGATGGTAACCGTATCGCTAAAAGATACTGATTTTGACCTTGTCTTTTTGTGTACTGTTTTATGTACATACTCGCTCTGGATAGACGAGTTTTTGAGTGTGTTTCTCTCTAGTAATATTTCTTTGTCGTCTTTCCTTTTAGATTTTTCTTCTCCAAGCCATGATTTTTGTGTCCTAATCATATGACTTGATTTTTTCCAATGAAGGCTTTTTGGGCTTCTTGTTGATGTATGAGTGGTCGCCATTGTAGATAGCAATGTCTTGTTGTCAGCCAATGCGTCTTTGTTTAAATAGAGTGAAAGTAAATGATACACAGAACTATCGATATCAATTTCTTTGTTTGTCTTTGTTTTTGCATGGTAGCTATCATGAAATGTTGGGTATACGACATGTGTGTGTGATTTGATATTCATTATAATAGAGAAAAAGAAAGAAAGAAAAGAAAAAGTAAATAAGAGGGTCTCTTATTCCATAAAGGGGGATTATATAGGTATGAGAGCTCCCTTATTAGGAAAGGCTTGCTTTTCTTTTTTATGATAAACCGGCGTCCCTTTTTTATACTTCGGCTTCTCATTTTATCCACTTGAAGTTTGTTTATACGGGTAAATACATACTCCTTCTCAAGACACAACCAAATAATTTGCTCGAAAAAAAAAGAAGGTTATTTGTTTAGTAAGCATATGTTTAATGACAAGGGGGAGTGACAAAAAGGCGCCGTACTTAATACCGCATTGATTTTTCTTTATTGACAAATATAATCTAGTTTAAATACCTAATTAGTTCAGAAACCAATTTACAGTTTAAAATGACAGTTGTAGCAGACTCTTTCCATAAAAATTGGCAATAAGCAAAATGTTTATTTTTAAATCGGCGCATTTTTCGCTGATGTGCCGAATCCTTTGGGGCTAAAGGACATGGCATTAAATGTGTGGATTCAGACGCAAAACACGGTAAATGACCTTCATAAAATTAATTCAATTTCGTACTACATTGGCATTAAAACATGATACACATTTCTTTTATATTTTGTTCCTCTTTCTTTTATTTTAAAATAAATATTTAAAAAAAGAGGGAATGCTTGCATAAGCCACAACCATCCCGAAATAGACGCGTTTACGCGTCTTTTTTCTTTTTTCTTTTTAGCCCAATACAAGCTATGTCTAATCTCATAACTCACTGTCTTGAAAGACTAAACTTAGAAGATGCTGATAAAGTCAAAGCAAGAGCAGAACAGTTTTATGGTCAACTTTCTAGTCTACCTGTTAAATTATTTGACAAAGGTCCCAACTTGAAAGCTGCTATTTCTATCCAATTGGCTTATGAAAGGTATGCATTTGATTGTATTCATATCCCTTTTAACTTTCTTTCTCAATGCAGTTTGGGTCATCATGATTGGAGTATCAAATTAGCTTGTCAGTTAGCAGGCTGTACCGCTTCTGCGTATGATACAGCCCTAAGCAATGTACGAAAGCAATTGAATATCCAACCTTCTGTCACATTCGACAGTTTGTGTGTGGTTTTAGGTTCAACCACCATGTTGAATCCAGTAAGAGAATTATGGGAAAGTTTCAATACAACCTACCTTGAACAGTTCAAAGGAATCAAAAGAGCAAATGCAGAGAAAGAATTAGAATTGCCTTGTTGGAAAGGAGCTGTTATGTATTGTTGTGCTAAAGCATTTGGGGTAAGTCATTGAGGTAATGAATGAGACAACTGAATTTGTTTTAGGAATCACTCTCAAGAGAAAAGGTCCATTCGTTATGTACTTGTAGTTTAGCAGAACTAAAGAAGTGCATAAAAATTGTTCAAACAAATTGCGAAAAAAAGATTTTGGAATTAAAAAACAGATCATCAAAACCCACCCGAGTTAGTAGAAGATCAACGACAACAACACAGGTGCCCACAGAAACAAAGGTTATTGAACAAACACAGACAAGCACGGAGAAAAAGAAGCGAAAGCGGGCGACATTTGATTCTACCGTGTTAGGCGCTTTGCCAAAGTCAAAACCAATGCCAAAATCAGGCATTGTTTCCATGATCAATCAGCAAGATTATAAAAAGTCAAAACGTTATGCTGATTATGTTAGTTGGAAATCAGCACTAGTTGAGCGACTTGTTCAATAATTCTCCTTGTATTATAATACCCCACTTGCTTTTTGTTCTCCTGCTATCAATTATTAAACTTTTTCTTTACGTTGTCATGACAGATCAAATAACATTCCTTTTCTTTTCTTTTCTTTTTGCTCCTTTAAAACTAGACTTGTTCTTTATATATAAGCGTAAATTTTGTCGAGATCAAAGGTATAATTTAATATCCTTTAATTCTCCTCTTTACTTTTCTTTTCTTTTTTCACTCTTTCTATTTTTAATTGAAAACTCAAATGTCAATTACACTTAAATCACATGCATTATCAGAAGTAGATCAAATATCGTACACTCAAGAAGTTGAGCAAGACGATATATTCTCGAACAAGAAGAGCAAGCGATGGTTTATTATTAGAAAAATTACGTATATTATTCTGATGAATGCAGCATTACCAATAGCGCTTTATTATGTACTCAAATCACATTTATCCTCAGTCTGGGCACTCGTTTTATCAAGTACACCTACAATTGTGTCAGTTATAGCACAAGCTATTTTTATACGAAAAATTGATTCGATAGGGCTTGCTGTTATTTTTGGTAATGCATTTAATGCAGAAAAAGTAATTAAACTTTGATAGGGTTTATTTTATCCGTTGTATTAGCTGCGATCAATGAGGATCCTAAAATGCTACTCATGCGTGAATCTTTTGTGCAAGTATTATTTAAAGCGTACTTATCGTACATACTAACTACGGCATGATGTAGCACAGCAGCCATAGGTATCATCTGTACATTTACATTACTACCAATTCGATACAAAACATTTGTACTGAAACCAGTCCTGTTTTACATTGTAAAAGACCTTTTGCCTTTAGAACCAGTTCAGCTTGAAGGTCATCAAAAACCAAGTCAAGATCGAATGGACTTCTATTGGCAGCACTCTAGCTTCTGTAGGCTACATTTTCGAGCATTAACAGCGATTAATACGATCATTCTCGAAATTGAATTTGGACTCAAACTCTATTATATTCTGAATTTTGACATTGATACAGTTGTGATTCTCAGTAACTCGACGTTATCCGTGATTGGAATCCTATGTTTCCTACTGACGATAGCTTATATCATACAGGTCAAAAAACGATTAAAAAGAGATGAACCTCAGATGTTAAAGGAAGCTTCTATGGAGACTTTATGATTCCAGAACCTTAACAAGCTGAGAATTAATCAACTGACGTCGTCTTTGTCGATCCAATTGTTATATAATTCTAGTCTGTCTTTCTCCTCTTTTTCCTTTTTGCCCCTCCTCCTCCACTTTCTCTCCCCTCTCCCTCTCTCCCCTTTAATTTTTTCATAAACATATATATATATATATAATCTTGTATATTTATGCACAAACACTTTATGTACAATATCAACAAAAAAAATTGGAAATTATTTTCTGGTTTCTTATTCACCATTGTATTGCTCTATTTATTCCAATCACCTTATCTAGTCAAGCGAAATCAAGACGTTGTTCTATCAGATACAGACTTGGATTCCAATACAACTGAAAAATATGCTTTTGTTACCTTTCTCTGCGATGATGTGATGGTAATTTGTACTTTTCGTCTTTGTGCGTTTATTTATTCATCATAGGCCGAAGCGTCTCAAGTTCTAGTTTATTCTTTAAAGCAGACAAACACTGAGCATGATGTTGTTGTATTGGTTTTGGATGATGTTACACCCAAAACAAAAGATAGACTGCAACACTTAGGTGCTAAAATTATCAATGTTGATCAGGTAAAAGAGTAGGATCACATGAATATAAATTTAATTATCTCAACAGATCAAATATCCTTGGGATTCCACTTCTGCTAGGAGAAAAGGCTTTAACAAAGCGTGTCGATATTCAAAACTAAATTTGTGGAATCTTACACAGTACAAAAAGGTAAAACACACGTAAAAGTATCTGTTGTATGATAACGCCAATATGCAACATAGGTTGTATTTTTAGATGCTGACACAATGGTGACTCAGGTATTAAGGGCTGCATGTACAAAAATAACCACTAAATAATTTTTTTAGCCAATTAATGAACTGTTTGATTACCCTGAATTTTCTGCTGCTGTTGATATTGGTGGCGTTCTTAACACGGGCGTTTTTGTTGCCGAACCCAACAAAGGGACTTACAAAGATATCATGAATACGTATAGTGATGCACCAAGTTATAACAAAGGTGATCAAGGCTTCTTAAATTACTATTTTAATCAGACAGCCCATTATTTGCCTGGAAACTACAATCTGATGGTCAAATTCACAGTAAGTTTATTATTGTGTGTAAATCATATGCGAATGTTTGCATAACAATTTTAGCATTTCTCAACGCTGGCAGCAGGCTTTGTTTCTAAAAATGATGTCAAAGTCTTGCATTTTACTAGCGAGACTAAACCTTGGAACTTTCATTTCTTACACCAGCGAGAATGGCGAGAGAATTACGACGGACACTTGTTTGGCTTATGGACAAAGGCATTGAGACGCATGCGTCTAGAATTAGCAGAGGCTGATTTATGGGACCTTCCCGAGTGGCATAATCAAAAAAGAACAGCGTTTATATGTGACAAGCAACTCAAAAGCAATTACGGACGCCGCTATCCAAAAACAAACCAGTTCACTGTGATTCTTGATCTATCGCCATCTACCAGTGTTTCCTCTTTAAAGCGTCTGTTGCAAACCTATGCTTCTTTTTCCCGAGTCCATCAGATCTTTATTCATGGAAACACCTCTATCCAGAATGAAGACGGTAATCGATTAACTCTTACTAGCTTTCTCCGTAAACTACGTCTTGGCAAGCATGTAAAAGTAGTTCAACATGGTCACTTCAAGTCTGTCAACAATAAATTTAATCCTATCCAAGGTATCACCACAGACGCCGTCTTTTTAGCCAATGAAAATGTAAGTGATATCATTCGTTCTACCAAGACTAACTTTGTATGTATAGACCTCGACCTCACTTGAAGAGTTAGAGTTTGGCTTTCAAGTCTGGCAAAAGAATATGGATTCACTTGTTGGATACCAACCTTATTCTCATAAGACTATTGGAAAAAAGAATTATCAGTTCTTTAGTTCTTCATATGCTGGTAGCTATAGTATGGTGTCAAGCAATGCCATGTTTATGAAATCAGATTTTTTGCATGCATACAGTTGCTTATTATCTGAACAAGTTCATCATTTTGTAGACCAGCATCCAGAATGTGCTGATATTGCGATCAACATGCTAGTCAGTGGTATGACGGGTGTTGCCCCTGTGTTAGTAGATGGCTTCTCCTTACCAAATACCAATGCCCCTTTATTGGGTTCCCAATGCATTGAAGGTCTTGTTCGATTCTTCAATGGCCAAAATACACTTGTTTTTAATAATCAAATCATTAAAGGAATTGCTTAGAATTTATTTTTTAGTGTCTCTTTCTTTCTAAAAAGTTCGGTTACATACAATCATGATGTCAAGCAAATAGTGGTATGCAGAAAAAAAAAGGGCGGGAATTCTTGAGGTATTACATTGTCATCATAGCATCATGTATTATCTTTTTCACGACATATTGGACTCTCTCTTTGAAGCTCATAGACAAGTCGATCAAGGCCTCATTGCCTAATTCTATACTGTAGTTTGTTTCTTTGATCTTGTCAGAAATAGGGCTTAGATGGAATTGAATTAAATAAGATTCATCTTGTTTGATACGGACAGCGCTACGAGCAATTGTTACACATAAACACACAGACATGATGCTACAATTTTAAACTTACATATTTCTCCATACAGGATCGACATCATGACCCCACCAAACAGAGCCATGAATTGCCTCATCCACTTGATCAACTTGCCACAAAAACCGTTGCTTACTGCTTTCGACTGCACTAAGATAGCGTTGGTCTCTACTCATGATATCATTTGCAATGTCACAGACAGTACGTAAGCAAACGACTTTGATCTCTCTTGATAAGAAGGCTTCAAATTCAGATACGTTTTGAAGTACAACTGTTGTTTGTGGAAGACAGACAGATATAAAGCCAGATTGGTTTAAGCCAAACTTCAGAGAAGGCCTAGTTATCATCAGTAAAAAAAAAAAAAAAAAAAAAAAAAAAAGAACCTAGGGCACAGATGACTTACCCTTTAAACAGACTGATGCCGAGACTCAGTGATACATCCGTATAACCAGGGTATGCATCATATGAGCGTTTTGTAGGGATGGGTACAGACAACAGTTCGCACTTAAAGTGAGTAGAAACAGGCATGAACGCACATAATGGATTTATAAGGTGATGGACCACTTGACGTACGCGATCAAATTGTACCCAGAACCGAGTTAGTGATAGAATGGGAAGTAAGATTGGGATTTGTTGGGGGAGATCACGAGGTACAAGCTGGTTATGTCGTCTTGTCCGTGCACGCATTGAGGCTGCACTGATCACAGCGGAAGTGTTGCTTCCGACTCCTGTTGCTCCTGTCACATTACCTACGACTGTACTCAAATTGACTGAATTGGATACGTTACTATTGATGGTTGTGCTAGGACTAGCTACTGATGTTGCTGCTGCAGAATGTGTTATTTGAGGACTTTGCCCAGCTGTATTCGATGCTCCACTGGCCGATGATACTCCTACTGTTCCTACTGCTGTTCCTGCTACAGCTGCAGCTGCAGCTGTTGCTGTTGTTGCTGTTGTAGATGCTGCAGAAGATATTGAAGAAAGAGAAGCGTCGTGCTGGGCAAGCAATTGGCGTATTTTGGGATTTGTGGACAACGTTCTTGCTTTAATCTTCCATGCATTATATCTCTGATGTTGAAGCAATAAGAGTCGAAGGGCTAGGTTGATTGAACGGCTGATAATGTGTTGTGAATATACTTTTTCAGAAACAGTAGATGTGTTCTCGACAAGCATTTTACGAATAGATAAATCAATTTTACCGTCAATATTGATCACAATCTCGTCATCTGGGAAACGTACGTTGCTATTTAATGCTTGTGCTTCTGCGAGCACATCAGAAAACAGTTCTGCATCAAACACAGTTGAATGTGCCTCTACCAATTGAGTCTGTATATCGCTATGTAAAGCATTTGTTCTGAAGGAAGGTGGAGTTATGTCTGATCCTTTTTCCTGTTGCTCTTCTCTGTCTGTCATGCCCAGAATACCTTCAGAAAACTCTTGTCGGCCAATCCCCAATTGACCCATATGGCTCTGACTAACACTGACAACAACTCGGCGCGGGTTGGCATGTGGCAACGACATTTGTAATTTGCTGCTATTTGTATCGTTCGCTCTCTTTAATTCGCCGATAGAGGCTTCATTAAAATCCGATCCAACTAATCAAACAGTGTCAAATCTTTCTGCAAATCCATCTCGCTCATTACCTTCTGCAAATCCATACTGAACAAAAAACGATGAGCCAGCATTAATATTGCCTGGTTGAGTATTTGGCAGCATTTGCCAATTGTTTCTTCTTAAATCTAATGCTTCATCCCAAAACACTTGTTCTTTCTCGACTAGGTTTTTTAATGTTGCCGCACTGTTCCTTAAAAATTCGGCAGCTTGCTTTTGTTTCTAAACCAACTATGAGCTTTTCTGCGTTCCCCCTTTTTTTTTGTTCTATTACCGTTCTCTTTAAACCCAAATTGAGTTGTGTAGATTCTAATTGAGCTTTAGTGGTCTGCTTTGGCCTTGTCACATATGTGGCTGCTAAAGATCCAACAGGCAATACTAAATCCTTGGTTGTAGCTGCTGAAGAACGATTGCCTGCTGCTAAAATATTGATCACATCCAATGCAACATCAATTTCACTTTTCGCATGACTTTATATAAAAACTATATGAATATCAATAATATCTCTCTTTATATACTTACAATAGCTTATTGATCACCGATTCTCTTAACTTGACAATATCAAAACCTGGTGGAGGTTGCTGTTGTTGTGCTATCGTAGGTATCGAGGTCGAAGGCATGTCTTCTTGTTCTGACTCGTCTCGATCATCCTGCATTGCATTTTCTTTCTTTTCTATTGACTTTTCCAAAGAATCTTCGGTGATATCTTTCCATTCACCTCTTTCAAACCACACTCGGTCCACTGATTGCATAAGCTTTTCAGGCAAGCTTGTTTCTCTATCTTACTTTAAGAACGCGTTGCAACGTAAATACGCGTACTTACGCCTTCATGATTTCTTGACCGAGATTTGTAATATCCGCCACATTGTTGTCTATAAACGGTTCCAAAGAAATCTTTATTTTTTTTGTTGGATGTTCATTCATATCTAAATAGAAAAAGAGAAAAAGAGAAAGGGAGAGAAATGTAAACAAAAAAATCAGTCACAACATTTCTTTTTGGGTCTGCACAGGTACATAAAAATTCTTTCTCGCCTTTTAAGTTTAAATGGAAATCCTCGGAGGTTCACATACCGACAAAAACTGGTGTTGCTTCAAGGAGGCACACATTTCAATCATAAAAAAACATACAAGAGAGACAGAAAAAAAAAGAGTCAAAGAAAAAGAGAAAAGGGAAGAGATGAAAAGCGAAAGCATTTTTCATATAAAATGTAAACCTTCCCTCTCATTTTTTCCCCTCTTCTTTACATTTTCTTTCTCTCTTTCTATTCCTCTCCCTCCCTCTCTATTATCCTAGATAATGCTACAACAATTAAATGAAAAAGACAACAATAACAAGGATCATGATGATGAAATGGCTTCGGATTTCAAGGTTCTTTCCGCCGATACCCTTTCAGGGAAAATAATTATGCAACCACAACAAGCCTATTTAATGCAGCATAATAAAAAGCAATTATCATCTGATAATACTTTAAAGAAACCACCGTCTATCACAACTACACGTCAATTATCCATGTCAAATCTTTCACTTGATATGCAGACACGCATTACTACAAAAGAAACCTCCTATTCATTCATTTGGATTGACGATCACTATAAGAGTGTATCGAACTTGGACCAATTCGGACAAGAAAAAAGCTTATTAAAAAAAGAGAGTTTTTCAACAAGGGGATTTTGTAATGTTTTCACAATATGTTTTATTATGGCTATTATACTCTTTTTGTTTCTGTATCCTTTCATCACTATGTTTCTTAATAAATAAATTAGTAAGGGAGAAATGCCACGTCAAAAAAGGGAGTGTTATCCATTTTAGAAATATGAAAAAAACATAATCTAATTTTGGTACGTATTTCGGAGCCTTTCATTCCGTTTTATTGCTTTCTTGTGTACAACATGAATATACACAAACAAATAAACGTAGCACAGGAAGAAATCTTTTTTAACAAGACCCCGTCAACCCATGAAAAAAAAGTTTATATAAATTTAAACCTTTTTGTTTTTTTTTTTATTCTTTGTCTTTATTTTATTTTATTTTCAATATGGATTTTGATTCAGACTCTAGTGACTTTCATTTCCCAACGGATACAGGATTAGCTAAACTGTCATCACCTTTATCTTACAAGGTACCAGAGTCTCGAGATTGGGCACTTGATGAATTCATGCAAACCTTACAAGACAAGCCATGTACAGAAGCTGAAAATCTCTTGAGCTTTAAGCAATATATTCCTGTCAATGATAGTGAAGAAGAAGACTATGATGATGACTATAACTATGGTCCACCCAAGCTTAATTTGCCTACCTATGAAGAAAAGGACTTTCTCTCACAATTGTCTCAACATTTGCTCAATCTGGAGCGAATGGAATTGCATGATATCCTTAAAGGTGGATTCACACTTGTACAAAATGATATTCAAACCAACAGTCAGTATCAACATCAACATCAACACCAACAACAACAGCAGCAACAACAGCAACAATTACATTCAAGTCCGTTCAATCAACAAACTCTTTCTCCTCCTGGTCTGAGCTGGTTTAATGAAGCAGCGGATTATGGCCGTGTTCAAATCGATAGTTTGGACACGATTGAAATGCCTAAACGCCAAAATAACTTTAGTCCTTTCCCTATCAAATCAACACCTCGTTCCGAAGAAGAAGAACAAGATACAACAGCTGTACAACCACAAACTGAAAAACCATTACCGCCATTGCCAGCCGTAATCGCACCAAAAGAAGTAGTGGTTGAACAAGAAGAAAAAGCCACCAGCGTACTCAAGAATAATAAACACAAGGGGCTCAAATTTAAACTTAAAACCAAGTTGGTCAAACCTTTCAGTAATAGTATCTCGGCTTCAACATTATCGGAAAAGCCTAAAAAATCTTCCTCCATTCTATCAAGCACAAAGAAATTTATTCGCAAGATCTTGCCTGTTTCATCATAATCATTCATTTTTCATACACATCACATTTGTAAATACCATTTTTATTATTATTATTATTATTATTTCTTAATTTTAGCAGTGCTATCTCTTTCTCCTTATTTTCATGTAAAATAATTCATTCAGAACAAAAAAAAAAAATATTCCCCCCTCCTTTTTTTTTTAAAAAAAAAGAAATGATTCTTTTTGTTACAATAAACACTTACAATAAAAAAAGGGGCATGTTAGCGATTGTAATTTTATAATAGAAATATTGCTGTAATACAAATACTGAAATAAGGTTTATTAGCGCTTTTTTTGTGATAATGATGCAGTAGGCAATACTCTTCTACGTTTTCCAGTTGATTGAGATAATGAAGAAGGGGCTGGTGAAGGGGAAGAGGCTGTTCTTTTGTATCCTCCAGATGATGCTTCTTGCTCTTCATCACTTGAAATGACATAAGATGGTGCTTCACTTGCTACACGTCTAGCTCTAGTTGGTAGCAAAGATGATGTCGATGATGAAATAGATGGTGGTTCTTCATTCATGTCATCACTGTCTTGTCTCCTTATTCTACTAGTACCGCTACCTTTCCCTCTTCCTCTTGTAGCTGTTTGTCGTCGTTGACTTGGTTGTGAGGGTATCATTATATCACTCATCTCATCATCCGAGAAAATAGTACTGTTACTGGCATTTTCTGTGCGACCTTGCAACTCTTGTATCGGTCGTACTGCATTACGCCTGCTGGGCTGGTCTTGACTCTGTTTAGCCTCGGTCGACTTGCGCAAGATATAGTCTAATGTAAGATCCTCAGGTAAAACTGTCATACTCTCCCGTGTTTGTGCAACTGAATTGGTAACAAAAGAACGGATAGCCTCCTTGTCACTTTTCTCCACAAGTGACTTGACAGCCTCTTCTAAACCAGTTTCGGATAGAATAGATAAATCGCGTGATAACAATTCACTCACTAAGTCTTCTACCTTGAGTGTGTCTAATCGTTCAGGAATAGCAGTTGTAAGATCAGCAATCATCTCGGAAGGTTTGAGTCGTGTTTGTGTTTCGGGTCGAGTACGCTGAAATTTAAGAATATCATTTGGATTAGCGACACGATCAATAAACTTTTGTCCAAATTGCTGAGGGTTAAATGTTTCATAGCCACCCGAATAATCGACTCGTATACGAATAAGCGGCATCGGCATTTCCATGTTTGGTGCATCCTCGCCCTGTTGGTCTTCCCATTCTAATTTAGCCTTTTCAATCAGATTCTCGACCACACCTCCCAGGTACTGTTGAATTCCCTTGGCATCAGAAGGTACCAGATTTTCAACCCGAGATAAACTAATAGTCGTAAACTGAAAGGGGCGAATTGTCTTGAGTCGAATTTTATCTAAATGATAACTGTCTCCTTCAATCGTCAACAGTCCTACATGCTTTGGTTCTGCTTCTCCTTGACTAAGACTGGTAGCTACAGAAGAACCAGGTTGAGTCACAGCAAAATACTGGAATTCTTCAGGATGAATTCGGCATTCATGCTCATGGCCCCAAAAGACCAGATCAATAAAACTGTCCAGGAACTCTTCCGGAATATGAGACGTTGGCCCATGACGCGCCCGGTTCTGATGAAATACAAACAGATTAAAGCAGTCTCGCCAACCCTCATCCTGTGGTCGCATAAACTTCACATGTCCACCGCGCCATTGGCGATGCAGCCTTTCTTCACGTATGTTACCTAATCCATACAGTGCAAGTTTGGACTGTCCTTTTTGCATTAAAATGGGCTGAATGACTACTTGTTCAATACTTTGACTTGCACCAAAGTAATTGACCATGCCTGACACAGACAGCAGATTCAAAGCACAGAGATTTCCAATGCCTGAAGGATCATCATGGTTGCCGTGGATAGAAAAGATAGGAATACTGATATTGAGATTTTCATCCAAATAATTGGCTGTACTGAACTCATCTGCGAAATTGATGGATTGATCGCTTGCTATCCACACTTTGCTTTCCCTTTCACCAAAGCAATGTTGACGAATCATTTTCATGGTTTGATATAAACAGGAGCGTGAGGGTCTATTGTGATGAAAGAGATCACCACCTAACAGAATAAAGTCTACTTTTTCAGTCTCGGCGATCTGGAGGATTTCTCGAAAGGCCTTGAAAGAATCTTGACCTCGAATAGGATCTCGTTCTAAATAACCCAAGTGGTTATCTGTAGCTATTAGTATTTTAAAAGCGTTGTCTTCTTGTGACATAATAAATTGTTCTTTCCTCAAGAAAAAAAAAAGAGAGAGAACACGAAATAGCTACGCGGATTCAAGACGCGTCGGTTACTTAAAAAGATGCATTAATGAAGATAACATGGCATGAGTTGTTTCTTTTTGTTTACTTTACGATTGGTTTATATTTCAGACCGATAAGTTGATCTCTATAGTCAAGTAGTTGGGAGAACATCTCTGTAGTTTTTATGTACTTGTGATCTATCAAGAACAAGTCAAAACTGCTTCTAAGCATATAGTACGACTGTGACTGTTTCAATAATATAGTCAAGCATTTAAAACAAAACCAGGTAACCCAGCTCTTTCTTTCTTTATCATGTTTAGAAGCACAAAATTCGTATGGCTTACAGTAGCAAGAACAGCCAATAGAAACACAAGCATCTTGCAGCACAGCGCTCGTATCAATCTATTGCATCTCTATAGAACATTTGTGTCAGTAGCAACAACAACAGCAGACACATCCGATCTTGGCACGGGTTTCTCTAGAAAGTCTGTGCTTGGTACCACTCCTCAGGAAAAAAAAGAGCTTTGGGAGAGATATGTACAGCGTGTGGAGTCCGATGATCCTACTTTGACAGCAGACGATTTTTTGGATATCTGCCGAGTGATACACTACGACAAAAACACAAACATTAAATCAAGGATCATACGAACACAGCAAATCTTGACACAGATCCATACTCGCCTTGATCAAGAAGGATATGATCAAGTCTTTGTTATTGGATGTAATATGCTGATGCGTGATTATTTAATCTTGGGCGATCTCAGTTCTGCCAAAATTGTGTTTGAAGGATTGACGCATTCTACATCAACACCCAGTGTGACATCCATAATGACTATCATGCATGGCATTGGCAAATATGGCACAAAAGGCGAATTACATCAACTTGTGAAATCATTGGAGGAAAAGGGATTGTTTCCTACTGACACAAATTCGGTCTATATCAAATTGATTACTGAATTTAGAAGATTAGGTGATTATGGTGGTTGTCGATATTATTTTGCAGAAATGTCAAAAAGAGGGTTGGATACAGATGAAACTGCTTATGTTATTATGTTTGAAGTATTTAAAGACGCTCAAGAACCTGAAGCAGCCTATAAAATGTTTCAATACATGACAAGAAAGGGCATTGTGGCTACATTAAGGACCTACAGTGCAATTATACCGCTATTAGCACAGTCAAAGTTAAAGCATAAAGCAGATCAACTATTTCAACAAGCAAAAAATGCTGGTATTCCATTAAGCAGCAACATTTATCTTTCAATGGACTGGGATCCTATGGAGACACTTGAAGAAATGAAAAAGAACAATATGCCTGTCACCATAAGAGATTATAATACATGTTTAGCAGCCTGTGTCAAACAAAACAAATTTGGTGAAGCACTCAAGATATTTAACTATATGAAGCAAGAAGAAGCACCTCTGGATCGATTTACATACAGTATTGTGATAGACGCATTATCCAAAGATTTGGAAACACCGACAGAAGTTGTGTTTGACTTGTACAATGAAATGAAAAAGAATCATATCGAAATGGATGTTGTGTTGTATACTTCTCTCATATTTGCATGTACACGATTACAGCATTTAGAAAGGGCTTTATCACTTTTAGAAGATATGGATACATACAACATCAAGCCCAACAATTACACATTCAATGTTATTCTAGGCATTTTGGCCAATAAGCCAGACATATCAAAAACAGATCTACACAGGACTCGACTTATATGGACCAAAATGACTTCTATGGGCATCTCACCAGACACACGGGCATTCAACCTTTATCTCTCAATCATGTCTAAACTGGTTGAACCAGTGCATCATGACAATACACAACATGCTTCGCCTGCTGTCTTGTGGGGAGAAGATCAAGACACAACAACAGAATATGTGCCTCGAACAGTCAAAGAAATACTAAAGACATATCGCTATATGAGACAACATAAAGAACAAAATGTACGCCCTGATTTTGTCAGTTATTCAATCATTATCAACAGCCTTGTTGCAGCAGGTCAGATCAGATCAGCAATGCGTGTTTATGATGATGCCAAACTAAATCGGGTGACATTGCCTGTCTCTGTCTATAATGAAATCATGGTTGGTTTACAGAGTGCAGGAAAGATCTCGGAAGCCATGAACATTTGGCATGATATGCGTTTAAATAGCGTTTTGCCAGACAATCAGACATATGAAATTGTATTAGAAAATTGTGAACAGCTTGGTCTTATGGACTCCCTAAAAAGTATACGCGACCAACGCAAATTAGATTTCCAACGCTTAACGGAACTAGAAAGGAAGCGAGAGGAACGCATGTCAGCTAAAAAGAACAAAAGTGCATTGTAGTAGAGAATAAAAACTAGTTTTGGTATTTGAACCACTTTGATTGATTGGTGTTTTTATTATTTGACTTTTAGAGAAACACTTCTTTGCCTTTAAGCCCATACACTTGCATATCATCCTGAAATCACATTTTTGATGCCATCGCTACACTTTGAGAGGGATTGGAGGTTTTTCGTAGGCTGCGACAGTTGAGTGTCGCAATTCTTATTTTATATGTGTTGGACATATTTAATGGATATTGTAGTTGTCTAGAGTTGGTCGCTAAGACCACCTTGTCCTAGTTCCATAGTCGGAACTGAATTCATAACGGCTAACTGTGCTTCTGTGAATTGAAAACCTGCATTAGCTAGTTGTTCTAGCTGCTTCCAGCTGTATGATACTGGTTGCTCATTCTCAATCATTCGTATCTGTTCGCTGGTCAAAATCAAATGTTGTTGTTTCAAGAATTGGATCTGCTCAAAATTCCAACTCATCGCTTCTCTGTCTATATTTGTCAAGGTAGGACGGCCCTGACTAATCTCATCCCCTGCCTTTTGTCCACGGAAACGCTTGTATTTGCTTGAAGCCTCTGATGCTGTAATACGGGGAGAACGAGGAGGAGAAGGTGCCTCTTGAGTAGCCTTTGGCTTCTCGGGTTCAGAGGTCTCAATATCCATGTTATCCTCTTCGATTTCTTTATCCTCAGCAGTGATAGGAGTGACTTCCTTAGGTTTTGCGGTATTTACCGGTGTCTTACGGTCCTTAACAACAATGGTTTTAGCCTTTTTGTTAGGAGCCGCTGCCGTCTCAATTGTATTACTACGAGGACATTGTCTCATCATATGACCTTTCTTATTACAATTAAAACACTTCATGTAGTTTTTCAAGTCAGGACAGTCTGCACGGCAATGATCAGAAGCTTGACATAGTCTACAGAAGTCTGGCATATTTTCCCATTGAAGTAATACCTGGTGAATCTCTCCATCATCATACATCCAAGGAATGACTCGTTGAAGTGATTCAAAAGGAGGGTCATTGGCGTTGGCTTGGGTAAGGTTCAATGTCGCATAGCCTTGACCAGTAAAACAGCCATGGCTCCTATTAATCCCAAGATCCAATACTCGACCATATTCGGACAAGCAATTTTCCATATCCTTCCTCAATCGTTGAGGGGCCTTTAGAGGAAGTCTATCCAATTTGAGGCGCACAATCTTTGCGTCGGCAGGTAAACTAGGGAAGCCTTTAACGAAGGTTCCATCCTCCAAACGGATGTCCGTGTTCAAAATGGCCTTATATCTGAGTGAATCTTTTGTCCATGCAGTTTCAATAAATGAGCGATTTAGATATCTACGGGTAGAAGGGAGTCTACCGCAGTAGTAGTCGCAGCCGGTTTCTTCATCAGCGTCTTTATTAAAGGCTTGAACTGCCTTTCGCAACATATGAGCATCTTTGATTTCAGTGATATCGATGAGTATAGAGTTTTTCTCGATGCCTTTCAAGTACGGTTTGACGAATTCGACTGTTGGTTCATTGGGCGATGAAGGGTCTTCATCTGTGTTCTCGATTGCTGCAGTTGGGACTGGGATGATGATGGTAGGTTGGAAGGTGTGAGTGGTACGTGTTTGTCCAGAAACAACTTTCGACCAAGAGAAGGGGCGAGTTTTAGGTTCTGTCTTGTATGTACTAGAGGCAGTAAATGCTAAGGTATGGGTCTGATTATTATGTGAAAGAACCATGTATTTCCTTCTTCTACCTGAATTAAGCAATAGCCTGAATTTAGTGAGATCCAAACTTGACAGTAAATAAGCTCGTGTAACATCATAGACTACTTGTCAAAGTCGGTATGCAATATCACTTAAGATGTTGGCATATACGCGTCCATAATGAGAAGCTTTCAATACAGTTTACTGAATCTTTATTATAATGAAAAGCATTGGTTATGAAAATTCGATTTTACACTCAAAATGGTGTTTAGTGTCTAAAACGTGCTTGATCTGGTGCAATAGTGGGTCAAATATATTAGTTCTTCCGTCATTGTATACGTCATAATTTAAATATTAAGTTTTTATTGTTTAAATGTGTCATTGAATATAAATTAATGAGCAGTACAATGGTCCTTAACGCACTTGTGTTGACAGTCTTGGTCACTGTCACAGCAGACACCGGCAGGACCATTCTTGTCATTGGATCCAAAGTATCTAATGTTCTGTTTCTTACAGCTGGCAGGGATGGAATCAGCGTACTTGGGGTTCTTCTTAGCAGTGCAGTGATCGTTGACACAGCTGTTTTGACAGTCTTGGTCACTGTCACAGCAGACACCAGCAGGACCGTTCTTGTCATTGGATCCAAAGTATCTAATGTTATCTTTCTTGCAGCTGGCAGGGATGGAATCAGCGTACTTGGGGTTCTTCTTAGCAGTGCAGTGATCGTTGACACAGCTGTTTTGACAGTCTTGGTCACTGTCACAGCAGACACCAGCAGGACCGTTCTTGTCATTGGATCCAAAGTAGCTAATGTTATCTTTCTTGCAGCTGTCAGGGATGGGATCAGCGTACTTGGGGTTCTTCTTAGTAGAGATGGGATCAGCAAATTTAGGGTTCTTGATACCATTACATTGGTTGTTGATACAGGAGTCGAGACAGTCATCATCAGTAAGACAGCAGTAACCCTTGTAGCCAGTACCGTTCTTGGTGCCACAAGCTTTGTGGATGCACTTGTCACCTAAAGCCTTACATTCAGGATTAGTAATGGCGGCAGCTTGAATACCAACGGCAGCAGCGAGGAGTAAAGCAGCAATAGACAATTTCATTTTGAGATAGGAATATTTGATGATAAAAAAGAAAATGAAAAAAAAGGCCCTTTATATATTTTATAATTTATGCAAGCACATTTATTTTCAATGTCTAACCTGCAGTAAACTAAAAGGGAACAAAATGTTACTAAATTTAACCTTATTGCTCTGTTACAAAAAATAATCGAATCTCAATTTCACTTGTCAGATGAATTCAGCCGCAACGAAAATACTCATTGTCAGATAATGCAATTTAACAATTTGGTAGTCTATATTAAGTTTGACAAGAAATGAACAAATTACGTTGAATACAAGAAACCTAAAATTATATATTAAAACCATCAGGTTACAGTCTTTAGCACAAAATTCCTCGAATAGTCGATAGAACTAGGAATAGAATTGTCTCTTACTAAGGCACAAAAAAAACAGGACGAGTTTTTTTTTTTTTTTTTCTTTTGGACTCAGTTATGTCTAAAAAAAGATACTATCGCTACAGAATACAGCATTTGTTACACATTTCTATTGATCGTGTGTAAATTACTTCAAGTGCAATCTAGTATTTGTCTCAATTGTTAAGTTGAAACTCATAATTCATAGAGAAGTAATGATCTTATAAGAATTTAAGCATTGTATTATAAAATACAAAAAGAAGCGAGGCTATCATCAGTTATTAGGTTTCTTTCGAAATACTTCTCTTCAGCCAAATTTTTGTCTCCGTTTTTTTTTTTTTTTTGCGTCTCTGAAGATTTCATTTGAATGTTCCTAACTTGAATTCGTTATATGAGGCTGTATTTTACCCGCATGAAGCAGCAGTTAAAGTACAACAAATATTGAGTGGTTTCTACAGTTAGTTGCGCCTTATGTATGGACCAAAGTTTGCCAGCATTAATTATGATAACTAAACGAATATAGTAATTTATTTGTTCATCCTTAAACACATTTGTTTGAGCCACCGCTTGCTTCAAATTGCAACAGTTTAACTAGGTTTGCCAATAAAACTTTGGAGTTTGGCTCCCGAAGCCAATTGCATCATTGTGCATGTATCACCTCACCAAATGAATACAATATATATATATATATTTCTCTGTTCAAAAAGAGTATTTGAGCGCAATTTTTCAGTACTTGATCTCCTGGTTCCAAGCAGTAATACAGGTTTGGATTTTATTCATTCTAACGATGAAAAATGGAGGTACAACCATATACTTAGAATAGGATGTCAAGACAGACGGACATATGATCAATTTATTGCTTGAAAATACTCTATTAAATCATGTTCTATAAGATTAGAATGATCTTCAATTTTAGAAGACACTCACGAATACAATCAACCATACATAACGCGTGTATCATTTGTACAAAAATCTTTTAGGTACTAAAGAAATTATTGGCATCGAGCAAGTTCTGGCTATCAATGTACCCTTGCTCAACCAGTTTTTTTATAGAGAGCAGATTGATGAATCATTATTGAAAATTTTATCTAGTTGGCTAAACAGATGAAGGAATACTTTGGCTTTGCAATAAACAGGTTTTGACCAACATATTCAACAGTTGAGAAGTCAGTTTTGGTGCCTGATATTTGCACAGCTCAAGGGTGGGTATAGCCATTGGTAGCCTAAAACAAACTTGAAGTGAATACACTCCGAAAATATTATCCTTTTTTTTTTTAGCAACTGTTGTTTCTGGCTAATACTATAAAATTTCCTTATAAATTGCAAAAGTTATAAATATCTGAATCTCAGTGCACCAATCGATTTGCTTCAGTTTGCTCCAATAATCTGAAGCTCATTGCTTGACATAGTTTGCAAATAATTCTGTTTGACAGGTTTGAAAAGCCATTTTCTTCGAACCACTAAATGTCATTTCGGTCAATCTATGGAGCTAAGGCTATAGTAGTATATATATATATATAAAAACGACCAACGCGATTAAAGCTTTTATTGTACGAAATACCATTTTATATCTGCTAAACGATACAGGGCGTCAAGAATATCCTTTTTCAATAGATTTATAAATAGTCTTTGATCTGAATACATTAGGGAATAGAATGCCACTGTCTCAGTAAATTTGTATCTGGCATAATTTCCTCAAAGTGATATATTGAGATATAAAAAAAGAAAACAGAACTATTTCTTTACACATTGTACAAAAATTAAGTTCCAGAAATTAAGCAGAACATGAGATACATAAACAATATTTATATTGCTACTTACATTAGATTATAAGAAAGAGCAGTGAACAGAAGGAAGATAAAAGAGAAACAAATTAACAACAGATATGAACCAGTCTATGCGAAACATTGACACAGATACAAGGAGGTAGTTGAATACCACTATTTTGTCAATTGCATAATCGCTTTGAATCATTACATTCACACTACTACACACTATGATCAACCAATAACAAGCTGTGATTGATGCTACGAAGTACTGATTTCTTTCTGTTTATATTGACTTAAAATACACATCCCAACAAATCATCAACAAAAAACTGAGCGCGTTTAAGCATATAAAGGGCTCTTAGATCATGATATCTTTATTGCTAAATTCGAATGACAAAAATGGGTTGATTTTTATTTCGGGTCAGTGTATAAGTACCAATACAGAAAAAAAGGTTGAAGCTTATAATATTTTTCCATGATAAAGACTTTTCTCAGTACAATGACAGCTTCTTTTGGTCTAAATATTTAAACTGGCCTGTCAAAATATGCGTTTTATGCATATCTGCCAATCACAATTGTACACACTTTTACATAACAGTCCGTCGTATTTTATTTTTTTGAAGCCTTCTTGTTCTTGACATGAAATCATTGATCTGGTCTGCCATTGCTCTTTTCGTGACTCATGTTACAGCAAGTGTAGTGACTTTGAATAACGCAGCTGAATTCAACACGGCTATTGAAGACAATCGTCTTGTGTTGATTAAATTTTTCGCCCCTTGGTGTGATCACTGCAAGGCGTTAAAACCTGAGTATGAGCAATCAGCAACTTTATTAGAAGCAGAAGGCATGATGGTAGCTGAAGTAGACTGTACCTCAAACAGTGATATTTGCGAAAAGTACAAAATACAGGGTTATCCTACTTTACAAATTTTTAGAAAAGGTCAACCAAGCGATATTTATTCTGGTGAACGCAAGGCGGATAGTATTGTGAATTATATGAAAAAGTAAGGATTGTAAGAACAAGTTGATTTGACTATTTATTCTGTACAATAGACACTTAATGCCTAGTCTGGTTGAACTAAACACAAAAGAAGCCATGGATACATTAAAAGAACAAGAGCCTTTAGTTGCCATTGCTTTTCTCTCTCAAGCAGATGAACAAAATACCAAGACATGGAAGGCAATTTCAGACAAATTTGGAGATGATTTCGCTTTTGGTGTTGTAACAGATTCGGATTTTATCAAGAGTGAAGGAATCAGTTCTCTGCCTACTGTTGTTCTTTATAAGCGATTTGATCCTTTATCACCAGATTATTACCGAACAAACCAGTTGGACATTGATCAAGTAGAAGATTTTATCAAGTTGAATTCAGTCCCTCTTTTGGCCAAAATTGAGCCTGATTCTTTTATGGATTATGTGGATGCTGGTAGACCTATTGCTTATATCTTCTCAGACTCAGAAGACATGGAACAAGACATGCATACTGCCTTCTTGCCTTTGGCTCAATCATACAAGGGAAAGCTTAGTTTTGTTCATATCGATGCCAACAAATACAGTTCACAAGCAGATTTCTTATCCTTGGCCAAGGATCAATGGCCAGCACTTGCTATTCATGATTTCAAGACAGGCGCTCGTTATCCTTATAGACAGTCATTGAGAGACAAGGAAGCCATTCAGCTGTTTCTAGAGAGCGTTGTTCAGGGCCAAGCACAACCTGCTATCAAATCTCAAGCTTTTCCTGTTCGAAACTCTAATGATCCAGTCAAGGTGGTCACAGGCAATGACTTTGAAGAGATTGTGCATGATAGAACCAAAGATGTACTTTTAGAAATCTATGCTCCTTGGTGTGCACACTCACAGGCATTGGCTCCTACTTATGAACAACTAGGTGAATTGATGAAGACTTACGATGCTGAGAACAGCCATGGAATTGTGATAGCCAAGATGGATGGTACTGTGAATGATGTACCTCCTTCTGCTGGTTTCCAAGTCACTGGTTATCCTACTATCAAACTTTTTAAGGCAAACACAAACCAAATGGTTGACTATGATGGTGATCGTACACTTGATAGTTTTGTAGATTTCTTGAGTACACATTCTACACAACAAACATTCAAGATGGACAAGACAAAGCGTGATGAACTATAAACTCTTTTTTTTTTTTATTAAAATCTGTACTTTGCTCTCTTGATGCTAATCACGAATTCTTTGGGATTGCTGGTATCATGATAACCGATAGGACCCAAATCACAATCAGCACACGATAAATACTTGATGGTTCCAATCGTGGTTGAGAATCCCACATTTTCGAAATCCATCATGTTGCTGACATGCCAGAAATGAGTATCGTCATCTGTTAAGATGCTGTTGGCTGGTAAACTAGATGCAGGTAAAGAAAGCTATATTGTATAAATACACACTAGTATGTTCCTGACAAGACATACCTTGCTACCATCTCTTTCAACTAAAGTGGCCGCATTCTTTCTCAATATGACACATTGACAATCTCCTTTTGGACAGAGAATGTCAGCATCATTTCTTCCAGATTGTACAAGTGTCTCGAGTGGATTGGTAATGTCTTTATATGCTTGTGCCATAGATGAAAAAAAAAAAAAAAAAAAAAAAAAAAAAAAAATTCAAAATCCCGTTATTATTTCATTGGTTACCAGGGTGAAAGAAAGGGACGTATACAAAATTCCCGTATGCATGATGTAAAGAAACAACATCAACAAATAATACTGAATGGATAACAAGGTGTAAACTATAATATACGCTTTTTTTCTTTATTTTTCTCTGTTCTTATTATCATTATATTTCCATGTCTGAACAACTTTCAATTTGGTATGAAAACTATCTTGAATTGCGAAAGAAAAGAGAAGCTAGGCTCAAATTATTACATACTCAGCAAAAAAGAGTACAACACCATGAAAAGAGTCTTTTTAAGATCCGCAATTATCTAGCAAGGGCAGTAATGGAAAGATCCCATATTCAAGAGAAATACAACCAATTGATCCAATACGATGTATGGGTAACAGCAGACGAACATGAAAAGATTCATCTTGTTCGTGATCGAGTTGAAAGAGAATATTCCGAATGGACACTCAAAAGGAAGGCCAAGTTAGACGCGATTGATCAAGAAGCTAAAAAAGCCAAGTTACATGCTTCTCATCTCATTGGTATTGAAAGAGCTCTTATTTGCCTTGAAGACATGATGCGAAAACAAGTAATGGAGCTTCCATGCGACAAGAAACCTGAATTGATCGAGCCCCTCTTTTTTCGAAAATCAACTTCTCATTACTCATTTGCTTCTGTTGTTACTGCAGATTCAAACAATTCAACTTGTTTATCTGGTGTCTTGTTGAAGAAATGGCTGGAACCAAGGCTTCAATTGTCCCAGACACAACTTGCTATTTAATAAACACAAAATAATTTATTGCATATAAGGATAATAGTAGTAAGGATGAGGGGCTCTATGATGGTTGAATAGATGTTGATGGACTGAATAAGGTGCCATGGGCATTGGTCCCGTGGTTTGGTTTGACATCATTTGTGGGTTCATCATCATCATATTGTTTCCTAAAGAACAGCCGTACTGTTGCTGCATAAATAAGTTATTCATCATTGTATAAGGGTCTGGTTGTGGTCCCATATAAGCATTATTTATAAAAGGTGGAGGTGGTGGTGCTGGATAATACTGTAATGGAGGTGGCATTATCATTGGTAGTTGAGGTGGCGGTGGATAGCCATACTCTTGCTGAGGATAATAATAAGTCAATGCTTGTTGTTGAGGAATAGGCGTAGCTATTTGTTGTTGTTGTAACTGTTGTTGCTGTTGCTGCTGTAATTGTTGTAACTGTTGTTGCTGAGCAGCTGCTATTTGTTGTAATTGTTCAGCATCTAGCCCTTGTTGTTTATTGTAATGGTCTCTAAAATATTGATAACCGAGTGCCAAAGCACCTGCTAATCCAGCATTTCTCCAAAAATGTGCTTTCCCTTCATGATCCTCATCATATCGATTTAAAAGTGCATCTGCACCAGCAAAAGTGGCAGCATTTGTTAACCAATCCATTGGCCCTGAGCCAAATAGACCACCGTTATTATTGTTGCCATAATTTGCCTGATGTTGTGCAATATAGTTTTGCAAAAAACTGTTTACAAGCGAGTTCATAAAGAGAAGAAAAATAAAGAGAAAGAAAATTTCTAAAATAATCAACAACAAACAAACTATTTGGATTTGGAAATGGGTTTAGTTACACAATAATACAATAACATTATGCTTCGTCAGATTCAATAGAAGGCGAACGACCAAACACTCTTCCAGAACCATATACGATTCTTGGAGAAGTATTGTTATTGCTCGGTAGGCCAGGACGAGGGAAAGATCTACTTGAAGAAGATGTTGTTCGATTCAGCCTGCTTCCTTTGACTGAATTTAGAGTGACAGCATCACTATTATCATCCATGCCCATGTGTCGAATGCCATCCAGCATATTTCTATTGGCTCTTTCCATCTTTCTTCTTTTTTCTCTCCAGTACTCTGCTAATGTTTGGTTGCGTTGCTGGACATGCTTCTTGGTCAAGAAGGGCTTAAGCCACCTTTCATCAAATGACACAAACCAATGAGGAGGTCTGTCCTCAAGAATTGGTTCGCCCAAGGGACCAGACAAGAGTCCTCCAATAGACACATCGTTATTAGGGTAATCTGAACTTTCGGGTCCTCTGTTAGATAATAATTCATCTTCTTGGGATTGAGATGAATGCGGTCGATGGTGTCTTTTGTCTGACTCTTCTTCATCATCATCTTCACTATCTGATTCCTCTGGCTCAATCACACCTGTCTTGATATCAAGGACCTGAAGCATTCGGCTGGTGGTGCCACCAAATAACAAGACTGTCAAGACGACAACAGCCAAAATAGTGGTTCGCATAGCAGGTGCACTATCGCCTGTGATACCTGAGGCCAAAGCAAATGCAACAGCGCCTCTTAATCCTGCCCAAAATAACATCATTTGATGATTGCGGGGTAATTGATCTGATTTTCCAAGTGCTCTACATACTGCATTAATCAACATCGACAAAGGTGCCACAGAGGCGTAACGAGCAATGCAAATGAACCCCTACATCGATCAACATCATGACACATCACAAGAAATACAAACATACCAAAGTCACCAAAATAAACAAAGGCTTATAGTCCAAGTCATCCTGTGTAAACAAGTTGACACCGAGGTAGATGAAGATAAAATTCTCTGATAACTGAGACAGAATCAAGCACATGGATTTCGTAGCTCTTTTACTCTTGATTGAAAGGTTGTCATACGCATAATGCTTCAGCGTGATACCTGTGAACAAGAGTGTGACAATGCCAGACATTTGTGTTGCATTCGAGAAAAAATAACTACTATAAGCAAACAAAAACACAAGACAAGATTCAAGGCTAGGAAATCTGTAAAGCTCTGAATGCTTCAACACTAAAGCAACAAAGACACCACACAGAATACCAATTAAAGTAGAAGCCCAAAAGACACCCAAGAAAAGGCCAATGCCTTTGAAGATATTTACAATATGTAATTCCTGTCCACGAAATTGACGGAGTGTGCTAATTTGTAAGCTGGCATTGTCAAAAAGATAGACTTACTCGGACAAGACAATAGCAACTGCATCATTCAATAAAGACTCGCCTGAAATGATGGAAAATAATTGAGGATCCACATGCAGTTGATTGAAAATGGCCAAGATTGTAACAGGATCTGTGGCTGATAAAATAGAGCCAAAAATCATACTATCTAAAAAAGAAATACTAATCCCTTCTGGTCTCAGGAAGGCATATAAAAATGTACATACGCTAATTAAATCAGATACGACATATACATAATGATGAACCGTTATCATTCTTACCCAGTGACAATAGCCGCAATAAAAGTACCTGCCATAGCAAACACAAGAATAGTACCAAAATTCAAAAAGAAATTACGCTATAAAGTATCAGTGAATGTGCATGATAGACTCAACCTACTCTTTTCAATTCATAGCCTGAATTTAAAATAATAGGTGGTAATAACATATTAAAAAAGAGTCCTTGTTTGAATTTCACCATATCTTGAATTATTGTACCAGGAGAGAGTTTGATAACTAAACCCACAATCATACCTAAGTTTCTCTTTATAAGTATGGTATGGCATGGAATCTGTTTTTTTTATACCTGCCATGATGGATATCACTGTTTCATGAACAACACGAATTTTTCTTGCTTGTAAAAAATAGCTTGTCCATAAAGCCCCAATAAGTAAAGAAACCAAGATCAAAAGTGCCCATGAAGAGTACATCTCCTCTTCCATGGGTTGGTCTGGTAAGTCATTGTCAGGTAATGTGCTGTTCTGTAAAGGATCCATAAAATAAGGAAATATTTATGCCAAGGAGAAAAAGAAAATAATAGTTCTTTTCTCGGCAGGAAATTCAACTTAATTTACGTAATATGAGCAATCTGTTAAAGAAAAGAAAATCCTGATCTCAAAAATATGTTTGCATTGTTAAAGAACATAGCCAAAAAAAGTTTTCTTGTAATAATTATACGTAAGCTTGACGGGTTTTTGAATATCGAAGAATATCATTATTGTAGTCATGTTCCTAGTAAAGACTTACGCTTTAGTGCCATAGTTGACCATAAAAATGTCAGGTATTTGGTGAAGAGGCTAACAGGTTTCAAGCTCTTGGGGAGGTTTATTACTGTTGAGTGCTCTTTATTTGATGACTAGAAATCAAGCGGGTATTCCCTCGCAATCTATCAAGTTTACTGAAAAAACAGAGTCCCACGATAGTAGCCTAGTCTTACACAAGAATACACATGCACATAAGTACCACGCTTGTTTGTAGATCAGGAGGAAGCAGCAGCAGCAGCAAGATCTTGGTTTTATTAGATATACAAATGTTACTATATTTGATGAATAATGCAAAGGCTTATTCTTCGGCATGAACAACAGATCTTGTTCTTTTTTGGCCTTTAGATCGAGAGAAATGCACCGGTACATGATTGACAGTGTCCCTTGGCAGAGATGATGAACGAGAATCAAAAGTATCATTGATTACGTCTACAAGACCATAATCTTCTTCGGCTTTTGATAGTTGGATGATTATTTTTCTTCCGTTGTCTATAGTACACTTCTTCCAATTGTACAAAGCGACAAGAAGCAACGGAGCTGGCCTAATCCGATAAGATTCTTTGGGATAGTAAACGACCCGACTTTATAAGCTATATAACATTCATCAAAACTAAACAGTTGCAATGTGTAGGCTCGTCTCCAGAAAAGTCGAAATAGCTGATACGGGTGTTGGTATTGCCAAAGAGAAGATTGATATCATTGGAAATACAGGCGTTAATACGGAGATTTTTGCTCTGTTGATGAGTCAGCACATCAGTCGACACGCCTGTCTTCTTGAATTCATTTGAACAAAAACCATATTGTTCTTCGGCTTCTTTACTTCTCAGAATTAAATCAGATTCATCTTCCGTGAGTATCTTCATTCTTTTGGTTGATCGTGATACTGTTTCACCTTCGTAAAGGTAATGTTGGTTTCTTTCATTAGTAAGTTATCAAGTAACTGGGAAAACATTCTGAGGTGAGTGGCTTCTGATAGTGTCTGTTCGTTTTTGTATACTTTAAAGCATTTAGCCCTACATTGTAAATGTCAAAAAATGGATATCAAATCTTTGGCTAGTATATTTACAGAGAGTAAATAATACATAAAACTGTGTATCTTTCAGATTCTTTGTTCGTAATTTTGGCCTTTTCGTTATCCAAGTACACCAAGATGCGGGAAATGTGTTCACTAGATATTGTCATAAAAAAAGGCCCATTTCTTTACTTCACACTTACTCGAATTGGAACTAGTTCAAATTATCAAATATTTAATTTATCAATTCCTTTATTTCTTCTGGACAGCTAACTCGCTATTCACTTTTATTGATAGTGCATGTATCTTAAATCTGTCTGAAAGTATGTGGCAGAATGACTTGATGCAATTCTTTATATCTGTCACTCAAAAAATTGATGCATGAAGAATTGACCAGCTTTAAAAACTCTATTTCAACAATCGAACTGCCCAACTTGAGACTTCCTGCGTCCACCAGCATGACTAATTTGAGCGAAACCTTGGCTTCTTCCTCTTCATCATCATTGGCAGCAGTATTTAATATATCAGCAATTCCTTTGATGCTTGTCAGTCTGAGTGAACGAATGGCCTTCCTCTACAGTTTATTAGAGCATATTAGTGCACCAACTTGAGATATGATATGAATAGTCATACCTTAGCAACAACAATCTGGTGAATATACTTGAATGTAGGACTAGTTTTCTTTATCCTAAATGTATGTTAAAAAAAAAGCAATTGCATTCCAGCCAGCGGTTTGCCTGGTCCGACAATGATGATGGTATTGTTATATACCTTTGCCCAAGCTCGTTCCAATGATATAGCTTTATCATTTGACGGTAGCTTTATAGATATATCCTCAATATTCCTCTCGTTGGTTTTAGTGAAATGTTTGAAGGTGTGTTTGCTATGAAGCCTCAAGTAGTTGGTTATAAGCGTGGTTTGTCTTTCCATCTTGATTGCAAAAACGCGTTGACAAACTGCATAATTTTTTTTGGCGTCACCAATTTGTATTGACGCTCTTTAAAAAAAAAAAAAAGACGCTTTATTCTCGGAAAACTCTTTAGCTATGTTTTGGTGTCTTTCAATAATGTCCGAATCTGACACCTAGATCTTAGGCTATGTCAGTAGCAGCCTTAGGTAACGCCCTTAATGAAAGTGTAGCTGAGCTCTTGAACTTGCTCTCTATAAGAATATCGGTCAATGAAGCCCTCTGACTCTGTCATGCCAAATAAAAAGAAACACTTTTTCAACTACTTTTCTTTTGAATACAAGTACTTCATTAAGGAATCAAAAAAGTACATGCGCGACAGTACACTTTGATTTGCTTTTTGTCTATTTATTGACTATCAGATACACATAACAGATAGCTTATTTGACTTATTGTTCTTTCTCTTTGTCATATTCTTTATTTGTCCAAAAAAAAGACATAATGTAATCTATTTCTGACCTCATATCCTCTTAGAACCCACTGTATTACGCAAACAAGTGATAAAATACTCTATATAAGCTTATTTTTTTTAGGGAGTAAATATTTTTGTATTGCTCTTTCTTCCCTAATGTTTTCATCTGAATATCAACCGTCACAAAGACTCCTCCCAGATATGTATTACCAATCTATTATCCCATCTTTGAGTAAAAGATGGCACAACTTGACGTTTACAGACTTCAATGTAGGCGTCCAAACACCAAGTAGCACAAAGAGTTACACCTATATTGGTACAATGCTCCAAAGGTTTAGCAGTAATGAATCTTATATTGATATTGAAGATCCTTTGATTCTTTGGTGCAGTAGAGTAGTCAAAATAAGCGTAACATGAAGTCCAGTTATATCTTCGATTTTACCAAAGTACTGAATACATTATTTCCACACCAGAAAATCCAGGCTGCAAAAAAGACAAGGATGATGAAGAAAACGAAGATAGGTATGATGAGGCGTACATCTTGTTAAATGAGCTTGAGCCCAAGGCTATAAAAAATCAAAATCAAAATGAAAAGATGGTCAGATTACTGAGGTTCAAGCTTGCAAAGTGTCCCAGTTGGAGGAGAAGCCCTGTCACTGAGGACACACTTATAACTCAAAGACTGGTCGCATTTTTTGACACCTTCTTGGATTGCTAAACCAGGTACACACATGCATGGTAAGTCTTTAGCATTTGAAAAGCAGTCAAGAAGGAGACATATAATCTAAACTTGTCCTAAACATCAGGACTCATGGATACTTGAATGCGGCCTCAGCAACAAAAAGAAAGAAGGCTGCATACCTGATAAAGCCTGACTTTGTCTTGCGATATACCGCTAGCTCGAGGCAATTTGATGTCTTTATTGTTGAAGTCAAGGCAAAAAAAAAGCTGAAGTATCACAATCACTAAATGATACTTGTAAGCTTGCTTACGAGCTCAAAGTAACTGTAGACCATTTGGTTTCTTATGGTGTCACGAAGGCGGAAGCATATGGTCTGCTTGTTGAAAGTGACTGTTGCAAGGTATTCAGACTTGATCTATATAAAGGTGCTGTGTATCGATTTTTTTGCATGGGGCAGTTCAACCTGCCTGGTGATTATACTGACTTCTGCTTGTTTCCCAACATTATGGAAAAATGCTGCTTGTCAAAAGCTTGATTGACAAGACAGTACACGCAATCGAAGAAAACAAAAGCTCTCCTTCTATCCCTTCCTGTTATCGTCGCCCTTCTTTTTCCTTACCATACAAATCCGACTTCAGTTCTCAATAATTTTTTTCTTAATTAGCACCTTATTAAAGTATCAGTAACAGTTCGTTTATTTCTTCTTTTTATTATCGTTGTACGATTGTTTTCAAAACAGTTGTGTACTAAATTACATGTAAAGAATCTTGCAAACAGCTTTTACAATTCGATTGTCAATATGCATTTTATTTAAGAAACAGGCAGGTATTTCAAAACAATACAAGTTTGTTAGAGGAAGAGACCTTTGTAGTGAATTATATACATTGATTCAATAACAAGAGAAAAAATACTCTCCTGGATCCAATGAGCTTACGCACAGATCATTGATAGATTCTTGATAAACCTTATTGAGAACAAACAATAAGAGTATCTATTACTAAACCAAGACATAAACCTAGTCATGCTAATTCTACTTGGAGAAACTATTAATCCCAATTAACAACATAACTCTCTACTGGATATCACTAATGAAAGAGATATTAATATCCTCGCCGGATTCAAGACAAGTCGCATATAAATACTCATAGTAGCTAAAATAATAAAGAGACAACTTTCTTTAAGTCAATGAAAGATTAAATCGACTCACTTATCGCCCTACAATAGTGTCTTATTTTATTATTTTTTTCATTTTCTGTGAACCAAATTACTACAACCTTGACTCTGATGATAGGTAATGCTTTCAACAGCGTCTATTGGGATAATCTTGAAAAATTATCTTGTTATTCTTACCCAAAGCTATAAGTATGATTGAATAAAGATTGCACAATTGTACTGTATTTTTTTGAGTGTGCAATCTATTTCCAGAAATGGTGTAAAATAAGCTTGAATGTGTGTTTCACACACTCAAGGAACACATAGTGCGGATTTTCATTTTTTTTAATTTCAATTTTCTTCCGCTCTTATTGTTTAACCAGGTGAGCTTATAAATTAAGAGGACAAAGGATTATTCATGACTAAAGTATACATGAAACAATATCTGGGGCGTTTTTTTTTTCTTATTGTTTTATTCACTTTTGTTCTAGAAGGTTTCATTTATTTCCTTTGAAAAATAGTAGCGAAAAATAAAAAATAAAAAAAGAAATTGTTCAACAAGAGCTTTTTACTGTTGTTTAGATATGAATCTCAAGAAAAAGCTCATTTTGTACACCACGCGATCAAACGTTGTTGTCTTTTTCTTTGTAAGGAAAGAGCTACGCACTTTTTTTAACACATGGCTCTAGTTCTAAATAGCGTTTTTTTTTATTGATTGCATCTATCAAACTCAGACATAGCTTAGTTTTTTATTTTTATTTTGAGAATAATGTAATAATCCAACCTGAATATATAGAATCACAAGAGAGACGATTGCTATATTCTACAGCCAAGTGTCAGAATAGTTGATAGTATTACAAAGATTTTTCATTTCTATAAAAATTAATATTGTCTGCAACAGAAATAAAGTAGCCGTGTTAGAGAAAAAGATGACCAAAGAAGGCTTATTAAAAAAAGGTTAGAGAACAAGAGGGGTTGAAAACAGATCAAGGCTTAAGTGATATGATTAAGAGACCATACTCTGCATTTTACTAGCCAGTGCCCTGAAAGAAGAGTCGTGCATTACAATCCTGTTATCTGTCGATTGAAACGGTGTACTCAGTATCCAAAGAATAGAAACATTGGTTTGGCAAGTTTCATTTGCAAAGATAGTAGGAAGGTCTAGTAGCTGACATACATTTATTCTGTTGCATTAGAACTGTGGTGTAAGCGCTGCCTGAAACATCAAAAGCATGCTAGTCGATTGCATACGAACAGGAGTTGATATTCGCTCCAGACCAGCTACATTGACAAGAGGCTAACAAGACCAAGGATTTAAGTGATTTATTTCATTTGGTAGAACCTTACAAAGGTATTGAATGATTTACAGCCAAGAAATTTGATTTCTTTTGAGAGTAAAAAGCTGATTGTCAGTCGAGGGTGTGGATATATATAGCTTTCATGATATTCTTTAGTATTCGGTCTAATGGAGCAACTTTGGTCTGTGAATAAGAGTAAGATGGAAAGAGAAAAGCTGATCATAGTTGATGCTTATAAAAGTGCCTATTGGGAGGATCTTGGAGGACCTTATGGTTATCCCGACTCTAAACTACAAGTATGGTGGAATAAAGAGCCTCTCCAAGTGTGTAATGTCTATTTTTCAAGTGAGCAGTCCTTATTTTTTTTCTTTGTGCAATCTTTCGCTCAGTGTGCAATCTATTTCCGGAAATAGTGTATTACAGACTTCATAGTCTTGTTACATCTGTGTGACAAGAAACGTATGAAAGCAATTCTGTCAATGAATAATTCATATTAAATTTCTTTTTCTTTCTCTTGTTTTTCTATTTTCATCATGGCATTTTTTTCTTCTTTTCGACTCTTGTTTAGTAAAAAAGATAAAAGGTCGTCTACAGCTACCATTGAATCAAGTAGTAAAAGCAGAAAAAACACACAATTATTGTGTAATCAGTCGCATGCCAGAAACTATTCTTTAACAGGCTCAACACATTCAGTCAACCAAACATCAAGTACAGGCACCAATTTTCAATTCAAGGACGGCCGAAGATATCATGGAGATACAGATATTGCTTATTTGTTACCTACAGATGATGATGGTATAAATTGTCAATTTTTTTTTATCAGACTGTTAAAAAATAATTTTTTCTTGTTTAGAAGCCGATCGTGTGCATCAACAACATTGGATTCTTCGTTATGCGTTACAATGGTAAAATGCATTGTATTTTAGTTGACTTTATTGACACCATCCTAGTAACTATCAGGCACCTGTTTCAGCATGGTTAGAAAAAGGTATCTCTGTATTAGATGCTGGCTGTGGTCCAGCCACCTGGACATTTGAGATGGGAGAACAATACCCCAACTCAAAAATCTATGGTGTTGATGCAGCCTGTGTGTTTCCTGAAAACATTAAACCAGCTAATGTCGAATTTGCAATTGGAAATATTGCTAACAAAATCCCTTTTCCTGATAACACATTTGATTATATTCATCAACGTCTACTTGTCTTTGGTATGACAAACGAGGATTGGGAAAATGTAAGAGAATTTGGGTTCTAGACATAGTTACTAACATGTCAAATCATAGGCATTAAAAGAGCTTTACCGCGTCTTGAAACCAGGAGGTTATGTAGAGTTAGCAGAGGTAAGACAAAGAAAATAAGATACTTGTTTATTGAAAACAAAATTAGCCAGACTTGCAAAACCTTCATTGTGTTGGCCCTTTGTTGCAAAAACTACAACAGCAGAGTAAGTTTCTATATTGCTTTTTTTTTTTTTTTTGTATTGACTTCTTTCTGTAAAGTGTCTGCCATGCTTGAATCTCGAAATATGCCACCTAGAATTGCGTCTGAATTAGAAGATCGATTGACTAAAGCAGGATTTGTGAATCAAGTGTTGAATGTCACACCACTAAAGTTAAATCATACAGACAAAGCAGGTGTTCTGTTATGGTAGGTGTTTCTTATGCAGAGCATGAAATATTGATTTTTGTAGGGATGATTATAAACATGCTTATACTAATGTTCGACCTGCGGTGGCAGCTATCACACCTGAATGGGAGGACCCAGAAGAATTTGAACGCTATATTGATGCTTGTGGGAAAGAAGCCACTCAACAAAAGACATGCATCAACTGGTTTGCTTGCTATGCTCAAAAGCCTCATGAAGAATAATAATAATAATAATGATAATAATAATAATAATGATAATAAAAAGGGCGGCGTTGAAATCATGAATAGTATTTAATAAGTTAAATTAAATCTATTACTTTGTTCCCATTTTCTTTATATCATTTATTAGTTCCTTTGTCCAACAAGTAGCCACGTTTTTTTTTTTCGGGGATTTATAGCAAACTTTGAAGGCAAGCGTTAATACTTTAGCCTGATTCCAAAAGCTGTTAGGGATACTTTTTCAAAGAAAAAAGGGACCCAAAAAAATCTGTTGATACACATTGAGTTGACTTTTTAGACCGAATAGCGGAAGCACAGAGTTATCTTGATAGCACAAGTACCAAAACATGGCTACGCAGCTTGACAGGTGCCCTGTTTAGATGTTTTATGAATTCCTTTTTTTTTCGCTAACGATGGACAGAGTTTATATGCCAGTACAAAGAGGAGGCAATGATGTGAATGAAAAGGATATTTCTGTCTGATTTTGTAAAGGAAAAAAATATGAAATGTGTTTTGTTAGTTAACTACGTTGAACATCATATAGAAAATTGGAACAGTCAAATGGATGTGTTTACTGAGAAATTTCCCTTGACATGACTAAGCACATCAAGTAACTATCAAAGAGTTTTAATTGCATGGTCTTAGAAGCAACACTTTTATGCAAAGCGAAAAAAAAAGCTGAGTATCTCCACTGGGTTTCAAATAGGCGAGCTTCCTAAAGAATACGTTTCTTGAAATCTCTAGCCTTTTTTTTTTTTTTTTTTTTTTAGAAACATGACAGAACTGAACCTTCAAGATATATTTCGAGGATCGTCAGCAAAAGAAATAGACTATATACAATATGCTATCTATTTGCCACTAAAAGAGTCAGATCAAGCGACGTTAAGTTATTTGCAAGATACATTAGACGTAGTCTACTCGATTATTCAACCCATCATTGAAGATTACATTTGGCAAAAAGATAGATTTCAACTGTGCATTGCCTATGATCAAGATCAAGGTAGATGTCTTTTTTATGTTAATACAAACTGACATTCTCTAGATCCCTCCTATCCTTTTTTGTTTGGTGCAACTCGATTTGGTGATTGTATTAATGATGAATGGCTGATTGTCTATCTTCTACAAAAGATCTCGATCGAGATTCCTGAAGCAGTGATCTCACTCCAGGATAATGATGGTGATGTGATCTTGATCGAAGCAGCTCTTTACCTTCCTACCTGGCTCGATCCTTCCAACAGCCAAAACCGCGTGTATTTGTATCAAGGCCAAGTCCGTATTATACCTCTTCCTAAATCACCGGCTGATATCCTTCAACTCAGCACAGGTCAATTGATGCGCCAGAAAGCCATTGACTATGTACGTCGACATGCCAACACACAAGCTTCTGAACCTATTCAGCAATCGATTCGTGACCGTGTGGATGGATATCCTGCAGCAGCTCAACAAGAAATACATCGCACACGATGTATTTTGCCTCCTAAAGCTGCCTTTGTATTATTGTCTGAACCTCAGTTGATCACATTAGCCATCGAAGCATTTTATTTACGAGATCCTATCTCCATGAAAGCGTGTGCTGCCATGAAGACATTCTCTCCTTTGGAAGGCTCGACAGAGACCACTATCAAATTCACTAGGACAACCTACGCACAGACTGTCAGCCAAAAGTTTTATGCGCCCAAGCCGTTTCGATTGCCTTCCGTAAATGAAAAGAACAAGTTTCTATCAGCAGAGATGGGCATGAAAGTAGCGTGTGGATTAGAAATGTTGTATTACAATACACAGCATGAAAACGAGGATCATACAATGGATACCTATGACTTTGATCATGATAAGAAATATGTTGCTTATGTAGCCCATTTGACACAGCTAGGTTACTTTAGAGACCAGAAAAAGGGCTCTCAACTGTATCAATCACTCGAGAAACAAGCTAAAAAACAATATTTGATATACAAGGCACAAGATACGGATAATTCAAGACGAATTGTTTCTTTAAGTGATTTAGATGTAGATGACCAAGACACATTTAAACAGAGTCAACTGTTTGGCTCTGTCCGACAAACCATAGATAGATTATTAGCTGAGTATTCACCAGAAGCATTACATGCATTAGTTGCATCCGCTCCAGACATACAAGACAGTGATGATTGGATGAATGTGGATCCTCAACAATTAGAAGAACTATTGATGAAGCGTATGGGCAACATGAATGAACAAATGATGGCAGATTTACAACAAGATGTGGGTGGTGAAGTTGATCTTGAAAAGATGATGTCTAGTTTTGAAAACTTTGTAGAGAAAAAGAGTGGTATTGAAGGTGTTGAATTCCCTAGGTAAATAACAAGGTACTTTATGTATTTAACTCACCATTGTATAGAGAGAACGAAGAAGAAGATGATGATGATGAGAGTGATGAGAGTGAATATGAAGGCGATATTCAGTTTGACATGAATACATTTATGAATATCCTCAAGGGTAATTCTCAAAATGAAGCATTATCTCAAGTCATGGAAGAAATGGATCAAGAAGTCTATAGTCATGACAAGATCAGTGGTTCGTTTGCTAAACTGGAAGAAGAAGAAGAAGATGAAAGTGCACCCGTAGATGTTCAATTGAACTTGGTCAAGAACGTATTAGAGAGTTTCAAGAGCCAACAAGGCTTACCAGGTCCAGTAGGTAATATGCTTGGACAATTTGGGTTTGTACTTCCAGGCGATAATGAAGAAGAAGAATGATTGTATTATAAAATAAAAATAAAAATAAAAAGCTATTCTTTCAATGTATACATTTGCCTTTGTTTCTGTCGTAATTCCTTTTCTTGCCTCTTCTTTTTCTTTTCAATAATAGCAAACAAATCATCATCGTCTTCATCACTCAAGTCAGAATCAGATACATCAGGCTCAATTCGTCGCGGTTGTGGGACACTGCTATCAGCCATAAATGTAAGGATATGATTAGGCACTTGTGGAGGTGGAGGTGGGAGTGGAAGTGGAAGTGGAGGTGAAGATAGACTATCGGATCCAACACGACGATGTTGTGGCTGTGAAAATGTAGATTGAATTGAATGTATTGAATGAGAAGGGCGATGCTCTGATGAAGTTTCGTAAAAAGAATTTCTTACTGCAGGATCAATCACGCGAGTACGGCCTTGTAATGGGGCGAGTAAGTCAGGTGTAGACGAAGATTTGTTGAGGTAACATTCTGGTAAATTGAAGCTTGAGATTGTGTTTCTATGATGCTCGGGTATCATTTGATGGCTGCCTAAAGAGAGGCGGTGAGACATCCAAGAAGACGCAGACCGCATTGAGCTATTTGACCCTGATCTTCTTAAAGATTCAGCCTTTTTGTACTCTGATTCATTCTCTATCCAACCATCCTCATCATCGTCTGTTTCATCACCAATCATCATTTCCCCCATATTTTGAATGATATCCTGGTCATCATCGTCGTCAATAGGCACATCGGCACGGGGCCAAGTGCCAATTACAATAGGCAATTCAACCACGCCAATGGGTGTCTTTTTCTCGTTTGAAAAGAGTTGTGCTCGTATTTTATAGTGAATGCGTAGTGTTTGATCTTTATATCGAATGGTTGGAGGTGTTGTGCGTATCAGCAATTGCGTTGTTATTGACTGAGAAAAGTTGTAAGGTCCAATAATGTTGAGATCAAGCTTATTTGATTTTAGAATGTGTTCTTCATCCAGCGTATTCCTGCCATTGCTTGTCAATCATAATATACATAGACGAGAAAAGTGATATACCTTGATGTCTTTATCTTTACTTTTCGAACCAAGTTGATGGATATTGCTTCTTTTTTGACAAAACTTTGGGAAGTATTCACAATCACATTGACAGGCACTGTTTCTCCTCGAGTAAAGCCTGTTCTAGGCACTGTTAATTTGATTTGACATTGTCCATTGTTGAAAGCCACTTGTTTCTGTCTTTCCAAAGGCTTAACAAAGTTATCTTTTGTTACATCCACACATTCTAGCACCAGCACTGGATATTCGACTTTAGGACATAAACTTTCAGGTACCATGGGTCGATCCAAAATAGCTGTTAGCTTATAAGCAATTCGAGCTATTTTCTGCTTGCCAAACTAAGTCCACTCTACAATAAGTGCCTATTTTATTGAGTATGTTTGACTTACATCCATAGCACTAGGTAAGTTTTCAGGCACCAAAAATTCAAAAGGAAAACTATAGTCTTTCGGTTCTAAAACCTTTTTATTGACAGGAATAGTTTTACTTGTCTGGAATAAAGTGATCACTTCCTTGTCTTTTGCATGTAAGTAAATGGCACCTGAGAACTTGACAATGATGGGATTCACTTTCATACTGCTCTTGACCTTAACCAGAACAGCACCTGTGTATTCGGTGTTAAGTCAGGTTCCCTTTCTTTCTTTATACCTTGAATTGTTTCTCCTGGAAAATAAAACTTTTCTTCAGATAAGGCAATATCCAGTATTTTGTTTTTTGACCGAGTTTTCATTTGGTTCTATACAAAAGAGAGTATTTTTCCATGGAAATAAAATGACGCATTTTTTGAATCTCCATTGGTCCAATTGGGAAGGACAAGCTTATTGTTGTCAAATCTTGAGGCACAATGAATGACTCAACAAGATGAGTGATTGTTGCCTAAAGAGAGAGAGAGAGAGAGAGAGAGAGAGAGAGAGAGAGAGAGAGAGAGAGAGAGAGAGAGAGAGAGAGAGAGAGAGAGAGAGAGAAAAGCTTTACTTGATTTGCATTATCTCTTGATTCAAAAAGTCTATTTTAACAATTTTATTTCTATAATATGATTTAACAATACGCTTCTATAAATGTTGTTTTGTTTTGGTGCATTGCACCAAACTTGGTGTTAAACTTAAAAATCCCTGTCTCAAATGCGCCAATTAGTACCATATTTAACTTGGTGCATTATACATCTTTTTTATACCGGTAGTGTTGGTTCGTCGTTGTTATTCGCAGAGACTATTGTTACCGTATTGGCCAAGGCATCTGTTTTAGCATATCAGATTTTCTTCGAGGTCGGCTTGAGGTGCAATATCATGTATAGAGTCGTGAATAAATATGCATTGTAGCTGTTTCTCGACCAAATGACTCTTCAAGGTTTTTGCATTTTTCAGAAATTTTGAGCAGTATAAGCATGGGAATTCTAAAGAAGTGCGAGACAAAGTTACTTCCTCTTTGTAGTTTTGTTGTAAGTATCATTAGAAAGAAATGAAAATAAAAAATATGGTACTCACCAACTTTCACTACAGACAGATGCTCTTCAACTACGTGTCTATCCCTTTTGTCTTTGTTTTCAAATTGACTGTCGCAACGAATACACTTGAGTGACATTACTGCAACAAAAGGAGAAAATGTGATTCCTTTGGAGGGCGGATAAAACCTGTGTACTGAAACCTCATTCCACCCAAATTTAAAGTTTTCGTTAGAGAGATGTTCGTAAAAAAGCAGCATCCTTACATGTTGGCGAAAACTTAGCCTGAACTGATAGTCTTGTTCATAAAGTACCAACAATGTTGGCTTATACAGCCAAGATTGGGAGGTAAAGGATTGATTCATTTCTGGCTGTAAGAGAAACGGCCCATACAGAGGCCAATCTTGTTCATTTAGGCCAAATTGAACTTTTTGACTTGGCTGCTTCAGCCAATCTTGGGAGCGAAGCAGACAAATGTAGTCATCATAAAGAACGAAAATGAAACGAAGTCCATCACAAGAGAAATGATATTGGAGAACCCCTCATGAATAATATACACTTTATTGTGAAAAAATAAAATATTAAATTAAATTTTAGAGCATAAGTAATGTTTACATTAGTCGATAAGAAAGAGCAGAGATTAGAAGGGAAACAAATTAGTAACAGACATGAACCAGTCTATGTAAAATATTGACACGGATACAAGGAGATACAGTCTTTCCATTACAACTTGTCGCGTTTTAAAAAATCACTTGTCGCACTTTAAATTTTTACTCGACGGATTTCAAAAATTGGCTTGTCGCATATTAAATTTACACTTGTTGCATTTTTCTAGTTCAATGAGTAATTTCCACTAAGTAGTGTTTGAAGATGGCCAAGGAGGACTAAGAGATGAAGAAGGTATTAAGTTGATGGAGATAGATGAGCTTGAATCTCAAGTTAAGAAGCTAGTCACAATGGAAGATTACTTGAGCCAACAGTCAGATGTCAAAGTTTAGACGGCAAAAACCGAGGAGGGACCTGCAATAAACACTGATCCCAAAAAGAAGACAAAAAAATTAACCCAATCTATTCAGAATACGACAAGATGAGCCTCATCCTCCATATACTGGCAAAGACACCCAAGAAAATTGCATCTGTAGCTAAAAAGTACATCAATGAGCATACCGGTCAGCGTTGGTGGAATCAGTATAAGAACGATCCAGATTCTTTATTCCTTCCAAAAGTCAGAGGAGATTGCAAAAAGCTTAAAGAAGAGCATCACGCTTTCTTGACTGACTTGCTAGACGAAAACTCTGCAATTAATGTCGAACAAGCACTGAAGCAGTTAACTGCTAAGTTTGATGGATTGCAAATTGGAAAGTCAGCAGTTCATAGCTTTATTACCAAAGACATGAGATTTACTTTTAAAGGAGCTGCTTTACACAGCCTTAAAAGAAATGATGAGGGCGCTGTTGAATGAAGCACGATTCAAGTGGGCGGATCAAGTAATTGAAATGGACATGAGTTTTCTTAAAAACTGTGTATTTATTGATGAGTCTGGCTTCCATATCAACATGAATCGTAGTGGTGCGTGGGCATCAAAGGGTGAGACACCTATTGTGAAGGTTGAAAATACCAGGGCTGTCTCTCATATAATTTTGGGTACCGTTTCAACATATGCAGTCGCGAATGTCAGCATTCGAACTCCCAATTTAGCCACCAAGAAGCTTGTTCCTGTAGAGGTTGGCAAAAAGAGAAAACTTGACCAAGGAAAAGCTCAAAAGCCGAATCCAAAGGGGACCGCTATAGACCATTATCTGTGCTTTTTAAGCGATAGCCTTGATATTTTAGATGCATATGAATATACCCAGGGCTCGTATATAATCATGGATAATGTTCCACTTCACAAACGAACTGACATTTAAGAGATGATCGCAAATCGAGGATACAAATGTGTTTATTTGCCACCTTACTCCCGCCGAATTAAATCCTATAGAGCAATTCTGGTCGGTTGTTAAGAGCAAACTCAAGAGATATCAAATTCTCAAAGAGGAAACCCTGCAAGACCGTGTCACTGAAGCCTGTAGCCAAATCCCTCAAAGCCATCTTTATGGTTTTGTTAAGCACTCTCATTTGCGCTTGGAAAATTGTTTGAATAAAAAAGTCATTTGATCCCTTTCTAATACTCATAAACTCTTTATGACTCTCGTACAACTTAATTAGTTTATATCAGAGTTATGCATGAGAAAGCTTTGATGGCTTACACCAAAGCGACAAGTAAAAAAAAAAATGCAAGTGATTTTTTAAAGCGCGACAAGTTGTTATGGAAAGACTGTACTACTCTATCTTCTCATTATACACAATATGACCAACCAATACCAAGCTGTGATTGACGCCAAAAGCAGTACTACCAAATACTTATATTATCTTAAAATGAACATCTCAACAAATCATCCACAAAAAATTGAGCGCGTTTTAGTATATGAATGAACTCTTGGATCATGACACCTTTGTTACTGAGTTCGAATGACAAAAAACTGGGCTAATTTTTATCAACAACAATAGCAACTATCAACTTAAAGGGTCTAAAAGAGAAAATTATTGGTTGTGTTGCCCTTTTTTTTTGCTTTCTTTTAAACGCAAGACATTCTATTTCTTTCATGACCTTTAACTCTCTTGAAATAGGTCAACGTTTCAAAGTAACTTTGGGCAAGTCTTTTGAGACCAAACCTAAAAAGAAGGCACAAAAGTTCTTTAATGTCAAAAGTAATCCACTGTTCAACGATCCTGTTTATTTATTTTCTATATAGACACTTTTAGTACAGAAGCTGGTATTTTTGGACAGGATGCCAAACTAGAAAAGACAAATGATAAATATCAAGTCGAAATGAAGCACACCAAGGTAAGTGATGTGTTTATACATATATATATACATACATACACATATTTACATGTTACAAGAAACCCAATGTGGTCTATGATGTCCAAGTGACAACAGAAGAAGAATTCAACTGTATTCTGATTTATAATGAAGAGACAAAAGTAAGTCGTGCCTTGCCATCTGAACCGATGCTCATTATTGTTGCTTAGACTTTTACTTTAGAACGCCAAAGTGCTCAAATCAACTTACTCAATCGAAAGCTAGAACTTCCTGTCAGTCATTTGTTGAATGACATACAATTACCAGCTACACCACAACAGATGCAGACACCACCTGATGTTACTGTCTCGACAACCAATATGGAACTGGACGATTTTGATTTTGATATCTCTAAGGATATGGATGCTATCCTAGACAGTGACGATTCTGATAAAGAAGACGAAGCATCTGAATCAGACGTATTTGAAGAAATTGAAGCACCTATGATTGCACCACAGCCAGTATCTTCGCCCTTGAGTGTGCCCGTAACGCCTTCAGTAGCACCCAACTCACCGAGTATACCCGTGAATCTTGCGTTGCCTACAACACCCATTCAAACCAAGAAACGAAAGCTGAAAATGGCTTCTGCACCCATTCGACATCCAGGCACTGCTTCTCCATTAACAACTGCACCTGCTCCTAAGCGACTCAAATCAGAGTCAGAAGATGAGAGTTTATCCAGTGGATCTGAAGAATCCTCCAGTGGATCAGAATCTGGCAGTACAGAGACAGAATCATCAAGTGGATCAGAAAGTGAAAGTGATAGTGACGATGATGATTTTGAATCATTAGCACAAGATATTTCGATGAGTTTATCAAAAGGAGGACCTTCTGCACCTGCTTCGCCTCAGCAACAACAAAGCCTTGATACCCAACATGTGGAATCTCCTTCTCAGTATAAACCATTGTCGTATGATGCTCGGCCACCCACAAACAATGGAAATGCAGGTCCAATGTCACTTCGCGCTTTATTCAGTAAGTCAATTCTACATTCTGTTACAAGTAACTCATTTGATGTATTAGAAGAAGATGAAGAAGAAGAAAGTCTGTCGAGTTCAGATGGTGAAGATGATAGCGATTGAGTTTATTAAGCAGGAATATCATTCCAAGCAATAAAAAGCATGAGTCCCAAACCCACAAACATAGCCAAGAATTCAGTCATGGCTTGTTTTTTATCTTTCTTGACATTACCTGTGACTTCCAAGAGTTCAGGAATCACACCTACAGTAGCAATATACAAAAATCCACCAGCAGCAAAAGGAATTACTAAATCACCCCAGCGTAAATCAGTACCGAATAAGCCAACTATAGGTTTTTCTTCTTGAGCAACGTCAATTGAGTTTTCTTCAATCAAGATACCAATGAAGGTACCCAAGAAGGCACCTACAGCCGTTGTGAATTGAGCCATCATGGCCTTTTGTTTGCTAAAGCCAGATTGAATAAGAATAGCATAATCGCCTACTTCATGAGGGATTTCATGGAAAAAGACAGCAACAGCAGTGGTAGCACCAACAGCAGGAGAAGCATAAAAGGAAGCAGCCATAGCAAGACCATCTGTCATGTTGTGTGTAAAATCAGCGAGAAGATTGAGGTAGGCACTGAGCTTGATACCATTGCCTCCTTCTTGTTTCTTGCTGTCTTGTTTTTCTTGCTCTTTTTTGGTGGGTTTGCGTTGTCGTACTTCGCTGCTTTTTTCTTCAAGGGCAGTTGAGACAGCTGTACTCTCAGTATGGATATGACCATGATCATGTCCACTACCACCATTGACAACACGCATCATTTTATCCATAAAAAAAAAGAAGAACAAGCCTACAAAGATACCAACACCAATAAGGACATTCTTTTTATTGTCTACAACCACAACCGCGTTTTCTTCAGTATGCTCTCCTAAAAATGCATGGGGTAAAAGGTGAAGAAAGACATCACCAAGAAGACCGCCTAAAATAATCGTATGAGCCTTATTGCTGACTTATCCATACTTTACCAACTGCAAAACTGACCAAGGTATTTAAAGAGCCAGTATTGATATCAGGGGGCACAAAGTACAAAAGCAAGTTGGGGAATATAGATATATAAGCTGTAGCCAAGATCGAGTTGGTCATGGCATTGCCTGGAAATAAGAAAGCGAATGCGCTTGCTTGAAAAGACATGATGAAGAGAAAGAAGAAGTGCTATAAATAACAACAACGTGTCAAACGTTATTTTATTATGATAAAAATGCAAATCCGTATGTTTGTGCTACATTTAGAGTCGAGCAATGCCCTTTGGGTCTATTTTCCAGTTCTGTTTGCCAGCATAAATCAAAGGGCGAATAAATTGGTGGTATCCTTCAGCAACACGATGCGCATTAAGGGGCTCTTTTTCAGCCATTTGAGTCAGTCTTTCATAGACATGACCCTCACTTTCACCTAAAGCAGAGTTCAATAAATAGTCAGGAAATCCAAAGGCATCCACCAAGGCGACAGCATTCGGGCGAATCTTTTTCAGCATGACTACCATGTATTGTTTGATCATCAGGGCCTGTTCAGGCGAAAGATAGCCACACATTAAGAAATCGGCTGCTTCTTGTTCTAATGTTGAAAGACAATACAAAACAGCCACGTCTTTGAGTACCGGGTTGGGATCATCAAAGACTGCTTTGATAAAATTATGAGCCATAAACAGCTGGCAGTGAGCACGAGAGATACGGTACATGTCGACCAGCATATCATTCCAGCTTGTTTGTTCCTGATCCATAGCATGTACAGTCTTGTCAATCAACGAAGCAGCACGGAATTTGAATGCAGACAGCAAGAGTTCAGGATGATGAAGATCAGAGACAGTAGTAAACCCACACTTGGCTTCAGGATGAGCTACATACTCAGCTATGTATTCAGATGAGAAATTGGTTGCATCTGTCTTGCCTGCATGAATAGATCGCATTGTCTTTAACAAGTAGCGTGCTGTTTGTTGAGTCAATAGATAGTTATCCCCTTCCCACTAGAATGGCGTCAATCATCAATCCATTTTTGTATGTAACCTGTTCTATACTTACTGTCGCTTTTGGAAGATAGTCTTGATAGAACTGACCAAGACCAGAAAACAGAGAATAACCATGTCCACCACATGCACGTCTACAATCCTCAATAGCAGCAACAGCCAATGTTGTTGTTAAGCTCTTGAGACCCGAAGAAGAAGCATGTAAATCAGCCAAATAAGAAAAATCACCTTGAGCCATCTTTTCTTGGTTTTCATGATACATACGATGCATTTCTTGACCTGTAAAATGACAAGCATAAGCTTGAGCAATAATAGGAAACAGACGGTATTGTTGCATAGTATAGTCCAAGACAGGTGTCTCTACAGTTTTGATTGTGCCATCGAAAGCCTTTATTTTCTTAGGCTGATTTGCATCGGATCCCTGAATACGAATAGCAGAATAGCGTGTGGCCACAGTAGCTGCTCTAGCCAATACTTGGCATGACTCTATACACATGATGAGTCTCATTGCCTAGGTCAACAACTTATTTACCAAGTACGATATTAGCACGAACAAAGACCATGGTTCCATAAGCGAGTTTAGAATTCGGTGGTGTTCTATACTCTCCTGTCTTTTTATCAATGCTTGAATACCGAGCCAACATGGCTATATGTGGTACATGTACATGATCAAACAAGATAAATCCATTATCGACTGTATTGAATCCAAATTTAGGACCAATATCACCCACAGTAATGCCTTCGAGAGGTGTATGATCTTGTAGATTTCTGATCTGAACAATAAAAGGATGAGGCCCGTAATCTTTTCGATTGCTGATAAGGCGAGCCATGACGATAGCATGATTGGCTGCTGCACCAAGACCACCAATCCACCATTTAGAGGCAGTCAGAGTGGGTGAGTTGAGTTCAAATGTCTCTGTTTCAGAATGATAAGTAGCTGTTGTCTCTAGTCCACGCACATTCGAGCCATGACCCAACTATATAGGTTACTTATCAGATCAAGATTTTATTCTCAGTGTATCATTACCTCGGTTTGAGCATAGCAACCAATGATTTCGTATCGTTGAGCGGGTTCGAGATATAACTTTTTTTGTTCTTCTGTACCTTGATTCAAAAGTGTTGGCATAAACATACTACGATGCAAGCGAAACTACAATACACCATAAGACTCATTTTTCATTCTGACTTATATTACTTACAGGACTAGGTTCATCAAACAAATACTCAGCCATACCAAATTCTTCATCTGTCCAATGATGTATTCTAACTACACTTAGCATGCGTTTAAATAGAGGAACCTACCTTTGTAATTCAGCGAGTCTTTTTGCAGCAGCCAGTGACTTTTTAAACCGAGATTCTCTTCCTTCATAGTAACGGTGTGATTTGTCACCGAGAACAGGATCGAATTGCAGGATATTCAAGATGCGATCTCTTTTTTCGAGGTATTCTTGACCATATATGCGCTGCATTAATGCTTTTGAATCAAATGAAGCCTTGTTGCGTTCTTGTTCCAACAAGACAGATGCTTGTGGTTCAAGTGGTTTTAAATGTTGAGGGAATTGAATAGCCATAAAGAACAAAAAAGAAAAAGAAAATACATGTATATATATATAGACTTTATTTTTTTTTTTTTATATATATTTTCCCCACATTGTATTTTGATTACATTATTATTTTCTATTTCCGGAGACACTTTTACCCTTTTGTGTAAGTAACTGTCAATACATTGGGTTTTTCATAGTCATCCAAATAACTGAATTGAGCACTCTGTAAAAAGCATGAGTCTAATTGGTCAATAGAATACAACATTACCTGTGCTCTCTTTTTGCGAACAACCATTTTACTTCGAATAGGACAATACACCACTCTTTCACCATGATCATCGATATGAACAGAAAGCAGCAAATGCTTACTATTGGACGCATCATTTTTGTACTCATAGTCACGTACAGCATGGTATTGCAATACATCTTCTGAAAGACCTTCTAAGGGATCTTCTTTCTGCTTCACAAGTCGCTTTGTACTCTCAGCATCAGGCAAGAACCAGACAAGGTAAGTATCATCAGGGTCATGAGGGTTGACCATAGGTCTCAAAATGCCACGATCAGTAGCATCTGTCTCTGAGAACCGAGGGCGTTTAGAGGGATTAAATCCAGGGCTCGATTCAACAGCTCTTCGCTTAGCCATTCTTGCTTCATCTGCTGGTTCTGTACTGAATTGACCAATGGTATAGATATTCTCCCAACATTCTGTATCTGGTAATAAAGGAATGATCTTTTTCGCTCTGGATTTGGTCTGTGGGTGTCGTAAATCCTCAGGTAATGGCTTGAATGTGTTTTCTACACCTGCTATTTGTTCTTCTCGTGTGCTGTAGTTGCGTTTCTTAGCAGCAGCAGCAGACATGGCGAATTTATTCTCAACACCTTCTTTACGGTTGGAAATGCCACGCGTTTCTTGTGCAATGTATTCAGATCGACGCAGCCATGTCACATTGGGTTTACGAGTGTAAAGACCACTTGCACCTTGTCCGTCTGTAGGTTCTGACATTAATATTTTGTCCTCTTCTGCAACACCTTCCATGGGCTCAGATACTATATACAGAAAGAGAGAGAGAGACAGAGAGTTTATAAGCTGTGTGGTGATCAAACCATACCTTCTTCAGGATGACTTTCCATAGCATCTAAATAATCAACAAGCGCCTTATCAAAAGGAATAGAGGCACTTTGATCCATGATCAGTGAATAAGGTGTTTGCTCTACTAAACTGGTAGATTGGTAAGGAACATGGCGTTCGACAAGTGAAGGAATCGTAAGCATTTTGGGTGCATAGGGAACAGGTGGCAAGGTGTTGCGATATCGTACTCGACAAATATAGTCTGAGCGAAACTTGCTATTCAACAAAGGTTAGAAAGCGAGACGAGCCTGTACTATCCTTGCCTTTTAGAAGACATGATTAGATACTGCTATAAAAAAGAACACAAAAAACCAGCAAAAAAATAAATAAATAAATAAAAAGTGGCTGTCCATATGGAATTAAACTCAGCTAGTATGCGACATTCTATTTATTATTTACAATAGGCTTCTTTTCTAGTTAAAGAACTTATCTAAGCTTTCACCCAAGTGAGACTCAATAGTTGCATTGACTTGTTGAACTGCCTTTTCAACACGAATATCATCATCTTCCATAAGTTCAGCAAGGAAAGAGATACTTTCAGCCAAAAAGAGCAACCATTCTTCACCGAGACGAATATAGAATTCTTCAATACACTTCAAAGCAGCCAATCTAATTTCAGGATCGTCTTCTCGGGTCTTCATCAATACCTTATGGTTAAGAGGCTTCCAGAGAGTATCATTTGAGACAGTAACAGCCATTTGACCCACACAAGAAACAACATAGGTATTCATACGACTAAGATAGTCCACATTTATACCCTTGCTAGTCACTAACAATTGATCCACAACAGGATCCATGATCTTTTCAAACTTGGTAGCATTCCATAAGTTATCGTTGTCATACAAGAAGGACTTGCGAAGAGCAGACATGATGTAGTTCCAAAGAACATCGATAGGCTGCTCCTCTTCCTTGTAACGATCCAATCGCATAATCACATCGTCGATCAAATAACCATAGTAAGGTGTGAAAATAGACTTGAGCTTTTCTAAAAGAGAATCCACAAGTTTGTAAAAGAACAAGACACGCTTCAAGCTATCTTGGTTCTCAGAGGCCAATTCAACAGTAGCCCAGTCAACGACCTTGAGGAACAAGGGCTTGAACAAGGTTTCATTCAACTTCATCACTAAATCGAGGAAGGCAGAAATAACAGAGCCTTCAATATCATCGATATCAGCTTCATCAAATTGCTTGTCATGAGCACGACGAACATCAAAAGCAATCAAGAAAAATTTGAAGAGTTGCTTATAGTAGGACGTCATGACATCGCGAGACATGGTACGAATCGCTTGAGAGACAACGGAACAAAGAGCCAAGACAGACTTCTTGCCATTCTTGACAGCAGTTTCGTAAAAAGCAAAGACTGGACTCAAAAGAACACGAGGAGAGGCATTGGTAGCCAATTGAGACAATACAGCCACTGCCTTGGATTCAATGGTAGCCCTTTGAGTCTGTGCAGGATCAAAGTGATAGACAGAAGGGTGTAAAAGACCAGTCAAGATCTTGGTGATGTAAGGACTGATAAAGTGAGGCAAGACAGATACAATGGTCTCAAGAGCAGTAATGACACCCATTTGCAAGAGTGTATTGGGATTCTCAGCTTCAACAGTTGTATTGAGAATGTCAGTAGCAATAGGCATGAATTTAGGCAGGTGAGGGACTGCACGAGGACCAATTTCTTGACAAACAACAGTAAGGCATACAAGACTAGAGATCTGTAATTGGTTGTTGCTGGACTGAAGACTGTCAGGGCCAATCACAATAGGAATGGCTTCAGCAAATTGACCAGGATAAAGGTTACCAAGTACCTTGGCAAGAGAAGCAATACAGAGCAAAGCGGATTGCTTGTTTACAGTACTCTCTTCTTCAGTAGCCAAACCAGTAGATTCCTTTTGAATCACATTGGTCAAGTTCTTGACCATATTAATCAAGGAATCTTCCGAGCCTTCAGGAGCATGACCCTCGAAAGACATCACCTTTTCATTAAAGATGTTCATAGCCTTACGACGTACAGAGAGATCGTTGTGTTGAATTAGTTCAGAAATAACATGGATGAAAGCATCCAAAGGCAAAAGAGCATTCACCTTGTCCAGAACGTCATAGACAACCTTAATAATAGCTCTCCAGAATTTGGCAATACCAGGAACAGCATCCTTGGAAACAGAATAAGTATCGCGGTATTCAGTAAAGTAGGCAATGATCTTGAGAATGATTTCAACAGATTGAAGATAGTAAGGTTGCATGATTTGAGCGAATTCTTCATTTGTGTTTCCTTGAGTCATGACCTTACTTAAGAAGCCCTTGGAAGTCAAGAGTTGGCCGATAAAGTTAAGTGTAGCGAGCTTGTATTGACGTAGCTGTTTGGCACTGTGTTCAGAAAGATTAAACAAGTGGGCTTCTTTTTCGCTCATATCTTCGTCTTCTGGCTTTTCATTAGGCAAAGCAAGCATACCGTTCAATAAAGCCAAGATAGCGTTCATTTGAGTTTCAGGGCTAAAGTGTTGACTAATGACCAAACTGAATTCAGTAAGTGACTCTGCTTCAGAACGAGCACCCTTAGCCAAACGTTCAGTAAACTTCTCCAACAATAAGGAGATAATGGCATAGAGGAATTCGTTTTCGCCCAAAGTATGAATGAGAACAGTGAAAAGGCGCAATCTTCTGTGCTTGGGAATATGGAACAAAGCATCCACAAAGACTTTGATGATAGGCTTGACTTCCAACACAAGAGCAGCTTCGTCATCATTGTTGGACTTTCTGCTAGACACAACCAAGGGAGGCAAAATCTTTTCCAGTGTTTGTTGAATAACTTGGAAACTGTAGTTGTCATCTTGACGAAGCACATTGGCACCCATAAAGGTAAAGACAGGCATGATGTTGTGCAATACACATTCAGGGAACATGGAAGCAATGGTAGCCATCAACAACAAAGCTTGATTGTGGGTTTGTGGGTTGCCAGTGATACGGATACATTGAACGACGATGTCCACACGAAGATCGGATTCTTCAATAGTAGCACCTTTTTCTTCAGCATGTTGGATGATACGAGTCAAAGCAGACATAAGCAATTGGTTAATGTATTCAATAGAGACAGGAGCATCACGAAGATCAGCATTAACCATAGCAGTCAACACCTCAAACAAGGGCTTCACAAGTGTTTCATCCTTGGTGATTGTCTTACTCTCAACCAATTCAAGAGCAGTGACGAGTTCGTAAAGATCAACAGTAGATGTCTGTTGAACTTCAGCAGTGGTACGACCACGCTTAGCACTAGGAACATGATTGGCATGACTACCCAGAAGATTTCTAGCAGCAGTAACAAGAAGACCCTCAAACAGCTTGGCATTCACATCAATATTGGCCAAAACAACCTTGGAAGCACGAACTTCGTTTTGCACACCGTTGGTAGCAATGTCAACCAAAGAGGAAAAGATGGCTTGTTGAGCTTTTTCGTTTGCCTGTGCATAAAACTCAGGTGTGATTTGAGAGAGAGCATAGTGTCGAGTAGAAACTTGCCAGCCATCTTCATCAGCACCTTGAAGTGTGTCCTTGTTGGCAAGCAGACGAAGGAAAAGAGTCAATGTCTTGTCGTTCTTTACACCCAAGTCGCTGGCATTAGAAGGCAAGTAGTTGCGAATGAGGTAAGACACCAAAACGGTTGATTTGGTAGTACGAGGTTCATTCAACGTCTTTTCCAAAAGAGAAGCCAACAATTGAAGTTTGAGAGGACTATCAATAGCGTCCAACATGGACAACATATGGATCTTGACTTCAACAGTAGGAGCATCATTCACATGGTTAAGCAAGAAAGTAAGCGTATGCGTCTTGCGAGCCTTGTGTTGCTTTTCTTTGGATTCTTCGCACAACACAAGGTATTCCTTAAACACACGGGTAACATAGGTATGATCTTTGCTAATTTCATTGTGTCTATACCAGATAAAATCGACAAGATGAGCAGCTTCATTGGATTTAAGAGCAGTAATAGAAGCAGCTGCATCATAGAAAGTACTAGCAGGGAGCACAGTGATGTCAGTAGCAGCCTTGGCCTTGGAGATGTCTTCAGATGGAATAGTAGTATTATAGACTTTATGACCACTGGGTAAACCAAGACTCAAGTAAATCAAACGAACGTTTTCCAAACAATGCAAACCTTGAGCACGGACAGATTGATGGCTGTCGCCCAAAGTAGGGAAAAGAGCAGGTATCAAGTGTTGGACATCAATCTTGGTGTTCTTGGTAGTGATGTAATGGCTAAGATAGGCAGAAGTCACTTGCAATGCACGAGCACGGACAACATAGTGTTTTTCATTGTTTGTCCAAATGCTTGTCAAGAAGCGTAACACGTCAGTGCTCAAATGGCTCTTGACAAGCACGGTAATAGCATCTTCAAAAGCAGAAACAGAGGGACCAGATACAAACAACTCAAAGAGCTTGGTAATCAATTGGATATAGTCACCGTGGGTTGCGTTTGTTCTATACCAGTTAATGTCACCTTCAGGACGAGTGACAGAGGTGACCAAGGCAAACAAAGTGAATTGAGAGAGTTGAACAAAGGTAGCGGGAGTAACATCATCAATATTTCTCAACTGCTTGATAACTTCCTTTGAAGGCAATCCTTTTTGTTCGACAAATCCGCCGCTCAATCGAGTAGAGTAGAAGACATCCTTTTTATCTTGAATGGCAACCAATACAGCATCTAATGTGCATTTACCCAAAGCGCGTTGTTCTGTTGGCTTAGTGACAATAGAAAGTGCCAAAGAAATGACCAATTGACCAAGAATACTTTCGCCTTTTGACTTGCTCTTGATCATAAGAATCCAAAAGTCGGCATATTCTTGCTTTTTGTTTTGTTTGATCAAATCAGCTTGCAATCTGATAAATTTGGTAGCAATTTCAAACTTGTCTTCAGATTTAGCAGCAGACTTAAGATTGTCTAACATAGCAGACAAAACAGGGCTTTCTTTCAAGGAAACGGAGCCAATGCGCTTCAGCAAGTTAGTAAGGTTATTGCTAGATGCAGAGAAGATAAAGACAGACAAAATACGTGCAGCTTGAGCATCTTGATCAGGGTGTTTTTTGATAAAATCAGACAACAGGAACTTGATAATAGTAACGGCATCCTTGGAGTTGAATGCACCACGTGCAGACAAGAGCTGATCAAAAGAAGCAATGATCTTATCAGCAGCAACATAATTCAATAAATGGTTAGGCACTTCTTCAAGCACATAGTTAAACAAAGCATTGAATTGATCCAAACAACCAGCCAAAGAGGATTCAAAAATTTCAGGAGCTTGAGCCAAAGGGTTGGATTTATCATCAATGATAGAAACCAGCTTCTTGATAGCCAAAAGACGGTTAGTAATAGCAGGGCTATTGAGACAAAGATAAAGTGTAGTGTTGGCTTCTTCAATAATTTCATGACGAGTACCCTTGAAAGCAGAAGTGGTAAATTCATAAAGCTCCTTGTTCAACTTTTCATTGTCCTTGACAGCGTTCAACTTGCTTTCCAACACGACATCTAATTCTTCTACGTAACGTTGAGAAACCATGGCTAAAAGGGATTGGTATTTAGACACAAAGTCCTTTTTGCTTTCTTCATCCTTGGCGAGTGCAAGGTAATTATCCATCACACACTGACATAACAAGGAAATGTTTTTGCTGGAAAGATATCCCTTCAAAACAAGTGTTTCCAAAAGTTGAGCGTTTTTGGGTTGGCGAATCATTGGCTTCAAGAAGGAAGCAAAAAATCTATCAGTGGCGTATTTGTCCGTGATCTCCAAAACTGTTTGTTCAAATTGAGAGTGCTTGAACATGGCCTTGATAGCAGAATCTGATACTGTTTCAAAGCTTTCTTGTGTTTGACAGAGGTGCACAGTAGTCAACAAGCAGTAACTAAAGTATGACTTCTTATAGTTTCTCAACATGGTATCCACCAAGGCTTCAACACCCTCCTTGCTAAAGACAGCTTTAGAAGACAATTGAGAGAGAATCATATAGGTAGCCAATTGCAATTCAGGTAGCTTCTTGGCTTTCAAACCATCAATCAAGTGAGGAGTAAGAGCAATCGTCATATCGGTGTTGACAGAAGGTGCTAATTTGATATAATCAGTCAGCAAAGCAGCATAAAAGGAATACAAGGTCTGGAAAGGGACAAGAGATCGATTGACAGTTTTACAAATAAAGTCGAAAACATATCTATTCTTCAACATTTTCTTGACCAACAAAGAGCGCTCAAGAGGGAGCAAAGACTTTTTAATGGGTGTCAAGAATTCCCAAGGTGATTTTTCTCTATAAAGACGAGCAGGTAAGCAAGAAGCTCATTGACCCAAAATCCAACTTACTCTATGTTCAAAATTGAGACCATTTTGACAAATGATTTTGTTTCATGGTAGGGTAAGATGCATCTTATGATTGATTCGACATTAAAATCTTGAATACGGAAGCGACGAATAAGATATTCCAATACTTTTCCAGAAGGCTTCAATAGGAAATAAGGTGAAAGTTGAGACAAGAAAGAGTTAATACTAGCATCAAGTTTTTCATTTTCTTCTTTAGTCTACATTTCCAATGTCAGTTATCATGTAAACATTCCATTAATATGAACTTACCTGAAGAACTCTATCTACAGACTTCATTTTCTCGGAGAACAAAGTCTTTTCAAAAGCTGCAAACTTTTCATCGAGAATAACAAGCTCCATGATACCATTGTATGCAATAGAATAAATTGTTTCAAGGTCTTGGTCAGCAGCTTCACGAGCACTGAAGAGAAAAGAGGCACGGGTCTTTCTGGAGGCCTCACTTACACTACGCAAGTCGAGAGTACCTATTTTCTTCAACTGCTGCTTTAAAGAAGACATCCTGCTTAAAAGTAACAAAGAATAAGAAAAAAAAGTTAAATGCAGATGAAAGGACGCAGCAAAGCAATTGATAACGACGAAAAGCAGTCCTAGAAAGTCACTCGAAATTTGACAGCTGGCTTGAAAAAAATTTTTTTCATGATAAATTACAATCACAAGTGTGCAAACAATTATTTTCCTTCTCTTTCTCCCACTTTTCTTTCGAGATCTTAACTAGTCAAAATGGGTCGTATGTATACTTCTGGTAAGGGTATCTCTAGCAGTGCCCTCCCCTACCGTCGCACTCCTCCCTCTTGGGTCAAGACTTCTTCTGAAGAAGTTGTTGATATGATCTGCAAGAACGCCAAGAAGGGTCTCTCTCCCGCTCAAATTGGTGTCCTTCTCCGTGACTCTCACGGTATCCCTCAAGTCAAGTCCATCACTGGTAACAAGATCCTCCGTATCTTGAAGTCCAACGGTCTTGCTCCTGAAGTTCCTGAAGACTTGTACCACCTCATCAAGAAGGCTGTCTCCATCCGTAAGCACTTGGAACGTAACAGAAAGGACAAGGACTCCAAGTACCGTTTGATTCTCATTGAATCTCGTATCCACCGTCTTGCTCGTTACTACAAGACTGCTGGTCAACTCCCTCCCACCTGGAAATAGTATCCTTTTTTACTTAAATACTAACATTTATAGCGTGTGTGTGTGTGTGTGAAATCATTTTATTGCCTATATTGGACATTACGTCGAGAGTCAACTTTGCTTTTAAGCAAAATGGCTCGGTAACTGTCTTCCTTAACCCATTTTTTTCTTTCTAATAGTGAATCTGCCACTGCTTCTGCTATGGTTGCTTAAACATAACTCCTGGTTCTCTGAGTTCAAGGATCTCGATTGCTTTCAAGAAACTGTATCTTTTTCAAACATGTTTAGAAAGTATATCATTAAAAACTTGCTTTTTATACTTTCCGTCTTTGGTCTTTTTGGTTTCGACATGTCAGTACTTGTATTGTTTCAACATGTTCCCGCATGCTTAGGAAAAGAGGTAAAAAATACTGGTTGTAGAATCTAGTGATGACAGCATATAATCTTTCATATCCTTGATATTCCATGAAAGTTGTATTCACACTGGCTGAGGATTCCATAATCAGAAAGAAAATTACTCTCTTGTAAAGCTTTATGGACATGCTTGAACAATATAGTGGTATTTTTTTTTTTGAATATAGGGAATGATCTTGTTTAACGTAAATAAAAGATTCTTTTTTATCTAAAATTTTTTTATTCATATTGTTTTGTCTACAAAGGAAAATTTTACAATTCATCATGAGTATGATCTTCAGTAGAAGCAGTTTGAGTAGAAGTAGGATCGTCAGCCTTTGTAGATGAAGATTCTTCCTCTGCGGTATCATTCTTGGGCACTTCAGTAGTCTTCTTTGGCACCTTGGGTTTCTTTTTACTGATCAATTTCATCAAGTTTTCTTCAACAACCTTGGTTTTTTCCAAGACTTGAGAAGTCAAAAGCACGGGTTCATCAGTATTAGCAAGTTTCTTTTGAGCTTCGACCTTGTCGGCAACCCAATCAGCAAGCTTTTGAGCAGCAGTTGCCAAACCTTCAACTTCTTCTTCAGTATGATAGCGAATCTCTTCAGCTTGAGCACGAATGCCAGCAACAAACTCTTGAGCTAATTTCACTGTTTTGTCTACAAGCTCAATGTTCTTTTCACGCTCTCTGTATTCCTTGAAGCGGTGTTGAATAGGTGCTTCAATGGCTTGAAGTTCCCTGAGTTTGCTGATATAAACAGAAGTGTCAGCGTGTTCACCTTCATCATAAAGCCAGTCAGATGTTTCAGAGAGTCTTTCTCTAAACTTTTCAATGGCTTCTTCAGTAGTAACAACAGCGACATCATCATCATACAAAAAGTCTTGAACACGATAGACAAAGGTTTCTAAAGCATTACGAGATTCTTCACGAAGCTTCTTACGAGTGTCCAAAGCATCAAGTTCAAGGATTCTAAGATAATAAGAAAACCATTCAAATATGTTTACAATGCTTACCTCTTCTTTGCAGCGGCCTTTTGTTGTTCATTAAGAGGAAGGATACCAGTAGGGACAACTTCAAGATTTAAAGGAACTTTTGTGATAGAGACACTTTCCTTGGCTTCTGCAGCCGTGTTGTTGGTCTTAGCATCATTAGATTCAGTAATAGTTTCATTTTGCTTGTTTGCTTCTTCACTTGACTTCTAGAGGTATGTAAACAAACTTTTTATCTAGAATTCTGAATGACTCACCTCTTCTTTCTCTTTGGAATCTTTTCCACCAAAGAATGACTTAACTTTTTCTACGCAACAAGTTAATACCGTATATATAAGGAAGGATACCTTTGTTACCTTTGAATGTTAACTTTCCGACATGAAGAGTAGCTTCAGGAACAGAAACAATACCAGAACCAGATAATTCAAAGGTGACACGAACCTTAGGAGGGATTTCTGAGGCTTTAATATCATCCTTATGCTTTGCCATGGCTTCTGTAAGACCAGTAACCTTGACTTTGGCAATGCCTTGATCACCTGCATTGGAATTCTTTTCATAATTAACATCGAATTCAAAATCAGTAATACGGTTAAATGTCATGATCTTGCGAGTGCCAATATTGCCAAACTTGTTGAAGATGACGGTTTCAACAGCAGCACTGGCTTCTTTGCCCTTGTTTTCAGGCTTGTAAGAAACTTCAACAGGGAAAAGAGTGACATCCTTGATACTGATTTGCTTGCTCAATCTGAATTGATTACTGAGAGAAGCACCACGGAAAGCAGCACCCAAGACAGCAGCTTCATCACCATTCACATTTTTTGCAATCTTTTGACTAAATTAACATGCATAAATAAATAAATAAAAAACATCATACATAAACTATGCGACACTTACGCTCCAACAAGATCGATCAATTGTTGTTGAACAGAAGGAACACGAACACCACCTCCAACAAGAACAACAGATTGAATGTCATCCTAGAAAAATAGAACGTAAGCCATAATTCATTGCTGTTTTAATAACACTTACCACAGTCATGTTGGCAGCTTCTAAAGCAACTTCAATAGGGCTCTTGACACGGGCAATCAAATCTTGACAGATTTCTTCTAATTGAGTTCTAGTTACCTTCAATTTGAAATCAATGCCTTCATGAAGACTTTCAATCTACAGAAAGAAAAAAAAATGAGCATGCCTATCAAAAAAGAAACATCACTTACAGAAGCCACAGTTTCAGTGTTAGCACTCAAGATTTGCTTTACTCTGTTGGATTCCTTCATTAATCTAGTCATGGCATTTGAAGAGTCTCTAACATCTGTCTTGACACGTCCTTCATTCACTTTCATGAATCCAGCAGCCAAAAGTTGTTGAACACGAACATCTAATTCATGACCACCCAGTGTACGGTCAAAACCAACTCCTTTTACTTCCAGTTGAGGTGCTGTACGTGTAATCTTTCCTTCTTTTGTCTCAACATTTGAGAAAGTAACAATAGATGCAACAGTAGAACCGGCACCCATATCATAAAAGATGTGATTTTCAGGATTAGCACCAATTTCACGGTTTACAGCATAATTAAGAGCGACTAGAAAGAATAGAGGTGTTAATTGATGTCTCTTTGGGTTTTTATTGCTCTTCTTACCAGCAGTTTCATCATGCATAAGTGACAAGACATTTAATCCAGCAAGTTCTGCAGCGTCAAGAATAGATTGGCGCTCGTATTGATTAGCAAAAGGTGTAACCTGTCAAAAGAAGAAAATCAATACACATACATATACACATACACACAAATCACTGATTTCTACTTACAGTGATGACACAATCCTTGACATTTTCACCAGCTGTAGCTGAAGCTTGTTGCTTAGCATTTTGGAATTGATAAGCAATAAGTTCTTCAACAGAAAGTTGTGTTGTTTCATTGTGAATAAAGGCAGGCATATCTCTTTCTGTGTCAATCACCATCTTGTTAACATAGCGACGACGGAATTCCTCAACAAGAGGGTCATCAAAGCGTTTAGCAACAATGCTTTTCAAGTTGGAATATGTCAAGTGAGGAAAACGGCCAGCCTATATTCAGTATGATTAACAAGAAGATCATCATGTTATGATTACTTACCAAACTGATAGCATCGCTACCATAGATACGTTCATCATGACGAATAGTCACAACAGATTGAGTCTTTCTCTTTGAATCTTTATTTAAAGCAACATCTAAAGGCATACCAGGCTTGATAAGACCCACTTTAAACCATTCTGTACCATAATCAATAGACATGACGGCTGCTTGAGCAATAGGTACAATAGTACACAATAAGGCTATTGTGTAAACGAGTACACATAGCCAACGCGTTGTCATTTTCGTTTCTTGTATATATTGATAAAAGGCAAAAACGAAAAGAAAAGAAAAGGGAGAACAAAATGCAACATTTAAATAAACTAATTATAGTCGATTGAACTTGTCCAGTTACAATTGGACAAATCAACCTTCAAATTTCGGAGCAGTTTCTCGGTTGCACTAAATCTGCGTTTCTTTTTTTTTTTTTTTTTTTTTTTTTGCTTGCATAGGAGCATTCTTACGAAATATTGAAGACATTATTATGTTTTATTGAAATAGATAGAATACATGAGCCGTTTTGTTGTTCTCTGTAATTCTTTCTTCTATTTAATTTCAAATTGACTGTTTGCTATTGAAATCTACATATTTTGGTATTACATAGTACCTGAAAATCAATAATGTAATTGCTTACACTTGATACTGCACAAAGAAAAAAAAGTTGAAAGTAAAAAAGGCCATAGGATTGCTTGATCTTTTTCAGATATATCCACTGATTATTTTTTGTTCTGATCCTCGATAATATAATGCGAACTTTGCTTATTTTACTTAACGAGTTTGAAATCCGTTCTGAAAATATGATCAATATTCATAGCTATTTAAGCCTACTCCATGTGCTCTGGTATATCTGTTTATTGGTTCATAAAAGCAAAGACGTTTTCATTTTAGGTCTCTAATCAAAAGTAGTTATTGTAGAAACTAGCTTCAAAGGTGCAGCGTATCTCAATAAACGTAGTTGGCACATCACTTTTGTGTCGAATGAGATTACAAGGGAATTCATTTAACTATTGTGCATACAGTGCGCAATAGAGTTTTTGTGTTCATTTCTATAGAGCATGACCATTGTCATTGAAAATGAATTTCAAAGCAAAACATAGCTTTTATATTCAATAGCGCAACTTTTGTATCAAAAAACACCAAAGACAAAAATGATAAGTAGTGCTACTTTTGTTTGAAATTATTGCGCTAACGATGCGAATCTTAGTTCAGTCAGAATTTCTGTCCAATTATTACTGCAAAGCGCAGAAAAAATTCGAATTCCCGGAAAGAGTAATATTCATCATACAGTTGTCAATTAACTCTCATTGTATGTGATACATTTAATGTAGGCTTGGTACTCCTCACATGAATTGATCCATATCTTGGGCGTGGGGGCTAAACTGAGTCAAGTTTAGTCAAAAAAGGCTCAGGATAATCAGCTATTTGCCATTTTTGGTCTATTTATCGTTACATTTTGCGTTTTGGCTTCTGGACTTTAAATCTAAGATATATATATATATAAAAAGATGAAGAATAACCTTTTTTTTTCTCAGCTTTCTTTTATATTAAACATAAAGATGTCTTCTTTTGATAATCGTACTCTACAAGTAGCCGGTATTGCTGGTGCTGCTCTATCGACTGCCATAGCTGCTTTGACTTTGAAATATAATGACCGACCTTTTTTTTATGAACACCCTGAGGGCATCCCTTACAAAGGTGGTATCCCTGCCTTTGGCAATCTTTTCGATATATTGAGCAATGTTCATCGTTTTCACGACTTTCAAATTGATTTGTTTGAAAAATCGGATTCGCTTACAATGTAAGGTTTAATCGCTCATTGAGTACAAATGGTTATAACACAAATTATAGGACTGCACCTGCAGCCGGTAATCCTACTGCTGTCATGACAATTGACCCTCAAAACATCGAATATGTTTTAAAAGGTATTTCTGGTATTTAGCTTATGCATACTTACATGGATATAGGCAATTTCAAAAACTATTTGAAGGGTCCTAAATTCAAATCTTCTCTCTCCGAAATCCTTGGGAATGGTATTTTTAATGCAAACGGTGAGCAATGGCGATACCAACGTAAAGCAGCAAGTCATATTTTCAATGTCAAGAACTTTAGAGATGAATTTACAGAGTATACTTCTTTGTTTTTTTTTCTACGTGCGTAATTAACCAATATACTTAGCGTGTTTGTCAAGGAAATGCGTGTCTTGAATGACAATCTCCTTCAACCAGCTGCACAACAAGGAACTATCATTGATTTTCATGACCTCATTTTCAAGTTTACCCTGGATTCTTTTGTCTAGTAAGTAAACAAGCAACATATGACTCAAAATAACTTTTTTTTGTCCAGCCTTGGCTTTGGCATCCAATTAGACTCTCTTCTCAATACTGAAAAGATTCCTTTTGCAGTATCATTTGACCATTTGCAAAGACTTGGTGCTCTTCGCTTTGCTAGTCCATTTGCGCCTATTAATGAAGCTTTTACCAAGTACATCACACCATGGAAAATGAGCACGACTAATCATGTCGAGGTGATCGATACATTTGCTGAAACCGTAATCCGCCAAAGAAGAAAAGAGGTTGCTGAAGGCATTGAGCACAAGGACTTGCTCTCACGATTCATGAATACAACGAATGAAAAAGGAGAAAAATTAAACGATGTCGAGCTTCGTGATACCATATTGAACTTTATTATTGCTGGTAGAGACACAACAGCTCAGGCATTGTCATGGCTATTTTACAATTTGGCGTTACAACCTCGCATTGAAAAGAAAATGATGGAAGAAATCAAAGACAAGATCACTGAAGACACTGAGAGTGATTCACCTGCACTTTACGAAGTAATCAACACGATGCCATACATCCATGCTGTGTATGTTTGGAATGACTTTGGCTCATGAGTACTAACGCTTTTGTCTATCTAGGTTCTATGAAACATTACGCTTGCATCCTCCGGTACCTGCTAATCAGAAATATGCTCTTGAAGATGACATCTGGCCAGATGGTACTATCATCAAAGCTGGTTATTATGTCAATTGGAGTACTTATGCACAGGCAAGAAACACCAAGATCTGGGGAGACAATGCTAGGGAATTCTATCCTGAAAGATGGATTGATGAACAAGGCTCATTGCGCAGAGAAAATGCTGGTAAATGGCCTGCTTTCCATGCTGGTCCTCGTATTTGCTTAGGTAAGGATCTTGATATGAACCAATAGTATCTAACAGCATCACCTCAGGACAAAACCTGGCTACACTTGAAGCACTTGTTTGTATTATATTCCTTTTAAGGCGCTACAGCTTCAAATTAGTTCCTGGTCAAGAAATTACCTATGATATTTCTTTAACTTTGCCTATGAAGAATGGAATGAAGATGTTTGTTGAGAAAAGAAATAAATAAATTTGTACCTATTTTCTCAATTATAAACCAGCTTCTGTATCTGATAAAGACAAAAAGTTGACATGCTTTAAAGCTTGGAGTGGAGTGTTTGACAATAAAAATATCTGAGCTTGAAACGATATTCACTTGGCAAGAACTAGCGTTGATGTCACGCTGCCATAATGTTCTGCACGTCTTGCAGACGAGAACACTATTACCGCGGGCACCACTAATACCACCCAAAGTCCTACTTTCACATTTGGAACATATTTGGGATGTCAAATATTCATCAATGTCCACAACGAGTAAGTCACCAGTCCTCTCTCTTCTTTTCAACGTTCTGTATAGAAGACCAGTGACACCAGTCTGGACTATTTTCATCGTCACATGGTCCTTCCCAAACATGCCACTATCAAATACTATCAGTGGTACCTTCTGTTTGTACTGAAAGAAATTGCTTTCTCTAAGTACCATAAACTTATGAGTATAAAAATTATCGTAGCCATGCCCAAGTAACTTTTTACCTTGTTTCTGTTGTTTTCGGTGCCATTTCTCTATCTCCTTTATCCTTCTTTCCGGACTTATTCCCCTTCTTCTTCCGCTTCCCTTTGTTCTTTGCTCTTTTTCGTTTGTTTCCTCTTGACTTCTTGTTGTATTTCTTGGTACCATCTAAAACATTTTCACTATTCGCTCCGGTGCTCGTTGACGACCCTGGTATAACAAAAAGGTCTCTTTTGCAGTTTCTTGATTGTAAAAACTGAAAATAAGACCAATGTTTTCGAGCATATAAATGGCATACTCCATATACAGTGATTCATTGGCAGTCTTATTGGTGGGTATATTTGTTTCAATCGTCTTAATACCGCATGCTTTCTTTTTCTTTTCTTGCTCTGCTGAGAATTTTGTAGAGCCTGTCAAGTAGTAATATTCCTTGATGGAACATTGTCTGAAGTCGTTAATATTACCACTTGAACCAGCAAAGACAGTTAAAAACCTTTTTCTTCCTGGATCTACGGCTATTGGTAAATAGTGGCTGTCAACTTCATGCTGCTCAAAATCATCCAGAATCAGATCAACTTGATTGATTTGCTTGGTTAAACGTTTTTCTGTGATTGTTCGTTTGTCAAAAACAAAATCAACAGAAAAACCGTCTGATCTTATCAGGTTACCAAAGAGCCTCTTATTTGTTCCAGTGGGTAATAAAGATTCAATTCTAGTAATAAACATATTTTAAATGACCATTATATAAAAACATTTTTTTACAACTATGTACTTGCGATTTGATTCTAAGCGGTTTAAAATCAAATACCTTGTAAAATAAATGCAGCTGATCATTATACCCTCTGGGGAGTGGTTCACCAGGAAGAAATGCTGCTAATGCATCGACCGAAATTGTCACTGGTCGCCAATGGCATGATGGTGAAGGGAATGCATTGAACAGCCTTGATAAAGGAAGTCTTCTAACGTCAAACGCTTTATGGGATTGATGTTCCCTTTCAAAGACAGTCAGTATATGAAACAACAGAGGAATAAAAAAGCCAGGGTTATCAGCTAATGATTTCACATTAACTCTAGCATCGAGTTTGTTTTTAAGTGGCAGGCATTGTTCATCGATTCTTCGTTTGATCATAGGGTCTTCAAGTGATTTCTGTTCAGGCCACACCGCTTCACCTTGGCATACATACTGATAGCCATATTTTATAACAATATCATCGACGTCCTTTGGAACCATGGACTATATACATAATATTTAAGTATTTAGAGTAAATGGATGTGATTATTAGCTCTTACAACAAACATAATTTGAATTTGATATTGCAAAAATCTTTTCAATATATTTTCAAGTCTTTCTACAACTGCATTCTCGTAGGTGGTTGCCAGCTCTTTGCAGGCCTCAGCGATTCACTGGCTAGTTCCTTCAGCCAAATCTTCATTAAAAGTGGCATTAGGATTTCCAGCTTGAAGTTATCTCATTCTTGTAAAAAATTTTGTGGCAGAAGCTTGGTGTTTTTAGGTTCTCTATTGTTCACTAGTTGACAAACAGGATACCAAAACTGTTACCGAAAGATACCATCAGATACGGATTTATTTGGGGTTTTCAAAAGATACTAGTTCACGAAAAGTTTGGCTCTAAACACTATCTCTCTTACAGCGCTACAACACGAGGCTATTTTCTGCTTCAATATGTTTTGATATTCTTCCTTGACACAATTTTGAAAAGGTAATTTACGAGCGTAAACAGTGTAATTCGGCCCAAGATTCTGAAGCATAGTGTTTGACTTACTCGTAATGTAAAATGAGCAAAGAGGTGAACGTGCAGAAGAGTGGCCGGAAAGTTCACACTTCTTGCATATTACCCCCGGATTAACTTCAGCTTGATTCCTTTGACGTTTTGCTGCTCTTTTTATTTTTTTTTCAGTATTTCAGGCTGCTTTCTCTTTTTTTTTCTGGTACCAACTATTAGATAAGTTTAGTGACCAATATGGCCATATCAATTGAACACTTAATAATTATACCTTCGTGGCCAGCTTCTTGGAGCAGATGGAGAACTAAATTTTTCTTTAAATAAGATAAACCTCGTTAAAAAAAACATTATAACAGACAAGTCGATCTAACTGTGATGATCTGGCATAAATAACTTTAAATAAAAAAAAAGTATATACATCATAAACCATACTATCACAAATAAGTCTTTTCTCATAACAAGAACATTTGTCATATATTATTATTATGCAAGCTAGTCATAGTTTGATAGCAATAGAACTGAGTTCGTTCTAAACAATGTTATAGCTGAATCAACATTTACACTCCTACGGAATAGAGTCATATAATCCAGGAACCAGTAAACAGATTTCATCTATGAATGATAAATAACTGTAAAGATGGTTCGCAAAGTATATTTTATTGAAAAAGTCAATACTCTTGTTCCATCTAATATAACCTTCAGCTCATCAAGTCCTATCTCAGGTTACATCTAAGGACATAATCCAAATCATATATAAACCTAGGATATAAAAAATCTCTCTCGAACTTTTACCTTAATAAACATTTATAAACGGTCTCAAAGTACTTTCTACACGTCTCTTTATTTTTTTATAGTTTCTATATTCAATCTTTTTATTCAAAAAGTCCCAAAACACCACAATAACCAGTCATTTTGATATTGCTTCTCTAATAATTGATTTCCCTTTACAGATAAATGTCTAAATGTAAACTCTCATTCATCCAAAAAGCTAATTCTTTTTCTGCAGAAAAAACAACTGGAAATTAATTTTGATTCGTCCAGAAAAAACTAGCATCGTATTCAGAACAAATAGCAATGAAAGTTAGTTTATGATCCTGCAATATGTGCGTGCTCAAAAAAAAGGCCCATACTGAGAATTAGAAGCATATGAAGTATATAGCATGCTTATGCCAGATGGAATCAAAAGTTGTTTGGTAGTCATAATGTATATATATTAATATAAATGGTTAAATAATTTTTACATCGCCATTAGCAACAGCTTCCATGCCCTTTTTGTGTACAAGATACAGATTGAGGTAGAAAGTGAAAAGGGAGACAAATGAAAGCCTATGTGGGTATGATCAGTCAAAAGAAATTCAAATAGATATTATCTCTAACACATACAATGCACCATTGTTGGCTAAAGAGTCCTTGTTTTTTAATGACTTTCTTGTATTTAAAGCTGCAGTAAGACCAAAATAGGCAGCAACCCAAGGGATCATCTTAAAGCGGTTCTAAAAAGAATAATAAGTAATTCAAATGAATGTTTCAACTCTTACTCTGGTCATAATACCAGCCATGGCTATTCACAAAACACGTTAATATGCTTGTTTATGTTAAATGCTCTATCTTACCAACAAAGGTAGCTAATACAGAAGACCAGTCTTCTTCTAATTCGCTTTTACGAGGAAGGTGAAAAGGAACAATAGCTTCTTCTTTACGAGGATCAGATTTGGAAGATGATGACATTGTAATAGAGAACAAGTGTTCAAGAAGGGGTACGCTTTCAAAAATAAAGAAAAAGTAATATTGTCCAATCAAATGGCTGTGGATAGTGATTTTCTCGAACGGTGTGTTAAATATGGCCTCTATGTCGTCTGTTTCAAGAGGAGGTACCAAGATATCATTACACAGTTTACAAAGCCTTGTTTGAACATGACATCACATAATTCTCGATATACAAAGGTGAGTGTGATAAAAATGTTTGCGTCAACCTAGAAATCAAAAAGAGAATAGTTTCAAATCCTAACTGGGAATGTCTGTACAAAAAAATTTCATTGGTTTAAATCAAGTTCATATTCTGTAAAATAAATCTATTTTCTCTCTCTCTCTTTTTTTCTTTTTATTTCTACATTCCCACATCTTTTTAAAGAGCCAAGTTTTTTTCCCTTAATTAAGAACACCTTCTTCCTTCTCTTTTTTTTTTTTTTAGAAAAACCAAACAAAAAAAAAAGAAAGGAAAAAAAAGACTCGTTTACTTTCTTTTTTATATAAAAAGAAAGTTTTTACAAAGACAAAAAAAGAGATATTTGTCCCTTTTAACAAATTAAAAGGGCCACTTTCACTAAAGCATTCAATCTAAAAAGGTACATCAAGTTAACTCAACTTTACAAAATGACCTTTACTCTTATTCAACTTCAACGCGAGAACACTCCCGGCTTTTGTTCGCACATGAACAATCATTACGGCAGGAAGCCTTATTTCCTCCAAGAAGCCATATAGATAGTCACTCTTCGCTATCTACCTCCAATCGTACTATTAAACCCTCAAACAACTCAACTTCCACACGACGATATCAACCTTATTCAAAACCGACAAAACCCATGGAATCAGAACTTTTTGGTCCAATCCCCTCCTCTTCCTCCTCTTCTTCTATTGTTAACAACCATTGGCCTACTTCTTCCCCTCCTCCTTCTTCATCTTCATCACTTATTTTGAATGATGAAGAGATCTTTGATGAATTAGATACTTTTATGAACTCCCCTTTATCTGCTTCCCAATTCTTATCTTCTCCACCACCTTCCCCCATTTTGTCTCCCTCTTCTTCTTCTAATAGTGATGATGACGGACTTGAATACGACGATTTTCCTCTCTTTGATTAAGACCATTTGTTTGTTATCAGTAGAAATAAAAAAAGCTGATCCCATCTACTCTTATCGCGCTCTCCTTCAGGGGCCATTTTTTGTTTATTTTTAGGCCAATTCATATTAGGTGATACACATAGCTTTAAGGCTGAGTAGTTGTGTTCCCTTTCTAGGCGTACTTTCTTTTCCCTCTTTTGAAAAAAAGAGAAAAGAAACCAACAATTGAAATCTGTTTCGTGTAGCACTTGACATGCTACTCATTCTGATTTTGAAAAAAAAGGAACTTTAACCAATGTCCATAAAAAAAGAAAAAACTTGTTTTGCGTAACCCTTAACTCGTTTGTCACGATTGGCCCTATATCTGAACTTTAAAAAAAATATCAACAAATACAAGAACAAGTATGTCCGTCTTGCTTTATTTATTATCTTTATTAGGATGCCAAGGTATTATTCAAGCAAACAAAATAAACGCTGAAATAACTTTTACTTTTAGTACGATCTCAAACTCAGGAAAACTAGATGAAGATGCTGCTGATCTCGATGCACTTCAGAAACAACTAGGAAGGATGAACGGCCTCTCTGATAAACTAGCAAGTATTCTTCGCTAAAAAAAAAAAGAGAGACTAAATGATACCTTCAAGGTCAATATTTTGGATTCATTTGATGGTCGTTTATTAAAGCTAGAAGCGTCTATATTACCTATTCATAAATCAACTCAAAATTTAACAAGATTAGCCAACAGTATGTGCATTTAACCAGAAAACACTCTATTGATTCTCGTCTAGACATCGACAGTACATTGAAATCAACCGAGAATATCATTGACTGTTTAAATATGCCAAGTAAAGAAGAGGCATTTATTCTGAAAGGGTATGGAATCATGGTTTGGCATTGACTTACATTCAATAGTCCTGATGAAAATAACGTATTACCCTATCTAAAGGCAATGGGAAGGTTAAGAGATGGTGTAGATGCTATTGAAAAGAGCCAGCTTCGATCTTGCGAAAAGACAATCTATCAAATTGTATGTAATATAGTGTTGACAAGCAATACTAATTCGCCTGTAGAAACAACTCTTGAAAGCAGGCATGCTTCATCTAGAAACATTGTTTAGAAAATGGCTAACAGCTGTCAGCAATCCAGTGGATTTGAACACTATGTTAAATTCAAGTAGCTATCAAACACACGTCTTGTTTGTTTTCTAATATACTGTATAGACCGAGAAATGATGACCACTGCTTCCATGCGACAACTTTCTCAATTGTCGACTTATATTGCTTCATCCGAAAAAGAAATTGGGTACTCTGTTGATTTCACTAAACCTTATATCGAAATTCGCTCTTCTTTCTTGCAACGCTCTTTACATCCATTATCCCAGTCTGTTCAAACATCTGAAAAACATCAAGGCAGTTCCTATGAACGAGGATCAAGCGAGTTTTTGAAATATACAGAATGCTTTACGAAAATGCTTGAGTCAGAATACAAATTTGCCGAACAAATCATGGGCAATGAACAAAGAAGAGCAGCTGCCCTCAAGGGATCAATTATACCCGCCACAACAGAATACATTGCTGCTGGAAAACAGTTGAATGCTGTGGCTAAACGACTGAATTATACCGAAACTGCCTTTGTGTTTGATATCATTGAAAAGTTTGATAGAGAATGTGCAGTTTATATTGAAGATGTGTGCCGTATTGTTCCTTTGCACGACATTCAGGACATGATCAATGCATTCAAGTTGACTATTTTGCGCAATTTTTACGAGTTTATGGAAGATATTCGTGGAAGAAAAGACGCCAATCAACCCATGAACCTCAGTAGTGATGGTACAGTGCATGAAATGACGAGTAATGTAAAGTAGACATGCATATATGTAAGTGCTTTTTATTTATTTCCTTGTTAGACCTTGAATTACTTTAAACGTCTATATACTTGGCGCGATACTGTTGAACCTCTTTTGGTTCTTATAGGAGATGGTGGTTGGAACACGATGCCTTCACTCCAAATCATGGCAGATTCTGGCCGTGTTCAACAAGGTGAATCTGCTGTAGGTGCTGCTCTTTTGCAGAAATTCTTTGTGGATGCACTCGATCAAATGACGCTTGCTCTTCAGCTGAAATCAAGAGGTTACAAAAAACCCACACTGGCCACCTTGTTTTTGCTCAACAACTATAACCATATTTTGCGTCAAATCCGGTCCCCTCCTCTGAATGCCATATTTGATGATGGGTCAGAAATGAAATTTGGTAAGCTGGTCAAGAAACAACTGGATGCTTACCAAGAGTCATGGAAACCCTGTGTTGAGAATTTGATGGATGTCACCTATGTCCGAGGAGGCAGCATCAAGAGCTCTATGGGAAGCCAAGAACGACAATTGATTAAAGAAAGATTCAAGAACTTTAATACTGAATTTGAAGAAATCAGCCGTGCTCAACAAAGTTATGCTGTGCCTGACCAAGAATTAAGAAATCAAGTGATTCGAGACGTCAAGAATGTGATTGTCCCTATGTATGGCCGCTTCTTGGACAAGTATCAAAACAGTGATTTTACAAAGAATCATGCAAAATACATTCGTTATGACAAAGAGAGAGTGGATAAAATGCTCAGTCACTTGTTTGAACCTACTGCTTATTGAATAAAATCGCTTTTTTTTTCTTTATTATGGTTACCTTTGAAGTAAAGTGGGCTACAAAGCGGCTTGTGATTAAAACAACTCAAGATGAGTATGACATAATGACTGTAGCTGATCTCAAGCTAAAATGTCAAGAATGGACCGAGATTGAACCTGTATTCATAAAGTTATTAGCTCATGGAGGTAAACAAGAAAAAAAAAAATACCGAGTTTTGTAGATAGATTCATTTTTGAAATAAGCTAGTTGTGTTAAAGGATGATGCAGCACTACTGAAGCAGTATAAGATCATGCACGGTTCCAAGATCATGTTGATGGGATCCAAAGTAAACAAAGACATTGAACGCTTTAGAAACTTACACTCGTTAGAACCATGTCCCACCTCCCACCACACAACCAAAACATGATGCACCTATTGCCGTCAAACTCTTGTGGCTAAAGAATAGACGCGAATCTGTCCTTAAGCCTGATATCAGGCGATACGAGAAACATGTTCAAGAACATTTAGCTTCTGAACAAAGACCACCAGAAAAGACAAAGAAGCTCATCATGTATGGCAACTATATTCATGAACAACTGATGCATATGATGCAACAACTGGACACAATGCCTGAAGTTACTGACTCAGAACGAGCTGAACGCAAATCAAACGTTAAAGATACAGAGACTTTATTGGATTTGATAGATTCCATTAGACAAACATTAGGACAATAATAAAAAGGAAAAACTAAGAGAGGGAAACACCTTCCAATGTTATTTTTGCCTCTGTATCGTCACTTGCTTTTAATGTCCAGTGTAGAACCCAGTAATGTTCGTATCGAACATATTCCTTCCAGTCACCATAGTCGCTTGCAATCTTTGTTTGAGCTGGGGGAAAATAGCATGAAGGCACAAAGATCTCTGTGGGTCCATCACATTGGGAACGGTGCTTTATCGTATACTCAAAAGAAGCAGGTAATTTTTCTGTAGGCGAAACAAAATGAATGGTCAAAGGAACACCTGCTGTTAATCGAGGATGAGGTCTATGAAGGCTGACTACATTACGACAATTCGCTTGTTGTTGATGTTGTCTTAACAAGCTCTGAAGAGAATCCGTACTTTTTCCATAAGCATCTATACTCCAGGGTAGCTTGTCTGCTTCTTCACTGGGTGTAACAGTACTAGAAGAAGCAACTGATTCCATGGTGATTGTTGTCTTATCTGCAGGTGTTTGCCAAATACTAAGGTCTTCTCCATTCCATAAATCGCCCCATTGAGCATCATTATCAGGCACATAGTTCCATAGAGAATAATTCAAGAGATTCTTTTCCATTGCATTCAAGTTGGCATCGAGTGCTTTGTTTTGAGAGGATAGAGGACTGCCAATGGTTAGACTAGGATCTTCTTTAGAAGCCACGAAAAACGACTGGAGCCAGTTCCACCAACATGCAAAACTGAAAGAGAATGCCTTGGCGCTCACACCTGTTTCCATATCATAAGGAATACCTATTTCACCCATAATACAAGGATAATCACCAATGTAATCGAGCCCTTCTGTCTTGATCGTACTGAGTTGATCTACAAAGCATTGTCGAATGGCTTTTTCGCCTACTCGCAATGCACGTAGAAAACGCAAAGGACCTGTACCATATTTGCCACGATTTAGATTGATGAAATCCACATTATAGTTACACCATTTCTTCTTCACCAGTGTAAGGCCATCGTACCAGTGAGGAGCATACACCAGTCGATCGAGTGATGCTGGCATATGAGGTGGCACTTCCAGTACAGGCGGTTGTACAAACAAAAGAGCTTCAGGGTGAGCGGATCGAATCAGGTTTGCATACTGGACAACATGATCTTTCCAAAACTCGATATAGTCTGTAGGTTCATGGTTAGGCATAGTGGTAAAATAATGAGGTTGCAATAGTGTCTGTGTCTTTTTGTCCCAGACACCGTGTGTAGCCCAAATGCAGCCTACAGGCCATGATTCACTTCGTTTCCAACCAAAAGCATCATCTGCTTCTTTTCGTTCAGTCTCTGTAAGCCATGCTGTCAGATGGCCAGGATCCACTAAGACTTCATCTGTCTTTTTGGGTCCATCCCATTTAAAATCCCAATATTCAACCTTGGTAGGGATACCAGAACCTAGTCGCATGCCTTGGAAAGCAGTGGGCATCAACCCCATCTTGAAACTGACGTCATTTTTGCTTAGTTCATCCAGATGAGGTACGGGAATGTAGCCTTGTCCAGGTTCATTCATGGTATCATAGCCAATCACGACTGTGTTTGCAAGGCCATGCTGCTTGATTTTTTCAGCAACATGTTTGAAGCATTGTAAATAATGGACTTGAAGATAGTCTTGAACATGAACACCATTGACTATGCATTTAGGGGCAAACGTTTTACCTGCATAAAAAAGTGTAAACATCGTTGCAGCTGCTAATTTCTGGTAATTTGTGTTCCAAATCATTTTGGGAAATTTCTCTGGTTCTGTGTACAAGTTATGCACAATGGCAGCATTCGTTTCTGGGAAATGCATTGGATTTAAGCCTGCGAGTGTCAATGTCCATCCAGGATGACCAGAACCACCACAATGACGAGACCACTAATAAACAAATAAGGCTACTTATTTTTTTTTTTTTTTTTTTTACTTACACAATCTTGGTGAGGGTCAATATAAACCTGTAGATTATAGTCTTGACACTTCTTGAGTAAACAAACTACATAATCGAGATAAGCTTCATCGTAGATGCCACTAGATTTTGAGTCAAATATTGGTATTTCTATCTTTATTTTTCCTACTCACGGTCCTTCATGCTCTACAGCTTCCCAGGTAACAATAAAACGAAGCAAATTAAAGCCAAGGTTAACAAAACGCTTTAAATGTTCGTCTGCTTCATTGAGTGGGAAAGGTCTTCCAACAAAACTAATTTTTCTATCATAGTCTATCCAATAGCCATGGCGTTGGTGAGAAGAAATACCAACAGGTAATTTAGTGCCTCCACTCAAGTTGACACCCTTAAATAAAACTGTTCTTTTTGTTTTGGGGTCAATAAACCAGCGACCGTTTAATTCCATAACGAATAAGAAAAATAAAAATAAAAAAAGAGAGAGAGAAGGAAAGAAACAGGAAATGGCTCTGTTTTTAGTATGATCAAGCGGAGTTCATGACGATAAGAAAGGAGGAGAGACAGACAGACAGAGAGCGTAAATGCATAATTATGTGTTGGATTTCAAATGCATTAAAATAAGGCTGCTTATTGTGACTATTCCTTTGCTTTTCTTTTTTTCCCCCTTTTCTTCAATGGATAAAATACTCTCTTTGTTAAAAGTACAGAGCTCTATTTTTTTTTTTTTGTTCTCATATAGGCTAATATTTGTTAGGACCAAGATATAAAAACACCGAGTGAGCCACAAACTACTACACTTCCAGTTGGTTTAGATCTCTCCAAGATCAGTCAGAACGTTATTGATCAAGTGAGAAATGAATATTTAGCCACCAAAAAGAACCAAGAAATAAAGAATGCTACCTCAATCACACCTGAAGTGTTGTCAGCCATCAGTCGACTGGTAAAAGAAACAAATCTAATTGACACATTGAAGCAATGCAAGTCGAGACAAGACAAAAAAGAACGAGAACTTTATGCTCACCGAGAATCCATTCGAGAAAGATACAGAAAACAAAAAGACGGCGTTTTGGCAAAGTAAATACATAGAGAAGAATTAAACACATCCTTACATCTTGACATAGGCAGTTAATAGGTGTTCAAAGAGTAGATAAAGAATTAAAACAAATCGAGAGTGAAATGAGCAAAGAACTACATAGAATGGATCTGCAAATCATCAAAGACATGGACACAGAAGTAAAGCATCTACAACAAGCATTTTCAAAATTAGACGTGCCCTTTTTTAAAGTGACCAATGATCCACAAGACATTAAACTACAGCAAAAAGTACTTTTTATCTTGCAAGATATGATTTAATAAACATTGTTTGATTTAAATAGGCAATTTTCATTCACCGCATATAAAATGGGCTCAGCCTGATTGCCTTTTTTTTTTGTTTTTCTTTCTACCTAAAAACAAAAAATGGCTAATGTCTCAGCAAAGCCTACTATCAAAAGAGGTGGTATGACAAGCAGCAAAAGAACATCTAGTAGGCCCATTAATCCTGATACTGTTTATGACTATGCGTTGCGTTGTGCCATACGTGCCTACCTTGAACAGACCGACAAAAAGTTTGACAATAACGACGTGAGCCCAAGCAGTTCTTTGTCAAAGAAGAAGGAAGACCGTACCTCGTCGCGTCAGCACAGCCTAACAAGTCTGACAGATAAATTCTCTGATGGCGATAAAAAGAACGACAAGCTCAACAGAGAAATCGTAAAGGGCTTGGCAAGAAGACTAGAAGATGTTTATAAAGGAAAAGACACTTCCTTTCCAGAATACTCAGATGAGCGATTTCGTACTGCATCCAAACAAGTCAAGAAGCATTTAGAAGGACAACGCTATCGACCTACAAGCAGCATTATTGACACTGTCATCATGTTCTTAAAGACAAGTGAAGCAGAATTAAAAGCTGATCAGCCAAATCCTGCTGTTTGGTATGAAGACCTAAATCAATTTGTTACTGGTTTTGTTGAACTGGTTATTAAGACGATTCAAGAAGATTCGCCCTCTTCCGCCACACCTGAACTAATGAAGAGTCTGGCTGGTTTTTGTGTCACACCCAACAAGAGACATTCACAAAAAAAGCCTATCGCTTATCCACCTGCTAACAACAGCACACCAGAAGCCGATAAAAGAATCTCATTATCATCCACAACTTCTAATAAATCCAATGTTGAATCCTTGGAAGAGTTTCCTATGATTATCACTATTAAGAACTTATTTCATAAAGATGATGACGAACACCGTAAAAAACTGCAGGAACTGGTGTCTATTTGTACAGAATCGGTAAATAACAAAAACAAATGAAATCAAATTTCATTGACTTATTTTTTTTTTCAAAAGGCTTTATTGAATGACTTTAAAAAATGCATCAACAATGTACATACAAATCAACCTTTTCCAGGAAGAAAAGAAGACTTCCCCAGTGTACAAGCCTATGATCACTGGCAGAAAAAAGAAGTCAAACAACTGACAGAACTCATGAAATCCCTCATGTTGATGAATCCAAACTTGAGCATAGCCACATCCAGTGAAGTTGATGTAGGTCACACGAATTTATTAGCCCGACAAAGCACAGACTCTGCTGGTCAAAATGGAGTAAGTGAGAAAGCGTTTGAGCGAATGACTCAATAATCTTGTCTAGTCAAATCCTGCTGAATCAAGTGGAGGATTTGCATTTATTCCTACAGATCCCAAAAGTTGCTATAAGCATTTAATGGCCTTGTGTCTTGACGTTGATATTGAAAATTTCAGTTCTGTACCTGAATCTGAACGTGCTAAAACAAGCGTTCTCTCTCATCAATCAGATGAAATCTTGAGAGAATGTTGGAAAACATGGCGTTTGTCTTCTCCTTATCGAGCTGCTCTTTACCTTGGCCTTGTGAAAGCCAAGTTTGATCAAAATGAACTAGGCGTAGAAGATGTCAATGATGCTATTCGGTCTTTGGATAAAGTGACAAAGGAAAATGAATTTAGCTCATGGGCAACGGCTGATGTAAGTATATATGTTGTGGGCCTATGTTTATTAATGTTGAATAGCGAGACAATGCAGTTCGAACACTGAAGTCCTTGAATAGCACTCTTTTGCGTGAACTAGCTACTGGTCTGTCTGAATATTGGAAAATAAGGTACGTTTAAACCTTGCCTCTGTCTAATTCACATTTTTTTTTCTATAAGTCCTGCTTGGATCCAAGACATTGTTGACTTGATTGAAAAAGTTCAAGGCAATCCTATTTACCAAGAATTTCATTCAGACACAGAAGGACAATTGAACGACTTAGAAGAAAACATAAAGGTATGTGAAAAGAGAAAGGATTGTGTATTTATTTTGTGGAAAAGGGTGCTGCTGTCGAAAGATGGAGTCAAATCGAAAAACTTACAAACAAGCCTGAGGAAGATGCATTATCCAACCTGTTTGCCATGGCTGAAAAACTCTTTAAGGAACTCAACTCAATTGCCAGAAAAAAGTTTCCAAAGCCTATTATGGGTGTGCTTTCTATTCCCAGTCTTGTCATGGCAAGACAGATGCCCTATTTTGCTTTGGAAATGGAGAATTGGGCTTATTCCCCTGATTCCAAGACATGTCCTATCGACAGTGCTTTTGGATTATATGAAAAAGTGTTGAATTTAGAAAGACTCTATGATCAATATGGTCCCAAGTAAGGTTCTCTTTTTTTTTTTATGATTCGAGTCTTCTCACGCGTGTTGGGTAGAACGAAAAAGAGTTTATTTAAAGTAGAATCATGGTTTTTGCCTCATGTAAAGCGTTGGCTTTTCAAGACGAACGAATCCACTATTGAATGGGTCGAAAATGCCATTAATCAAGACCAGGTAGGATATCATGAAAACAGAGAAAAGCTTTACTGACATTCAGCAAGTTTCAAAAATACAGTGAATCTGTGTCGCATTCTTCTTCTATCATTGACTTGTTTTCCATGTTTAATCAAGCAGTTGAATTCATTACAAATTTGCAATGGCCTAACGATTTACAACACTGTTTGTTTGAGACCTATTTAGCCAAGATTATTGGTGAAGGTATTGAGCATTACTGCTTTACACTTGAAGATTTGATACGTAAGGATATCAAGAACAAACGTGCACTACCTGGCAACCCTCAAGGTGTTGCACCAAGCGACAGTATTTTGGGTAAGGCACGCTACCAAATCCTAGGTAATCGAGGTGCCTCTCGAGAAGAAGGATTTACGCCACCCAATTTTATCATACCTGAACTATGTGTCAAATTGAACGATATTGAAGCTGCTCGTGGTAAACTCGATCGTCTTTATCAATCTATGCATGTAGATGATGTGGCTCAATACATGAGAGAAAACGAGTCTGTACAGAACACTCAAAAATTGGCCAAGAACAGCAATATTTTATATACCATTCGTGTTGTACGTGCAGAGAATCTTCAAGTGATGGATACCAATGGTCTCTGTGACCCTTATGTGACATTTGAGATTGATGGCAAGTTTGTTACCAGAACAAGAACAGTGTAT